ACACTGTGAAATTTCTGCAGACTGTACGCCACACAACCATCCTCACCAAACTTTCACCGTGTGCACCACTACAACCCCGTGTAGTTTATGCTCGGTGAAAGCGAAAAGGAAGGGAATGTGAACCATGAGAACTTTATTATTCTACAGAGCTTGTCGTCCTATCTCAATTGGATATGATATGCAACCAAATCCGGAAAAGTGAAAGCAGTCCGTGTCACCCAAGACCAAGAGGAGCAGAGTCGGCTCATCATATTATTTAAGGAGCAGGGGAGAGGGTTGAAGAAAGTCGTAAAAAGACACTCATAATGAATTGAAAATCCTGGAATATTTTATTCAATTATATGACAGCTCCATCCTACCCAGATCATCAACCTTCTCCAACTACAAGTACACCCTGAATACTAAACTCATTCCAATAAGTTAAAAACTGGCTAGTGTAGCTGACAGTGGGGCAATATAAGTCGTCAGAGATCCGGTTTTTTTTTCTCTGTGGAAATACCGAAATGACGTATATATCTAGCCAGAACCATCCTCGGCTTATTTATATTTCGCACTCTGCATAACAAGATGAACCATGGGCTTGAATTTATAAATCTGCTTAGAAATTCAAGGTGCTTTGCGGTTTACTATGCCAAAATATTTTATGCATGCAAGCTTTGCATAGTAAAGCACATCCGTCTTTCCTTTCGCCACTTTAAATTATATTCGACATGCAGAGACTCAACTGGGTCAGTGGTCGTCTCTAAAGACAACTGCAAATGACAATATCAACACGATTAGGATTATGGATGACGACTTGCGGTGTTTCAAGAATTATGTCGTCGCAACGCCGTGTTTGGAAATTAGGCCAAACTATAACTGAAACAAGTTTATAAGTTATAAGGGCAGGTTTTCAAAAATCTTGACAATCTACTTGAAAATTTGGATTTAGCTTAAAATGCCTCCAGCGTAGTTTTGACGGGTGTTATGTATAGTATTTTTCCATCAACTATTATATAAGAAATATATGTTGCAAACTGGGTCAATTTGCTGTCATGTTCAGTTACGTGGTCGGAAGTGTCAACTTACGTTTCCATTATTTCGAAAGCACCAGAGGGTTCCGTCAGCAAAACCAAAGCTTGAGCAAAACCAAAGTTTCATCAAGATAATAATACAAGGGGATGGATTTCTTGTGACGTTGTTCCCTACTCGTTACCACATTCGTTCACCACCTTTTACCAAATGAGATTGACATTAACGTATGCATTCGTATCACAAGTGCAACTTCATCACGTTATAAGAAAGGTATTGAATGTAATGTGTGGCTTTTCAGATTTATATATTTCATTCGCCTTGATTTTGGTGCTGCTTATGTTTTATCCCATCATCTGCCACTCCTGCTTATGTATTTTAGATATAAATATGCTCATGATTTGCATGTTAAAAAATAAAATCCAGTTCGTCCGGTGAGCATCGGAAAGTAAGGAATATGAGAGCACAAGAAGAGGAAAGATTATGGTGACTTTGTTTGACTGACAAGACGTACGTTGGCCTGAAGTGAGGACAGGTGGATTTCATGGTTGGGTGACAAAAGTGAAAGTTCAGAGTCAGAGGTTCCGTCGCTTTGAATTGATATAGCATAAGTATGCATGGTATGGCACAAGTGCGACTCCAAAACATATGGAAACGTGCATATCTACATAAATAAAGCAGTTGGTGATATTTTTTTTAGTGTAGAATCCTACTGGTTATAAGGTGGTAGAAAAATCTAAAAAACATATTTTCAAAATTTTCAAATAAGGAGAAAACATTCATAGAGAGAATAAATTAAAAGTAAGGCCATGCTACCCACACAGTAAAACGTTCAAGATCTTTACTTTCGTTACGCCAGACTGTTGTCACTTTTCTGCCTTGAATTGGAAAGCTGTTGGGAAGGTTGTGTGGCTTATGCTTTCAAAAACTTGCTCCATTCATCTCATGAAACATTTTATTTCTGAAGTCAGAGCAGAGATATTTTTCATCGTTTCCTCCTGAGCTTGTATTTATGGCATTCGAAAACTGCCTGCCTCCGTATCTACGTCCTCTTTATCCCCTCATTTTCACGTAACTACCTGCTTCTTCATGGGCAGGTGGACATCGTACTGGAAAACTTGATCCCTGAATTGACTCTTAGATATCTGCAGATGTATCGTATTTTAGGTGAAAGTATTCCTCTTACTACTTCCAGTAACGTTTTACCAGCTGACGTGATAAGAATTTTAACAACTTTCAATCCACTCTAATGCACTTAATTTTTTGCCGAAACACAAGGGATGCGTAATATAAGTAGCTTCTGGACTAGGAAGCAGATTCAAATGGAAGCTCGTTCGCACATAAGCGTGAGACAAAGAGATAAATTTTATTTGCGCAAATATTTAATAGAAAAGGCATGATATACACAGCTCTGAAAGGGAAGCTAGCTCTAGACCTGTGTACATAGATATGTACACATCTAGAAAGAGGCATGAATAAATAACTTGGTGTACAGCACGACGCTGCTCATAGGTCATTGTGCTAGATTGGACCGAATTATTGAATTACCATGCCATTCAATCCGTCAGTATAGAAAGTCGAGCCTGGGATAAATCAGAAGTGATGCAAATGTGCAGTCACTTTCTACACTCGCCCTCTTCCAATAAGCACCACTATTCATCCGACGCAGAGTAGGCCATTGAAACTGACAAGGGCTGAAGGTTTCATGGGACAAATTGAAATGCAACGTGACAAGCCGTATCTCTCACATATTTGGCTGACATAACTAAAAATTGGATTTTCATATTAGCTTTTGACTCTTTTTTTCCAGCTGTCAAACAACGCGTGAGATCAGGTAGGGATGAGATAAAGAGGTCGTCGTCTATGTATATTTGGGTGTCTGATTCTCCGAGTTTAAGTTATTATTGCCCAGGTTAAGAGTGTTTATACCGTATCATTATCAATAAAATACGGGTAATCATTAGGAAGAGATAGAAATTTACTACGAAGGAAATAAAATTAGTACACCCAACGAAGGAATCCAATTGGAAATTTTCACCCCCACCTCTCATCCACTTACAATAAACGATGGTGTGTGAAACACAAGTCAATTTCTTCGTGTGCATGGACATGCGTGGGTGAATTAGTTTCAGCCCGAACGTGCATCCTAAGTTGGGTATATTCGGATGGATGAGAACGCGTGTAGTTGTCGTGACTGGACTAAACTTAATTAAAATCACTCATCACACGCTTTCTCTCACTTTCACCACTCGCTCCATTGTTTTCATCACACATGCCAAATCTAATCATCAGATTCAACAAAATGCATGTACGTGGTGTTCATAAATAGAACATCGTGCATCATGATTCAAAGTAGTTCTCGATAGGAATTTTGATGAAAAAGTCGACAAGCTTTCATGTGTTTTAGAGTGGACCCAACATATTTTTGAAGAGTATGTAATAGATATATTTTCGAGTAATTTATTAAACTACATACTGATAAAACAATGACTTACCAGCTCAACAAGGGAATAACTTGCATACTCGTGTCTTCTTTTCGTACCTATTTCTTCATTCCACTCAAAATTTAATCATTGAGTTGAATCAAGAATAAATTCAGAATTGCAAAAGTTTAGGACTGAACTTTGTTTTCCTTAAAACATATCACAGTTGATTGAATAGTTAGTTCAAACCTTATCGGTTTCCACTTTCACCACGGAATATGTACCACGACCAACCTCGGACTCCAAGTGGTGCGAATATTAATAACAATCCTTCTTTATTATTAAACCTTCTACTCTCCAGAAAGTATTGAGTACTCTCTTCACTCACTCACTCTTTGGTGGAGAATGACTTTCAGGGCTTTCTTCCACTTGAGCCTGTCTCTGAGTATATTAATGGAAGTACAACAACTTGATGAGAGTGAGTAGTCGAGGGCTTTCACTTGTTGAACCACCAGCCACGGTCTTAGATTTCTCTTTCTTTCGCCTCAATTCAATCTAAATCAATGCGATTCCACAACCACCTCGGCTCAGGATCAAATGTTCGTTTTTTGTGAGCCCTTTTATTACTAGGAGGGTAAAAGGGTTGTTGCCTATGTGCGTTGGATGACGTACGGCTTGTTTATGCGATTTTCTTTTTCAGAGCCGCCCACCTCAAGAAGAATATCCAAGCAATGAAATTTCAAAGGAACCTTTTTATCATGTTGCCTCCTCCATTACACTGATTAAAATCTTTTTTGAAACTGAACAACTTTTTTGGTTTTTCGTTTGTAAAACTAACGTTTCTTTTTGCTCAAGGAGTGGCAAATAATAATGTACTTGACGTATTTGGTACCCATGCACTGGGTTGTGTGAACTGGGAATGTGAGACGATGTGGTGCGTCCCTTTCACGGAGTGAGATGGATGGTGATGTTCTTCGCAAGAAGAGACGGAGCAGACTGAATTCGGGGAATGAGAGATTGGATTGGGCAACTCGGGTTGGATTTCAAGGGAAAGTTTCCGTGATTCTCGTCTGATCCGTTCCCACACCAGGAGTGTCATCATCTCCAGTGATACCGGGATGAGTGGATAGGATGGCAGGGAGCATATGAGGGCGGCGAGGGTGGTGGTGCTGGGAATGGTCGGTCGGATAGTTGGGTGCGCCGAAGGAGGTTATGGAAGTGCCTAACACTTCTAATGTGGTAATAACACTGGATTGCTGCTATTTATGACAGATGGGTAAAACGTACTTGTCTCCCACCAACTCTACCCAATTGTGGGATGAAACCACTTCAGTTATTTGTGGGGCAGTGGATTTCTGGATTTGCTGTCGAGTAGCAACTGTCGAGATTCAATGTCACTTTAGTTTTAGCAGAAATGCGATGGGCGTTCGTAGTACGGTAGCTCGAAAGAGGAGACAGGAAATGTAAATAGCACTCGGTTCAGGTTCCATGACCTGATGAATTCTCGGGCATGATATCTAACGAGTGCGTGCAATTGAGCATTATTTTTAGGACAAATTACAATAATCTGTAAACAAAGTAAAGATAGTGTTTTATTCACTGTGCCAGATTTATAGATATTTGAATACAGTATATGTAATTCATTGTTCTAAAGCATTTTTAATCCTACAAAATTGAACTGAAGGGAAACGGTTAACGGGTAAAAATTCCACCATCCACGGGAAGTGAGGACCCAGTGATCATGCTTGACGACGGACTGGAGAGAAACATGACAATTTCTGCAGCTTCACTCGGTTGTACAGGCCTTTTGATTATCTGTCGGTCCAAAATTTTCTGCGTTTCCTGAATAATCTTTGGATTAGGCGAGACGAACATCTCGTGCAGGACCACGGTCGGTGCAGGGCTAATACAGTTGACTCGTACACCCTGGTCACCAAGCTCCAGGGCCATGCTCTTGGTCTTAAATTATCAAAATTAAAAAATAATAATTAAAATTAATTCGAAATTACCGAAATAGATATATATTTATGCATGTAACTACCAGCATTAACAAAGCTGCCTTGGTGCAACTGTACATAGAAATGCCTTTTGATGGAGTTGTGTCAAACTGAAAAAGTTTTATGCATTAATTATGTGCTTATCAGTTGTATTTGCATTTGTGAAACATAATATCGATGGAGTTCATACGCAGGACGACACATTAACGATTGTTGCACCCTGAGTCCTCTTTGCAGCCTCCAAGCCCTTTACCACAGTTTGGGTGACATTCACGACGGCCTTGAAGTTGACGTTAAAGAGCCTAAAATTGCAATTAGGTAATACATGTCACACTATGTAATAGATACAAGAGCAATAGAAATTCTCCTTATTAATGACTAACTCATCGATTTGAGTTGGATCAACTTCTTCAAAGTAACTGGTTTGAGAAATTGCAGCGTTGTTGACAAGATGGTCAATCGGAGCAATTGATTTAACAAGGCGACGGGTCTCGTCCCAGTCTCTTAAATCGACTGTAATAATTGTTACATTTTTTAATTCGTCCTTCAAAGCTTCCAAGCTTTTCTTATTCTTATCCAAAGCGAATACAGATGCTCCATGTTCGTAAAATTTCTTCGCGATCGCGTACCCCAATCCTTTAAAAATTCATATACTAAAATATAAGTTTTATCCCATGAAAACGAAGGAAATATAGAAACGTGTACATACCTTTGCCAGCTCCCGTCACCAACACGCGTCTTCCAGCAAAACAGTTGTCGTAAACGTCCTCCAAAACCTGTCCTGCCATATTGTTTTTTAAGCAAGAGACGATGTCGAACAAAGTACTATTTCTTTGACAAGCAAATGGCGAATGAACTAGAATCTCATAAGCTGGACTAGTACACCTTGGTTGCCAATTAGTAGTCAACTTTACGCTAGTAAAAACTGGTACAAAATAAGAATATTCAATTTACTTGTGTTCTCCTCAGCGTATGTACACACATTCACCACTACATACATACATAGTTTCATGGATTTTGACCAATGTTTTATGCCTAAAGTTTCCATTAAGTAATAAGTGCCAATTTTTTGCGAATAGAGATCGTATGTATATCGACTTGCAACTATTTAAGGACACATTGGATTCAACAACATGAACTGAAGCTACATACGAGATACCATTACTTACTGCAAACATGTTTGCTACCAGTGAGTGTGACATGAGCTGGCATGGGCACGAATTAAAACATCGTATTATCATGTTACTAAACTTCTAAGGTGTTAAATACTAATTTATGCTAATCCTTCGTAATAAATATTGGGTTTAGCTGATGAGAGCATGAACACTAAACTCGCTGCAAAAGCAATGCAATATTACCCTTTCGACGGTAAAAACAACATTGTCATTTCTAACAGGTTTATGTATAGCATTTCAATTGTCGGGCATAAACGTAAAATTTTTATATTGTCAAATCTGTAATGTTATGTTGTGTAAAATTATAGTAAGAGACGTAAGATGCCAAACCACAATGTCATTTAACATTCATTTTCATCATCTCGTGACTGCATCAGTACAAAGTAATTATATATGTACATAGGCGAATCTGAGGATAAGTACTGCCAATTGTGCGTCTATCAGACAATGAAATATGGTTTCATTCATGTAAATATAGTTATTTATTTACTACTAAACATATAGAAAAACGAGTATTTCTCAATGGAATGTAAAGCAATAAATATACAAGTATTTATTCATTCATTCATTGATCCAATAATATTGACTTGTACAACTCTGTGAGTCTATTTAATTCATCATCTTGGCATTCAACATCCACATTGGACTGAGAACGAAGGTCCACATATTTTTTTACTTCTCGGCCGTACTCGAAGGATTCTATGCCAAATCGTTGTTCAACATATATCAAACTTTTCTTAACGAATTCAGCAGCCTTTGAAAATTCCCCTGTGATGCATAAAATATTTGTAATTAGTCATTATAGAGACGCAGTTTAGGAATGATTATGATTACGAGAAATTACCTAGAATTGCATAACAGCGTGCAATAATGTCAGCCAATTGACCGAAGCTGGAATGATACTTGTATAGGAAACCACTATATTGATCTTCGCAGGTGTCGAATATGTCCAGAGCTTGCTTAACATTTCCACGACCCAATAGAACTTCGGCTGAAATATAAATTATTATGAAAAATTACATTCTTGTAGTTCCAAATGGAACTGTTAATACTTGTTTTTGATTCTTGTTACCGTCTTGAACAAGTCGATCAGTGTACATGCAAGCAAGTACTTGATCATGTAGGTCCATCTCATGTCCACATGTTTGACACGAACTAACGAATTGTTGGTTGTCTCCATCCGGACTTGGAACGGGCCCTTCACATTCATCGCATTTAAAACTAGTGAATTTATCCTGTTGAGAAAAATTTAATTTAAACTTGACTATGGATGAATCAGTTACAAAAAGAAGTTAAAAATATATATATTAAGCTTACAACAAATGAAATATTTCTTGCAAATTCTTCAGTACAATGAAAACATTTGCATTTAAAAAAGTATTGATCGTCAAGAGATTCCAGTCTTAACTGGCATGACATTCTCCTCCAATGTGGTCCGTAGCAATTAAATATTTCCTGTCCTTTGGAGACGTCCTTTGTTACCTTGACCAGCAGTACTCTGCCATTGTTAAACTAAAAAGAGAAATCCAGGTCAATCTTTAGATACTAATTTACATCGGATAAGGCAATTTAGCGAGAGAATGTTAATTTACAGTAAACGAAATATTTGGCTCGCATGAATGGTTCATCATACTTGCTGATGGATATATAGCTGTAGCAATGCGTTGTTGAGACTCGTCCGCAGTGGATAAGGATATTTTGTTGACGTTGACGTCTGTATAATGCAGTATGGGAAGAATTAACCCAGATTTAGATTAAATGATTTGTGGAGCATTGCGTGGACATTAATTGAATCAATTCAATTCCATTAGATAAATCAGCTTACCACAAAGAATATCTGTAATTGCGTGAGCATTACATATCAACTGTGATATATGATGAAGCATGGAAGCACCCACTGTTACTTGTGTTTCCGAATAGTTTCCCTCTTGACATGCCTCATGCTCCTCGAAAAATGATGTCTTGTTCACAATCCAATTTGTGAGCAGTCCAGCAGTCTGAATTAGATAGAAATGGATAGTTCCGGAGTTTCTATTATTACGTGCCCACGATAACAGCAATCGCGGTGAAAAGGTGCAACTAACAATGCGATGGTGTAAAGTGTAACCCTCCGATTTGGCTGAAATTTTGAAATTAGGTGGTCCAAGTCAATACAACTAACGTTTCTTCAGCCAGTTTGTGCGATGGTTGGAGTTACTCAAAATATTTGAGGTCAAAGTTGAAAAACCGGCCGACTTTTTTCAGGCGGAGTGAGAAAACTCCACTTCGATTCTCTTCTCCTCGCATTGATTTTCAATCCGAAAAATAATTCATTTCATCAATGATAAATTTGATCTATGATAGAAAAACATTAAAAACATTGCACATGGGTCATGGTCTTGGTCTTTGTTTTCAAATGAATTGGAAATCAGACAGAATAACCAACGGTTTCGAAATGGAAAGCAAGTTAAGTTTTTCCAAGTTTAAATGAATTTATAAATTAATGTTTGTATGAATTTTTAATGCAAAGAAATAAAAATCTCACTTATTCAATTATGAATTAAATTAAGCGAGTATGAGGCAAGTTAATTCTTATTTAATAATGTTTTATTTTGGTTATTTTGCATCACTGCTTATGCTTGTGTATGAAATCGTATGTGTGAGAAACATGACTAAAAACAATGTGATTATAAATTCATTAACGGCAAATAAACATGGAAAAACTTAACTTACATTCCATTTCGAAACCGTTTGTTATTTTGATTTCCAATTCATTTGAAAACAAAGACCAAGACCCAGGTGCAATGAAAAATTAATGTTTTTCTATAATGAATTAAATTTAAAATTGATGAAATGAATTATTTTTCGGAGTGAAAATCAATGCGAGGAGAAGAGAATCGAAGTGGAGTTTTCTCACTCCACCTGAAAAAAGTCGGCCGTTTTTTCAACTTTGACCTCAAATATTTTGAGTAACTCCAACCATCGCACAAACTGGCTGAAGAAACGTTAGTTGTATTGACTTGGACCACCTAATTTCAAAATTTCAGCCAAATCGGAGGGTTACACTTCACACCATCGCATTGTAAGTCTTACCAGCGTGTATTGAAATACGTCTTCAGGGTTCATATCAACCAAGTGGTCCAGAAGTGAGTACACTCTTTCATAATTTGAATTTAAACCTATTTGAAATATCGAAATATTTTTGGGGTCTTTCAGATTGTCATGCTTGCGAACGGCAACAAGGATATTTTGCAATCCAGCGCAGAAAATAATGCGAACCGCAAGATGTGCTATTCCGACAGAGTGAAGGAGATCCAGTGACAGGCATTCGTATTTATGGTACACATTCCATGCATTCTTTGCACACGGTTCCGAACAGAATTTGCATTGGGTGCACTGTTTACATCTAAACGAAGGCAAAAACAACAAATATTAGCCAATATGTTTAGCTTTTATTTGAAAGTTTGGAGGATATTATAAACCGTATAAGAATAACTCACGGAATGAAATGGGAGTGTTCCAGCATTTTATGGCAATTATGACAATGTGATTCGTAAAACTGTGGCAGGAGCACCGAAGCAAAAGGTGTTTCATTAAACATAATGTCCTTCTTTTTCAAATCCGTTACAGCCACAACGAATCTTTTTGAATCTTCAGAATAACTAAGCTTAACCCCGGTCGATGCATTTTCAAAATTCTCATTGTTGTGAAATAGGGTCACATCAGGGAAGTCTATTTCTTTCTCACTATTTGGGTGACTTATATTTTTATGAATCTGGTCAGAAAGTCCATTTATTCTGTCAATGTTAAGTTTATATGTAGCAGGATCATCATCACTTTTTCGGATTTCTTCGATAATTGACTCAGCCCGACTCCATTGCTTACTCGTAACATAAATATTAGCTTTCCTCAGCAAGAGTTTACTTTTTAGTCGGTCAGGATATCCATATTTTAACGCGAGGTCGACATCAGCAAGAGATTTTTCATGAAAAGATTCACCGAGCTCAAAGTAAACAGCGCTGCGATTAGCGAGTGATAATGCAAGGAGAGTGTCCAACTCCTCTTCAGCGTCATTATTCTTCCCATCATTTTGGGTAGAAGAAGTGGGAGGAGGTCGATAAAATGGGGCAAATCGTACAGCTTCATTATAGGCTTCAAGACTTTTATGCAATTTCTTATTTTTGAACAATTCATTTCCTAGTTCTCGTTGATGTTTGGATTTGATTGGATTTTTAAGATATTGGTTAGTGTTAGTGGAATGGGTAGGTGGTGATGGAAGAGGACTGTTTGATTCATCTGTGTCAATAAATTGGTTGTTAACATTTGTCTTCTTCTCCTTCTTCTTCTTGGACATTAGTTCAGGTTGAGTTTTGTTATCGGCTCCGATCCACTCATTTAACTTGGATCTGTAAAACAATTATCATCAAAGAGTAACCTTCACGATTTTCGTCTGTGGGTAAATTCTTTACAACAAGGCGTTTTCGTGGCTCAATTTAATTTATATATTTGTTATTCATAATTTGTTATTCTATTTCTCTCAGATACATTCAACTACATGTCGCGTAAAATTTGTTGCTATTAAATCATTCATTATAAAGTGCGTAAATCAAGTCAGACAGGATGAACGTAATGGACAAGAATTTCAAGAACGGGATGACGTTGGATAGTCGAACATTTGAAAAGTGTAGCAATGCAATGCTAATGCATTTTTCGTCCACTCTGCAAACAAAAGATGAGCTGATTCATACCCCACTTGGACAGTTCGAAATACGTTCTAAACCTGGTCAAAATCAGGTAATGTATGTAAACAAAACGATTAATTCAAAAGTCAAGAGTTTGCTCAAATTAAAGTTGTCCCCTTTCAGGCGAATAATCAGGAGACAGGACAGCGTAGAATTCCATCAGCACCACTGATTACAGTGAAAGGTCCCACACCAACGCCACCACCAAGAAAAAAGAAAACGTCTGCAGCCCAAAATAAGACCAAGGTTATAAAGGAAAGAGAGGAAAATCTCGACGGGAAAGATTCTGAGAACGCAAAGGCTTTGGCATCTTCTGAAGATGGCAATAAGCAACGCCACGCAAGTTCATTTAGTGGTCAAAGTAAACGACGACGCCGTGGTGATGGTGTTTTCAGCCGTCCGGTCCAATTTATAATGGACTGGATGACAAACATTGCAAATGAAATGGAGCTTAGTTCTTGTCCTCCAGTTTGAATAAGATCAATGCTCTTCAGTATTTTCCTTGGAACTCAATAATTCACCTAATGTGTCAATTAATCTAGAATATTTTTTTTTGCTATTTGTCGTGCTACATTACATGACTTTTAATTTATCGCAGTTTCAAGAATAATGTTCCTATTCCATAGTACAAACTCCCAAGATCTTGATCATTCCTATTTAATTGCTACTGCAAATGTAATTAATTAACTACGGAAATAGATTGTGTGAATAAATACATGAAGAATGGTAGCACGATTAACTGACATCGTTTCTATGGGGTGGTGCCCCATACGGTTGCGACAAATGGATTATTTTTTAGAAAATTTTCATTTTTTAAATCGTTGGGGCAAAAGTCCTTTGGTTTGCCCCAACGACTTTAACCTTGAATAACTTTTGAATAGGCAGACAAAGAGACTTAATTCCTGAGGATGAAATCATCCTAATTTTAGCTTGATTTTTTAAGCTAAAAATCTCGAGTGTACTATTTCGAAAATTAAAATGTTTATTTTGAAGAATATCTCCAAAATATACGTTTTTCAGGAATTTCGAAGCCAATTCTTATCTCACAAAATTTTATAATATACCAAACTGATCGTATTATCTAGACCGATCGATTGACACCCCACTGGAGGGTGTAAGATCACTTGGTCCGGATTTGACCTAGGGGGTCATCTCAATCCTCCAACTTAGCAACGGTCCACTCACACCATTTTGTCAGTACATAATAATTAAAATTTAATTTCTTCAAAAATGAAAATTTGTGTTGGAAACAATTCATTTGTCGCAACATGTATAGAATGATAAAGTGTCAAATAATATTGGAATGGTAGTGTTATACATCAAAAATGATGGTTATTTCATGTCGAATGTGTGTAAAGAGTTTTGCATGGTCTCATGCATTTTCGTTGATGATGATGAGAATGAGAAGACTTGGTATTTTATTTTGCGCTATTTCAACTGATTTCCAGTGTCGTGTTTCGAGAGAAAGTTCGCCGGATGATACATCTAATATATCGTATCGCATATCTCCTTCATTCAGTAAGTTAACTACGCACTAATTGGGGTTTACCTGATGAGCGGATGATTAAGCATAAATCCTAATCGCTCCGTGTTTTGGATATCGGTGCGATAAGAAGGGAAACGGGCGCAAAATTCTGCACAAACTTTGTCCTTTTGAGGTTTTTGCATTTTTGTTTTATCAACAATATAGATGACTAATCGTTCGACTTCAAATTCAAACACATGAACTGGACCGGTGAGTGTGTTGTGTCATATGTAACAAAACTAGACTATGTAACTTGTCCCATATACACAGGCCGGTGTTCTGAACTATAGGACAATAATATTCAGTTTAAAACAGAACAGAACAATTTTGTGTAATCAAGTTTACAAGAACGTACTTTTATTATTTCACCTATCTACAACAAGCACTAACACACAATTCTACTTTCTCCTTGGCTCACCAAATTAATAAAGGTGAAAGTTTTTGCGTAATAATTGCAAATTGTAGATGAAGAAAGTGAGAAACTTTTACGAAGCAATCAGCAATGTTTAGGAATCATTGCATTGGAGTGAATAGTACGCGCTTACAAGACTCTAAACTGACGTGGGGTTATGCTGTACGCTTTGATCAATATCATCGGCATCGTCTTTCTCTGCTTTCTCCATGCAAACTCTTATTGTTTAGACATCAAGTAAAAATGATTTCAGTAGTCTGACGGTAAACTTAACTTGATCGTCTTTTTATTCAAATACATATAATGGAGAAAGAGAGTTATACTCCGTCAGTAAAATTAAAATCAGACTTATACATAAATTTAAAAAAGTTGAGATCTGCTGTTTAATCTATTGAGTATTACTCTATGAGTAATATTCTCAATTATTATATATAGCAATGTATCATAGCTCGTCATGAAATCCATCAGTATCAGAATGGTTGAGCCCATTTTTGGCTTTAATTGTTGGAGGGAACCCAAAGAAATCCGTGGGAAAACCATTTACGTCTCGAGCCCTCTTGACAAATGAGGAGTAGCTCGAGATACAGTTGCCAATGAAGATGTTGGATTTTCCTAGAATGGCAAGGTCAACATGCGGAGACTCGTAGTCCAGCTTGGTAACTGTCACCCCCAATTTCTTTAGAGCTGATGCCAACTCGGGGAGCAAGTGATTTCGATCAGAAGCTACGAAAACCGAGGTGGCCTTTATTTTTTTGACGGCTCGTTTAACTTGCTTAATTATGGTGGGCGTGGATGGGTAACACATTTCATGGTTAAGTTTTCCAAATTCGTTTCGGTATCCGAGACATTGCGGAGATGAAAACAATTGGGTAGATTCGCCGACTAGTTCACACTGGAACAAATCATTTGCATTTTTCAATTTATGTTATTGGAAAGTTTGAGATATTCAAAAACAGAAAAGGTTGGGGTGTGTGTTACAATCCCCCGGTCATCACAAGTGGGAATTCACTATTTGAGGTTTTTTGTACATGAAGGAAAATTGAATAAAATTATGAGGACGGTACATACCACGCGTGACCAGTCGGCACCATTTCTCAAATGTATTCCAACAAACGGACCCATTGGCAGAGTTGAGATGAATTTATTCGCCTTTTCTTGAATCCCGTCCTGCCATTCTAAATACTTTTGCAAGTGTCGATTGTCAGCGTCAACGGGAAAGCCACTCGGGGGTCCAACAAATGCTAGAACTGGAAGAAAGTCATTGTAGGCATTCTTCATAACTTGAACAGAAATTAAGATTAATTAAGAAAATTAACCTGGCCACTCTTTCCCGTTATATCTTTTCTCCCAATTGTTTTTCCCATCCGAATCAAATTTCACAGAGTATTGAAGATTGGGTCCAAAAATTTCAGATGCAATAAAATCAACCTAAATTTATTGTTATAAAACGTCACTGACAGCATTCTAAATAGCTTTAATGATGATTTGAAAATAAATTATTTATTTTATTATAAATAAGTAACTACCTTAAAATTAGCCCAAAATGGACCAAATGGATTCCCTGATTAAATATACATCAATTTTAATTAATAATCAATTTCTAAATGACTAATCATAATCAATTAGAGGCTAATTTACATACCTTTAGTTGCATCACAACTCTTTTCACCTGACCCCCTTTCCATGTAACAAAATGCTAAATAATCAATAAAAAATATCACAGTATGGTAGGTAAAAGGACTTTGTAACCAGTGAATAATAAGTAAATAATAATACCAATCCGTTTGCTGGGTGGCCAAATGCTAGAAGCCAATTTCTCCATAAATTTCTCCATTGTAATTACGCGATGATATGTTTGCAAATTTTCTACCTTGAAATATGTATCAAATGGCACTTGGATCTGGATAAAATTTCAAATAAAACAATGTCATTAAAATAAAATGTTAAAATAAATAAAAGCTGCAATGCAGTTGATGTATATTTCTTAACCGTGCCTGGGAGAGTGAATTTCTTAAAAATGATGTTTAGGGCTTATTTTTGGACAGAATGGAAAACGGATCGGTAATTCTGTGAGGAATGGGTTTCTCCACAGAATTACCGATCCGTTTTCCATTCTATCCAAAAATGAGCCCTAAACATCGTTTTTAAGAAATTATTTTTGTGCCTGCTTCCCAGGCAGCCTTAATGGATGAATATGTGATCTCACCGATCCAACTTCATAAAGAATGTATTCCACCCACGGAGGAAGAATTAGAGTACGATTCACATTTTTTGCAAATGCTAATGCACCCAAAAACTGATCGGCTTGATTTCCAAATCTTCCTGCATTTCAATTAGCAAAGAAATGTCAAACTCAAAACCAGTCATTAAATAAATTATCAGATTTATGGCCAATTTCATTTCACTTACCCATGCAGGGACAGAATGCAATGTACCCTAAAGCGTCTACATCCGAAGCATTGCTCGACTTTGCTTCCTTAACCTCTCCCCCCGAATAGTTATCGTCGTTAAGTTGCGACAAACATTCCAATTTTATCCAACCGTTGAACAGTAGCACGGAGAGAAATAAGAGCTTTCCCATTCTTGGAATTATTATCGGTTATCGTTAATTCATATGTATGCACAAACTCTGGCTTGCTAAATTATCATTTCGTTAAAGAAAAAAATGAGTAAGTTGATACGAATCAAAGACAAAGAGAGTTCAACTCCAGTTTTATCGGTTCGTGTTTTCGTTGGTGAATTTATATCAATAGTTGTGAAGCCATACCCGCTGAAAAAGGGGAAATGAATGGCATTTGTGTTTAGGGGAGCCAGAGATGAGCTGCATTGTTATTCCCTGTAAAAGCAGTAATAAACCATGTTGAATGCATGCCAAACAACCCTTTGTTCCCTTCCTTCGTTAAAACCCGTCTCAATTTTCTTAGGAAAGTTTGTTTTCGTTAAGTTTCTTGTAACCTCATTTCTGTTTGTTATCATTAAAATAAATGTGTATGACTTTCATATTGATGTCTTTTTACTAAGGAGGGGAGCTTGCGAGGTTGATAATAACAGATATTGGTGCCCTTTGGATATGTGGTAGGGACCCATGAGTGTACTAAAACCCTGAAGTAGTTTGACTCCATGGCCACATTTGCGCCCGCCACACCCACTCAAAAATGTCCAAAAAACGCTTTCACCCCAGTTTTCACTCACTCAAATCCACGCCACAAATCCAATTTTACTCGGATTTTGAAATTTCTTTCACCATTATACTCCCAGATAGTTGCTTTCTTCAATCCAATATCAAACTCAATTTTTTCGAAATTTTTAGTATTTTTAAAATTTAAAATTCTGAATGAGCATTGTTGTAGTCATCAACAAAACAAATTATGTTTGCGAAATAATCATCAATAAAATTGAGTTTGATATTGGATTGAAGAAAGCAACTATCTGGGAGTATAATGGTGAAAGAAATTTCAAAATCCGAGTAAAATTGGATTTTTGACGTGGATTTGAGTGAGTGAAAACTCGAGTGAAAGCGTTTTTTGGGCATTTTTGAGTGGGTGTGGCGGGCGCAAATGTGGCCATGGAGTCAAACTACTTCAGGGTTTTAGTACACTCATGGGTCCCTACCACATATCCAAAGGGCACCAAGATCTGTTATTATCAACCTCGCAAGCTCCCCTCCTAAGTAAGAAGGAACATTTTATGCTGTAAATATTTATGTAGGTTGACTTGTACGTATACATATGTATGCAGAACGAAATAATGGTTTCCGAGAATGTCAAACCATGAAATTACGAATGAATTTGTACAATTAGGCAAAATTTTAATTGATGAATGAATGGTCGTGCCACAAATGTTACCATTTCCATATTGAATTAATAAAGATAAATGTTTAAACCTGTGTGCATGGATTTGTATGAGTAGTATCTTAAATCTTGTGTACATATGCATGTATGCATATTGATGTTGTAACTTATGACTTTTGACTTTATGCACATGAGTCCGAGTATTATGGATGTTAAGACTACGAGATCTGTTAATTCATATCACATAAATCATGATATACGCAGCAATTCATTGGGTGTGTACATAACGTGACAACGTGCCACCTGACAGGTGCGTTTATTAGCAGGCTATTGACTTTAAGGCTATAATTTGACATTTGTGCATCTCTCGTCCCAGTGATATCCTCCAATCTATTTCTACCAATTCCAGTTTTATATAAGTCTTAATTGGCTGCATCTATTTACTTGAGAAAGTTATGTAAGGCATTTTCACCGATCATGAGCAAATAAGAGCACCCACACGCATAAGATGCATTGTCACATCGTATGATGATCACTATTGGGCAAAAGCATAATGTACACATGACAAAAATGATATACAAGTCACATGAGTTCATATCGTCATTACAAACGTATGTATGACAAATCTCAGCGAACATCATTCTTCACTCTCTCGAACAAAACAGCAAGAATCATTTCTCCAGTTGGGTAAGTCGTTTATGACGTGTGTGTAATATGCAAATATAGACAAGAGTGGGTTTCTCTTTTCTTTGACGTTTATCATGTGATGAACAGAATTTGTCAGAAATAAACATTTGATTATCTCGAATTCAAAGTCCTCGGTTTCGGTCTCAATATATTGAAATTGGCATGATGAAGTACCCAGTTGTATGTTAATGAGTATTTGCCTTGCCATACAATTACATCACAAACTGTTCCAGTTTTGACATATTTTGGATAAATTAAATTATCATGAAGAAAAGATGGTTTTCTTCGAATTGTATGTCCATCCATACATATCTTACGTATGTACATTCGTTGTTAATCATTAAATGATAATACATAAGTAACAGTTTCTGAGATCCTTTAAAAACATTTATATGTGTTTCAGATTGTGTATGGCATGCCATACCTAAAGACTTTAGGCTAAAGTGCCTTTTTGCCTATTCGGTGGCCCATTGTACGAAAAGTCTTTTTGTCATTTTGCTAAAATCGGGGCAATTTGATTACACGGTCAGGGCGCATAAACTTTTTGTTGTCCGTGGTTTCTCTTAAGGGGGTGATGCAGGGATGAGCATTTTTTCTAAAAAATTTTAAAATTAAAAGTTCGGGAATTGCATGCAATTTTCCCATGAATGTGGTTGTCAACCAAATTTTACAAAGGATAATATTCTGCACCACGGGCTTCACCCGACCCATATGGCCCCCACTGGTCATCCATTTGACGGATCTTATCAATCGCGGAACTTTATTCCTCATCTTCAGAGATGAAGACCAAGATAAGATTTACTTATTTCATTTCTAATATGTGGTTGACAACCAAATTCATGGGAAAATTGCATGCAATTCCCGAACTTTTAATTTTTTAATTTTTTAGAAAAAATGCTCATCCCTGCATCACCCCCTTAAGAGAAACCACGGACAACAAAAAGTTTATGCGCCCTGTTACACGGTTATTATTTGCAAGTTGTAGTCTTTCACAATTCATATGGTTTTTTGAAATGTGTACAAATAAATTGCTTTTACTTCGGCGAGCTGAATGATTATCGGACAAGTTATACACATCTTGAGGTGTATATATAAATATTAATAATTAGTACAAGTACGTAAGTAAATAATCTTGTGGAGCATTTGCGAATAATTGTAAAGGTTCATAACGTATAGAAATTCTGAAAAGTCTAAAAGGAAAAGGAATACTGCGATCATTGTTTCTTATGGTAAAATTATCTGAGCAATAAAACATTTAAAAGCCACGGAAAGAGGTAAATAGACATGCATTTATTTCCCATAAAGACGCAAGATTACAAAAATAATTCCAAGCATTATTAATTAAAAGAGAAAATTTCGGTATTCTCAACATATGTATAAATCAAGCTCAAACATCTGTATCAGTTATTAATGCATAAAAAATGTACAAGGGCTTCTCCATATTCTTACTTTGTGATGACTATTTTAAACATTCGAAATAAAGTGTAATTGTCAATATTATGTTCTTATGTATGTGGACAAAAAATGTGTATATTGTGTTACACAAGTAACAAATATCCTAAATCATTAGAGCTCAATTTAGAATTCTGATAGCATGCTGGACTAAATTCTAGACTGCATATTGCGAGGGCAGAAAATATGCACCTTTGTGTATGTATGTAAAGAGTAATGCCCTTTTTCGAAATGTATCGTTGAATAAAATCAGATGATGCAGTTCAGGTTTTTATTCATTTTGGCTGGATATAGATCAGTCTGATATTTCAGAAAGCATTCTACTTAATACGATACCTTATAAGGTGGTTTGCAGAATTGTATTTTTAAACATTAACAGTACACCTGATTACATGTATGACTCATGCCACGTTTAAAACGCTTAGTCAACGTCACGCCACGATAGACAGAATCGGATCTCGAATAAAAAACGGTCTACAAAGTCCGAAAGTCCTCCTTAGATGAATCACTGATTTCTCACTTCTCCTGTCGTGCGTAAAACACAAGACGTTTAATGTATGTTTATTTAGGGTGATGCTGTACATAAATTAAAAACCCAGACATCGGAAACGACGTACAGAAAACATTGACATTTTCACCTGCAATGAATTCTGTGAATTGAACCATCGCTTGAGCCATCCATTCATCGAATACTCTAGATTATAGTTGCACACGAATTTCATGTATGGTTAAATGTGTGTGTGTGTACATATTCCTTGCAGCAACTACCATCGACGACACACAGAGGTTATCTGTTGACTTAATGACTCTCATTTTGCACAGGTGGACGTCACAAGACTACGACAATGATGATGTAGGTTGGGTTACTTTCATTGCCACAGATTTACCCTTCAATAATTTCAGGTGAAATCTATGCATGAATTTTTACTTTCAAGTTTACATACAAGAGCGTGCAATATCCGTCTCTTATGCAAATGTGCAGATTAGATCATGGGATTGATTGGGTGGAAAATGTGCGTTTAAATTGCCTCCTATGACGTCAATTAGTTTTACCATGAACAATAAAACAAATTATCCATTACCCCACACCTTCGTACAAAATAATTGTTATAAAGTAGACTATTGCTTCGCCACACTCTGAGTCTTACGGTTGGAGTTTGCCACCATGAGATGTGAAATCGTGAATTATGTAACTGGAATGCGAGAACGTGTACAAAGAATGAGGGTGATTAGATGATTCATCTTGAATGACATGACTGATCCGTGTGTAGCGAGTAGATCTGTGAAATACCCAGTTGTAATCTCCTCAATTGTTTATTTGATTGATAAACGCTGATTTATTTACTATCCATGAACTCATAAAGTTTACATTTTGTTATCCAGCAAGGTTGCTAAATACTCAAGTCACCAAATTAGGTATGGTATAAAAATACTTTAAAAACGTTGATTAATCAATACGCCTATAGTATTGCGATAAAATATTTTACACAGATTTTACAAATGATACCAGTTTGTTTTGATAAGTGTGTATAGTTCCCTAGATGACCCAAAATTACAGTTCTTTGTGATAAGCACGAGCTTAAAATTGAAGTTTGGCTTATCTTGTGACTGCGATGATAATCTAACTGCGTAAAATAAATAAATAAATCAATAAATAACTTTGGAATGATTAATATTTAAACTAATTCATTCAGTTGTCTATATTCTGAGAAGAGTAAAAGGACTTCCCAAGATGCGTGAAACTGTGTATGCAAAAATTCTGGGGATTTTTGAGCTTTTTATTCATGTGTCAAGGATGAAGGATCTATTACTGCGACAATTAGGGAAATTTGAGATAATGGACTTTAGTCACTGATCATTTGAGCGAGCATGTGTACGTACGTACGTAATGTATGGTCGTTACCATTTCGCCTTCCACAAAAAATCAAAAGATAAGTTTGACATGCAACCATTTGCCATCTGTGGTTGATAAAATGTCAATTTCAACCAACAATCTCAATCACTTAAAAAGTTGGATGGTCGTCATTCCTGTCATTTCTAGCATTGCTAATTACTAGTTATGTGTTCCAGATACAAAAATTAACTTCCTGATGTAACATAGCACGCTAAATAAAGCCGCTTTGTTTCGTCCATGCATATGATCGACCCACCATTAAATATAGAAAAACAATATATAGAACATAATTCTAGAAATAAATTCAACGCAGTCTTACTCATCGGTCATGACATGCAAATCAGCACAAGCACAGTGATGAAAGAGGGTTTTATGTTGCATCGTACTCAGTCACAGGATAGTTTGATCTCGTCTCACCCACAAGCCATAAGGTTTGAGGAAATTCGCAATGCAAAAAAAGTTGGCAGATCCCGTAACACACGGACAAAACAAAGCACTTTTTGGCCCACAACAAGAACTGACAAGACTCGGCAGATCTCTACACGAGTTTTCACTTTTGGCAGTTAGTTAATCCTGATTAAGCTATCCCAATCCCCAATTCGCGAATTACTCATACGTTTTTCACACACACACAACCCTGTCCTAACAAGTATTATTATGAATGAGGATGAACCGTTTAGCATCAACACAACGTTATTCATTACCAAGCAGAAGTGGACCACCACCAACCACAACTCCACAACTCTCCTCCACACCATCACCGTCCCGCATACATAATAATGGAATTCGCGAACATGATGCAACACCAGAAACAGCAAAAACCTGGCACCACACTTTTTACTCGCCCAAGAGAATGAATGAGAGAGTACATTCCACTTTTGTATTCGTTGTGTCCATCTTCACGCCAACGAACGGCAAAAATGCATGAAGCAAACGTTTTGGGACCAGTTTATTAAAGAAGCAATTATGGGATATCCCTCTGATCGCAATGTAAAGGTTATGCCTACGTTGACTAACAAAATGCAAACCATACATGGATCTGAGGAGGGGAGCTTCACCACCTGCCCTTCACAGATCTCGATGCCCTTTGGATATGTGGTAGGGTCCCATGAGTGTACTAAAACCCTGAAGTGGTTTGACTCCATGGCCACATTTGCGCCCGCCACACCCACTCAAAGGCGCCAAAAACACGAAAAAAACCCTGTTTTCATGTGCTTTAAATGTCACCAAAAATCCAATTTTGCTCGGCTTTGATAAAATTTACATTTTTGTGATCCCAGATACTTGTGTGATCATATCCAGTAGATATCTCAACTTTTTTGAAATTTTGAATTTTTTCGAGTAATTGATCAGCTCGAAAATTTCGAAAATTTCGAAAAAGTTGAGATTGCTACTGGATTTTATCACACAAGTATCTGGAATCACAAAAACGTAAATTTTATCAAAATCCGAGCAAAATTGAATTTTTGGTAGATTTTTGAAGTTGGTAACTTTTGTGGTTTTCATACCTTTGAGTGGGTGTGGGGGGCGCAAATGTGGCCATGGAGTCAAACCACTTCAGAGTTTTAGTACACTCATAGGACCCTACCACATATCCAAAGGCCATCGAGATCTGTGAAGGGCAGGTGGTGAAGCTCTCCTCCTGAGTTAAATAAAGGTGGACCATAGCGTATTGCAGATTGACACTGCCTACGTACATATGAACATCATTGCACGATCACTTATCTGAATCATTGCGTTGCGCTGGTTGGAAAGTGAATATATAACACTCACGAGCTCGTCCTAGTCTCACTCTCAACCCAACTCGAAACCTAAGACAAGCTCAACCATACATACATATTCAGAGAAAATCTCAACTTGTACCTTCAGACCTAGAAATTTATTATTTCCACTCCAATAGCCTTGACTTGCATTTGAATTGTCAGAGATAAAACCGAAAGTGAGCCGGTAGAAAAGAACAAGTAACGCGGAAAAGTATCAAAATTGTTGTCGAATTGCTTAAGAGATATATAAACGTTTGGATTTCAGGAGAAATTTCTGCAAAAGTTGACAGTGACAGTGAAATATTCTAAAACTGAAATATATTTGACATTAAGCTTTCGTCAAGAACCGATTACGTTTGTGACGCACACAAGGATTTTGCAGTCTTAGAAATTTAAAGAAACGTCTTATCTCAGTTGCCTCAAGTTAAACCTGGGCTTAAGGTCGATCAATACCTACATTTGAAACAAAGAAGGAAATTGAATAGCCAAGTGGAACCACACAAAATTTAGTTAAATCAAAGTATTTCAAAGCGTGAGACGTTTGTGCAAGATTGTACATTGGAACATTATTCAACCCCAACACACACCTGTAAGCTCGTGAAACACTTTAGACAAGATGCATAAACTAGGAACAACGCTCTGTGTCATCCTCGTCGTCTTAATTGCAACCTTCAGCACCTCTGTATCTGGAAGGCCAACGGACAAGCTGTAAGTACCATAGTGCTTTATTAATATTTAATATTAATTCTCACGTAGCACTTAAGTAGATGCAGCTGAGATTGGGGAAATTGAGAATGAGATACGTTTAAATAAACGTTCACCATTTAGTAACGTTTTGTCGTTTCATAATTTTTCAGAATTAGACACAAAAGGCAAAGTGACCAACGTCTGGCGGAACTCGAAACCTTATTGGCGCTGCAGAAATATCGTCATCATCGACTTCGACCAGAGCACAAAGGTTCTCAGCCTGGTTATGGTGTCATCGATTTTAATACAATGTAAGTATAAAAAAGGGTTTTAAATCATACGAGACATATTTATTTCATGGGTATTATGACGTTGATAGTTTGTGATACAATTGTCTGACGTATGTGTCTGGTTTTAAATTGCAGAGGGCGAAGGAAGAAGTCAACACGTTTCTCTCCCGGGGAAAGGAGCTTAGATCACGACATCCGAGAAGACTCTATCAATCAGGCAGCCAAAAATCTGAGCGACGACCTAGAGTCCCCAGTTGCCGATGTTGCTGATCCTACTCTTAATGAGAAAATAGATAACCTATTGGGCATCAAGTCCTTACTGGATCAGCAAAGCCAGGAGAAAGTGAACATCGAGGAGGCCCCGCAAAGGCTGGATGATTTTGCTGAGAAAAAATAAGAAACTGAACTTTTGACCTTTGGGCCAAGAGAAAATACTTGGAAATTTTTGTTGGCATTATTTGGTAAGTTAATTTTTGCATCTTAACATATTTATTATTGACACATCCAGATAAGTAGCTGGGCATCCTTAGCATCAACTTTTTAAAGTGAAACTCTACCAAAGGGTTTGCATGAGTTTGGTAGGATTTGTTGAAGTTGGGTTTAAAAATTTTTGACATATGGAATCATCATATCTTTTGATCTTCCATTAACTCGTCTAGACTCGTTTTGGGCCTAATTGGTCGTGTGCATTCGCTAGTAATCCACAATCGCACCCACTACGGAGTCGTAAATATAGACTTGTGTTGAATTCTCATTTTCTGTATCAACTGCGTACACGTCACTCAATTGGTTAACACCAACACTGATTTGCAATTATCTGGAGACGGTTCCATCAACCGCATTGCTCATTCTTTAATTAACCAAACAGTGTCGGGAAATGTCACGGGCTTTATCTTTTGCATCAAACACACACACAACTTGGGCTCCCACACACCAATGGTTTCGGACGCACAAACATATTTACTATGCACATACATATTTATGTGCATATCATATATTAAGTGGGCGGGCATCAGGACATGACGTCCGTCGACAACTCCTCGTGGTTTGTACTATAAGTTCAAGTCTAGAATAAAACTGAAATTTCAGCATCAAATAATTAATGGTGTCATTTGCAATTAGCAACATCAAGGGCTGCTCCAAATTGCTTAATCAAGTTTAATTGTCCACGAATTCCTTGAGCTGACGAAAATAGGAGCCAATTTTCGTCCAATATTGGATGTACTTTTAAATGAAAACAAGATTATTTTTTTGTACAGTTCCCTTTTTCCTATTACAATTTCTTCTGAGAACGCTTCAAATCAGAGCAAATCTCATTTGTCGGATCGTTGAGTTGCAAGATGTGAAAGCAAGCTTTCACTTTTTTGAACTGGAAATGGGGTTTGAATTGAAATGGGTTGCTTGCTTCGTCATATAAGATGCAGATTAAGTACGTTCGAGTCACTTTTTTTACTTTTGAAAAAAACTTCAAGGATTACGAGCACAAGATTTATGATATTTTCACTCCGCATGAACCCACAATGTATGTATGTAGAATCTAAAAAAAGTTTCCCCGAATTGACTCGACATCATCCCTTAATCGGCATTCCATATTGGTTTCTCATGTGCTTTATCTAGTTCAGTGTGCGTGGGTTGAAATAGGAAAACTGCAAGGAAACTTGTATAATCTTCATAATCTTCGTTACACGCCGCGATCAAATTGTCCGTCGCTCTTGAATTTCATGGAAGACACGTGAAGGATATAAGGGTCGAGTTATTTCAGTATATTTCTTTAGTTTTGCTTATTCATAATGCGTCATCATCTAAACACGCTGTGTGAAAAGTAAATTAAAGGAAAGCCACACAAATTAGAAGAGGGAAACCACATGAAGGCAAGCAAGTTGCTAAGAAGAGAGTAACCTAAATTACAAAGACTAATATGCTACAACTCAATTTATTAAGCCACTCTACTTGAAGATAACAATGTGGTCTTTTCATGCATATTACCCGTTTGCAAACAATTAGGAATATTCATTTATACAAAAATATAGAATGCCGCTATAAAAAAATCAAAAATTTTCTAGTTGAAAATATGCTTATTTGTTTTTTATTTGTTTCTTTACAGACTTGAAGTCTTCGGTTTATTTTACGTCGCTCCTTCTGGCCGTGTATCTTGCTTCCCTCCTGGCTGCTTGATTCCTGTATGACGCAGAAAATATGTTCGCCCACCATTTCTCCTCTTTTGATGAGGTCGGGCCGTTTATTGCAAAAGGGAACGCCGGAGTTTCTTAATAAATAGAACTTTATGCAAGATATATCAACAATGTAACAAAACCTCAAATTGGAATGTTCCACCCACCCGTGAGCTATATCTATAAAGCCGCGTTGAGCACAACAACGTCTTATGTACCAACAATTTGAGGAATTTACAACAACTCCACCGTTCATTTATTTGCCACTTCACTCAGTTTTAGCTATTCTATTGAGAATTCAAACCGTTGAACCACTGGGGATACTTGTAGAACCAGAAAATTATCGTTTCGCTTAAACTTTGTACACTTTAGCATTCCTGTTTCGGTTTAAATTGAATGTTCAAGGAAGTAAATTGAGCATGAGGATAAGAAGAAAAGCAAGCTTTCTTTGTAATTCAATATGTAGGAGAAAGTGATCCTTTCACGTTTAGGCAACACACTTTAGATCAGAAAATGTAGCTGTACGTTGACTTATTTATGAAGGAGATTGCTACCTGAGGGTCACAGTGAATGTAACACATACCTCCAACCAACAAACTATAACTTTAAGAATAGTAAACCTTTGATCGTTTAAGAAAGAATATGTTGAGATACTCGAAGAAAAATCCATGTTTGTCGATACCTAGATAGACCAGGGAGAGAGAATGTTTGTGATTTAATGCAATACGTATATAGTGGGTGTATTGTAGGTGGTTAGCAATCAATAGTAATATATCAGCATAAATTGCATGTGGAGGAACTAGTATTATCACAAAAATCGAATTATTTATTATAGAATGAACAAAGAATTGCGACAAAGTTGAAAAAAACTACAGATATTTGTGGTTTAATAAGTTACTAATTAGTTTCAAGTTTCATGAAGTACATTGTTATGTAGTTAGAGTCAAATGTTATGATAAAATACATATGTATAACCCACTGTCTTGTAAATAATGATCTCATTAGAAAATAGTCAATACTGATATCAAATAAAGTAGCAAAACATTTAGAGCACTACTAAACGATTTATTATTTGAAAATCTCAATTTGATTTGATTTCAACATTTTATGTTTTATACCCAATATGTTTACTTGATGTACAACATTATTAACTTATACATACATTTAATCCTAAGTAGTGTATTAGACCTTCAAATTATTTTATTCGAAATATACGTGTAGGATGGTACATAATTTGGATACCGTCTTTATGTAATTGTTGATCATACATTTTAAAATAAAAATAACACGAAAAAAAAATTTATTGTATATTTTCCAACAGAATTTCGTACTGACTCTTCAAATTCAATCAAAATAATTCAATTATAGCATTATCTAAAGATTGCAATCAAATCAGCAGAGTTTCTTCAATAATGAAGCACTTCCTGTGCATTTATTCAACGAACTTGACTTACTAAATAGAACAGTTTCATCCAGCATATCTACTCGGGCATTGCATTCTTCATTTACATATACATGCTATCTTGTAGACTACTTCAGAATGCCTTTCAAGTGATGAAGTGAATCAAGAAACTAGATATCGTATTGACTATCATAGACACAGCATTTTGCCTAAATCTTTTTGGTTGTTCAAGACTACATGCAAATTTCACTTACATAGAATGTGAATTAACGGATGAAAGCGATTCTCAATAGCACAATGGTGTTTGAAATCAGATACTATTTATAAATGTCTGGATTTTGATAAGTCAAAGTCTTGCCTTAATTTATAATTAAACTTTCCGGGGACTACAAATTGCAGATTCTAATTGTCTAATTAATGAGAGGTACGTACTAAAATAACCTGGAATATTTATGACGTCCAAATCTTTCAATTTTAGTTCAAACTTTCGTACTAAAACTAATTGGTTCTCTTTACAAAATTTTTCCATTAAATATTTAAAGGAATGTTCTGTCTTCTCTCCTTGCATATTGTGTATTCCCAATTCAATTGAAACCTAATGGATCTGATGGCTTAAAAAAGATGATCATTATTGTAGCAATTTCTTGCTAAAGTACAAATCTATCTACCCATTCCAAAACTAATACACTCTAAATTTTAGGGAAAAAATACAGGGAAAATTAACAAGGAATATCATATATGTATGTACATATATACTGCGTAATGCTATGCATGGGCTTAATTAGAGACGCATTGCACTTACTTAATTGCCATTACCACATAAACAACCAAGTAGTTTCATTATAAAACTAATAATAGGGTTCGTATTTGCAGTACCTTTAAAATCATTTATGGTAAAAAATATGATGACAGAAAATTACAGGTATGTGCGTATGTCTGACATTGATGACGAGCCGCTTGGCGGCGCTTACATATACTGCATTAAGAATTTTGTGAAACTTAATCATGCAGATTAAAGAAATGATTAGCTTTCATTACCAATTAGCAATGCATTGCATCTTTCATCCCTTATTTCACATTGACGACATTATAAATTAGTCAAGGCACGAGCCGGATGATTCCATTGTGAACTTCAAGATCATTCACTAATTGATAGACCAACAGGGAGGAGACCCTGCATCCGTGTGAGCAAATTCTTGAATCATAAACTAGGGTTTAGAGATTGGATTGAGATTTTCATCCTAATTTATTGTCTTAACTTCCTTTTGAACATTTTTCAATCAACGATTAAAACAGTTTTCTGCTCAGCTTGTGATCTCATTGAAAAGTCATTACCAGCATCATCAGCCAGTCATCATCGGCATCACTATCGAAGGTAAAACAGATATTGAAAATTCTATTATTCGACAATCAACAAAGTGATACCTCTGTCAATCCACATTGAAAATAAAACTACTTACTTTCCGCTGCATAACTTCTAATGATAATTGTCTGCATTAAAAGTTCTCAATGAAAAGATTACATTAATTCTCAAGGTCTTGAAATTTGTGGGAGGTGATATCAATCCTTGCGAATGGAGAGCTATCGTGGACGTTCACAGTAAATACAGCTATTGATCCAATGACGGCTATTACTAAATAGGTTTGCAGCCAAATAATTTTGCAAACGATACAATAAATTCATAAAACATCTCAGAGGTTGAATAACATAAAATTTAGATATGTAGCTACAACGCATTCATAATTAATCGTGTCATACATTGATTTTTCAAACATTTTTAGCAGTATCGGAGTTAAAGGAATCCATATCCATTTAAACGGTGCCCAGGAATATTGGTTTACTTTGTTCGAGCGTATGCATATAGGTATATGTGTATTCATATATGAACCAAAAGAGGATTAAACACACTTGAAAGTGTGATCGTGTTGTGATAAATTTGATTGACGAAAGGACCCGAAAACTAGAAGATTGTACTTCAAATGGTTCAAAAATTAGGCAAAAACTTCGGAGCAAACTAAATAATAAAGCAGGTCAAGCCAAGGCTAAGAATATGTATTTTTTTCTGGATCGGAAAAACAATCGTAACTTTTTTCCTACTGATGAAATGCGCCCAAAATCAAATAATTGCGTACACAGCAGAGGTCCGATGAATAAGGAAATGTGGACTTTCAATTTATCGGCCTGTACCTGAGGTACCAGAAAGTTATGAAAGGAGTGGAGGAAGCACTCCGCAACAACCCCAACACATCTGACGAGTTGCTTAAACTATGATGGGCGTAAGCACAAACGACCCCAAAATATAATACCCGTCAAAAATATGTAGCCGATTCCAACTGTCGAAAAAAAATTAAAAAAAGTGCTCGACCTAAATTCATAAAACCAATTGTCATATTTCACGAAATGCACTGAATTGAGGATTCTGAACGAGGTAACAGTGTGAAGGTCCACTAGTGGGCTAACAACAAAATGCCCAGTCAAAATTCAAGCCTAAAAAAATTCCTAATTAGTATCGGATAACGATAGCACGTAATGTTTACGGGGAAAAAGGATGAAGCTACAAATGGTCCTTAAACTCGCTCAATTCAATGCAGTAATCAAGAAAAAATATTCCAAACAATAAATTCCAACAAAAAATTTATATTTAAATCGAAGAATATACATAGATGGAAATCTCCAAAAAGCGAACCCAAAACAGTGTCCAAGCAGCTTTTCTAGATGCTCCAAAGTTTCTTTACCTCATTTTTGAACCATTTGAAGTGCAGACTTATCACGAAGCACGTAAACTACGTGATTCGAAGCATACTACAAAATTACAATAATTCGTTGTTTATCATCGCTGAGGATGGTCCATTAATTTTGAGCTCTATTATGAGCAACCGATAAACCCACATAGCCATATTTCAGTTCAGTATGGTCTGGAGAATACAAAAAATCTGCCTTTGGTGCTTAATTTTGTGGCGAGACTGGCAAAAGACTCAATTAAATATTTCAATTGAACTAGTAATCAAATATTTGCATGTAAGTATAAATTGGATTCAAGTCTCCGTACGTATGTTCGTCTTTGTCGGCAATTGTCAATTGTGAATTCTTATTGTTTCATTACTTTACTTAACTGATATATGACTGCTATGCCTATTTTATGGATGTAGTCGCCGAAATTAGTCTAGATATTGAACAATAACAATCAAATTTATAATAAAAATCTTAATAACAGAAATCATGGGAAATTATGGCAGTAGTACGTTACGTACTGTACGTAGATGACAAAACAAAGAAAGTAAGGAAAATATTACGTTGTGCATGTTGGTTCTAGTCAAGGATAAAGTTGGAAAATTATCCACTTATGAAAATACACATCTATGAAAAAGTTATGCAATTCAATGTAAATTGATCTACATATTTATTCTCTTGGTCCGATTACCACAACATTTCCACAATTGCTGAGAGTGAGATGATTTCATGCAAAGTTTGTTTTGCTATCAGTGTCGATCGTGGTTTTGGGAATAGCCGATCATTCTTTGCGCCTTGCGGTATTGATTTTTTTACAATAATGCACATTGTTATCCACTTTCGAAGACTCTATGGATTATACCTCCTACTTATAATTTACTAATATTTTCATACACGCACCAACAAATTTTATTGTGACCTTCGTTCCAACACGCACTTATGGACGACTTACGGCCATATATGGTTTCAAAAGGTTCATCTGCTTATTGTAAAACATAATTGCATACGATATAATTCAGGAAGGGTGTTGCTGTCATCCAATTCGGTGCAATTATTAATGTCTCAAACTCAGCAAATTATTCTTTGATAGAAATTGTAGTACATTGCATTGTGCATTGTTACTAAAAAATTAAGATAGATTGCAGGGCGAATAATGGCAAATCTATATAATACAATACCTAATTATTGTACTTACACTATTTCCATTGATTTTGACAACTCTCATCCCAGTCGTTTTTTATTTTAAGATTGGTTGCATCTGCCAGCACGTTCTATGAAAATTGCATTAATATTTGCACTAACTTGACTGCAGGGCTTGTCTAAAGTATTGTTGGACACTCGAAAAATATTACGCAATGTTTGAACCCATTCTCAGTGGTCTCAACCTCCGTTTGAATCTTAACTTTTACATCTTGCATTGAATGACATTTGCAGTGATCATACACCAACTTTTGATTTCAACCACAATATGCATTGTTGCTCGCAGCATGTCATCTGAGCGTCCTTTCATTTAAGTTGCTCACAATATTAAGATACATGCATGCAATATTTTGGAGGAAGTTCTACTATATTGAGACTTGTATTTGTTACGAGGGGTATATTTACTTGCAGAATGGCATGCCTACATATTTCTTATTTCACAAGTATGTATGTAACTTACGATAGACTTTGACAATTGCATGCATGCAACAGAATGGTATTTTGTACAAAAAGTAAACGAAGGTTGGTACTTAATAATAATGCAATATTTTCCATTTCGTCCACGCTTGTAGTTCAATTTTCCCAGTGCTAAACACATAATACAGTTTCAAATTCTATTCTGGATTCGAGTAGATTGTTGATGCATTTCGAATCATCTTTTATACCGGGCGTTTGTTAAAGGTTTGGCAAATACTTGGCTTAGCATTTTTTCGATTCAGCCATCAGTCATTCTCAATCTTCGAGACAAGTAAATAAACCAAGTGCCGGAGGTTTCTTCTTTGACAATAAATAGGATATTGTTGCTCCCACTAATTACACCAAATTGTGCCTAATTGTGGCTTCCGGACCGCCGGCTGCTATTTGCGGTTGTGAGCACTTTGAATAAATAGCACATAATTTTAGGTCATTAGAAGTGTTTTTTGTAACACATGTAAATCTTGCGAATATCTTTATGCATGCAGTTAACAATGGAGTATGTGAACATGCTAGTTTTTTGAGGAAAATTAATCAAACTTGTAAGTACAACCTGACATATGTACATACATACTTATTACGCAAAAATTGCATAAACCATCAAATGGCTTATTCAAGGCGTGGCTCAGATAATTTTGATACACAGGTTTTGCTTTGCATATTAATAGCGTTGCAAAGTGAATGATAGGTATAGTACATTTAGTTGGCTTTTAACAGGGATTATTTAAATAAGTACCGGAAGATAATTAATTGAACAGAATAAACAGGAATTTAACTTGCGTTGTAAACATACTTGAGCTAAATTTCAATACATTAGTGCCACATCGATAAAAGAATGATTTCCTTCTCACCTTACAAAGTGGAGTAAAAAATCAATAAAAGTACTATTTTTAACAGCAAGTGAAATATGTCTACAAATGTATATCACACAGATCATGACATGACTCATGGCATTTTAAACTTGATCCAGGGTTTGGACAATATGGAAAATCACCTCCCACGTATGATACAAATACGTTGTGATACATATGTAACCCAAGATGTAACAAAAATTGCATTGGAGCGCATCGGGTTTTTAACATGAAAGTTTAACAAGAGATTTGATATCCCGAATCTCATATTAACAAACACACGACATTTAGTACACCAAATTAAATGGATCATCTAGTATTACATCCAGCAACAGGAACTGGGACGACGCACGTCAAGCCGCTACGAGATTTCATCATTCTGTGAACGATACGATAAAATAAACAATAATGTGATTGGCATATTTCATATTTTATAACAAAATACACAATTTACAACATTACCAAATACGAGAAACAAAAGCATTCAGTAATTTAAATTGTCAGTATTCCACACAGTATGGAACTACTCAAGATGGATGATGTTCATGCATGGACAATTGGCCCGGTAAGTAAAATATATAACACAGTACCTAAATACGTGTTAAATCTTTCCGTGAGAGAGAACTATTTGTAAAAAACTTTGATCCATATACATAAATGTGTTTGTCAATTTTAACATTTGATGTGCGCAAACAACGTTTCCGATAAATCACCACTTCCTTTAAACAACTACCTGAATAGAGCTGCCAATCTCTCATCACATAATAAGCCAACTCATTATCTCTTTATCAGTCATTTTCACGCTAAATGGTAAAAAATTCATCGGCACGTTCTCACCCGTTATACATATTTGTCTTAACAAATACTTTTTCTTGCATTTATGCATATAACCGTCATGGATATATTTACCTGGTGGTTGGTGGTCCCTAATGTGCAGATACGAGTATTAGTGCATTACTTTTACTCTGTGTGAGCTGGAATACATCGGAGGATTGCAAAGCATTGCAAAGTCTTATCTTTGTGGCGAATAACAATTCATGTTAGTCAGCTCAGCTAACAATGAGATATGTTCTTGTATTGTGTGTGTGTGTGTGATGGTTAATAAGCAGCCAGCACAGGTTTGTGCCATGTTGACTCAAGAAAGGTATCCTTCCTCCGAGACTCTGTTTGATTTCACAAACTTTGGATGAACGAATTTATTCGCCAACACGAAAGTGTCAGTCAGTTCATTTGGTTGAGATTTGGTAGCTTACCTGCACGACCTCCTCCTCCTTCTGCAAACTTGTGACTTGACGACTCTTCCACAGGTAAGAAGACCTTTGCGACAAATGTAGATTTCGTGTATCATCAGTATAATAATAATTCCAACATTCTTGTCCCAGCGTTAAGTTAGATTATTTATGTGCCACCCAAGCCATGCAATGGTTGGCTTATACGTAGATACGTGCGTGCATATTTTGTCTTTCTTTGCTGATAGAAATACCAATCGACAATAATTAGTGCAGCAGCATTATCTTATCTGCTAGGTGAACAGGTAGCATGGATAGAGTGCACTCAACATAATTTAGTTGCAAAAGCTTCTCTGGTTCTCTATGAAGGAAAAGGTTTGCATCTTAAAATCAAGATGGATCATTTCATATCCTTTTTCAGCGTATGGCTTGGCAGTAATAAAATAATTTACCTGTGCTCAGTACTATTAGTTTAGTTGTGTCTGGTCGTTGGGGTTAAATGGTGTTCAGCCAAGGTTGACTCTGGTTTTGATTAAGTTTGCGTTATGAAAAGTTAACTGTTCCTCACATATCACATCCGATTCTTGTTATGCACATGCTGTAAGCTCAAGTCGGAATAATAAGCATGAGAAAAACAATGCTTCCAACTGTGGGATTTTCCTTCATTCACAGTTTACTCTTGCAGGTGGTGGAGTGATTCGCAATAATAACGTCTCTGCATCTCGCGCAGTGATTATACGCATTTACGGTGATTCACAAAGTTGCTGGACGCTGGAAGAAATTGTTTAGTGTTTCGTGAATTTGTAAAGCTGGAGCTTTATCGAATGTGGAAATAGTAGTGAGTTGAAGATCATCACAACATGTCGGGGAAAATGTCCCTAGTGGTACTTCGAAGTTGGTGCGATGATCCACCAAAAATAAAAGGAATCGCTCCACAAGATGACGAACGTTCAGTCAAATTGGAGCCGGATCATAAAGTAAGTATTGTTTTTTATTGCGTAATTAACTAAAGTGATAAGTGTATGAGGTGATAAGAATTGCGTGGCAAAATCTCAATCATAACTCCCAATTCTTCAAGTAGAACTCTCAGCTCCCACGAATTTGAGACAAAATTAATCACATGTTGTCTCCTTGAATTTCTGCGTGTAATGGACAATGGTACCCTTAGTTCCACAAACATGCTGAGTTATCGTTTTTTGCTTTACAAGGGACATTTCTTGGCGGAAGAAATTCAAGATCCCGAACATGACCCTAGATTCACTCCGAGAGGACGGACTTTCAGTGCTGGGTCGAAAGGTCACCTTTCAAACGGATGTGGGGACAACAGACATCAAAATGGAACGACGCCGGAACCTGAGGAGCCATTATTTATCAGAAGAAAAAATGGGCATTTGGAGAAAAATCCAGCCAACCGTTTCAGCTTTGGTGGCTTCGGCGATAGTGATCATGCAAATTCCCCTTCGCCAACAGGAGGAAGGTCCATGTCAAATTTGCATCTCTCACCAGAGAATGGCCATACTTTTCGACCTGATTCAGTGGGTACCAACAGTCCTGGTGAGTGCTTATCTTGTTATTCAAACACGTGATGTTCGTCAGACCGCAAAACATGGAACCCATTTAGAAAAACAAGTTAATGTATACAAACATGCAAATAACGAGTGAATGAATGGATCCATGTTTCATAATTTTAGTCAATTGAAGCGAGCAAATATTTGTCATGTAAAGAAAGTAGTTTGATAAATGGTGACCCAGTAATTCCAAGGAATGAATTTGTTTGACCATGTAGAAAGTGGTGTCTGTGCGTACAGCAAGTAATGTCCACAATCGCAACCAGTGTTTACGCTTGATTTGCCACTTTATCAATCGTTTAATTCGCCATCCCACACACAAAGATCTGCATGTGCGCTCGTGCATAGGAAATGGGACTCGAATAAAATACGTGACAACTTTTGCTTTCATCTGATGAATTGAGACTCGTATTGAGACTCGTATCAAGTAGTAAATACTTATAATAGAGTTACTTGCAACACAGAAATGTCAGGTTGTAAGCGTTGTTACACAATAATGGTTAATGGATTTTTTACTGCTGGTAAATTCTGAAAATTTCTAGTTTTCAGGCGGAAGATTGTGTATAGGAAACTGTTACAAATAATTTTGTACAAATTATAAATGCGTTTCTATTATAGCAAGCTCATTTATTCATGCGTGCATGAGACATTGTAAAGAAAAAGAGATTTCCATTTTTCCTGTCTCAACTTTAAATCTTCGATAATTTACAGCGACAATATTCGATCCAACCCAGCTATTAAACTTGTCAACTAAAAATTGCATACAATTTCTCATTTGGTTTCTCCCAAACTGCATCTTGAGATGAAAATTACTCTCTGTTCACTTGCATATAATAAGCCCCATGAGCTTATTATTACTAGATTGTCGTATATGTGATTTAAAAATTAGAGTTGCATTTGAGGACGAACGTGAGAATAATTAATCCTTTTGTATTCTGCATTAATCTGATTGAAACAATCCCTTCAAGTGAGTAACGTATGAAAATTTAAAGTCAAATCAGGATTACTGTTAGTTCGGAATTTTGAGAAACCGGCTAAAAAGTTTTCCTTTCCAAAGGTTGCGATTAAAAGTTAATCTGATTTCACTAAAATTTAAATATGACCACTGTTTCATTGGCAGTCTTCCACCGGATGATTTTTTTAAAAATAATCTAAATTATGCGCATGCTTCTTCAAGTACGAATGCACTCATCTGTCGTTTTATTTAAAAATGCAGATCATCAAGACGGTTCATCGATGGAGTACACTCCTCCCTCTTCACCGGTTTCAGGGAGGTATCGTAATTTAGGACCCGAATTGGCAGCCACAATTCCGAAACGAGCCATAAAATCGAACTGGATCACGGGAATAAAATCAAGGTACAATGAATACGCTCTTCGGGTTTCTCTGGATAGTGATGATGAGGATTAAGTGCACTTCCCAAACCTGTGGCTTTACTCCTTTATCCACATTTTTGTCAATATTTAATCCACCACACACTTGAACTTCTGTTACTATTTTAGTCCTCTTGTATGTAAGCTCTATACTAACTAACAATTAATGTCTGTCTGTAATTATAGATTAATTTCTCACGTACACTATTTCAAATATTTGGCACTTTAATTACTGGATATCTTAATGTCTTCTTATATATCTTCATAAATTTTCAATACAATTTCTACATTTTACATACATTAAGAGCATGCGTATAAACTTGCCAACCTTTTTATTGTAAACTTTTATTATTTCAATTAGCATGAGCAACATCTTGAGTAGGCGCTTACAGTGCGTACAAATTGTTCGTAACGGGATGGATTGTATTAGTTTAGGTATTCTAGGAGTTAACCCATTTTAGTAACAGATATACCTATTTACTTGTTTGGATGTGTGCAGTAGTATTTGCTACTGCTGACTGTATACTAGATTATTATGCCGATTAGGGGATCCTTGTTTGCTCGTGAAATTGAACTTAGCTGTTCGGAAAATATTGAAAATTGTGAAGAAGTTGTGTTGGCCCACTACATCTGAACCGTGAATAAATACCGTAAAACGGACTTTGAAAAACAGAATCTCTTTCATCTTGTACAATTCCGTTTGCCGATTATTATCTTTGGTGCAATTTGCTGCTTGTGTGTGTAAAGTTTGAGTAGGTCCTCCATCCATTCAACCTATATTTCCTTCCTGTTGCATTATTTAAGTAGTTGAATAATATCGCTTGATTTTATCTCTAAAAAAATTCTGCTGCTGCTGGTGGTATGGTCATACGTATGTAAAGGTCATAACGAAAATGTCAAAGTCTATTCACCTTCTACTATTTGCCATACCATTATTATACAACACGATAAATTCCTTGGGATGGGATTAGTTCTATTATAAGATGACCCAATAATTGGCTGGTTTTACATGTGCTGTCATATTAGAAAATACCAAATTAGCTTCGTTTACTACAGACACATAAATGAGTAAATGGATTTATAAATATATACATAAATAAGACTGCAATTTATTCCTCCTTCCTTTCTCAGGACAATTATAGCTAGAGGCGAGCAAGGTCACCTTCTGAAGTTATCTTTAACCTTGGCATTGTCATCAAAATCCGCAATTAAAATTAAAGTTGAGACACAATGAGCAGACTTTCGGAAAATTCGCATCATACATGAATACGTACAAGTAGTAACAACAACCCAATGCCATAATAATGACGAGAAGAGAGGTAATTATCTATTTACCTTGCGTAGATTAAAATGTCTACACTTCATGTGTACTTGTGAATTTCTAAGCGCTGGGGAAGACGGCATAAAATATTTTTACTGACGGACTGGTGACGTAAGGCAATTGTGAGAGCTTTCTGTACATTTGTAATGAAAGGGATGATTCGTATTCATAAGAAGCTCTGGCAATTATCAAGTACTTGACAGCACACAACTGTTATTTTTACTTGTGGTTTTGAAACTGAAATTAGAGCTTGACAAAAAAAACAAGATGCATAATAATAAGGATGAACATCTTTCCTTCGTTTGGAAAACACTATTTTAGTTGCATTGGTTAGCTACCTTATGCAGTAATTCTATCAACATAAATTGGGACAGTCGCATCAAATTATCAAATTAGTCTCATTCTAAATTCTCTCCATCTGACACAAATAATGGAATTATCGTGTGAGTTGTCGAATCATGTATGTATTTACATGTACCCCAAAAGATTATGCAGTTCCCATGAAAATGTTTACCTTTGAGCATACTTTCGTACATTGACAGGCAGACATTGGTTGTGAATGCTAATCTCATAGCTTCTTTGCATTGATTGCTTGAGAATGATTAATTGTAGGACAATTACAAAATGTAATTAAAGGCTTCTCTGACTAAACAATAGAAGAACACTTCTGCTCAAGTTGAATTGTACTGGTTTAAAAAACAATATGTTCTGCAATTGAATGGTATTTGCTCGATCAATTAGATTTACATAACAAACAGTAGTTCGTCCGGTGAGTGGCTCACAATCCTGTGGCTGTGTCCGGGCGCTACTAGTGGTCCTAAAATGACGTTGAAATTACCCGATGACAACATTACATTAGGTTAGATGCGCAATTCCTACATAAAGTGCAATATTTATGCAATATTTATGCCAAATGCAACACGATTCAAAACAGCTTCATGCATATACATACATATATTGATCCTCGTGTCAACAAAAAATGGTATTTTAAAATAATTTGTACAGAAATATTTTAATAGCAAGCTTGAGAAGCACGGTAACACAATTGCTTTAAATAACATATCATAGCTGCACGCAATATTCCGCTATAATTCATACCTTTTTGAATTTTTCATTATGTCTCATCATTATTATTTCTATTTCTATTATTACCAGTTCTGCATACATCTTGGACTGTTCACATTTCAATTTACTATTCGAAATCAGTGGGGGCGTGCAGTTTAAAATAAAGTTAATTTAAATAGTTCTGGTAATTTGAACCTGGTCACGGTGAGAACAGCCTATATCCCTTTTTGAGCCCAACCACATCATCAAAATTCTACTACTCCACACAGCCTGCACTTATGTGCGTACCTCCGTGCATGCATACTTTTACCGTGGCCTATCAAATTATGAGAAACATGAATGAGAACAAATTTTGTGGCAGGTGCCACAAACACAAGATCACGATCCATCCATTCGCCACTGCCATTCGTACACATAACCTGGTTTCTGGCCAACCAAGTTAATGCAAATTGCAATAAACCCTTTCTTCTCCTGCTACATATCCAATTTCTTCCATTTTCTAATTTTTATCCCACCGCCCTCTCATTTATTCAGTCTCTCCTCTCGTCATCATTTCATTCTAAGAGACGCACACACAGAGATATAAAAATATGTACGTGTTCCTTCTTGTGCCTTCTTTTCTCACCACAATGTACATGCTGCATCATGCACCTTTAAAAGTGTAGCAGTCAGAACCAGAAGCGAGAAATGAGATGAGATGACGATGATGGTGATGATTTGTAAGTCATAAAATAAATACAATCGTTGCTTCTCTCTGTGTCCCTCAGGTGGATGAAGAGCACCACCCATCCTGACTCTGGTCGAAGCATTTTGAAATCTTATAGTTCGTCACCGAGTCTCATCGCTACCTCATCCGCCGCCGAAGAGACGCCACTCTTCTTCAACCCTTTGTATCGGCTCTGTCAACAACATCAACCCACAAGCATTCCTCATTTCAAAACAGGAGGTTCGGGCAGCAGTGGGAGCACGTCGGGAATCGTTCTTGAAGACGATAGCAGCGTCGGAGGCGATTCTCGCAGTAGGAGCAGTCTCAGTAACCCTATCAGTTTTTCGCCCTCCCCTCCACCCAACGTTATTAATGCGTCCCTACGACAGCAGATACTTTGCAGCAGTTCACGACCAAATGGACTTCAGAAACACAATTCCTTGACTGACTTTAGCGAGGAGGATATATTCTGTGAAAGCGTGATTAGTGCTAGAAGCCCAACCGGAAGTAGTCCACATCACGGATACAATAATAGGGGAGCAGAGTCACGGGAATCTTATTCTCCACCTCCACCACATGGAATAGTGGATGTGGATGAGTGTGTTTTAGTAGAAGTTATAAGAAAACCTGAGACTCCGTCTTATAGCAAAGATGGTGGTAACAATGCAAGGACCGGTGGTGTGGTAGGTAATAAAAGTGAGAAAAGACATTCGGTAGGGGAGCTCGAGCTGGAACCAGTGCTAAACAATAAGTTTGCTGGAGTCAAAGTAGAAGGAAATCCTGGCAAGGTGGCCAGAATAAAGGAAAACATAAAGAAATTTGGTCGGTTTGGAAGAGCAAATTCCGAAAAAATTCTACGGTTTCAAACAGGAGATTCTAAATCGGAAAGAGAGAAATGTAAAGCTGTAGGTTCTGCTACCTCACGGAAGGGACGAGGAAACGGTAGTAAATTAGACGACGTAGGTGAGAATTCGTCAATTTTGCATGAGGATCAGACACCACCAGTACCCACGGTAAGGAAGCGATCAAAGAATTCGGACATAAAAGTAGAAACAGCAACTTGTTCCGTTGTTGAGGCACAAAACAATCAAAAAAGGCCATCATCAGTTTCACCACAACCACCACCGTCGGAAAGTGCTCTAATAACCACAACTTTACTCGCCAAAGAAATCCAATCCCGAGAAAATCACTTTGATGTACTCGTAGCGTATCCGGAACCTAATCTGAGTGAATTGGTGGCGAAAAATAATAATGATGCCCTTACGAAAACTAGTTTGTTTAGTGATATTCAGCCCACGCTCGAGGATGGACCAGTGTCATCCCTTATCAGTGACCAAGATCGGTCAATGCCCTGTCATGTGCAGTCAGTTTCAACTATAGATGTCGAAACCTTTGTTGTTCACAGCGGGTGCAGTAGTCCAATTGTCACACCTAATTTAAACCAAGAAGAGATAACCAGTCGGGAAAGTGTTGACAATGTAAATGAAGTCAAAAAGTTGTCTGTAGTGTTAGATAATAACAATTGTGAGGCATCCCATCTTTCTGATGCCGATAATCCTGTGAAAAACAGTGGAAACCTGGACGAAATGTTCCGAAGTCGCAATAAGGAGGCGACTGCCTCAGTGCCAGTGCCCATTATGTACAACAACAACATTCAGTCTTCAGTGTTTAAAAAGTTAACAAACTATTCGACCCCATCGATGATGAGCGATAATGTTGATGGGCAAAGATTTAGTCATGAGCTACCGTCCAAAAATATAGGACCAAATTTTAATGGTAAGTACATAACACTCCAATTTTGCTGATTATTTAATTCAGTAGCAGTTCTTAGAACCTAAGTGCAAAAATTTTCACAGATATTTGCGAAAGCCCTTCAACAATACCTTATTGTATTACGAGCAAAATGCGTATGTAGTAGACTGTCAACAAGTGAATTAAGTGCGATGACAATGAATTTTGCTTTGAATCCTTTCGAGTTTAATAATGCTGTAGGGGAAGTCGTATCTTCGGAATGAAATTGTCACGGCCTGATGAGTACCCTAAATTTTATCCGTTCGTAATACACTGATGCAATTTTCCTCCTTCGTACTTATGTACATCTGGCATATCATACATCTTCTGCTGCTGCATGCAACAAGTCAGATTAGATTCCATACGTTTCTTCTTCGTCTCCCATGGACGTAGTATTATTCTTGACTCGAGCCGAGTCTCCTCGCGTCGTTCAAAATCGAACAATGCATAAAAGGAGCAAGAAGAATGTACTTCACACCCATTCTATCCTGACTCTAATGACTTTTTATTCATATTGGGATGCTCGTAAAAAATGAAGAGTGTAAAATAAAATTGCAGTGGCAAATAATTTTATTTTAAAATCTCTCCTAGTTTTCATTAATTAAAGACTGCATACATATCTCAATATGCATTTGAAAGGAGTAACGTGGCATGCCACTAAAGCAAGGATAAATCTTTTACGAAATCAAGATAGCAAAAAGATGGTCACAATTCAACCGGATGAAACTTCGGCCCTGCAATAATTGCTTTGAACAGGTTAATTTTCAATCTTTATTTTCATATCAGAATGATACGCTAATAAATGTGCAGAATCGCAAAATTATCACGGAAAATTATAAATGTATTGTATTAATCCTTTTTTCACGTTATTCTTAAGAAAGTCGAGACCAAAATCATCGTTTAGTATAACAAACGTTTAAAATTACTATTAAAAAGCGTGAAAGCCCAAATTCGTCATTCACCAGTTAATGTGGCTTTACATAGATTTACAAGAAATGCCATATCGTCGAGTTATGAATAATTATTTGACCAAGACGTTTTCATTCCCGTGAGTGCAAATGGAAGTGAAATTTATCTTTACACACCAACAATCAAAATTTTTAAACAAATGGCAATTTACCAAGCTTAGAACTACATGTGAGCAAATTACAGATTATCTGAGCCTGATTACAATTGGGCAGTCTTCATCCTTGTTTTACAAGATTAGAAGATGTGCAATTCTACGATTTTTACGATATGAACAGCGATTAATTTGCTGCTTCATGCATCACACGCATACGCACACAGAAATTCTTGTGTGCAATGTGATGTGATGTGAGGGAGGAACATGATAAAATTATGACGCTTAATGAGTGACAATCCAATGTTGATTCTCAATTGTTTTGGGATGAAATCTGTACCTGGCTTAGCTCAGCAGCAGCAGCAGAAGCGCTTAATTGAGCCAGACACAAATTCTCACTTTCTAAAATGTAATTTTGGTCAATTCACAATTAACAGATGTGGTGCACATTTGTGTCTTTTTGTTCAATTCTACTCGTTCGAAGGCATATTTATATATAAGTAACAGACTTCAAACATGTCTGGCAGGCTGTCATAAAGTGAAATAATGTGCAATACTAGGGCAAAACACGCAGATTAATTTAATTTACTATCGCCGTTCATGTAAAAGTTGGCAATGAAATTATGGCGTTCTTGGACAGATTCAAAAAGGAAAATGATGATTTAAACAGTTTGGAAAAGCAGTAAACAAACTGAATGTGTTATAGCCATCCCAACCCCTTTTCTGTCCTTACACAAACTATTAAATTACCTGAGCAATTTCTGAGAGTTTAAAAGACCAAAATATTAAAAATGATGAGACTTTAATGTTTATCGTAGTTAAGTTTTCTTTATGCACGTCTAATTCGAAATGTAACGATGCGACAAACTACAAGTCGTAACTAGAAAGCAAAAGCATGGGAATAAAATAATTTTATATTGGTGTCATCCCTCGTGAATTTATATGTTTTCCAAGAGATCTCTATTTTCTCTGGTACAATTTAGATGCAGTGTCGGTCTTCATTTGACAAAGCGAGAGGTGGAGAGAGAGAGAGCTAAATAACTAAAATACGTGACACGATTTTTCTAATCCGGTGCGAAATATTTCTTGGTTTGGTTTGTTGTGGTAAATAAATAGGAAACGGTAGAAGGAAGACGACTGTTTTAGCATATTTACTTTGTTAGAGAGGAAAATCTTATTGTATGTAAATCATGTTGAATGAACGCTTGCTATGTTTCATGTCCTAAAAGTCTTGAAATTTTCAGGCATAGCGTCTGCTCAAGTACCAGTCCAAGCAATAAATCGCCATGTGACGGGGTTTGGAAAGAACAATATCTACGCTGATAGTGTAAATACTGAAGAAGATGACCGTGGGTCAGGTTCTTCAGAATCTCGCTCCACTGACCTTGAATGGTGAGTTTTAATTTAAACGGAGAACAATACAGGAAATGTAATTAATAATTTTACAAATCACAGTTTCACGTCTGGTTAAGAGTGAAGTGGACATTGTCCACTCACGGTTGACGCTTGTTTCCTTTCTTCTTTTTCAAGTTGGTGTTGAACAAGTTGTAATTTGTCACTGTCAAATTAGCAATGACAATATGTGAAAGGCGTATTTGGACATTGTTGATAATTTAAGGCCCTGCTTTGGAAGAAAGCTGGGATTTATCACGTTACACGACAATAAAACATTTTTATTTGCATCTTTTTGAGTCTGCATAAAAATATAAATTAAACGGTTGTTATAAAACAATTTTTGGGTCAACCAATAGGCACAGGTCTTCAACGAGAGCGTCTTTCCGAGGATTTTGCGAAACATTGCTTCAAGACGAAAAGGTGACCATTCAAGTTCCCGAAGTGGTTGAAGCCAGCATAAGTTTCGACGAGGACAGCAGTTTGGATCCTGATGAAGAGAGGGAAAATTCTGTGGATTACATTTCTGTTGCCGATGTTAAGGTAGAATTCGCGTCATCAGAAATAAATATATTAAATTTAAGCATATAACATGCACGCGCATGCTAAATTGCTGCTTCTTAATTGCAAACCATGTTTTTTAGAGTAAGATGAGGGCTGAGTAAGTTTGTCTAATCAGAATTTCTAGTCATTTCCTTGCGTTTCTTTATGAATTTAAATAAGGGAAGTGACGTAAGACGAGCATATCTATTTATGCAAGCAATTGGTGCTCCTCAATTTATTCTTGGGGAGAGCTGGTGCTTATTTTTTAAAGCATCATCGACCCCCTCGCACCAGAGTGGTTAGAAATAGACATATTAAACTATATGCCCAATTATATAGAAATAAAGGTTATAATTATGCGGGGGTGATATCATATTGCTTTCAGATTGCTTTAGGTTGTCTGAAGGAGATGTGCTTTAAAAATAAATCCCTGCATATTTATATTCCAGTGCAGCATAAATATGTGGGTGCAATACCGTTGCCTAAATCCTATTAGTTTGGATAAACTACTTTAGCAGATTGCTTTCTCTAAGAAATCCAGCAGTGGAAAATACACTGAGGAGATTCCGACTAATGATGCTTTTCAGTCTGCCAATTTACCTTACTATTGACTAATTGCATGTGCCATATCATGCTGAAATTCTGCTTCTTAAAAATATGCATACGTATCTATATGTATGCATACATACGTAGGTACTTGCATGCAAAATAAGCAATTTATCCCTTCATGTTTAGGTGAGCAACTCGAGGAAATCCGATAAATTTTCATCCCACGGAGTAAATCGAGAGCCTTTGCCAAGTTGTGTGATATCGTTGGACATTGGGAGTCGTGGGAGTGGATACTCATACTGGGTCAAAGACGAGGATGACTACATCCGAATTGGACAAGTTGACTCAGGTGCCCACATTTTCCGGATCTACATTTTATTTAGGTCGTCCTCATGCTCTCCTAAATCAATATTAACATGGTTCACATGCAAATCGTAGGTTCTTCATGCCCGAAATCTCACAAACTTCCTTCGTGGGTCAGCGTGGATTCTGTGGATGATCTTTACATGGATGGAGATGACGAGGACAATGAAAACAGTGCAACCAGTCCCGCTTTCGGCTACCACGCACTAAATCGTTTCCTGTCCGAACAAACACAGTCCCATCTTTTTTGGAGATGGAGGGAACATTTTAATGAAGGCTCCACTTTTCCCTACACCCTCGAGTCTAAGGCAAATGATGAAGAGTTGCAATTTACAATGAAATCTGCCATAAAACATTATGCCAAAATATCCTTGGATCAAATTGCGTCGAAACGAATAGGTGAATTAATTACATGATCAACATTTGTGTGTGTGTGCTACAATTTATATTTCCAACTTTCCGAACAAAGAACAGGAAGTTTATTGATGGCGATATTTATGCCACCCATAAAAATATGTATAAATGAAGATGAAGCATGGCCTTCGTCTTGTGACTTTAGTATTTCATCATCCTCAGATACAACATGCATCAATATACAATGTACATAAGCATGAAGAAAATCGGAATGAAAATTACTTCTTGCTTTTTTCCATTGTAGGTGGTTTAGGCAAAACTATCTTTGCAATAACCATCCCTGCCAACTTTGATCACCGGGCACGCCAAATAGTTCGTGATGCGGCATTTGGGGTGAGTTTTGTGGTAAAAATTAAGTGAACTTTGAGTTATGAAATTTGAGAACGTGACGTGGATTCTTTTGTATTGGTAATTGGTTCATTTCGGTTGTGCATCCGTTGTTCATGTGCAGTGATTATTATGCATTGAAAAGTGCTTATAATACTGATATGCCCTGCATACGATCTGCATGTACATATGTATGCAGACATAGATGAATTTAAGATATTGTGTAGTTGGTTAAACTCAAGACTTGTGTGGTTTCTAATGTGCGTGGATATAAATATTTATACTGATTATCGATGAGCTAACCTAGCTAACCATTCTCTTAAATTTTGTGACTTGAACCTCATTTTATAAGGGTGTATGTGACACCATTATGCAATATGTATTGATATGTATGTGACTTTCTCTTGACAAATTCCAGACTGGACTCGTATCTAAAAAGGATGCACTTGCCCTAATCGAGGATCCATGCGCTGCAGGAATTTTTGCGTACCATGCCATAAAACCAAAAATAGCCAAGAGGAACAATATTGGAACGTCCTATGTTTCTATTGACATTGGTGGCGTATATCTTCACTCTAGTGGATATGATTTTCACGAAGGAAAACTGCATCAAATTTTGACACCAAGCAGCCAGCCAATTTCTGACAGTTTGTTGCCTTATTAATTAAACAATGTTTTTTTTACACAATAATTCATTATGATGGACGTATGTGCAATCTAAATTTGGATTTTGTTTTATAGATCCAGAGTCTTTCTTTGAATCAGAATTGACTAGAATATTCACACCGTCTTTTATTTTAAACTACCAAACAAAATACAAGGTAAATTTCAAATTAATGTGTGTAATTTTATATGGTTTTATGGTAATAAATCATTTTTCATGATAACTCTAAATTTGTTTGATTATCAATTTCTTTAGGCAGGCTGGTTAAAACTAATGACTGAATTTGACCACAGCAAGAATTTGTATGATCCAATTCAACGTGGAAATTATCACATTTTCGTCCCATCCAGTTTTGTGGTATGTTAATAAAAAACTGAAGTTATTGAAGTTAGCTAGGACAAAGAAAAATAGTAAAATTATTGCTTGTACTCTGCAATACGATTGGATTAAAGCAAAAATCGCAACTGCCGACGACTAAATACGATTAATGAAATAAACAGGACGAGTGGGATTTACAAGATTCACTAAAAGTACAATTTTGAATTTATAGGACCATTTTCGACGATTTACGAGCATGGAGGTGGAAGATGCTCTGGAGTCCTCGGATATCACTTGGAGCAAAGTAGGAGCGTTTGGGGTAATCATGCAATACGAATAACGAGCATTGGAACAAAGGATAAAAAGCTAACCCACCGAACCTCTAATTCTTTAGATTCCATACTGGAAAATGGAACGGTTTTTACAACCAATGATGGATTTCATAAAGAATCACATTATAAATATTGTGCGAAATCACAACTATGAATTTTTGGTATTGAGTGGTGGAAGGTATGAAAATTAATTCAAAAATGTTTCCGCTGGATCTATTCTTTAGTCAAATAATTCAACTTGTAAAATAATACAGGTCCGGGTCTCGGCAATTGGTGGATTATCTAAGAAATGCAGTTCGAGATTATTCCGTGGACGTGATTGTACCAAAGGTGAGCAGTCCAACGCGTAAATTTATTCATACATTTTTATTACTCCATTGTTATCTTGTAGGAATATAATGCTGCTGTACTGCAAGGATCTACAATATCACTGACAAATCTCTCACCCAGACTGATTATAAACTCGCCATTTAGTATTGGTGTCGGGGTAATGACTCCGTTTATTGAAGATCAGCATCCTGAAGGTATGGACTTCACGCATTCAACCCCGTCAATCTGAATTACTTTTTATGATTTAGTTGGTCACGATTTCCAACAATCATAAATGCGAATAAGCTTTTATTTTTTACTGAGTAGCGCATTAGTTATCTCACCTGCGACTATTAATGATACTAACATTGAGATATCGAGATAATTAAATTGATCTCCTTGCAGAAAAACGAGTACGAAGAGACGGAAAATCATGGTGCGCTGACGTGTGGGATTCACTAATCACAGTCGGTCAAGAGCTGGAAATGAACAACATCGTCTTAAAAAGGTCGTATGTGGGAGCTCAGCCAGGTCAATCTTTGCTTATCCTCCCATTATTCCAGTCTCCCGAGGAGCCAAAGGTGATCTATGCACATATTATTAAATTATTATGTATCAATCAATACAAATCAATAATTTGTTGACATCGAAAAGAGTAAACATTAATTTCGTGTGTTTGTTTGCAGTTTGTGACTGAGGACTCTGTGAGGAAATGCTGCGAATTCAAGTTCAATTCAGATCAAAGGGCATGGCAAGAGGTTGGGTTTTATCAAAACTTTATTGATAATAATCAAATCTAACTAAATAACAAAGTTTGTATTAATCACAGTTCAAACATGCGTTGGGTAAAATAAGATTTTTATTTTGCAGGTCGAGTTGATGATAAAGTGCAGACCTAGCGAACTCCTCATCATGGCAGTTGATGACGGAGTCACGAAAAATGTCGTGGTTCTCGATTTCGCACTTTAAACTTAATTTTTAGTCCACATTTTTCGGTTTTTTGTTTCCCTTAAATCGCGCTGTTAGATTTACTGTATTGTTTAACGTAGTAGGATTTCGAGAATTAAATTGCAGTAACAAAAGAGATTTTATTATATATTTAGTAACATATGCATGCGTCCAGAAGAATTCTAAAAACTTCGAGTTTAGCAAATAGTATTTATATAACGTCATTTTTGAAGGACGGATGTGTAGCTTGCCATAAATATAATTGACGGGTATTGTATAATTTGAACGTAAAACAGATCACAGAGGATTTGATTTTACATTATTTTAATCACGCCCATATTATTGCCAACAGAGTAATTACAATTAATAAAATTATACAACTTGCAAGTACATAAATATAAATATATAGCTCTTGACTTCACGTATACCATTATGTTCGCACCCAAAACCTTAATCTGCGGCATTTGGCATACGTATATTAAAGCTGTGGATGAGTATCTACTCAGCCATTTACGCCTTCTCATTAGAACATCCTTTGTAAACAAAAGAATTGAAAACATTGGTTTTTATGTTCTAGGAAGTGCCATAAAATGAAGAATTTGTTTATTACTTACAAGTACATACGTACATAAGTGCAATGCAATCTATTATGCCACGAGTCACAAATTCTCCATTACGAATACTTTTTGATGTCACTTTATTTGCATTCGGGTTAAGGTGAGGACATTAATTTTCTACATGTAATATTTATGTACAACAGCCTCTAATTACATTCCGTGTCAGACTTATTGTTGTCCAATTTAACCTGATTTGTATTACCATTACGAACTTCGTTTATATACTCACAACATGAGCGAACGTATCCCGGAAGCCATTTTCGTGTTGTAATAGCATACAAAATAAAACAGACATGTAGTTTGAAAGTCCACGTGGAGAAATATGGAGCATTTTAAAAAGCAATGATATGCATGTGACACAGGCGAAATTGTAACTCGAAATTATGCATAAACTTAACATTAGTAATTAAAACAGTTATACATAATATGGCCATGTACAACAATTACATGTTTGGATTAGATTTATCGGACGACATGGATGTTGTTTAATAAGCTATATATTATATATTAATTGGATCAGGTTATTTTCACCCACATTATAAACATGCGTTTTACAGCCATACGTACCTAGATAATTGAGTGGGAGGTTATAATTTCTAGAAAATTGCAAGAACAAATAATACTGATTTATGATCCTGGACAAACATTAAGTACGGAAGCAGCAAAGGTTATATAGTTCTTGTGTAAACTTCCCCTCATCCTCTCATCATCATATTTGTTCCGAGTTCACACGCAAAAAAATCCACATTCATTTGCCGTTTAATTTCAGATGAAACTGCAAACAACTAGAATTTGAACAGTGATAAGATCATGCCCAACCCTTGCATTATTATATTACGAGAGGTCAGAATTTTTGTATTAGGTTAACGTATGCATAAGTAATAACTTGATTGTACACAACAACAATTCGTAATAATAGTCATTGTTTAACCAAAATGGGTGACGTAATTTAAAGATTTATGGACAATGATAAATATGACAGCAATATATACAATTCTTGTTGTGTACAAGATTCAAGTTAATCGAGTCCACGGGACAAACCAGACTATACTGGATATGTAAAACAAAAAAGAACGGACCGCATGCACACTGGAAGGAAAAAATACATATAAATATGCAAAGAAACTCTGTACATATCATGTTCGTTGAGCAATATTGGAGCTCAATGAGAACTTGTTCACGATAAGTTTACACGTATGATAGCTATGCAGTTTCGATTCACGTGGTAGTGCTTTTGCAGGCATTATACATTATGTAATGGCAAAGGTATTTTTGCTCCAGGCGTTGTTCAGTTCAGCTCTGCATCATTCAAATGCAAGGTAACATAAATAAAAAATTCTCTGCGGATTACATCAACACTGACCAACAAACCAAACCACGGCATGCTCAGCTCAGAAAAAGTCACATAATAAATAGGCATGAGAGGAACATTTTCAGATGGCAACCAACCACTAACAACAATAGAGTGACCATAATAATAATAACATCACACATTTATATAATCCCCTCCCTAGTCACTGCTTATGGACCCATAAGCACTCACCTTTATTTATTCTACTCATCGGGATCAGTACGATGGTGAAGGCAACAAGTAGGCCAGGGTTGGTATTACTTAGAAGAGAACGCTCGTCGTTGAACCCACCTAAACTTGTTTTAAATGGAAATTTGCACTATCTTCCATGCAGCAGGATGACAAGAGAAGAGAACAACGGAGTGTTTTACCAACTAAAGCAGAAAGGTTATGCTTAAGCGTTAACTTATTTTTTATGTATGTATTTATGTTATGTAGCGCGGCTCGACTCGGCCACAACGCGTGGAGGTAACTCTCGACTTCAAACTTTGAAGTCAAGTAGGGAGCAAAAAACGGTAGAATTTTGTTACCCACTCGTCCCATTCAAATATTTTGTATCAAACTAGAACTCGTCTTTTCCCTTTTACTCGTCGTTCGTCCCTTTAAATCGAGAAATCTGGTGGCGTATGTACATGCAGAGGAAGACGTCATCCTTCCTTGATGAGATGCTCTTCTGCTCAATTCATCTTTGTAATAAGATGAGCATCCAATTAAACTATAAGAAGGTCTTGATTTTTTCCCTCTTCTTACTCCCAACTCCCGAATCACGACGTTATAATTTTAGTCGCTGAGCATAAAGCATGCAGAGGTGACATGCAATTTTAATTTGGGCGAGACTTGTTCAAGTCAGTCTGCGAGCAGGTTTAAAAGTTGGACTAAAATCTCAGCAGTGCTTTTTATTCGTCTTTCTTGACTCGACTGCATCATCACATTTCATTATTACGGTGCAACCAAGTCGTAACAACGCTACACCACGGCTGCGTTCGCCTCTCATTGTTGCTCATGGTTGGGAATGAATAGTTGATGCGTCCTGTAGAGTGAGGCGAGTTTGTTCTGCCATGTTAGTTTAGTTCATGATAGTTAGTGGCTTTAGCTGGTAATGACGGGGAAGGAGATTTTATTGTGGCATCACATATCTAGCTTCATCCTCTACACACTCTGCTTAATAGATCCACTTCGCAGTATTAACTTTACCTGAGAGTTGACAACACCAAATAGCTCTACACACCTGTCTGTTGGTGGAAGTGATCTGCACAATCGTGCATTGCACCAGGAGTAGTAAATATACGTATATCCTTGTTGCACATCCATCATAAAAGTGTACAATCTACGTATGCAAATAAGTATTAGTCGAGTGAATTGGATGAATTGCATTACTTTTAAACGACAATCGTCCGTATACATGCACTCGCTCACCCTCGCTCACGGAACATAAATTCCATTCCTATTGACTTACGGAACTGAAGCGTATTATTAGCAAGTTATACACAATACAAGCAATCAATTTGGCAAGGAATTTTCAACAACAGCCACACCAATTATTAGTGTTGTTTGGTTCATCGGACGTACAACTTGTTTGCACTTGTGTTAGTGGCATACCAATTTTCAGCAATTTTGGAAACAAGGAGAAGAAAAATTGCATTGAACTTCAAGATCTTTTAGCAGTGCAGCAAGACATATTTAGCATAACATTTGCAACGCGTGGGTGAACTTCTCCATATTAAGGACGACAATATGGCCAGCAAATCCAGGAAGTACGAGCCAATTTCGCCTGGGAGTCACGGGTATGGGTCGGCCACATCTACGCCAACCCCTGGAATCGGTATGCCTGTCCGTAGGTTCAAAATATCCATTATAAACAATACTGGCCTGTAATTTAGCCTGCCTTGAGTGTGTTAATGTTGTAAGTACATAGATTAGTAAATATCTACATGTGCTGTCGGTGCCGGATAATGGATTTTAATAATTTTAAAAGATAATTACTTTTCACTTAAGTGTCCGTTCTCACGCGTCTTGCGAATGGAATGTCAGACATTTCTTTAAGCACACCTTAGCTAACTCTACACAGTTTACGAAATCAAATTGAAGGCCTTTGTCGCAGATTTTGCTGACGCCATGCACAATTTGCACTTCTTATTGCTGATTGCTGTATAGTCATTGTTGTCTCATGAATCCTATGGGAATATGTTGATGATGGTCCCAAAGTCTCATCTTCCAGCCTAGTGAAAATATAGGGAAGTGGCTTTTAGTGCAGTGAGACTGCTTAATCTCATCACAACAGAGTTTTTACACACCTGTCTTTGTTGAATACGTTGGGGTTGGTGGCCATAGACAGATTAGCAGAATTATACACAAGACGATCATTATGGTTCTAAAAAGGATTTAGACTTATGGGCAAATAATTTGTTCCTGAAGGACAAATTTTAACTCATCCCTTGCTTTTCCTTATACTTATGACTTATGTAATAAGTGTGGAATGCAATAGGCATCGAACTATAGGTTCAGGTTTACACATTTGTAAATCATTTTGTTTCATATTTCAAAAGAACAAGCTAATTCGATTACAACCCACAAGTAAAATAAGTAAACTAGTACCTCAAAGCAATAATCGATCCATAATAATGTGGATAGGTAATGCCTATAATAAGAAATTGTTGACGTAGACTTTTAATAATATTTTTAATGCAAATTCCAATCCACTTATTGGACAATGGGCTATCGTCTATGTATGTCGTAGATGTTTACAGTTCATAAAATTGCACGGAAAAATTAGTAATCAAAATTATTAGCACATTTCAAGTTTCAGAGCTTCTCATGCGTAAATCCGAAAAGATGTGGGGAGGGGTTGCTCTTTACCAGTCGTTATTTCACTAATATCATTAAACATGTGTAGCATTGCATTGTTGTTGTAATGAAACAAATGGGTGAGAAACTTGACCTGCCCGGCAGGATGACGCTACCTTGGCTTGCATTTTCTGCTCAAAGTAAAGCAGAAGAAAAGGAGCAGCCAAAAGTTAAAGGGTTGGTCTGCGAGAGTGATAACGCATTCAAGTTTAAATTGCTTATCCACTTCTCAAGCGCATCAGTCAAGTCTGTAACATGTTAAGTAGCTTGGAAATTATACCCAAAAAGATAGCAAGAACTGCCACACATTTTTAATTAATAGAAGAAACAGGATATTAAAACAGGATTTGCATAAAGTTTTAAATTAAATGTGCACAATTCACAGGCATTCACTTGCATACATATGTACATAAATTTTTGCTATATTTGTTTATGTCAAGCTCTACGAGAGTTGAATCTCTGTTGTTCCAAATTATTAACAAGTTTGATTAAAGGCAACATTTTTCCAATTCCCAGGGGTATCATATGATTTGCCCTAATTTTTTGCTGTAAAAATTCATTTATTCAGTGTACAGTATGTTTGTTTGTTATAATTGTAAAAGTCATTCCGTCCGTTTTTAGTCTAGTTTTTAAAATATTCTCAAGCATGAAGCATTCAAGCTCAGTTGGATGAATATGATAATTTAATTATTGTTTCTTTCTTCCCCCAACCTCGACCTTGTTTTGTTTTAACCATCTTCCTTCATGACTCTTCCCAAGACGTGGATGTACAGAATGCTGACAAATAGTTTCGTATAATTTTATATTTCTGTATTTTAATGAAGGTCAGCAGTCAGTAGGTATCACATTGCTTATGTATTTTATTATCACATGCTTCCAAATTTGTGTGGACCATGTCAAACCTGTTGAGTTCACGTATACAAAGTCTGATTTATAATTATGTTGACACTTGCATAATGCATATGGGTGGATGCCAGTTGCTTTAAAATAATTCGTTAAAAAAGCATACAGATCATTTAGAACGATAAGATGATAATTTTTTCACCAAACTAAATTTTTATTGGCTTTAACAGAACGACCCAAGACGCCAACGATGAAATCGAGGATAGAAGAAAAAAATGCCTTAATCGGTCTCAACAACAGGCTTGCAAATATTTTGCAGAGAAAGCAAGAATTGGAAGATGAGAACTCCTTGCTGGGCAAAGAGGTGTGTAGACACATTATTATTGTCCATTAGTCACAAATTATCATGTTCGCACGTTGACTTAGTTTGTGGTTGCCAAACTAAACTACGCAATATGCAAAATATACCACGGGTATTTATTATGCATGTTTGGACATGAGTGGAAAATGACTAGTTTTGCTTAAACGTCGCCGTAATGTGAGTGTTAAATTGCACATGTCACCTGTCGGCAAACAGTTTTTACCATAAAGTGATGTTTTGTGTCCAATTCTTAATTATACTGATTACCACAATACATATGCATCCACTCCACTCATGTCTTTTATGTTTCAAGAAATTGCCGACTTTTGATACTCCAATCTGCAAATGTGCAATTTTTGCTCTCATTGAGGCAAATTGATTCAAACCAATGTCATCGAACATTTTACTAAAAATGTGTGATGTAGATATCCATGAATTAAGTATATATACATGTTTTATGTACTTTTAATGCTTTTATTTGTGTTTTACAGCTTGTGGCCGAAAGGGAAAATACGATAAAAACATTGACACGACTTCAAACGACGTATGTGCGACACTGATTTTCATTTTATTTGATATGCATATTAATTACAGTGTATTTTCATTTTCCGTCAAAACAGGTATGACACAGAGTTGGATAACCTTCGAAAACTGTTGGAAGATAGTGAAAAGGATCGAGCCAAGTTGGGCATGAAGTATGTTGTTATAATTACATAAGGATTTATCATGCATATTTGCATTTTGCATTAAACTTGACAAATAATTGGACGACTTTCGAGCTGGATATTTGTATTAAAAAACAAGTATATTTTTCACTGGTTTCCTCTGAATTATTGATGCTGCTGAGGTAACATCCTCCCTTATCAAATGAATGGCAATGAACTTTTGATAAGCCTAACCAAAACAAATGATGAGGGAATTCACAATAATTTGTACTTATCAGCTCATTATCAATGATCGGAGTCACCTATTGCACTTTTATGACTAATTGAGAAGAATGGTTGCACGCTATGACGTACTTTCATGTGATGAATTACAACTATGTGAATATTTAACTCTCATTTCTTCAAATTTTTCAGCTACGACAAGAAAGCGAATGAAGTTCAAATGCTACAAAACAAATTGGCCCAACTCAAGGCACAGATTGAAAAGCTCACGTCAGATTTGATGAAGTCGCACGATGACAGGGACAAACTGGCCAGAGATAATTCGGTAATACTTCATAAAGTCATATCGTGGTGGATAATGCATGAAAAATGAAAATGATTTTATGTTATATTTCTAATTTACTTTAACTAACAATGCAACTAGCGTCCTTGGCTTAATGATGAGTACATTTAAAGTGCGTCTAATCTAAATGCGTTGCCTCGTTAATGTGTATGCATATGTGTAAAGAATGTAAATGTACGAGTGTATATGAAGAACCAATAGCGATGACAGGAAATATTTTCACATTCGGTTGTTGTTTACTCATTATCGTCACTCAAATGACAGGAAATGAATATCTAACAAAACCCAACACATTATTTTTATGTGCATGCGTTTAATTATTAATTTCAGGATCTTCTCGACGAAAACGCTCGTCTTATCCAAGAGCTGGAAGAGATGCGAAATGGTTTGGAGAGAGCAGCCATGCAAAAAATTGAGCTTCAAAGCCATATCAAAGGAAATGCTGAAGAATTTGCAGTCAAGACCCAAATTTTCGAACAAGAAATTGGTTGGTTGATATTTTTACTTGATTCTATGAATGGAATGTGTTCAAAATAATAATTTTGATAAATCTAAGCATTCATCCACTCATTAGTATGATCAAAAACTAATTACGATATTTATGATTGCAGAGAACTTCAAAAAACACAGAGAGATTGAAATCAATGAAATGGATAACCGACTTCAGAAGGTCAGTCGAACAACAACAAGAATCAGTCGAGCAGTATGTGCATACTCCAGCCAGCAGGGACTTGGGGTCTTTATTTATTTGAATTTGAATGTGCAAAGCTCATTAGTGAAAATAGTTACATATTTGTAACATCATACAATCGTACTAATTTCAACCAAAAAGCACAAGCACCTTTAGTTAACAACACCGTATTTTAGAAATGTGAATAATTTTTACATACGTAATTCACATCAATCCCACGTAGTTGCATGCATTTAATTAACTAACACGATTCACCAAATAGATAGTCCCACAAATTAATTGAGCAAATAGTAAATGTAGAGACATGTTTGTTTTGCAGAAATATGAGTCAATGCTCGAAAATGATATACAAGCATTGAGGTAAATTGATATACATGTAAATTCTTATAAAATGCTAAATGAGTCGTTCCAGTTCCGCCACATATGTAGAAATGTGCATAACAATATGTATTGCACACTTTCCAGAGACGAATTTGATCGCCAAGCCCAGGCGAGCAGGGAAGCAATGGAGAACTTGTACAACGCCAAGGAAGCTGACCTTAAAAACCAAATCAAGAGGTTGAAAGACACAATCACGAGCAAGGGTGATGAGCTCAGCGCTGTTCAATCCAAGTTGGAATCAATGTAAGTGTTATGCATAGTTCTCTCTTTCTAGATGTTCCAAAATTTCTCATCTCCTACGTTATAATCTTGTTTAAAGCACCCAAAAGTTGTCGCAATTGGAGGGCGAACGGGTTTCATACCAGCAAATGATTCGAGATTTGCAAAAGAAAATCCAGGACGATGAGGAGGCGTATGCTCGGGACAGGGCTCGACTCGAGGGTGAGAATGAAGATCTTCGGCGACAGAAGGAAAATCTCATCAAGGAATATCAAGATTTATGGGATACTAAAACAGCGCTGGACAATGAAATTGCTACTTATCACGTCCTCCTCGAAGGGGAAGAAAGACGGTAAATAAAAAATAAATAATAAAGTGCAAATATTTAATTAGTCACTAAATACTTAAATTATTGATGGAAATTACATCACAGATTAAGCATGGAACCGGTGAAAGGAAGTCCACGCCAGACAACTACGACTAGACGTGAGACAACGGCATCGTCAAGTATCAAGTCCTCATTTACAGTTGTTTAAACTTGAATTAAAATAATAGCAAAGAAAACAACTAAAATTTTTGTGAAAAATGTTTAGGCACAAAATTATTCGTGTAAATAACTTCACTGCCTATTTTTATAATAGAAGAGATTTAACCTACACTGCTTATAATGTGATTTACTAGAATAATTTCTATATAAAAATTCTCTAAAAAAATTGGCGTATTTTAAATAGCTCTCTAAGCCACTGTTTTCAATCCCGTTAAGGCGTACTCCGTCCGTATATTACAAAATTCCGTCGGCATTAGAATTATTCAATTGGTTTATTTTTTTGGTAATAGTGGATATCTAAATTATGAATTGTTATTGGGCTGCTATTATAAACAGAAAATTTACAAGCTGTGCTAAATATGATTATGAATAGTAGTACTAATAAATTCAGATTTCATTAATAACAAGCATGTCTACGCGTATGTACATACAATGATATAAAAATTGTCCTAATACTCATGCCCATGAACATCATCATTTATCATCTTCAACATTCTCCATGCTCAATGATAAGCAGATCTTTGGTTTGTGTGTTTACATATATTTGTGCATTGCATGAAAACAGTGTATCAAGTTCATTTCTCATTACTACGCATATGAAAAGATGAAAACGTGGAAATCTCAGCATGCATACGCAGCGACAATGATGACCAACCAATATAAGGACTCACGACATTCAGTTTCTGTACTTATTTTACCACCACCGCTGCCATATCCACGCTTGATTATCTAATCAAGCACGTCGAGAAAAGATGAGCATCATCTTCCTCCTTCAACACCAACTTGGGCTTAAACAACTCATTATCAATTTCACATCATTCCTCTTCATTGATATGCAATAAGCATAATTCACAAGGTCCCTGCTTCATTATCATCATCGTTTCTTGCAGTCACTCGCCATTTAAATATTTTGTTATCCACCACCCAATGCACACATCTACTACTTGCTTTTAGTGGAAATAGCATTCGATACTCCAACGCAGGACATTTTGTGCTAAAAGTGACGGAAGACAAGGTTATTTTACCTCAATCAAGTGTAACCCCTACTGTCTCAACTCATCTTCGTTTTCATGAACACATCTCACTCTCAACAACAATTTCTGTAATTTGCTTACTTACTTTGTTGGTTATTAGCAAAGTCAATTTGTTCCCAGCAGAAGATGAGTCTCGCTGTCCTCTCATCTTTGTAGCATCATAAATCATTGCTGCCTCTTCTTCAACATGAGATTCCTTCCCAAAAACAATAATGGCACTAGTTGGCCCAAAGTTATTAACATTGATTTTGAGGAAAAATAGCACAATACCTGACCCATTAGTGCATTAGACATTGTGCGATGAAGATGGGCCATTGTTTGCTCATCTTCATTTTTCAGTGGTTGCTTCTTTGTTATGTTGAAAAGTGCGTATCTCAAGATGAGAAAAGCAGTGGGGTATCTCCAGAAGATGTGTTACCGAACCTTCCTCATGTGGCTACAAGACTTCCCTTTGATACAGGCGAAGTTGGATTGAGTTCCGAATCTGAAAAGGAAGCTGTGCCTTTTAACAAGACTGTTTTTCTTATCCCGATAACGGGAATACTTTTGGTTATCGCGATGGTGCTTTTGGTAAGAACATAGAATATTGCAAAGCATTCATTACTCACATGATCTCGCTTAATAATGCACGATTTGGTGACAGTATGTTTTCTACACGTGGAAAATGAACAAGGAGGAAAATGGAACTAATGTTGGAAAACCAAAAGTGGATGACGATTTTGCATTTACAGAAGATGACGAATCTTCAATTTCTGAACAGACAGAGGAACCTGAAATTCCAGTATTACAGCCGGGTAAGAACTTTGCAAATTAGACAAAGTAAAGTTTCATACAAAATTTATCCTACACTTTTTTGATGTATGGTATGAAGATTCACCACCAAGTTACATTGAAGCTACTTCTTGTATTACTACCAGTAACCCACACCCACCAATTTATTCTTCCACTCCAACCTTAATGTAGAATGTAGATGTATCTAGATGTAGAATGTCATGCAAGATGATGTATGATAATATTAGATATGTATAGTATGCAATGTATGCATGACCATCTCGGATTTGATTGCCAGTTAAACCTAGTCATTTGTTGAATTTGTGGTTTACTTGTTTTTGTTAAAAATGATAATAAATGTACATATGGTGCGAATTAAAATGTGTTAAACAATATCATTTATTAAAAGAACAATACCCATCAATAGTAACCTTTTAAGAACAACATTTGGATCTCATAATGGCAAATGTTCCAGTTGCGTGACAGACTTCCAGGTCTGATTGATGGTAGCCCTCTGGACACTGTGGGAAAACGAGACATCCGGTCCAAAGGCACCGTGTTCCAACAGAGGCTGTGTTGAAATGACTACTTGATTTTTTGGGTAATCCAACTTGTTAGCTGTTTACAAAGTATAATTTATTACCTGTTTGCGCTGTAGGAATAGCAAACAACAAGATGCAACAAGTGAAGAGTAATAATGTCTTCATCGTGATAATGAAGATCCAGGAATGCGGAATATGAATTAGGTAACGACAAGAAATCTCAGACTAGTGTTGATCATAGTGGATCCGTTCTATTTATATGTTTTGCGTTTTCATGAAAGTGAGTAAACACCACCAATAATAATTGATGAAAAAACGAATAACACAATTTTAATGGATTGTTGCCTAATAAATCTTGTTTACTTTAATTAATCTCGAATTTTCTGACTCCCAGTAAACGAACTGACATTAAAGCGTATACATTTTTTACCCCCACGGTTAAAATATAAATGTAAATAATTCAGTACTTAGCATTTCTTAACTAACAGTTTTAAATACGAAAAATAGACCACATTCTGAGCAAATATTCTCATCACATTTAAGTCTTCTCTTCGTCACTGTAATCTTCAATTTCATATTCTTCGAGATCTTCTTCATATTGTGCTCCAATTGTGGGCTGATCAATTTGTATTTTCTCATTTTCATTTTGCTCGACAATATCTTCTAATTCATCCACTTCCTGGCTTTGATCATCATTTGCGTCCTCAGTTGCATCCTTTTCGCTGAGAGAATGCTGAACCCTAAGTAAAAAAATCAATTACTGTGATAAAATCAAAACGCTGGGTAAAAAGGCTTGCAGTAGGAATTTACAGTATAAATTTTGTATAAATATATGTATGAATTTTATACATACCGTGGCTGCTTTTTTCTTTCGATGATTCCCAATTTCATGATAAACTCCCTCTGATCTATGAGTAACAATAGTAAATTAGATATGCGGAGCATATGTATGTAACATTGATTTTACAGTGCATAGGCATACCCTGCATCCAAATTGACGAATGTTTCCTAATCAACTTGCTATAAAACGGTATTACTTCAGAGTAAAAATTCATTTGTATGGCTCCTTCATGTGGAAATATTTGTTTAGCAATCTCGCAACTGCAAATTTATTGGTAAATTGAAAGCATTTATTTAGTTGTTTATTAACACGTTGATTAATTATTTAATGACCTTTTCTGAATTCTAACTCGTGCATCTGTCAGCATCGGCTTATTCAAAGGTCGCCACTGGTTTTTTGTTTTGTGGACATTACAATACATCAGCCCACGAGAAGCAATCAACAGAGCAATCTCTTCACGAGATTCCAATTCCTAGTGAAAGTAATCAATTCTCAATACATATAATTAAATAATGAAGAAAACCACATCAATCGATCTTAAGGAACAACCTTGTAACTCCGTGATGCCGTTCCACTGGCATCAAACGGCCAACGTGAGAGTAAGAACTCCGAATCGGCTAGAAATTCACTTGCTAAGACGACATCGTCCATGGACCCAAAGAAAGGAGTATAATTTTGCTGTAGAAAGTTTATAAATGTATCCGCTGAGACCTCCATTTTTTCAATTACACACTGTGGATCGTCTTCCAATGGATTATGACGCAGATATTTCTCAGCTGACTCGGGAACGTCATTGTTTAGTTCGACGTTTTGCAGAACATTTCCTTTTAATGAAAATTGAACTATAATTTGCAATCAAAATTATATTATCTAATACAATTTTGCGTACTTTTGGAGTATAAAATTTTTCCCAGAGCTCGAAAAATGAATAGCGTATTATCTTTCTCCACATCAGAAAATTTATGCGCATCTTTTAGAGGAGGGCATTTTATCTTTTTCCCAAGGGGAGCCTTGAAAGCCTTGAAATTTGGAGATTCTAGTGGCGAATCGGCTATTAAAAACAAACGCTAATACAGACAGACATTTACATATGTATACGTAGATAGCATATTCACCTACCTGGAGTAAATTTAAACTGTAAAGTATTCACTGCACATCGTAAATCCCCTCCACTAGCATTTGCAATGGCTTCCAACACAGACTTATCTGCATCAACTCCTTCCTTAGAGCAAATGGTAGTCATAAACTTAACCATGAACGAAGTAGCAACCGAATTGAATCTAAAAAGAACAATAGTTTGAGTGTAATTATAAACTGAAAACAAATGCACAAATAAATGTAATCAACTGAACATAAAACTTACGATATGTAACCAATATTGAGCTCCTGAATTAGTGACTTTGGGAATAAATTGTTAACGTTCCTTTCCCGTGAAGCGCTGTCAGCAATGATGAAAATAACTGGAAACACGCTCAGCGAAGCAAATGGCCTGTTTTCGAAGCAAGGTTAACAGTAATTATTATGTATAACCATTATAATTTAACGTGTTTTTAATGTCGACTAAATATTATTTATATGGCACTCAGGTACTCACTTTAAAATGTTATTATGAAATTGACTGGAATTCTTATAAAACAGATTCGGAAAATCCTCCACGATAATCAGTTTGTGTTTTGATTGTGTTCGCCCTTTTATTGGGATTGTAGAATATTGGGACGCTCGGAAAAGGAAATTGGTAAATATATCAAATTGACTTTCAACTTTGATGTCATCTGGATCAAATTTTCCTGTAATTGAATCACTAATCGAATTACTAAATGGATCTTTAATGGTTTATTAATATATAATATATTCGTACCCAGTCGATCCGCATTGTAGTCAGTTAAAGACATTGGATTAACCCATTCTTTAATTTCCAAACCCAATTCTTTTGCGGCTAAGAAAACTGTTGCTGTTTTGCCAGCTCCGGAAGGTCCCGTTACAACGCATATTTTACTCTATAAAGAATAATTAACGATCGTGAAAAAGCAGAACAAAAATAGAGTTCTGAAAAATGAGTAAAGTATACAATAATTATAATTAATACCGAACGAACAGCTCGATTACTGCTCATCGTAGCCTTCATCCATGAAGTGACTTCCTCCACCTTCTTTTTGTGAACAAACAATTCATCTAAATTGGAAGGCAAGTTTCGATCCACCCACGTACACCCCTTGATTTTCTTTCCTTTCCTTAGAAGTATGTCTTTCTGGCTTGTCTTATTGTTTGTCTCCATCCTTGCAGCAGCCTGAAGCTTTTGGATTTGCGAAACTTTTTTCCCATCTCCTGTCCCATAGCCGATCTTTGGTTTAGTAGAAGGTGGTGTTCCAGAGGTTGAAGGGATGACCTTGGAACTGGAAGATCCTCCGTGAAATTCTTTATTAACATCGTTCGTATCCTTTGTACGTCTGATTCGCCTTGGTGGTCTACTCTGGACAGGAAAGGGTTCACCATCATCATCTCCCAAATCTATGTATACTATGTCGTCGTCTTCGAGTCGTATCCTCTTGTGCGCTTGTTCATCCGCTTCTTGGTCAGCCATGTTACACCCAAACCAAGGAAGAAACTTGTATTTTGGTGTACTATAATTATGCAAAATAGTAAACTATTACAATTACGTGCGATTATGAGATAATATTTGTAGAAAATAACAAAGATCAACCAATGCAATAACTCATTATTAGAACTGAGCACTCACTTGTAAAATAAATAACAAAAGTAGTAATTAGTAAATTACTAATTAATAGTTATCCCGTATGAATGATGTGACAATACATGGGCCCAACAAGAGAACGTTGAACACAGAAAAATATCATGTGTCGGTAAATTTCCCGGGGTTTTGGATGGAACACGATGAAATGTGAAATGAAAACATGCCTTTGTTTTGTTTTTCATGCGAAATTATTGTTTTTAGATGGGCAATGCATGGACAATTCACTGATTGTCCGAGAATCAGTCGTACTATGATATAAATAAGCTTAAATTTCATAAGCATTATTAAATGAAAAACAGCATCTAATCTCCTCAATGAATTATGCAAACATACATATATTTTATTATGTAGTTGTTGACAATCACAGATTTTTCATGGTCACTATATATTCCCTTCTCTTAATCTTCTTCTTCTGTCGTACTGTCCCCAGATCGTACATCTGCATCTCCCTCGCCTTCCTCATCCTCAGCCGTGTCGTCCAAAGTGGTCTCGCCGGAGAGGTCCATCTCGAGAATGAGGACGGTTCGACGGTCCTCGCCCAAAAGGGAACCGACTTTTCGAGCCGAACTCACGGTCAGGGCACGTGGAGCGAAGCCCTCGATTGGGAGAACATAGTCAATATTTGACGACGGAGACAAAGCAGCCCCAGGTTTATACATGTTCAAAGGCACTTCTACACGGGTGTTGTGGGGCAGGGTTGGTTTTCCGCCACATTTTGACCTCAGTGAGGACACGTCAACTTCAACAGCGTGGGAAACGATGGACACGTAAGGTATTTGACAGACGATAGTTCTTCCAACGTCCTGCTCTCTTTCGCTACGTTTATCCTCTTGATCATATGATACCAAGGTCATGTAGTCAATTGAAAATATTTCGAAGCACTGAACATTACGGGATATGTGGAGAATGGTAGATTTTAACATTGGTTTTTTATTGTCGAGTAAATTCACTTCAAACAGCAGTATTTGTTTTGAGTCAAGCATTGTGGTCAAGTAAGTTTTTGATTGGGATTCGTTTAAAAATAGAGAAAATTGGTTTAATTGACGATTACCATGTTCCTCAGTTGGTATTTTGATAATGGGAAAAGTATCCGCTTCGAAGGGAACATTGCATAAAACTGGGATGCAAAGTAGACTTTTTGTTAAGCTGTTAACTTTGGGAACAATATTTGTAATCAAATCCTTCACTTGATGCTCCGAGTAATCCAATAGTAAGGGATGACCTTCGTCTCCAACAAAATCTGATTTCTTCAGAATGTTGTGAACCAGATTTGCAAAATTTTGATAATTATTTACCCCTCCATCAGGATTCATGACGTTGGAGAAAATGTTCTTTGATGACATTATTGGTATACTGTTGCTAGTGACCTTCTTTTTCGAAGTGTTCCTTTCAGTGTAGCCTAACTTGACATTTGCAAAGAGATATTTGAGAATGTCCTTGTTCACTTTGGTTTGCAAAAACTCTAAAACTTTGTCTGTGTCTGAATCCTCTTCAATAAAATCTGGCAGATCTTGAATGTTGAAGGAGTGAATTGTGTTCATAATCAAATTCATAAAATGTAAACAAAGCTCAACAAAGTTGTGTATTAAACCCTGCATATTGAGAATAGCCAAGAAAAAGTACGTGACAGCTTTTCTAATTTCAATGAGGATGCTGTTGGCTTCTTCATATTCTGAGACTTGCTTTAAAAATCCACCAATTTCGTTCAACTCTGTCAACATATTTGTAATTGAACATTTAATTGTTCGAATGTGCTCGATGATGCTTGCTGTTGCAGAATTGATAACATTGATATTTTTCTTTGCTTCCTTTTCTCTTCCCACGCTGCCCAGGAATATTTCCATTTCGACGGTACTTATACCCGTGAGGGCCAACTCCAAATAATCAATTCTCGTCACTTCAATCTCCTTCATCCCACCAAATGTCATGTAGCTCTGATATACGTCGACAATTTTCGTCCAAGATTCACTTAAACTTGAAAATTCTCCTTGTATAGTGGCCCAACTTTTAAGAAACAAGATGTAACGAAGTCCGAGCGGTCTTATAATTGGAGCCATTTTCGGTAGTAGGTCATTTCTGAAATGGCTAAATGTTATTGTCACATCCGTGTCTTTGTTGGAGGTGGTTTCGGAACACTCTTGAGACAGAAAAATAAAGGACTGCAGACTAAGTGTTGAATCCACCTGAAGGATACGCAGTGGGGCTGGGTCCTCAGAAACTTTTATGCATAAACCCAAAAGAAATCCCCCAGTATAAGCATAGACATAGCCGTCCGCCGTTCCGAGGAACAAAATACTGAGATTAGATTCTAGTCGCTGAATCTGTTGCTGCCGGAAGTGGGATGACAGACACTGTAGGTTATTTAATCATTACGTTTAGTACATCATCAAAATCAGGAAACTGTAAGGCACCATATTAACTTATATACATTAATTGACTTGGTATATATACCTCATTTAAGCAATGTTGATATTGTGAGGTACACCATCGAGCCGTTGTAATGTTGAATGAGATTTCATGATTATGGACAACTTTCCCACCTTCCACGTCAATTACAAAGGTTGTTTCTCCTGAAACACAATGGATTACATAAAATTATTAGTAGTGTAGTGAGGGCCACTATCTTGGCGTTCTAGATATACCTGATACAACAACAAGAAAGAGCCCTTCGGGATGCCACGTCATGATCTCGGGAACAACTGGCTCATCTTTTAATGTCAGAGAAACTTGCCAAACCTTTTGCCAGGACAATCGATGAAGGTAGATATTTCCTGGCAAAGCATAAAATATAGATTATTTAAATGTGTTTGGACGGTAGTATTTGATGCGGCAACGCTCCGTGTCTTGGGAGAATGTTATTAATGTCAATTTCCTAAACATTAAACATTCTCCCCTGAAGACACCGAGCATCGCTGATTTGAGGACATTTTGAGGACAAAAAGATAAAAGTACTACAACATTCTTGAATTTTGGAAATTTCAAATATAAATTATTAACTTCAGGCTTTTCCGTAAAATATGAATACACATACGAACCAGTGATATTTCCCAGTGCGAGTAAATCCATCTTGGGTGACCACGACATGACTACGATTTCTTCAGTCGTTTGCCTGGTGTCGAGCACTTTGAGTTTCGGCATCCTTGCTAGATTCGCAAACAAACTGTGAACAATCAAGATGTACCATTTATATTACCTCTAAACGCACATCAATTGAATGATAAATAACAATAATAAATCTATTACACTTTCACCTTTGACAAAGAATTAAGGTGAACAACGCCTTTGTTCAAAGTGAAAGTAAATTATTTTGCAACGGTCAAGTGGGTCAGGTGATTTCCAATGAGTTATTTATAATGCTTATTTATATTCGATAATTTAAATGCAATCTAAAAAGTGTCAACAAAAGCTTCCAGTCAATTATCCAGTTCACTTCATGCTGCAGCATTGGACCCCGCTTCTAATTTCTACGTCTCACATTGTATATTGCACCATGCATTTTCATGATCTGTAAAAATGCGATCGATTCATGAATTTCATCAAAATAATACATGAAAAACATTTCATCCATTTTAAATTTTAAAATGATTTTTCAAACGGTTTTGAGGACTAGATTTTAAGAAACTATACAGTTTTATTTCCACTCGACCAAGCTTTCTACAACGAATGTTGACTTAATCAGGGACACGGTCACCTTTAATTTCATAATTGACAATTTTAATATGAAATTAAAACCTCGCCAGGGCAGGATAATGTTGCAAGATTGCAAAGAAAATAGGTAAATAAATCTGCGCATGAATTTTACTTCATAGGGTAATATACATATCTATTTTATTTATTGATTGAAGCTATTGCCATTTTTTCTTTAAAAGTGCTTTATCAGTTGTCGACTTTCTACACCAGCACAGTCTGAAAAGCTGAACCAGAATCAAAATGAAAACTAGAACAGTGATCACGAGGAACATGATGATGTCGAAAGAGTGGTACTGGAAGGTGGTGAGTTTTCGAGCTGTGGACCTCAACTGGGAGGCTCCTTTATGTCGCAAAACATACTCCGTCCAGAACACGGCCGTTTTCAGAGGACTTTCAGCCCGGTCGCGAAATATTTTCGCTGCTTGCTTTGCATTGTCCGCATATCTGCGCCAACATTGCATCAGTTAACACGTTAATAGCTTTATAAATTCATCTGCTTAAAGGAAAGAACAAAACTGATGAGTAATTCTCACGTTGAATTCTTCAAAATATAATTAATCGCAACTTCCAATTTCTCCTCAGTCAAGTCCATTATTTCAAGTGTGAGAGAAAATCCCAATTTCTCTGTCTGTAACATATTCACATCCTGGTCGACCGCAAATGGAATTCCCAAAATTGGGACGCCATGATATGTGCTCTCCTGAGTGCTCAATAGTCCTCCGTGACTTATGAATAACTTGATATTCTTGTGACCTGGTCAGGCAAATGTATGCGATGCAAATAAATATTCTTGTAAATATCTATCATTCACAACAACAGTGTCAGCTTACCAAGAACGTCCTGCTGAGATAACCATTTATTCAATTTAACGTTTGCTGGAAGGTTCGTCATTTGCTCCGATTCAAATTTCCAAAGCACCCTTTGCTTTAATCTGGAAAACACATTTAAGAACATTTTTCTAGTTTCCTCCGGAAGAGTGACTCCTTTTATCACGGATCCCAAACTAAAGAAAATGAAACCTTCCGGCGCAGCGGACAGCCACTCATCCAAATTCTTGTAATTAAAATAGAAAATTATAACTTCTTTTTAAGAGAGTTGATGCATGTTCTGCAAGTTTGTGCTGACCTGTGGCAAAGGCTCAGCTCCCCGGCAATGAATTCCCCCAATTTCCACAATATCTGGGAAAACAGGTCTTGGACTGTTGATGGAGAAATGACTATTACTGAAAATCATGCTGACACCGGATTCAATCTGAGCCACGTCGGGATAGTCTTGCCCAAGATATTTTCGGTAGATTTCTGTATTTGACGGAACAACAACTCGAACGAAAAGAAAATTAAACGTCCAAGTCATCAGAGAGTTGACCAAACGTTGCCAAAAGGTCATGTCATCCGAAAATTCCAACATTGGATTAGGGACAAAAGACGGTGGCATACGCATTCCCGTCATTTGTGCAATGAATCCCGATACCGGCATACTGCTCATGCTGATAAATGGAGCTTGAAATTTATGTACCAAGCCGTCAAAACAATTGTTGAAATTTGAGCTAATAATTAGCAAATCAAACTGCTCCTCAAGTAATGCTTGAAATTCTGGGTTGTTGAAAACTGCATGACATCCATCGAAAATAAATTGGAACTCAAATGACATAATCCACGCCAACTTGTTCCGACTTCGTCTCCTGCTTTCGATTGGATCCGTGGCGACATTGTCAAAGTCTTCCAACACAAAAGGAGCAATTGGGACGATTTCCTTAAAGTTATTGAGTTTGATATTGGAAGGCGAAGGAGTCACAAATGTAATATTGTGCCCCTTCAAAGCTAATTCTTTCGCTAATGGGGTGAACAAATGAGTCTCACTTCTCGTGGCCAATGGTAAGATAAAGAGTATCCTTTCTGCAGAAGCAATTTGAGTGAAAGCGACCACTATAATAAATAAGGATGACGCTACGGGTACAAAATGACCCATATTAAAAGAGAAATTTTGTAGATAAATTGTCCACTATACGAGTCGATGGGACAGCAAAAGCATACTAACCGAAAGTAACACAATTGTTGAAATGTCCTTGAGTTATATCATCATTCTGCTTAATTCTCACCGACTCAGATATGTATAGTGCATGAAGGCATGAAGTATCCAGCAATATAACAAACCAATTACGTATGCAGTGTTTTTGCATGAATCTGAAAGAGTATTACATCATACGAGATGTATCGGACTCTACGAAAAAGTATAAAGAAAGTATGAAGAAAAATGTTTTTTATGTATATAAAAACTTACAATGTAGATTTCGTTCAGAACGAATCAGAGAGATTTACTAAGTTTTTTATATGACCAACTACAGGATTACTATGTAAAGTTGTAAATTCTTTGTTCTGGGTTGCACTTCAAACTTCGGCCTTCATTCAGAACTTCACCTTTTCCCGACTCTTTGCAAATAAATACATCGCTCTGGGGTTTCGGACGACGATGGTACATATTTTATATCCTTTTGCCATAAAACGGTAATTAAATATTTACAGTATATTCCGATTTCAAAGTATAATAGACAGACATACATATGACGAGACCGGTAAAAGCCGCTTGATAAAAGTCGATTGGTAGGCAATAAACCACCCATAATTGTTTTGAAGTCAGCGATAACTTTTCCTGACCGAAAATTAACAGATTTAATTATGGTTTAGACAAAATGAACTTGAAACTGTGAAATCTGTATTCAAAATGCATATTACGTATTTCGTGATTGATGAAACTCTGGCTACTAGTACATTTGCTGTATGATTGACGTAGTATCTGCTAGACTTTAATGAAAACTAGTGAACTATGATTGTTTCATTTTTTGTATTTTTATTTCAAAAATTGCAAAGGTGATCATTTAAAATCATTGTACATCGTAATTAATCAAATTCTAAAAAATTACCAGTAAATAAAATACAGACACTTGCATAAAAATGAACTGAGATTTCTGTAAACTCTAATTAAGCTGTACGTAGAATAAAAATATTTCAAATGAAACGAAATATGATTAAATCTAAATAGGTAAGTTTCAATAAAAATACGATAAAGCTTAAAGTTTCAAGGCCTGATGGCGTACTCGGACAGGTCCAATGAGAATACTTTGCTGACAACACAATCTCCAGGCTATAAAACAAACATATTAATAAAATGAAGTAAATATATTATCTATCACAGGCTTATGAGTAGTCGGCATAAAGAACTTACAGATGCGTCCGGAGCAATTCCAATAAGAGCATCAGAATGACTGTAAAACTCTTCTTTCAAAGAAATTACAACAATCTGGAGGTCCCCAGTTCTTTGTCGGATAAAGCTGGCAACTTTACCAATATTTGTATTATCCAATGCAGCATCAATCTCATCCAGAACAAAGAAAGGGGCCGGTTGGTAGCTGAAATGAAACGCGATCAATTAGTCTTGAATTTTACTCTACATAGTCTCAACTCAAAAAGTGATAGTAGAATAGACGACCATATTAGGTTAGTTTTAAGAAATTTCAAAATTATTTTTATTACATTGAAAAGCCAGTTAAATTTCACGTAGAAAACATGTATTAAACTTGAAAATATATTCCTCTTGTGACCATGAAGAATTGGTCACGAAAGAGAAAGCTCCATCAAAAATACGCACGGAATTAATGGACAAAGTGTATCATTCCCGGGTCAGAAATTTTTTTGTGACCCTGACGCATATATGGGGCTCAGAACAGACCTTCTCCTCAATTTTAATCAATATTTGATGGTAAAGTTGTCTGCGGTTCGAAAATGCCAGGGTCAAACCTAAAGTGCAAATGAAATCAGAAATATGGATTTTAATCCAGTTTTTCACGAATTTCGATGTAAATGTTACTGTGGACCCCTTAACAAAGGTCGGTGGCTTTTCACCCAATATGGACTAGTTGAGGGGGTGTTCCATCTTCACCAGGACGTTTATCAAATATTTTTTTAAACTATCTCCTCTCCTTAATCAAGGAAATTGTGCTGTTTTTGCTCAATTCCGCCGATTCCCGCCAAAACCATGAACGGAGTTTGATAAGATGACATTTTGACCTCTATTTTGTCATAAGCTAACCCTTAGAATATTTGGCATAAAACGTATTAGTTTTTTTGCTGAAATATGTTTCGGTCGTAAAGAAATTATCATCGGTAAACGGGTTAGTTTTTTTGGTTTTTTTTTACCGTACCGTTTGGGGAGGGAGGTCGATTTTTGTACCCTTGCTTTGGCCTGGGAAATTTGTAACATGTGACGCTTTCTAATCGAAAAGACCTTCATCTTAGAGTCACTTTTAAGTGCTAATCTGATCTCTAAAGTTGAAAGGTCATTTGTTTGGCCAAAGTCTCCGGTGTCGGACAGAGATGCTATTTATGCTATTCTGGTGTTTAAGCTTCGGACATCACTGAAGTCCTCCATGACCTTGGACAACCGGAACTTTTATGTCATAGATAGACACTGTCTCTGGGATTACTTTAATAGTTTGGGCAATCAGATCGTAGTTGTACTTGGGTTGCTACACTTCATCAAACATTGTGCATTTTTTTCTCGTGCAAAAAGTGAAAAATTATTGCCGCCCGCGTGTAGCTAAGCTTCTCCTACTTTTGACCTAGTGATGTCAAGTAAAAGCGGTCAACACCAATGATAGGCACTGAATGTATGCACAAACCGCAATTGACCTTTTAATTTTATGTTGACCGGTTAAAAAACTACGCTCTACTATCACTTCTTATGGTAAGACTATGTAATTATAATATTCCTGAGAATTATGCGAATCAAAATCGAAAGCTCGAATAAACAGTTGCTTAAATAATGGTGTACAACCTGTGAATAGCAAATAGTAGGGCTAACGCAGCGACAGTCTTCTCTCCGCCAGATAAGTTACTCATGGACTGAAATCGTTTACCAGGAGCGACACAGTTGTAGCTTATCCCATCTAAATATGGCTCTTCAGGATTTTCTGGTCCTAGAATTGCTTGTGCAGATTGCTGGCAACATATTTGGGAAAATTATCAAATTATCAGAAAATCATAAACAGCTACTTTGTTCATTTATACACATATCATACGTTTTGGGCAAGGGATTTGTAAATTCCGTCAATACTACTTGCAACATGATCATAACACATCATGAATTTCCTGTGACGGTCATTTTTCACTTTTTCAAATGCAGATTTCGCTGATTTTGCTCGTTTTCGCGCACTGTCAAACTCTTCATTTGTTTCTAGAAGCTTTTCTCTTGCACTTTCCAGTTTTTGATTCGCCTATTATTTCACAACAATAGAATGATTATGATAGCTCCATGTAAATTATACCAATTGATATTAGTGTCATTGCCTTCATGTTTGGAGCCTGAATTTTGACTAACAGATTGTGCAAGTCTTGAAGCTTCTTATTCAGTTGATCGAGTGCTTTTTTGGTTTCGTCAGAACTCAACGAGGTTAATTCATCAGGAAGAGAATCATAGTCGATTTTTAGGCTATATAATTTACAAACATACGGTAAATAACAAGCGCAATAACAATTGATTTATAAGAAATCATTTGAATAAAATTTAGATTACTTACAGAGCTTCTTTTGCATAAATATTTTGAGAGGTAACATTTCCCTCGTCTTGAGAGTCCTGCATACCCGTCCCATCAGTCTCAATGTCATCTAGACTTCCTTCAGTGAATGGGATGCGAATGTCATTAATCTGTAATGGCATTTATTATTATACACAAAAACATTTACTTGAATATAATCTGTACAGAATCGGTATGGTACTACCTTGCAATGTTTCAACAGACCGTGTTTTTCGCTTTTCTTCTGCTCTGTCTTGCCTTCAAGCTGTGAAATAACCTTTTGGACAGTCTGAATTTCTTTAGCTGCCGACCCAACGTCTCTTCGAGCTTTACCAATTTCATCATCCTACATATTCAAAACAAACAAGAATGTTTAAGCGACACCTAAACTAATTGTTAATTAATAAATTACTCTGGATTTTTATTACCTTTGCAGAAATACTCTTCTTAATTTCACTGATTTCTTTTTTAATGACATCGAAATTTTGAACCAACAGGTCTACTGCTTCCTTGGTCTCTTTTTCTTTTTCCTGCTTTTCTTGCAAAGCCTCTTCCAATTCAGACTGAGTCTTTTCCCATCGAGATACATTTCCGACAACTATTTAAGTAAAAAAAAATATAAATAAATACAATATGAATGAAGTAAACAAAAAAAAATATGCCAGGTTCTGTAGTTTCAACTTTATGCTGTCATACCACTTTCTGCACGAGTTATTTCAAAATCAATCTGAGATTGAATTTGCTCTTTTTGGTTTTGAAATTCCATTCGCCTTTGCTCCCGTTCCTGTTGAGTTCTACAAGTCAAATCAAGGCAATTGAATTCATAGTTAGTTATCAATACGCCAAACCCGAAAGCAAATGAGAATATAAGTCTACCGTAGTTCCCGTTCCTCATATTGTCGAATATTTGCAACTCCTATTTGGTGGCAAAACGACCCGAAACATTCATCTTCTATTCGATTCAAGCTAGTCTTTAATATCTGAATTTCATCATCCCTTCTGCTGATTTTTGCTTCTGTAACTTTAATCTTCCCCTGCAATATAAAAGTAAAGGAAACATTTCGCATAATAAAGATCCTTAACTCGATCTTAATTCATTTTATTATATATATCTTTTTACTTACGTTAACAGAATCCAACTCTTCTTTGACTTCCTCCAATTGTCGCTTAAGACTTTGAATCTGCTTCAACTATAGTTATTTTCGGCAATAAAAAGAATATGAATTTGAATTTATACATGCACTATTAACCAATTATTAAATATTGATAAACTTACAGTTTGTTCTCGATCCCCTTTGGCATATTTATGCCTGGTTTCGAGCCCTTGAATTTGCTGTTCAACTGTATTCAACTCAGATTCTTTCCTCGATTTCTTCATAGCCTCTCGAAGTTCTTCTGTGATTCGATCCTTGTCCTGTTTATACTTTGTCAGTTGTTTATCATCCCATCTTTGGGCCTTTTTCAGCAGATCCAAGGTACCACCAGACATAATTCCCGATCTGTGAAAAAAAATGTAAAGAGAGATTAGAGCAGGCAAACACAATTTTGAATTACACAATATTTCTTTACCTCGTGAAAAATGTACCATCTAGAGCTACCGCCTAGGTTAGGAAAAATCAATGAGTGACATCATGGACATCAACGCATATAGATTACATTCACATGACTAAAAAATTGACTCACATCAAATCTCTGTCCTTGCTCTAAATCATAAGCAACCCTGTTGGCATCCTCCTGAGTTTCACAAACTAGGGCATTGTTTGTACAAAATAGAACAGCCTTCTGAATTTCTTTAGGCTTAAAGTCCAAAATGTCATACAACAAGTGCACGTTTGAAGGGTCACGAATGTTCCTAAAATGAATATGGTATACAGTTAAAATGTATGGGCATATAGATGAATTCAAGTAATAAATAAATAAACGCTACCTTAATCTTTCCCGGATTGGCTTAGCGTCAATTGTGTCAAGGGGAAGAAAGGTTTCAGGCTCCAACATTTGTTCTTTTAAGTACTGGATGCAAGACCGGGCAGTTTTTTCATTGTCCACGACAATGGCTGACATAAAAAAATCACATAATTATACTCTCGACAATCCTTTCTTCGAACACAAGACGATTGACTTAGATATTTGTAATACAATGCGACATTTCTGCCTTCGTACTATATATATGGGCGTATGTACTAACCTTCCATATATTTTCCCATAACTTTTGTGACAGCTACTTTGTACTTGGAATGTCTCGGATTGCACATATTAATCATTCTATCATACTGAACAAATATAATATATGTTTATCATTTAGCTCAATAATTAGACGCAGTCAGTGTTTGGAAATATTATTAATTATTACCACTCCGGGAAAGTGTGACTTAAAAGTCTCGACAATTTCTTGCTTCTTCTTTCTACGTGCTTCCTCATGTTTATCAACTCGTGCATCTCCGAGTCTCATGTTCACATCATCCAACTCCCGTTGCAAGTTGCCTAGTTTGCCTGCAAAACGCATAAATATAAAAATATTACTTTATCTAAATGATTAAATTAGCATGAAGTGTAATTATTTTTAAAAGCACAAAAAAAGAATCAACAAAATTGTACATACCTTTGGATGTGTGCACTTCTCCTTGCAACTCAGTCCGGATGCGTTGCTGTTCATCCAAAGATGTTTCGTACATTTTAATATGTTCACTCAATTTTTCAACTCGCTTGCTAGACTCGGACATCTCATGACTCGATTGTTTCAATTTACTGTCCAAATCAATTTTCTGACGCTGAAAACTGTCTAGTGCCTCCTGGTCATCTTTTTGCTGGCGATTCACACCGTTTAACTTGGAGGTTTTATCCCTAGATTTTTCTTGGACCTTCTTTTTGAGTTCCCAATATTCTTTAAGCTAAACACACCATCAAGATATTTAAGTTATTGTCACACTAACTTAGACACTATTGAGCATGCAATAATATCACTTTTGTACCTGACTATCTTGTAGCGTAATGTCTCTCCCTTGACTTTGACTGTCATTTGCTGTTCTCGCCAAATATTCCTTCTCCAGTTCCTCAACTTCTTCAATTTGCTTTCGGAGCTCAGCAATATCTCCATCATGGGCATCTTTGGCCTACAAGAAAAATAAATGTAAAAGTACAATAAATGTTCTCTCTAGCTACAATCTTTGAAACTTTGGGTAACCACAATATACCTTGGCAGCTTGCTCCAAAGATTTCTTGGCTGTTTCCAGCTTCTTTTTTATATGTGCCACATTCTCTTTGGCCTTGACATACTCTGGCTTCTTGGCATTAAGTTCCCGTTCTTTTTCTCGTTGAAAAGTCTCCTTGCCTGCCAAATCTCGATTTAAATTCCCAAGTTCTTTCTTTTTCTCTCGTAAATCTGCATCCATTTGCTCTTTCTTTGTTTCCAAACGACCCATCTCGTTCTGTTTTGCTTCAATGTCTTCTTCAATTTTTTCCATATCGTCTTCAATATAATACAGTTTTACCAAATGCAATTGGACTTCTTTATCTCTCTAAATATTACATTAAGGATAATTAAAGACATGAATAAAATTTAAGAGCTACAAAAAATTTTCATTTCATACGTAATCGTCTTTTAGACGCTGATACTTCTCTGCTTCTTCCTTCTCTAGTTTTGCTTCTTTTCTCTCGGCAGCAATTCCCTTCTTTTTCAAATACGTGAACTGTGTATCCTCCTCTGCTTTTAACATTTCAGCTTTAGTTCGCTCGTACTCATCCTTTAGAGCACCAGAGCTATCATAAAACAAGTTAATTATTATAAGTATCTATATATAAATAACAATATTTCCAGGAAGTAACAAATGGGTTCTACTTTTACTTACCCACTGATCTCTTCGAACAAAGCTGTCCTTTCTTTGGGATTTTTCATCGCAATATTTTCAACAGCTCCTTGAAATACCAAAAAGTTCTTAGCTTTAACATTGATGCCAAGTTGTTCCAACTGGTTGGAGTATTGCTGTTGACCCACAACCTAAATACAACAGAAACAAAATTACAAATTGAATGTATACAATTTTATCAACTCTAATTTACAACTAACCACTCCATCAATACGGCATTCTGACGATGAGCCTTGAACAATTCTGGAAAACTTTTTCTCCATCCCGTCCTCCAATTCGAGAATGGCAGTAACAGAAGCGGATTTAGATACTGGATGACCCACGGATGCTCCATGAATTAAATCACTCAACCGTTTTACTCGAAGGGATGATGTTTTCTCTCCCATTACGAAACTAATTGCGTCCATGAAGTTGGACTTTCCTGAATACACAATTTATTTATTTGGCGTTTAATTAAATCACATCATATCATCATACAATATAATAATAAATAAATAAAGAAAAGAAACGAACCTGATCCATTCGGCCCAATAACGGCCATAAACGGTCGAAGAGGTCCAATCCTTACAAATCCTTTGTAAGATTTAAAGTTCTCCATGTCGATGTACTTTAGCGTCGCCGGCATCTTGATTTTGTACTTATCGTCGATGTCAGAGCAAAGTAAACAAGAAGTTGACTGGACGCTGCTGGGTTCGTAAAAGGCGAGCTCCTACGTCCCAGCGAGACTCTTCCACACCCCACTCACTGCACAAGTGGGGAAAACAACAAAGGACAATCTTAGCTTTTCGGCGATTAATTAATTTAGTTGAAAAATTAGAGATGCTAAAATTCCGACGGGAGAAGAGAATATAGTTCACTTCAGTTCAGAAGAAGCTGAGAATAAGGAAGCGGGTTGAGTTCCGATCCCCTCCGTCCGGGGTGGAGAGAGACCGTGAGACGCATGATCTGGGGTGAGACGGCTAAATAAAGGGCTTTGCTCTTTACTAGAACTGTGTGCACCATAAAATAAAATACAGGTCAATGACGTCAAAAATTTCCTTACTGGACGCATTCTTTTGTTATCAGGTGACATAACTATGAAAGTTGTATGAAGGTTGTATGTTTGGATCATGACAATTTCCATATTTTAGTTTTTTGTCGCCAATCTCAAATTGCCTCACTATCAGTAGCAAATAGCAACTAAATAACTGGAATATATGTTCGAGTAAGAATCTTTTCATCTTTAGTCAGAATTGCATATTTGCTAGAAATACTACTTGGTGCTGACATGTTTACTTCCATGTATTGCTTATACTTCCTGCAGTGTGGTTGTTGTCTTATCAGGATCACGATTATTTATGTAAACGGTTAATAATTGATATGCTGCATAATTGTCAATTATTCACTTCTAGCAACAATGGACAGGTCTTTATGGAAGAATGGACTTTGTGGATGACCGAGGTGGCGATGAAGGTCGTCCAATATTTTCAAGTGCAGAATACAGGAAATATGTAAAAAATGAGCATGCTTTTGACCTTTGTAAGAGGCAAGTTGAGATGAGGAATCAAGTGCTAATTGATGTATGACCCAGGAGATGTGTGAGATGAGATAAATGGAACGACAGAGTAAAAATAAGTGTGTATGTGAGTAAATATGAGCTTATTACTATGTTGACCTCTTTGAAGTTGAGGTAACATGGTCATTGATGATTATTGTGTGAACAATTTGTCACGAGCTCAGCCACTACTCAGCCAGTTCCAATTAACCAGTGGTGATGAGCAGCTCAAGTTATTGAGATGTGTAAAATAGTGACAATGACGATGATGACGTATGTCATCATGTGTTCAATGGAACAAAGTGCAGTTTTACAATAGAATGAAATGCAACAAGTATGAATTTTGAAAATGCAAAGTAATTCTTACGTGTCCTTCCTTCCTTTAAGAAGACGTGCTTTGTGGGTCCCTGGATTTCAAAACAAAGATTCTACAATGAAATTCATTAAAAATAACTAATAATTTACCTGCCGACATTTTCCATAAAAATCCGTCTTTAAAACTATTCAAATATTTCAACTAATGTTGCATATATGCCTAGTGTTGCACAGTAAGGATAATTTCTAATCAATGATTTATGACGAAAAATTAATACGTATTATTTATTTACATGTGTACCAAATATTTGCATCATTTTGTACCTATCCATACAAGTTTACATAATTAAATGATTATGAACAATTGGTGCCAAAAGATTACAGGAGATCAGACGTTTGGACATTTGTTTTGTCACAAGCAAGTTATTAAGCATTTCGTATAAATATGTAATCAATAGAATGCATTCTTTTGTTTACGCGAATGCAGAAAAAAACAGGATTATTTAAGTGTATGCAAAAGATGACACACAAATGACATAATAATTTCTCTCATTGAGTTAATCCCTGGTCATTTAAGTCGGTACCCTTGTGGTTACTCATCACCATATTGTGACGTCAAGGGCGTTGTAAGTCAATAGTTTTTCCCAGCAGAAAAACCAAACACATTTAACTTTTGTAAATTCCATTAATAGGAAGGTAAATTTTCCACAATTTTTGCAAAATAAGCAGAGAGATGAATTAGTGATGTATATACGTAGTCATATTAATAGTAAAGCTTGAATAAGAAATTCCTTTATAAGATAGTGCCCAGCCATCCATGTATGCATCCAATACAAGTGCACACAGAGGACGACCAAATGAAGTGATGTCTGAGAGTACGAAGAAAAGTGAAGAGCTTCCGCCGTCCCATTATAAAAGGGAATGTCGAAAATTTTGCATGCTGAGTTCATTCTTGACAACACAATCGACACCACAAAGTCTGCCCAAAGAGTTCAGAATGAAGTTTACTTTGTGCTTGTGCATTGCTTTGGCCGTTTGGTGCATGGTGGACGCCATGCCCCAGCAACGTTTCAACAACAACAACAACAACCGAGGTCCCAATTACAGACACGTTGAACCAATTTACTCCTACGGACTAGACACCAGCAACGGACAATACGCCAAATTCAACGGACCAGTTAAGGGAATCCCAGCAGGTCACGGAGGAGGCCGATTTGGTAAGTAGCGAATAAAATATTTAAACTTAGAAGAATTTCTTATTCAATTATTGTGTTGTAAATTTTAATAGGAGCTGCCGATTGTCTTCTCTGCGGTTAATTATATTTTAAGAAAAGACACCAAGATGTGGAACCCACAAGTCAGTGATTCGTAAATTATGAGTTCCAGAAGACGCAAAATGTACTGAACAACTTAAAACTATTTTAGCATTACATTATTTTTACAACTCTCGTTTTCTTCTTACACACGCTTAATAATTGTGTAACCTGTGTACCATCTACTTTTGTACCTTATCTCGGAATACGCTAATTATGTATACCCTCTAAAATGTCTAAAGATGACGATTTTTTAAGAAATTAAGTGATTTGTACAAACAACATACATATAGCGAGTCTAATTGATTGAGATTTTAATAATAAACCAAATCAAGTGGTACCAATAAGAATATGTATGCAAGTACCACCAACAAATTGTTCAGGTTCTTGCCATCTCATCAAGTTTGGTTACTTTGGTTCTGCGTCAATAATATCATTCCACCTTGTGCTTTGTTAGTGATTGGTTATAATGGTTGCATAATGACGAGTCACGACGATTTGGGGGTACGTAACATTGACTTTCAATTTCAATAATGCAGTTTACAATATTCATTAGGTTACAAAAATAGAGGACACAGTACTAACTGCATTGTGGTTACATACACATACATACATTTGTACTTCCACTACTTGCTTATTTGCTACGCCTATTTGCTGAAATTGTTTTTCCAAACGCAATAACATGCATGATTCTTGAAATGAATTGAAATTGAAAAAAACAAGAAGAGTTGACTGGATGATCATGATCTATATTTTCTTCATTATTTTATATTACCACGCTGCATTAACTTCTCGCCTTGTGTATGTTTGTACATTGGTTGTCCCAATGTCGTTTCTTTCAATTATCAATAAAATTACTGGGGACTTGCTGCTCGTATTTCACTAATTGAATCAGATGCAAATAATAAAAAACGCGTCGCACATAAAAAATGCCATTAGTTCATTCACTGTGTGTTCATTCAAGATTTAAGTAATTCTGCCACACACAATAATAGTCAAGGTTTAATTGTTGATTTCAACATAATTACGCGTTCGCTTAATACATCATAATTGGGTGTAAAAATCAAAGTGTAAAGTGCAAACAAACCTTCGTTATCATTTTATATGTGCATAAATTATTACAAACATTTTTACGAGATGAGTCAAATGGAAGATTCTACAAGCATGGCTGATTAATCTGCTCTGCTAATTTTCTTTTATTATTATTAAATAAATTAAGCATTTTTGACTTGAGCACAAAACGATTGGTGGTAACCTTTTCCCAATTAAGGTTTGCATAACTTCTCACACGCTTGAATATAAAATATTGCAAATAAATTGCAAACAAACGTATACATGATGTGCCAAGCAAACGACTTATTGGTTGCATCTTCTCTTCAATGCAAAGATAAAAGAAGGTGAAATAGTGGCGACGAGCGATGTACATAAATTTTCATTGAGAAAAACACAAAAGCGAATAATAATTATGAAGCTAAATGGTCCGAACTCTGAATTGCACAAGTTTTAGAACTCACGATTGTCACGCACTTATTAATGGGAAAACTCGGATGGTGCATGAATATATTGATAATGTGATTTGCAGAAGTTTGAAGTCTTTATCGTAATTACACACCGTGAGGAAAATATCACAAGAGGTAAATGTAGCTTCAGTCGTTTTTCCTTTGTTGGGGATTTCTCAGCGTTAAATCTGGGTCTTTGCCATATCCACACCATTAAAATTGCGACATAAACTATTAATAAAGGTGAACACAGGCAGCAGAACATATCCCTCTCATCATGGCGGTGGTTGAATATGTCATCTTAACTTATCTGCTGTCTTATTCTTGTCTCAATTTCTGTGAATTCACAAAGAGGTGACGACGACGACGACAATCAACAGAAATGGAGTGACAATAACATATTTTTATTAAACGGATATGCCTCCTGTCGTTAATATTTCTTTGTATTGCAAAATTGCGTCATCAGCAAATCTGAAAATGCTTACCAAAGCGGAACAAAGGGTATGAATAGTTTTTAATGTGGATTTTATGTCTAATTGAGACATTTTAAACTTAAAAATCCTGTATCCCTTATCGCTGGATAAGTTGTATCACGCACAAGTAATATTTACTTTAAGCTGCTCTACGTAGTAACTTGGCTTGACTAAGGGAAAAAATTAACCCAAGTATTCAAAGATAAGTACTGTCCAAGGCATGATTTCCGGCTAAATTGAAACGGCTGTAGCAAGTCTTGCCAAAATCACCTTTCTTAGATTTTTACTCTAAATTTAGCTTATAATGTTAACTAGCTCTGAGCGAAAAAGCTAAGAAAGGTGATTTTGGCAAGGACCGCTACGACGGCACAAAGTCAGGTCGGATTTTGACTTTTTGGGATAGAAAATAATTAAAAAATAAATTTTACTAGTATTTCGTTGTCGTGAACAACCTATTTTCACTGAAGTTCTATCCCTCTTCTTAGACTACTTCGAATAGCCCGAGCCTATGTAACTAAGTCCGTCTGTCCTTCGGCAAATTGATAAGTAAGTCTTGTAAAACTTACCTGATTGGCTTGTAATTTTGTATGCACTTAATATATCTCAAACAAAGAATTCAGTTAGGAGATTAACCCTATGGAACCTTCTAGTTTTGCTAAAAAGAAATAGAAGATGAATTTTATAGCTAAGTTTTAAGGATTAAAAATGATCTTGCAAGAAAGCCAATTTATGGATATTTTCCAAAGTCTAGATGGGTGGCCTACATTGATTTTTGAAATTAGTCGGAAAACAGTGTGTAGTGTTTATTTAGCCCGAATCCGGGTCATAACCCGCTTCTAAAATTTTGTCAGATGACCCAACTAAGGGAAACTTCCCTACTTGCCAACAGATTTCGATGCCTTTTTGATGTGATACGAAACAACCAAGTTGCTTGACTCAATGATCACACTCGCCACAGCCACTCAAAAAAGCCAAGCAAATGAATAAAATCAGATATTATGGAAAAAAATTTTTGCCAAAAAATATCCCGGTTTTAGTCAGGACAAATATGGTCACCCTATCTCCGTGTACGAAAAAATTTGGGACCAACGTAGAAAAATTCAGAAAAAATATCTTAATCACCTAACAAGCGGTTTCTTCCCGATTTCGCCCTCTCCCCCCCACAAGGTCGATGCGAAGTTTCGAGATGGGCGAACAATGTATTTTGCAAAGCGAGAGCGAAATTGAGACTGGGAAAAAACTAGAACCCACTCTTCCTATTTTGGGCTTAATTTGTATTATTTCCCAAAAACAAAATAACCTTTCATAAAGTTTTCTAAGGAATTTGGACTATTAATATTCGCAGAAAATCGTACTAACTACTATTCATAATCGTCAGAAATGTTCCTATAATGCAGTATGCAAAATTTCAGCTTTTCGGCTAATTTCCAAACCCAGTGGGGGTCACCTTTTTGGGTCCCCTGGCATAGAAATCTTACAATTTACATATTTCTTATTTGTTATCTTGTCTGCCCCAACAGTTAATGCAAATTTAAGCCTTCTGTATCCATTTTCGAAAATATGTAGGGGTCGCCAATTTGGTCGATGACATTCACTTACACAAATGTCCCGAATTTTAGCCGTCTATGACCATTTCAAATATTCTGAACCAACAACCTCACCCGATTTTAATACTTCGCCGATGAGTTTCATGTGTATAAAGTTCGAAATCAATTTGACAGTTTTTAATCTAAATTAAGTTTCAATGATGGTCTACAAGGCCTGAATAGAGCCACGGGTCTCCCTGATAACAGACTTGAGCCATATTCTAACTCAATTTCTAATTTTAAACATAGTGCAAAAAGTTTCAAGTCAATCGGTTAAGGTTTATGGGACTTACAATTAATTTACAGACAGACGGACTTACATGGTTACATAAGCCCACCCTCGGGAAATAAGTTCATTCATTTCTGAACCATATTACAAAATAGTTGCCAATGACGTATATTTTATCAATTTAAAAAATAAAATTCTTGAGCCAGGCCGAAAAAGCAGCCTTGGAGAGTACTTTCCTTTATGACACATGCATTTGTCCTTGAAAATCTGGAGTATTATTATTATTATCTCCATTTGAAATACTACTAATTAAAGGACAGGTTTCAAAAGATGCATACTTTCAAGGAACTCTTCTGCACTCTTCTTCCATGCATGGACAAGCTGGTCCAAAATGGAAGGTTAGACACAGCCCAACAGCGAAGATGATAGAACCCAAAAAGTTAATTATTACGATCCGTAGTCTCTGTTTTCTTCCCTAAATCCATTGCAGTTGATTGATTCAAATTAATTCCCCAAGTTTGGCTCCTCACAATACCACAAAGACAAGAAGATAAGTATTTATGCTAACTTACAGGGGCATCATCAAAGAGAACGACTCGAATTGGCGTTGGGGCCAGTGCTCGACATTTCTTGAGTCCCAAATTTTTATCAAGCCAAATGAAATGATGCTGTGTGATGACACAAAAAAGAGAAATTACTCATCTTTAGCCATAAAAAGTCTTAAATCTCTTACATACAATCATGAAAAAATGCCAAATTGCATTCCACGACAAGCTGCCAATCACAATTAAATATACGTAGCATGGCATCCCCATATAATACGATTGCATCAGGTTGGTTACTAAATAAATTGATAAAAATGTGTGCTGGGTAAGTTATCATAATTCTACTAAACCACAATCAGAAATTCTTGGTTAAGTAGGAGACTCTGAATATGTACCGGCCAAACAGTAAGCAGTCGTCCCGAAGAGAGCACTACATACAAACATAACACTTATGCACTTATTTGCATAGTTCTTCATATGTGACATTTTATTTTATAAGGTCTCAACTGAATAATTGAGTAGGTTTTTTTGGACGGGTGCCCCATGGGTCGGTACCAACCTGACACCGTTTGAATCATGAATATGGAAGTTGCAGCAATCCCGATTTTTGCGTGGCGTTGACTTGAAAGAATTCAACGTGAGTATTATTTATCAGGTTTTTTCCTTGAGCGGGTCGTGAATTTTCTTCTCATCCTCTCAACAATGATAATAATCAAGTCAAAAGGTGAAGCATGTAATAAAAGCAATGAGATACCGAGACAGAAATAGCCGAGATAAGGACCAGCGTCCTTTCTTAGCGTGGCGTGTCTTCCTCAAGTATCACCAAAATGCTCCCAACTCTGGTCAATTTCGTGCAGGAGACTCCATACAGCCTCATTCGGTCCACTCTTCCACTTAAATTGTTAGTTTAATTTCGAAATATCATGTCTGACTTTTTACAAATTCCTCAACAGAGAGAAATTTTGAATATTAATCTGCACGACGACGAGTCTGAACATGAAGATGAGGAAAGTCTTCCAAATTTGGATAAGTGGAAAGTCAGACATGCTAAAGATTGGGTGAAAGAGTTCAACATGTTGACACAACATACGGGTAAAAACGTCCGGAATAAGTACTCAGCATACGTAAGTATAAACCTGCCATGTTGCTCTCCTATAGAATCATAGTTAGTTTCGTTATTAGTTTAAAATACGCATTGTTTGTCTTATATATTTTTCAATATTAACTTTTGCTAATTTTACTTCAGCTCACTGCAATATTAGACGCAACGTCCATGACATTACCATTTACACCAGAAAGTGAGTTTGTCGAGGAGGTGACAATTACAGAGGAGGACGAAGGGATTGTGTCTGAAGTGTGGGCATCTAGACAACGAAAGAGAAGCGGGGATCACACGAGGTACGCCGTAACATGCCCTGGTTGTCGTACAGAGGACGGAACTCTAGGGATGACACGTGTTTTTCAAAATTGTCTCCAATTCCAAGAACACTACATATCTACCCACACAAATCAACCATCATACAAATGCAAAGTGGAAAATTGTGGTGTTGGTTTCACCCGTTTTAGAGATGGAGTCACACATGTTCAAAACGTCCACCAAAGTATGCTTTACGTGTTATTTTAGAGTAAAATATTGGTTTAAATTATTTTTCTTGTTTACAGTCTTGAACAAATTTTGTTGTACGTGCTGTGAGAAGAGGTTTTCATGCAAAGGCAACCTAACGAGACACAAAGCAGCCGGACACGCCAAACCTCCAAATAATAAGTTGCTCAAGAGAGTCGGAGCCGAAATTAAATATCGTAGTTTGGAAGAGAAGGATTACATACGTATGTTTTTAAAAATTGATCTAATTCTTCAAAAAATATTATAAAAAATTTGTTTTAGTTGAATCGGACGGTTTGGGAGGAGTGTTCCAGCTCTACTTCATGATTTGGAGAAAAAAGGACGCAGTAGCAAAATTGCAGTTGGGATGACCTCGTTTGGAGACATAAAAATTGCTGCAAAAAACATTACCGACTACATCTCCCGCATGACTGATGACACAACTAGTGCATGCAGTGTCAGGCATTTATACAAGCGGGGATATAGATGTGATGCCGAAAATGATGCTTTTGGATTCAACATTTTCGCACATGGATTTCATCTTGCTCAAGATATCAAGTTTTGGCTCCGTCTGGAGTTGGACGCGTACTGTGTCCACAAGCCTCCAGAAGTTATCGCCAAGCTGGATGTCATTAGTCAGGAGCTGGAGAAAAAAATTATGAAAGTCGTCTCAAAAATGCCAACCAAGACCAAGGAACGTGTCGAATCCCGGGATGGACCAGTAGCCCCCAAGAAACCCAAACTCTCCGCCTAAACCTTTGATTTTTTTTACACTGATTACTATGAATTTTATATTATTATTATTTACTGATTTACGTAACCATTATCCAATCAATTAATGTCTGATGTTTGTTCAGAGTATTTATATTCGTTTAAATAAATTCAGAATTCCCTAACATAACCTACCAATTTGTCAGTGTGTCCGTTATTTTATGCACGTATCTCATATTTGTCATCCGTGCAATACACTTGTGACAACTCTTTCCCTGGAGTGCATTTACCGGCAAACAGTAGTGCAGCCTGGTACTGTTAACATAGGCTGGTCGTGGCGAAGGTCATTGTTATATATGAAGAGATGACACAGGTTATTATTAATACCTTGAAGGAAACGCAGGCCATTTAGAATCACTAGATGATCTGTTCCACAGAATGAAGGAGATTCCGGTCGTACAGAGTACAAAACCTAGCGACATTAAGCCACTATGTCCCTTCATTTACACCAGCATTTATATATTTTCTTACAAAATGACACTTTGCTTATAAATATTGCATAAATATTGTTGTTGCTTGTACTTACAAAAAACCACAACTTCCTATCGCAGCAAATAGTGCTGGTCATTGTTTCTTTCAAATAACGAGCCACGAATCTAAATATTCAGGTGCTATCATATTAAGGCTTATTTCTCCTGCATGATTCTTTAGTACTTACATTGCGTTTGGAACAAAAATAACCCAGCATAAAATCATGGAATAAACATGCGTCAAAATTTTCCTTTGATCAAAATATTGCTCCTACAATAAGATAAAAATGTTGTGAGACGGTCTAGGAGGACTAAGTATTTAAAAGGAAAAGGATCTTTTTAGTACCTGAACAACATGGGCTAAATTTATTGAGCGATGCGTCGCAAACGGGGGTTTTGAATGTTTCCCAATGTTGTCTATGATTACAAATTTTCAAAAAATTCATCTACATATAAACAGATTGTTTCATTAACGTTACCTGCACTGACATTTACTCCTGTGGCCAACATGATATAGTGTTTAGTGTGGGAAACCCCCACTCTGCCGATGCTCATAAATTCGTGAGCCACTAATTTGTAACGCTTAAACCGACAGTAGATCCTCCCATTTTCTACAATTGCCGTGCAATTTGCAAGACCTTTACTTCCTCCTGATCTGGAGCAATTCGTCCCCTAAAATCCCAGCGTGTTACTTAGAAAATAATAAATTATCATATACATTGCTAAAACATACTGGAATACGATAATTCTTGTAGTAGTCATTCCATGATTGGTGCAACCACGCCGGACACATTCCACTATTAAATCGTCACCCTGTTCATAATTTAATAATAGTTTATGGGTTGTGGGATTCAATGAAAATTGACTCGTGAGCAATATAACAACCATTCGACGGTCTTTAGATAATCCCATTGCAACAAAACCATCGGAAGATTGTCCATCAAGCTTCGCCAAGAGCTCAAAGACGTAGTAATCGGCTTCTTTCCTATGAGTCATCATTACATCACAAGAGTCATTTTTTATGCAGCTGTCCACCGGCGCAATGCACCCTTTTGTTTTGAAACACCCATCTTTCATGGCAGGAATCGACTCCATTGTGTTGATTAGTTTTAAAAAGCTTGCAAAAGCTAGGACGAGTAAGGTAAGCTTTAGCATTTTTCTCCGTAAATTACTCAGCATCACATTCCAATATGTATTCCATACTTGTCGGCATAGGTAAATCAAGGCATGTAAATACGGATCACTTTTGCAGTTCAATACCATGATTACTAAATTTTTAGTATCTAGGTAACGCTTGGGTCTCTTGGAACAAGGTCGAGTTACAAATAACGTATTTATTATCGTTGGTTCGAAAACGGCGTTTGAGTCTCCAACTCCAATGGGTGAAACAGTTGCGGCTTTATCGTAACCCACACTAGCGTTACGTACTTTGATAGTAAAAGTCAAGCCATCGTGGTCATACATTGACTAAAATAATTCATCGTGTATGTATTGGTGATCAAAGGAAGTTCATAAAGGTTGATACATAAACAACCTAAATGGGAGCATTCCAAAGTGTAAGTGAGCTAATAAAGTGTATGCATGTATGCGGAATATTTATTCTGATAATTTAATTTCTGCTGCAGAGAAGAAACAAATCAATTCGAGATAGGGCATTGCAATCCAAGAAGTTGTCCTCGCTCAATCTTCTAAGAGGGTACTAACAGATTTATATGCATACGTAAATATAGAAATGATACAACATTTCACTTTGGTGCTTATTGTTTTTCGTTATGCTTGCTCGCGTGCAGGTATGAGAACTCACTCCGCAATGAAATATGGACCTGTCCGAACAGAATGTTTGTTTCCACATCCACGAGCAGAATTGATATGTGGTCCGAGTGTAGCCCTCGTTATTACCGCATACTGAGGACCCAAGAAAAGGACGATGACCACAACCACCTTGATGGAAAGGACATCACCATTAGAGAACCACCTACCCAACAACCACCAGCTAACAGTGGATGGAAAAATTTTAATAAAAAGCTCCATTTCAGGCTAAAGCGGAAGATCACTTTCTCCAGTGGCAGTGGTCCAAAAAGTGCGACATGTGATGTGAAGGAGGAGGAGGGTGATGCCTCGGTACAAGAATCTGGATATGAGAATAAGGATAAGTCAGTGAATCGAACCATTACTTCAAAACCTGACACCTGGGATGAAAATGGAAATATTTCTGTGCCTCATTATCCCGTGACAAGTGACAAAAATTTATGACTTCGAGGAGAGATAAACCTTGAATCTAAACAACCATCGGATATTTACGTAGCATCAAATGGATTGTTGTAAAATTGTCATTATAGAAATAAAATACCCATCAATGAAGATGAGCTTGGGAAATGGGTTTTCAATAAAGATTGTAATCGGTACTTAATACTTGTCGTATACCACCAGTATTAGTACATATGTATTTACTTATGTATACACTTTCTCATTAAATAGGGATCCAAAATATGTCCAGTCACTAGTAGCATATGTACATTTGTATTGTATGCACTTGTACTATTTTACTACAGATAATGACTTGTAAGTATGTGGGTCATTCACGATAGTTAATGTTATGCAATGAGGAACTCAATCAATGAAAGAACAGTTATAACGACAAAATACTTTGTTTTCCTGAGTTGTATATAGTTATTCATTCATTGTCTATGTATGGGGATGAAAGAAAGAAGCATGTTTCTTAATAATAATGTCCTAAGCCCCATTCAAAGTTGGAACTCATAGTACATTGTACATTGTAGTTTATACCTTATTTAACTCTTGGAACACCTTGTCAAGCTGTACCATAAATAAATAAACACATAAGTTGGTGACGATCCATCCTTGATCCGGCAGTCGGTGAAAAACATTAGTGGTCACATTTAAACTTCGTCATTAAGCCTATGCAAATATTGGTTTAATGGAGAACACTAAGCCGCAGCCCAACTTATTGGGAAGAATGGTCGATGTCTGCAATTGTAATAGGTTTGGTCGGTCGTGGCTAATGGTCCCACAACAACCAGTCCAGAAGAACTTCAGGAGGATTGTTGTTCTTATTTTATGGCTGAAGCAGGATCATAATTTTTTCATTCAACCCAGTCAACATTCAACATTCTAGTTTCTACCATTATTGGTGGAATTGGATTCAGGAAAACAAACAGTCGTCACAATTTCTGATTTGCAGTGACGACTTGGATGATCGTCGAGCGTAAATCAGAATTATTAGTACTTTGCTGGTGAATCGTGTTTTTGTTATCGCATCGCCTGGATATGTACAAACAGCGTAATGCAACCACTTTTATGGAAAGTTGATTATTAAATTGCTGCACTTTTCGAATGTGGTGAATGGCAAATGTACATTACTTATTGAAATGAATGTGGAAAGAGGCGTGGACTAAGCTATATTGTTTTGTTGAACAAAAGTTCATTGCGCAGTCATTCCACATTAGTATTTAATAGTGAAAAGAAATCAAGTATCTCATTTCGCAACTCGCTGTACTCTCTGGCAAAACTCGTTCTGCACTTGTTTAAGTCTGGACATAAATCAAGAATAAACCAAGAATTCTGTCCGGTGGCCCAGCAAGGAAATAAATTGTGTCCAAGCAGGTAATACGATGAAGGAATCCAGTCGGCCATATATTTATTTGCATGGATGGCTTTGACCTTTAGTTTTTAGATGTTAATAAGATCTAGATGAGCTACTCGACTAAGCCAGTCCACCTTTGCTCCTCAGCAGTGGTGGTTGTGAACGTCTCAATAGAAAACATTTCCAATAAAACATTCCGAATTTCAGGGTGCCGATAATAAGAACGTGGACGATGGGGGTTGCAAAAACTCTGTACCTACTTACTGCATTACTTGCAACATTGTGGCATCCCACTGCATGCACCACACCCAAGTTAGCAGGGAAGGCGACGGACGACGAAGCAAGACAATATCTTGAAGAAGTACTAGAATCCAGGTACTCAGGGGCATGCAATACCCAAATAACGACGCGATGGGCTTATATAACCAACGTCACGACAGAAACTGCAGAAGCTTCGGTACAGCACTACGAAAATTAATACTTTAAGTTTAAAATGAATACACGCGAATTATGAGGTTACTTCTAATTACTGAATGTAGACGGCTGCAGACACGGCATTTTTAGAATTCCAGGCTAGTATTCAGGCAGAAATTTTGGCGAATTTCTCAAACTGGAGAGAGTTCAGTATGTTCACTATTTTTTATTAATTCTAATTCTCTTCAAGGTTTGGCTATGCAAAGTCGTGCTAAGTCTTTTTTTTACCATTTTCAGATGACTCTCAAGTTCGACGTGAATTCCAATATTTGTCGATAAAAGGACCTGCGCGAATGCCCCCCACAGATGTTTCAAATGTACTAACTATTTACATAAAAATAATACATAAAATCCAACCTTGACATATTAACATACTTGATTTTTGACAAGTGCAGATGAATAAATTGCAAAGCAGTATGGAAACTGCATATGCAACCGCTGCTGTTTGTGATTTCCGAAATTCTAGTAAATGCGACTTGCGCCTAGACCCAGGTAACCGCAGATTTTTAAGTATGATATACCGGTTATATGAACATGAAGTATCTTAAAATTAAGTGAAATAATTTTTATTTTTGAAGAAATTGAAGAAAAATTGCGCACAGCCACGGATTGGGACGAATTGGCATATTATTGGACTGAATGGTAAACGGCAGTAAAAGTAAATTAGGGATGGATTTTAACATTATGCATTTTTACCCTATGTATGTAGGCACAATGCTATGAGCAATGCCGTCAGACCTGCCAATTACACGCTTTTTATCAGATGGCAAAATGAAATGGCAAGGGCAAACGGTAGTCAAAATTTCGACTTACATCCATGAGAAATGTGTATTCATGCATCAGACTTTTCTAAAACTTTAGGTTTTAACGATATGAGCCAAATGTGGCTGACCGGATATGACGATGAGTCCCCTGACTTTGATGCTGTTATATTCAAGAGACAGATGCTTGACATTTGGGAAGAGCTTCGTCCGTACTACAACATTTTACACGCTTATGTACGAATGAAGCTTCGGCGACTTCCAGAATACCAAGACCGTATCACCAAGTATGGCTATTTGCCAGCTCACATTTTAGGAAATATGTGGGGACAGGTGAGTAACAGGGAATAATGGTTGCTGAATATGTAAAATAATGATAGACAATATTCATACACATTGACATCCATAGGACTGGGCGCATTTGGATAATAAAACGAAGCCATTCCCTAATGCCCCCTCTCTCGACGCCACCGACGCCATGATCAGAGCCAATTACACTACCCTAAAAATGTTTCAAGAATCCGACAAGTTTTTCACAGATTTAGGACTCTTGCCAATGACGCCAGCCTTTTGGAATAACTCGATGCTCGAAAGGCCTTCTGATGGACGAGAAGTGGTAATGATTGCATTTTACTAATTTAAATCTAGTCGCACAGTTGAATAATTATATGTTTTGTTCATATGAAATTAAAGGTTTGTCACGCTTCAGCCGAGGACATGTGTCTAGGCAAAGGAAGCACTGACTTCAGGTAAATAAAATATAATGCTTCAAAGGTTTCCGTTTTATTATAGCAACTGTGCCCAACTTTCTCCAGAATCAAACAGTGCACGAAGGTGACGATGGACGACCTTGTTACCGTTCACCATGAAATGGTTTGTTCAACTCATAATTATATACTACCTCATATGCTAATTAAACAACCAGGGCCTGATTTTGCTAATACGTAATTATGTAGGGTCACATTGAATATTTTTTGCAATATACTGATGAGCATTATATTTTCCGCGACGGAGCAAATCCAGGATTTCATGAGGCAATCGGTGATGCATTAGCTCTTGCGGTGGTCACACCAAAGCACCTTCAGTGCGTTCTAAACCTCGACCTCGGCTTGGATATTGACTGCAGTAATACGACCGTGTATCAGGCTGATACAGTTACAGAAACTGACTACAACTTTCTTTTCATTACTGCCCTGCAAAAGGTATAGTAGACATTAAGGATACGTAATAAGCAATATATTTATTTGCATATTTAAAATTATGCCATGCTTATACATAATACGTGTTTTATGGGGGTTCATTATCCTACGCGCAGTTTGTCTTTTTCCCATTCGCAATTTCAATGGATAGTTGGAGATGGGAAGTATTTGAGGGCAAAATGTCCGAATATAACTACAATACACGATGGTGGGAACTTCGCCAAAAAAATCAAGGGATTGAACCCCCTTTCCCGAGGTAAAGACTGACTGAACATTTATTCATTTCACCTATTCATATTATCATTGTCTATCCTAGAAACGCTAGCGACTTTGATGCCACTGCAAAATATCACATCGTGGCTAACGTTCCCTACATCAGGTAATCAAAATATCTTATCTCATAAAAAAATATTGGTGGTATGTATTAATTTCTATGCTGGTGGTTTATAATGCAGATACTTTGTGAGCCATATTCTTCAGGTATACGACTTTTACTATTTGCATGCTACAAAGAAATAAATAACTAACCAGTGAATTTCGAGGTTGTGCATTTTATGATGTGAATTAACGATATGATTACGATTCAGTTCCAATTCTATGAAGCAATGTGCAAGGCGGCCGGAGAGTTTGACCCAGACAACAATTCTTCAAAACCTTTGTACCAATGCGACTTTTCGGGGAGCAGGGATGCAGGAACTCTCCTCGGGTAAATTTAAATACATACTTTGCAATAAAAATATTTATGGTCTTTAGTTATATTTAATTCATATTTTTAGGAATATGATGAAACTTGGTTTTACACGAGGCTGGCCCACTGCACTGGAAGCAATAACTGGAAGTCGCAACATGTCCATTGCGCCATTGCTTAACTATTTCAAACCAATTTTCGACCTTATGCAGAAGGATCTCGTCGACAATGGAGAAGAGCCATGTTTTGGACCATCTTGTGAAGAAGTTGCCAAGAAATATTTGTCCGAAAAGCTGGAAAAGGAGGCTTCCGCCCTTCACACAAAGTCTGCCCATGCAGAATGGGCATATTCCACCAATTTGACAAACGATGAAGCGAAAAAGGAAGTAGAGAAAGTAAATTTAGAGTATTCAAGCTACGAAAAGAAAGAATGGAAGGAGTACATCAGCCAATTTAAATATGAGACGTTCAACGATTCAGCCATACGACGACAATTTAAATTCTTAAATGACATTGGAATTTCTGCATTGAATGAATCTGATGTGGTTGAGGTGAGCGATGATGAAAATACGATTTTGAAATACAACGCCCATTAACACAACCCTGATTTACAGTTTAACACAGTCTCGTCGGAAATGAAAAAGATCTACGGAACTGGCAAAATCTGCCCATTTTCTATGCAAGAGTGTAATATAACTACCAATGGTCTCTCCCTAAATCCAGGTACTTATTTGCATAATACTGCCGATAATATCAAATACATATTTACCAAAATTGTACGCATCAACTTAGTGAAGTAATTCCTTAAACTGACCACGTTACAATATTGGGTTTTATATTAAGTACATATTTGCTCCAAATTAGATTTGGAGGAAATCCTTGCCAAGGTCAAGGATTATGACGAGATGGCCTATGTCTGGAAGAGTTGGCGAGATGCGACAGGTGCCAAAATTCGCCCGTTGTACTACAAATATATCGATCTTCAAAATAAAGCTGCCAAAGCCAACGGTACGTATTATAAAGATAGCAAGAGAATTATTAACGGATACAATTACATACATTATGTGTATACTTGTTCATATAATTACAGGATATGACAATGCTGGAGAATATTGGATTCGAAAGTACGAGTCCCCGGACTTTAGAAAGGATTTGGAAGAGCTTTGGCAAGACGTGAAACCATTATATGCAGAATTGCATGCATATGTAAGGCACAAATTGGTCAAGGAATTCCCAGGCAAAGTAAAACCCGATGAACCTATCCCTGCTCATGTATTAGGTAATTCTACTGTGTGTGACATGTAATTGTAACTGCATTCTAATTTACTCGGAGTGAAAATTAATTGTATTCTAACGAACCTTGTAGGAAATCAATGGTCACAATCGTTTGATAATCTATACCATTTTGTCGTCCCCTATCCAAATGCTACATCCTTTGACATTACCGAAGTTTTGAAGCAGGTATTTCAGAAGATACTAAGAAGCAGTGGAAGTATGACTAATTTCTATAATTTCTTTCATTTTAATTATTTCGAATGCAGAAATTTACCCCGGATGTGGTTGGAGTTCGTGGAATATTCGAAGTGGCCAACGATTTTTTCCTCAGCCTAGGTCTACCCGACATGAAAATGGCCTACGGAGATAAGGCATTGATTGTGAAACCAAAGGATCGCGAAGTTGTCGTACGTCTCTGATGCACTTTTAAATTCATATAAATAAGCATCATTCATATCATAACAGTCAGGAAATTTATTTGCTTACGACTTTTTGAAAAATTCATACATATTTGTAATTTATAAATAAGCTATACATTTTGGGATTTAAGTGAAAATACTGTGTGCATGGGTGTTTCAAAATTTTAAACAAGCAATTTCTTGCTCATGGTTATGTTTAAGGGTCATGGACCCTTTAACCCGATAAAATATTGCTTGACTTGACTTGGGTCCGACATGGGTATAATAATAATATATCTTTCTTTTTAAAACAGTGTCACGCGTCGGCTTGGGATTTCAGGTATCTGATTTTAGGAAAAATTATACTGCATATGGCTTTAATTATGTACTCTACATTTACTTAATATATGATAATTATTTATTTAGCGATGGAAAAGACTTTCGGTAAGCACAACTCTAGCGTTCTAAACCAAACGAATTAGGTACATTAATCTTTGTATTAAGAATTAAGATGTGCACCAACGTTGATCAAAAAGATTTTATTACTATCCATCATGAGCTCGGACATATAAATTATTACCTTAATTATAAACACCAACCATTAACCTTTCGTACAGGAGCTAACCCAGGTGCGTAATTACTATAAAAATGTCGAGATTTATTTATTCTCATGCACGTGTGTAAAGTCATAATCATACTTTCTTTTAATTTTATTTCATGGTATATCAACATCAATCGTAGGATTTCACGAGGCTATAGGAGATGTCGTTGCTTTATCAGTGAGCACGCCCAAACACATGAGCACTATTGGTTATCTTAATTTTAGCGAATCGTCTCATGAATCTACAATCAATTACCTCACTCAAATCGGTCTTGAAAAGGTAATCCAATATTTAAAGAGAATAAAATGCAAATAGTTTTGGGTACAATATAATTATGTATGAACATGCATATAGATTGCATTTCTTCCATTTGGATATTTGATTGACAACTACCGTTGGAAAGGTAATTAACTGCAAATAAAATCTTATACAAGACATTCGACGTTCAAAGGACGCCACGCATTTCACATGACAAAGGAGCATTAAAACATACAAAAATACAGATATCAAAAATGGAACATACAGATTAACATGAGTTTGTGTTTATTTTGTTTCGAATAGTATTTGATGGTACGATTCCCAAGGATAAGCTAGAATATCACTGGTTGAAAATGAGGTACTCACAAGCTCTAAGATCTGAAATGGGACGCTAATTATTCTGGAAATACTTAATTTATACAATATAAAATCCGTCTAGAAATGAATACCAAGGAATTACACCTCCATTTAATCGGAGCGAAATGGATTTCGACCCTGGAGCAAAGTGTATGAATTTTAATATATTTGAAATGTCCCTATATAACTTATCAAATAATTTCTGATTTAGATCACGTGCCTGGTGGGACGCCGTACATCCGCTATTTTGTCAGTTTCATTCTACAATTCCAAATTCACAAGACCTTATGCGTTGAAGCAGGTCAGTATCCTCAAGGACCGCTGCATAATTGCGACATTTATAAAAATGCTGCAGCAGGAACCAAATTCAGGTTAATATGCCAATTTATATTAATTTTTAAATGTATTAATTGGCACAATCAGTACAATCGGTGTTCCATTTAATGCAGGAAATTGATGGAAGCTGGTTTCTCCAAAAATTGGCAAGACCTCTTGTTTGAGGTCACAGGAACCAACAAGTTGGATGCATCGGCAATTAAAGAGTATTTTAAGCCGTTGACAGATTTTCTGACAGAGTTACGAACCAGAGAAGGATATCCAATTGGGTGGTCGAATACAGAATTTGAAAAATTTTACACACCAAGTTAAATTATGTCGTTGATGAATATTTATTTCGTAGTATTAGTCACCTTTCTCAAAAACATTTGAACTTAATGTATCTATTTAAAGCTATGAGAAAACTTAATTAATTAGTGAACAAGGTTTATGGAATTATTTAAAGCCGTAAAGCAAATAAAAATAAAATCTTGGAAAAGTTATTGCAATACAATGTACTGGATATTTTTTATCACGGGTAAGTGTACGCTACTACGCCATTTCAATTAGCTTCACTTATGAACGTACACTTTTTAGGGCAATTTTAATATTGTTTCTGGAGTAGAAGAGTGTACGTGCAAGTATTGTTTTCTATGTATTTGTCTGTCATTTGTAAAGCCATATAGCACATTATTATTGTCAGTGAGAGCAAAAATGTGAGAATAACCTAGATCATTTGGAAGACGATTTTGAAGAGAACAACTGGGGTGTATCCATAGGTATACCCATGGATAGATACGGTTCAATTAGTTGAGACCCCCTATGCAAAAGTATTTAATATTGCAATACTCATCGAGCCCATGTTTAGACCCTTCTCGACCTAGTCCGCTTTCTTTAACGCCTCCGAAAGGAGCCTCAGCAGCAGAAATAATACCTTCATTTATACCAACCTGTAAATCGGAAATTAACGTTAATAAAGTAGTAATTAAAGTTCAACAACTAGAAAAAACGGGCTTTATAATAGATATACCATTCCATACTCCAGAGCATGCGAGACCCTTCGAATCTGAGAAAAGTCATTGCTGTAAAAATATGACGCCAGTCCACTACGAGTGTTATTTGCGATTCTAATGGCTTCTTCTTCCGTTTTAAATCTAATATATTACAGTATGTTAAATTGAAATATCTCATTTTTCTCCAATAATATTTATAATGTCGATAATTATTTACTTCATTGTCATTGCTACTGGTCCAAAAATTTCTTGTTGATAGCATAACATGTCTTGTTTAATATCAACCAACAAAGTAGGCTCGTAATAGGTACGTCCCAAAGAGTGATGTTTTCCACCAACTAATACTTTAGCACCTTTTTCTTTTGCATCGTCTACCATTGCTGCAACCTTTAATTAAATCAATGTTATATTAATAATCACCGCATTTCATACAGCTACTATTTTGTATACTTAGATTTTTTATGATTTTTGACCTTATGAAACTGGGCCATATTAATAAGAGGACCTATGTTGGTCTTAGGATCAAGACCATCACCAACAACTAGTTTCGATATAGCGTCCTTCAATTTACTGATAAACACATCGTAGACTTTATCTTGAATTAAAATTCTATTAGTGGCCACACAAGTCTGTTGTTAAAGATAAGTTTTTGTGTAATTAATTTGAAACTTTGGCTTTAAGTAATAAACCATACTACTGACCTGTCCTCCATTTCTAAATTTAGAAGCCATTGCTCCAACCACAGCATTATCGAGATCTGGAAATTATTACAATAATAAGAGCTTTGAATATGCAGTGTTCATAAGTCAATTGTGACATTTCGTTCAGCGGTATTGTAAAATATGTCAGCAGTTTGTTACAATTATTGTCAACCCGCATATACATACCTGCAGAATCAAACACAATAAATGGAGCATTTCCTCCTAATTCAAGGGCAAGTCGCTTAGTAGTTGATGCACACTGTTTATACAACAGGTTTCCAACCCCAGTGGATCCTAAATTGATACAAACACAATTTTAGTGCAGATCTAGCATTACAAATTAAAGACATTCGATTTTTTGATTACCAGTAAATGAGATTCCTCGGACTTCATGGCTCGTGCAGAATTTTGCTCCCACCCCTGCAGCGTGCTGTCGACTGGACGTAATTACGTTGATCACTCCCTGTGGAAAATTTCAGTTCAAATTTATTATTAAGATATATAAAGCATAAGTTTCAAGAGCTGATTTTAAAGTCAAATGAAAGATTCTCTTCCAAGAAGGTTACTTATTACGCTTACAAGAGGAATGCCAGCTTCTTCAGCAGTTGCTGCGAGCAGGATTGTCGACAGGGGAGTGTCCTCTGAAGGTTTTATTGTACAAGTGCATCCTGCAGCCAATGCTGCAGAAACTTTTCTTGCGATCATCGCCGTGGGAAAGTTCCACTGCAAAAATATATTAATATAATGTAATATTTATAGTCGTTGCGACAGTTTGGATAGCATACCGGAACCAGCATTGCCACCACACCTATGGGTTCTCTCACAAACATCATTTCCTTTGATTTTGCTGGGCTCGATAGAATCTCCCCCTGCAAGTAAACATTAATATATCTGTAGATATGGCTCAACTTTAACTCCCCTTGCATTTTGTACTTAAATAATTTTACATGAATTCTTCTAGCTTCTTCTGAATAAAATTCCACATAATCCGAACTGTAGATGATTTCTCCTAGAGATTCTGCCAATGGTTTTCCATTCTCTAAAGTTATGAGCTTGGCCATCTCGTCCTTTCTTTTTATAATTACATCATACCACTTCCTCATCAGCTTTGATCTTTCCTGTATATTGGTATGAAATTGATAATTTACATATTATTCTAAATTTTTATAATGTGGAATGTATGATCTCTCGTTACCTTTCCTGTCGTGTGTCTCCATGAGAGGAAGGCTGTTTGAGCGGCCTGGATAGAGGCTTCTGCATCATGCTCATCCATATCTGGAACCTATTTAAGGTACATGAATTGGCAATTAAGAATTTTTATGAAAAAACATTAAAATACTGTGCAGAACAATGCATATCGTATATATGGGGCACCTTAGCAAGCACTTGGTCCGTCGCAGGGTTGGTCACATCAAACGTCTTGCCCGACTTGGCCCCCACCCACTCTCCCATTATGTATCCTTTGTCGTGAAAATCCCTATGGCTGGTGCAGCTCAAAACCTGACACCACACCAAAATAAAATCGATACATGAAATTTACTACTCCGAAATCCTAGTCTAGGTTTACCTATACCCAGCTCACGGTACTGTATGCACAGCTTGCTGACATAGTATAGGTAAACCTAGACTACCGAAATCCATCGATCACTCCAACCAAATTAATTAAGTCAATTAAATTGAAATTGATTATTAATTAATTTAATTACCCTATTGACTTGAGGACTGCAGACAACGCGCTTCAGAACGACACCAATCATATTTGCTCCGAACTTTAATTTAAAAAGGTCCTTTTATTATTTTTAACTGATTGTGAGAGAAAGAGAGTACGTGCTGTCTTGTGGAGAAAGCAAAACTCAAAACTCCACTGGGAAAATTTTCTCCCTTGCTTATATTCTCTCCCGCTTTGTCTATGCGACCTGATCGGAATCACGCTTGCAAGTTAAAAATACGAGTATTTGGCAATGAGTTGCATAATAATGCTGTATTGGTCAGGTAGAAACAAGGCCTGACAGGAGCAGGTTAATTGATTGGGTGATCTAAAATTGCATGCGAACGAGCCACCATACCGACAGTCCTCAAACTAAACCACAACTAAACAGACTAAAATGACGATTTACTTCTTGTATGATGGCTCTCATGTTGGGGAAAAACAAGCAGATTGGAGTGGGGTCCATCCAACCACAATGTGTATCTAAGTTGGTTTATTGACCGTGGTCAGAAACATTAGTTAAGAATTACTTAAAAATTATTTCGAAAATATTTGTCATGAAGAAATAATGAGAAGTTGAAGGTTATCGTAATTTGGTAACAAGTTTGGTAACATGGTACCTGTACCTGACGTTGAAACTGAGTCTCAACAACCTCACAGAATTTTATACATACAATACATGCCTTGTATGTGTTGTATATAACATTCTAGTGATGGTGGTGATGAGTGATGACGTAATGTTTATGTTCTCAACCAAATCAAAACATCACGTGGCTTGCATTCTCGCTGAACAAAGAGCAATGGTACTCCCTCTGCTTATATTAATATAACTCTATGGGTAGAAATGAATCTTGCCACAAAAAGATAAACAACTATGCTTGATCAATGGTTAAATGTGGAGTGGATTCGGTAGATTATTTATGCGAAAACACTAGAATCAACTATGTAACTCTACATAATGCATAGTAAACCTAATCCTAAGTGAAATGAACATGTTGAAGGTCGTTTTAATACAATTTTATGAGCCGAATAAGCTAGCAGATTATTAGCAGTCATTTATTGTCATTAAGTGTGCAATGCATAAACAAGTCAATCCTCCAGACAGACATTTTTACAAACTTTTCGTAGCGAATATGCATATTCATATGAATGAATGAACGTGGCCCGTAAGTGATATGATGCTGCGATGGAGGTGAAAGTGTACGTACAAATTTGCATACAAATTTAGCACAATCAGTAATATATTTTGTCTTGTTAGTAAATTGGTTTATTTGGGCATTGGGATATTGCATTACTTTCCGGATAAATTTGTGTCTTATATAACGGACTACAATAAATTCTTGATAGTTGGACCACTTGGACCACGTGTTGGGTGGGAAGAGTCTTGGCTGTCGAAATAAGTAGAGAAGTTGAATCTCACTTATAATTTCAAAGTGACAAGACCAACTACTCCACTTAGTTCGAAACCACGTTATGTAATCTTTGTCCATGGAAGCTGTCCATGCTGTCCATGATGATGTCGTGATGACGATGATGATGATGGCGCCCCTCGTTTGGGGCTGTTCTCTCTTGACCGAGTGACGAATTGCCGAGAGTCGTTGTCCAGATAATTGGCACGATTAGTCAGTATTTCCTGCTGTGAAGACTCCAGCTCCGGCTGGTGTTATAGTGAGAGAGTGAAGTTGGTGATGATAAAATCAAGGATGCTAATTGGGTCAAAATTGGTGAGCTGGAAGAGTTAGATCTGGCATGATACAAAGTTGGCAATGCTGAGACCCAACTTCCAACTCACCGTGACACCCGTTTTGTCCTCGCGATCACCCCCCCGGTCACGGCCCCACGAACAAAAAATCCCCAATTTTATTTGAAATTCTGCAAGTGAAGTTGAAGTACCACGTATGTAATACCTGGATTAACAATATGGAATGAAATGAAACACTGGCCCAGAGTGAAATAAGAGTGCAGAGAGGATAGAATGAGACAAAACTTGATTTATATATTCGTTCTGGGACTCGAAATAAGGCCAGAGTACACAAAAAGTCCAAGAATTGAGTAAACTAAAGATAAAGTTAGAGTCAAGAGTAAAGTGAGATAACAGTATTTGTATTATTTCAGAATGATGTTGATAACACACAATCACACATAAATACAGGTACACGTATACATACATATCGCAGGCATTCTACTTAAAATATCATGTCAAGTGGAATTGAATTTAGCCGTTGATGCTTTCCCAACCCAATGGACAAACTCGTGTAGTTGTAGTCGTGTGTATTATTGTGAGGAAAATCATTTCAGTTAGAAATCGGTTACCACTTTGAGGATGAGTACAAATTTATGTTGTGTCGTTAATTTAATCTGCAATTATCGCACTTTGCTATGTTCATGGATATATGTATGTACTTTCTAAAAATCATGTCATGTTAAAGTCATGTTATGCAGCTAATCAAAAGGCGTCTCATGCACGTTAAAATTGGAGATAAAAAACTATGTATTTAGGATCATGCAAAAAATTATAAAGCTTAATATAGTACATAGTATGCATGTACTACATACAAGTTTCTAGAAGAAGTGATTTCATCTGTTTTCAAAATTTATATATTCATATATTTTTGCATGGAACAGGTTTACTTTTCTGAAATGTGGGCAAATATTCATTAGTTTGCAGGGATGAAAAAAATCAGGAAATGGAACGGAAAATGTATCATAATAAATAAGGGCAACAATCTGAGGATGTCGTCTTAACCTGTCAAACAACGATAAGCTCAAATTGCGACTGTACGATAACAGAATTTCGTACAACTTGTCTCAATTCAAACTTAAAAAACAATGGGATTACAAAAAATTAGTATTGACAGAGACTGGATGTCTGCTTCAAGATAGTGAAATAAAGTCAACGAAATCCAGTAATAATAATACCGTCGTCTTCTGCAAACAGTGCAATGGAGTATGCATATCACGCTAACACTTATTCATGTCTCTTGGTGTGAAAGATTAGCTCAGTAAGTAAACACAAAAGGGTTGAGTAAACGTCGGTCAATTTGTTTTACCAAACTGTATATGAATTGTAATAATGGTGTGGTAGATAAAGTATTCGATACGATTGTAAAATTCTTTGCATTTTTATTATTCATTCATTTCTTTAAACTCTTGACACAGAAACTTATAAAATACAAAACTTTAGAGAGATATTTGTCTAATTTTTTGACACTGCCCTAAAACAATTATGATTATGACTATTATAATGACTCGTCCATACTCATGTTGGACGCGTTTGTGTTATTGACGGTGCCAAGACTATCATTGACAATCAGGTTCAACATTCCTTCATCTAAAGTATTGTTAATCAGGTTCAAACCACCGCTGTCAGCTCCAGAATTGTCACCATTATTGGTTGGCGTGACGGGATCTCCTATGTCTGAAATGGACGCACCTCCAACAGCAGATGTAATGGCAGTTGCACTGTTGAATGATCCTTTAACAAATGATTATAATAATAAAAATTATGCTCCTCACGAAAATGTTAATAGTTAAAGGTTGAAGTAATTGCATACCTTGATTTGACCCCACGTTGCTAGAAGCCCGGATTGGTCGAAAACCTAGTCCGATTCTTTCTTGACGTACCAATTTCTGTGCATCTGCAGCAGCAAGGACGTTTCCGGAAGGATTCTTCTTCTTTTCAAATTTTTGAATGTACTCAAAATCATTGAGGTCTTCGAGTTTTAATTCAATTCGTGTCGGCGACCGGCGAATCATTATTATGAATGAAATTGGCAAATTGGTAAAATAAAGTTACGAATTAACTAGAAACTGTTGTCTGTTCAATATTGTTCGTAGTTCTGTTTAAAATGCCTGATTGTCACGATTAACAAAATTGTTTAAAACGACGTTTAAATATAAATTATATTTAAATTATATTATATAATATTGAATTTGAATTAATATGAATTAGGTTAGGAATTTAGGAATCCAAATTTAGCAATTTAGCATCTAGGAATACAATTCAAAATTTTGCAGGTCAATATTATTGTTGTAAATACTACTAGTTCAAGATTTCAACATAAATACTTACAAATTAAGTGATATAATATCACTGATATTTATGGAAAGTAAAAATAGTAAAGTCGTTTTTGTTTTGTTTTAGAGATCTTTTTATTTTGAAAATCAAATGAAACTCGAATGCATTTCACCCCAACCCATTCTTGTCCGTCTCAAATGAGTGTCTTGGCGCTACTTACCAAACCTTTCTCCTTTTTGTGTTTTGCAAGGTTTTCGATTTTAAATTCACCTTTTAAAAATTAAAAGAAAATAAATACTAATTACAAATTTATATATCGAGTGGTATCTCCGTTATATCTACTCTGCTACAAGGTGACTTTGAATAAATTTCCAGGAAATATCAAGTAATTAAAGAATACTTCGTCAGAAGAACTTCTCTAGTTTGCAGTTAGTCAAAAACAGAAAATGAGTGACGCAAACGTAACTGAGAACGTTGCATCGACATCATCGAAAACTGCAGCCTCGGGTACATCAGTTGGTGACGCCAAAAAGAAATTTGAGCGCATGGCAAAATTACGAGAACTGCACAATAAGCGAGTATGACATTCTTTACTGAACTAATTCATTCGCACTTTCAGTAATTGAAGATTTTTTGAACGATTAATAATTGTGTTGCGTTTGTTTTGTAGAATGAAGCTCGGAAACTGAACCATCAAGAGGTCCAAGAAGAAGAGAGACGAGCCAAGTTGCCAGCAAACTTTGAAGGTTAGAAAAATTAATGTTGTAATAAATTATTTGCAACGCGTTTGATTATAAAATTAAAATATTAGACCTCTATTTTCCTACAACCTTTGACTTGACTTTTTTAAATTTTATTTGAAGCTCGGAAACGACGTGCAGAATGGATTTTGAACGAGGAGAAAATCCGAGCCAAATGCGAAGAGGATGGCGAAGATTTCGACCGAGTTAAACTGCTTCACATTCAGGCTGACGAGTTGGATAGAATGGATCGACTCAAATCCCGTAAGAAAAATCCAGACCAAGGTTTTTCCACCTATGAAGCAGCAACGGTGCGACAACACAACAGACTCGTGCAGAACATGAAGGTTGACCTTCAAGCCTATCAAGAGGAAAAGGAAACGGTGGGTGAAGATGCATTTTATGCCGGAAGAGACACCTTGGTTCATGGTCTGCATAAGGATAAACCAGAAAATATTGATAAAATGGTTCAAGATTTGGAGAAACAGTAAGCTTTTAATTGCGTCTAAAGTCGAGAGTTCTGCTGTTATTTCATAAATGCACTTGTTTTTACAGGGTGGGAAAAAGGGACAAGTTCAGTCGGCGTAGAATGTACAACGATGAAGCAGACGTTGACTACATTAATGAGAGAAACATGAAGTTCAACAAAAAGTTGGAGCGATTTTACGGCCAATATACTTCAGATATTAAGCAAAACTTGGAGAGAGGAACAGCAATTTAAATATTTCTATGATAATCCACTTCCGCATCGCATAACGTTGTTAATTTTTGAAGGACAGGTTTTACATTTATTTACATGATAATTTAATGTCACCAATTATTACGTACACATATAATTATGTAATGAAATAAACTCAAAATTTTGTAATACATTCTTTTGATATTACATATAAGTACTTTATACTTTACGAACTGCTTCAACATAAAAATGAACTATTAATCATTAACGTTGCTGAATTTGCTCGTCAATGTGCCGAAGAATTAGTTTCGCCTTAGATCTCGGCATTGGTTTTAATCCATATCGTTTAAGCTCTTTCTACAAAAGGGATAGTATATTAGTTTATTAATGATGGATAATTAAGTAACTTAATAATCCATTGTATTTTCACTTTACCTTTAATATGGGGGTGTCGATGGTGCTGTAGTTCATGTTGCCTTTTTGTTGAGCAGAGGGTCGTTTGTTAGGTGTGGACTGGGTAACCTTTCTAGTTGGAGTAGGCTCTTGAGATAAAGCCCTTTTTTGTCTTTGATTTTTTCTACCATTATTACTTTTACCTGCCTTTCCCTTTCCGTTGAATGGATTTTGACAATTCAATTCAAGATTCTGACTAAATGTGTCAGTGTTACTACGACTAGGAATTGGGACGAGGTCTGATTGCGGTACAGCAGATTTGTTCTTTTTGTTAGAAATAGGAGAAGGACATGGGGGAAGAGGCGAATGATTTTGAAGCAGGACGGAAGGAAGGTTGAGGAAGCAGTCGTCATCATCATTTCCAAAAGGATCATCTTCAATAATATTTTCTTTGACGGGTTCGACACGATCCACACAAGAAGGACTTTGTCCATACTGTTCAGGAAAAACACAAGGATCACGGTAAGAATTAAGAGGCGATAACTGGAAACTATTGTTACATTCGGAAAGGGTAGTAGCAACGTGGCTCTCATGAAGTGTCATAATTTCTCTTTGGAACGAACTACTACTTGAATCTTTTTTTAATTTCTTAAACGTCTTTTTACTTTGGTCAAGATTTACAACTCTACTTGAATCACTATATATATTTAACACTACATTGTCGTCATCTATTTCCTCAATGTCTATCAACTTATGTTTTTTATTTGCCTGTGACTCATCCCGATTTAGAGAAGATATAAAATCAATATATCCTGCCACTTGAGATGTTGTGAAATTATAACAAGGGGGGAACAGCGAAGCCAGGTCTTGTGGACTTTTATAATGTTTTGGTGACAGTAAAACTCGATGTTGCGAGTCTATTACTGGATTTAGTTCATCGTCGATTATGATTTTTGAATTATCGTCATCAGCATCGCTGTTCTTGTGTTTTGTTGATACGGGATTCTGTTGATCTTCATTGTTTATCTTAAGTTCACTGATATACTCTTCTTCAAAGTCTTCCAAATCTTCAAACATATCTCTTGATCCCGCATCTTCATTATCATCATCATCATCATCCTTGTCATTCTGATTACCCAGCGTGCATTCCTGAATATTTTGTTGTTGCATTGACTTGTCATTTTTAGGTCCTGAAATAAAAGAAAGTCGGTTAAGGTAGGTAAGTATGGTTTTATACGATAGAATGAATTAAAATGTAGATTGAAATGTGTTATAAAATACCTAGTAAATTAGTTTCGGTCTTCAGCGCGTCCTCTTCATCTAGAAAAAGGTCCAAACTCATATTGGAACGAACACTTCGATTTCGATTGCAACTTTCTCTTAATTGCAAATTTGGAGGTTTATTGATTGAAGTAGAACACATCAATTCAACACAATGTTGTTTATCCAAGTCAACTGATTCTCTTGTGGTACATTTGGATATGGGCAGGTTATGATGTGTGGGCGGAGTGACCAGTTGGGGTGTAGAGCGGTGTTTGTCTTCTACTAGTATGCCAGATTTGGCAGAGTTTGTCGTGGTAGTATTAGCAGCAGTACTAGTGGTAGAGGTGGTCACGACCACCTCCGTCAATTGAATACCATATCTTGAACCCAACTCCAACACATCCAAAAAGTCCTGTCCTTCCAGTGGCTTTAGTTTACCACAGTACAAGAATTTTACAAAAGCCTTCACAGCAAGGTGAGAGAAACACGTTAATGAAATAATATCTCGCACAGTTTTCCCGTTTGATGTATTCTCCTGTACAATTTCAGAATAAAGTTTACGACATCGTGCCATGATGATCAATTTATGAGCTTTGATTGGTTTCTCTTCTCTGCCATATACTGTCAGATCAGTCATTTCCTTATTCACGAATATCTGAAGCAAATCATTACTAAGTTTTGACAGCAGTGGGGTGGATGATGAACTTTTGCAGTTATTATTTAAATTGGGTGCGTCGACTGTGATGACTTTCGGGGGCGTAATTTCACACTAAAAAATAAAATAATAAAAGTAGTTAAAAAATTATTATTTACAGAATCGTAAGTATTTGACTTTGCCAGTATTTAACAACCTTATTGTTTTGTAATCGTGATGAATTGCTGACGATTTTTACTTCAGGGACGACACAGTTTGGCCTCGTTGATTCGGGACTACTTGTAGTGTGAACTTTTTTAAGTGAACCCAGGTCTGTCTGAACGGAGTTTCCCAATTCCGCAAGTAATCGAGATTTAGCGTCAGAAACTGCACTAATCGAATATGTTCTGGGAGAATCAAAGGATGAAGAAGCAGAACTGGCTAAAGACCAAAGAGGACTTGTCTAAAATGATAAATAAATCCATTAATTAAAAAGACATGTATTAAAATACATGCATCACTAACATTGCGCTCTTACTTTGATCTTGTACTTTTCCAATCGTTTAGAAAGTTGTAACAAGCCATGACTTGGATTCTCTCTAACATTAAAGTCTTCATGTTTATTACAATTTGCTTCGCTTTCGTCCAAGATCGTCCCAAGACGCTTCTCAATTTCGGATTTCTTATCACTATCGGTTGCAGTGCACAAAGGGAGGAGTGCCAAATTTCCTCTTTTCCCCCTTCTGACAGGCTTACTTGGTTTGGACTTTGTTTGTTGGACCATAATATTAGGTATTTGGATGACAGGTCGTATTTCAATTTCTCCCTGAAGATCGTTCTCAACAATGAAAGCATTTTCATTCTGTTTCCTCCTCTCAACTTCCTCATGAAGTGATTCCGAAAGTGCTATTGCCAATTCTAGTTCTGGGTCTTGCTTCTTTCGCCTAGTGGGACGTGAAGCTTTATTTCCAGTTCTAGAATTAGCACAGCCTCCTCGACGGGAACCGACAGCAGCAGACGACGAAGGTCCTCCGTGGAAACCAGGATATGCAATCCCTAAACCTTCCCACTCTTTGATTTGTTTCTCTTGAAGCTGGAGAGCCTCAAATATTTGATTTAAAGGAAGATTTTTTGCACAAGCCTTAATATGAACAGATCCAGCAAGTTTGTCTGTCAAATGCTTCCAGCAAAATGGACAAACTGCTTCCGGTCGATGAGCCACTTTAGTAGACATTGACTCCAAATCTGCATCTATGTTACCTTCTTGATAATTTTCTTCTGTTGCATGTACCTTGTTGTCTTTCTTGCCATTATTTGTGTTTCGTATTGGGGATTCAGCCTTGCACGAACGTTTTTTGGATTGACCTACTGGGGACTCTAAAATATCATCTTCCGGAATCTTATTTTTGTCAGGAATATATATCTTCTTGTCATCAGGCACATAGATATATTCGCTGGTAATAGTAGTACTAGTACTTGTTATAGACTTGCTTTGATTTTTCTCCTTACGACTTTTTCCAACTCCGTCAGATCCTTTGATTTGTTTAGGATTTGTGATATGAATTTGTATGTTATTCTGCTCGTCAGATTTATTCTTCCTTTGTCTAGCGGGTGCAGCAAATTCTTTCGACCTTGGTTTTTGAAAATCGTCGTCTTCTGAATCTGAGGAAACTTCAAATATTTTTTTGCTCGTGGTACTTACGGGTTTCTTTGGAGGCGCTGGAAGCTTAATCGCTGGTGGTTTCTTGTATTTGTTTAATTTATTCATTATATAGGATTTTGAATTATTATGAAAGAAGCTTTAGAAAAAAATAATATTTATATCCTACTCATAAACTACGTATCGTAATAATAAACTCACTAAAGCCCTAATCACTTTAAAAAACACACTCGCATTAATAGGTAGCTACTTGTCTATGGATAATCTGTAGAGAATAAACATCGCTACATAATTATTCATCTTTCTGTTGAGCTTGAACGTCGGATTTCTTATAACTGGCCAATTCCTTTTGGAACTTTCTTGTTCTTGTAAAGTCAGAGTGTTCCTGAATATCTATGTCCAAGAACGCTTTATCCATAATTTCTTTGGTGAGCGTTCCCGAAATTACATTCCCATCCATCCGTTTAGCAAAATAGTCCTTTAACCACAGAGGATCCTTGTCCACACCTTCTTCTGCTCTTTTCCTCAGCGTCTTTGACAACGGGCTAAATCTGTAAGATCGAAACCTGAATCAGTATAATACTTAGCTTATTCTTCTAGTGAGTAAGTGGTTATAAAGCTACTAGTCCACTTTCGTACAGCAAGTAAATGCAAGAAAAAACATCCTACACCTGTTGTGACCTGCACCATATCATAAACATGTATTCATAAATGTATTCAGTATGCGTATGAATCTGAATTGATAAGCTAATGTCCATCTTGATCTACAATAACTAACCAACAGAATTTGAAGTTATTTGATAATTACGCTAGCAGCAGCCCCCCAAGGACGACCGAGTATCCGACGACACCTCGAGCGATCTTGATTCGTAGGAAGTAGGCTTCACTCCCTGGGAAGTTATCCTTCCAGTAGCCCATCTAGCTGTTCTGACAAATCTTTCAAAATGGAATATTTTCTTGTTTAGGCAATATTCAGTTTAGGCAGGTATTTCAAAATTTTCGTTCCGATGACGATTTTGTTTTTTTTTCAAAAAACTCATGAACAATGTGACCAGTGCTCCCGCAATTGGCGTGCACATGAGATGAGACTCTTCTTTAGTTGGGTGAATGGAGATGGAGGTGTGCATGGATGGATGGTGTTTACATTTTTCGGGATAAAGAATCTAGTGGCAAAAGAGAGATGAAGAAGAGAACGACAAATTGTGAAGTTGCAAATGAGAAATTGTTTTGATAGGAATATGGATCACATTGCAATGAAGATTAAAAAGTTATTTGTAGTAAATTATCACGTGCGCTAAGGATAAGTGGATACTTATTATTAGGCAGAATCCGTTATCCTCGTGTGGCAGCAGAAATTTATTTTATTTATTTCTTTATTTCGTGTCGTCGTGCGTTGCTTTGCTCGTCAACCATCTTCTGTCGATTGAATTAACTAAAATAATCGCAATTAATTTTGCAATAATTATTATTGGGAAACTATATTGTAAGTATTGTAATAAGACATACTAATAAATTAACTTGGTAATGTTTTTATGCTTTACGTATGTTTTATAGAAAACCTCTACAAACATAAAATGTCGTACGACGAGTTGACAGCAGAATTAAAAAGTCTAAAAAAACGTATGATTTTAATCTGAATTGTTATGTCGATTTATGAAAAAACTATATTTGTCGGATTGTTATATATTCATTGGACATCTACTGTTTTAGGTTTATACACGTTCAAGTTGAAAGGGATGGAACTTCATCAACGTGCTAGGAATCATATTTCGACTCACCGGGCGGAAATGTTTGGTCAGGGCAGTGCTCAAGAAAAGGAAGTGGACATGAAGTTTGCAGCCTTTGGTCCTAATCCTCAGTCAATCCCACTTTCAAATGAATACGTTAGTGGGCTTTCATATTTAATCATCTTTTCATAAGTTGACTATCTTAATTATTTTGTTTATTGCATCTATAACAGATTTTGGAAATGATTGCATATCATCTCCCCTGGAAGGATTTGCAAAATTGTAAAAAAGTTTGCAAATTATGGAATGAGGAAATGTCTAGATGTGAAATGAAGCGCAAATCAATCGTGGTAGCATCCGACGAGGATTCAGATATTGTGACCGACTTGGTGAGGCAAAAGACACGTGGAAATCTCGTCTCTTTGTCGACACTCGTCATTCTATCCACATCGTTGGACACGAAGCCTGTTCAACTAGTAGTAAATCATTTTGGAACCACACTGAGCAGTTTAAGACTGGACGAATGCACTATGACTGCGCAAGAATTGTATCTCATTTTGAGGGACGTCCCAGCTCTAGATCATCTGTCGGTAAAATCAAATGAAGTCACGCGTCGCAGGAATGTCCCAGCTCGTCGAGATGGATTCTCGCCATTGGATCAAATCACATCCAACGTATTCACTCCCACTTTGGTGCTTCACTATTTAAGAGAATTAAGCTGGGAGGATGAACGAGATGTTACTGCATTAGAAAGGCTGCCTAGAATGTGTCCCAACTTGGTGTCCTTGCAAATTTCTAATCTTGGAGCGTGTCAGCCGGACTTGTTTCAAAATTTGAACTGGAAAACATTAAAAGTCCTTGATTTAAAACTTGGTTGGAATACGCGAATTAAGCAGATTAATTACTTTCGATCCTTCTCAAAGATGGGATTGAAACTAAAGAGTTTATTTTTAAAGAACATCATGCCTGATGGATATAACAGGATGAAGGAATTTAAAAAGTTCTTGGAATGTTCAAAAAAATCTTTGGAAGATCTCCGAATTACTCGACCCGTTAGTGATCACGTGGAAATATCAAGCCGTTTATATTCCCCGTTTCCTGTTCGCATGAATTCCTTAAAATCTCTGACCATTGATATGGAATTTGTAACCTCGCTTAACATAATAGATCATCTCCCTGTCCTGGAAAAATTGAGCTGTAAATGTAATTACTGGATCAATTGGTGGAAAATTCTAAAAAAGACTACTCTACCAAAAGTTCAGCGTTTCATCAACGAAGTATCCCTCGGAGCAATAGACAATGATTGTTTAAAAAAAATTATCCAAGCGTTTCCTAACATTTTGACCCTGGACATCACGGAGGATCGAGTTGACGATACGTTATTTAGCACAATTTGCGGTAACCTGCCGCGACTTCGAATTCTTAGGTAATTTTTGTCTAATATGAAAAGCACAGTAGATTGAATTGCGTTTACTAAAAAGAAAATCCGCAATAAAAATTCCAAAATTATTTTGCTAAACAATTTTTAAAAAAAACTTTAAAAAGCGAATTTCTGGAAAATTGAATACCTGTTCTACTAGGATAACCATTTTAATCTTTGTAATTCTCAGGATAAGAAGCTCAATCAATCACAACCGACCACACTTATGTTTGACTGATCATGGAATAACTGGAATTTCACAGGATGAATGCTCAAAATTAGTCTTGGAGGAAGATTTCCAGGATGAAAATGTGGAATCTCTCCGAACTCAGCCAAATATACGTAATCTAAAAGGTAATTAATTACACTTTTTTTGTTTCTGGGGTGCAAATGAATCGGTGTATCAAGATAATATGCAGCACTATCTACATAATATGAAATTTAATTATTGTGTGTCCATTCCTTGTTTCAGAATTGCATATACTAGAAATTAATTGCGCCCCAAAATTGAGCGATCTGACCTTATTTCATGGACTCGTAGGACTTCCATCACTAGTCGTCATTCATCTTCCCACCTGCTTGGTAAAAATTAAAAAAAAACATACATATTGCGCATTACTTAAAGCCAGTTAAGCAAGACATAATAAAGTTACCCAATTATTACAAATTTTCAGATTACTGATGCCAGTTTACAACGATTTCCAAATTTTCAAGTATGTATATCTATTAAAATTCGAACACGTACAAAAGTACTGATAGATCAAGGAATACATAATCTAATACATTGGTTTAACCCTTCATTTTTCCGTCACGGAAACCATACAGCTTTGTCTTGCTAAATAGTGATTTATTACCATGTAGATTTCAAGAGATCCAGACGGAAGTCGACGAATTCGGGTGAAAGCTACAATGAACGAAAGTGTGTCCACTTTACTAAACTTGGTCGCAGATGGTTCCGTCATGAAAAATCCGCTGAGCCTTTTTGGTGAACTGGTTGCTGAACTTAGTGAATTTCCTGGTTGATATTGGCAAACACAGAATAAGTTATTCAAATACCTTTATAATTTGTTGTAATCTCATACGCCATGATTACTGGGTGTCATTATTAGAGACGTTGAGCAAGAGTACAATATTGTAAAAAAATGATTGTATGTAGAATCACAATCACAATCTATGATTGTATGTTCTTGAGGTTGAGCAAGAATATTTTATGGGAGGATTGTAATTCTCATTAATTTCCGGCGGCAGATTTGAAATTCCTTCAAGTTGGGTATATGAGTACAATACAATGCTGCCTGGAGACGGAGATTTTTAATCCTGAGTTTGACTAAAAGTTTGACTAATTTTGATTTTTCCGCTGTGTTTACAATCGCAAAATACAATCATGTACTCTTGCTCAACCTGTCTATTATTTAAGACAATAGCAGTATTTTTATATTCCCGTATATTAGTACTTTCTACAGTACTTTTCCCAATAAAAATAAGTCAACCCGTCTGAATTAACATACATGGACTGAAAATTAAATATTGTAGCTTATGAACTACATAATCATTTAAGTAATCAGTATATCATCACCATTTCCATCATAAAATTTTATTATATGAAAAACAAAGTATTAAACTTTTCGTTAGAAGGTTAGATTCTCAACTCGAAGGAGGAAAAGTGAGACTTTTCAAAGTCTTCTTTTCCATCAATCAAGTCAGTCTCACGCACAATCCATCAGCAAACAAAACCCATCCCGTCTCGCTCATTTTTCATATTTGGGTAACAGAATTCATTTCACTCTGATTTACCATATTATTATTTAAGTACCAGCTGAATTGATTGAAAATTAACAACGAAAAACATTTCCTTTTCTCGAAGTTCTTGATCCTTTATCTGTTGAACTTTTTAGCTGTCAAGCAAATTCAAAATTGGAAAATAAAGTTTCTTAGCGTAAGTTGACACATTTAAGAGTAGAAAGTGGTTGATCAAAGTCATTTTTAACTAATTAATAGGAATAAAGTAAAATACAAGTAATAACCTAAAATACACAAAACGAATTTGCTCAACAAATGGACCCAGGAATGGATTCAGAATTAAAATCGCTGAGAAAAAGTAACTTAATAATACTGATTAGTTTTTCTAAGATTTTCCAAGCGAAGCTTTTAAACATTTCAGAGTTATACACTTATCATAATCGGATACTGGAAATCGAAAGGCAAAGCCGACTGAGCCGAGACGAATATGAAGTTCGTTTTAATAACAAAAGGCGAAAATTGGACAAGGATAAACCTCAAGTATTCGCATTTGAAAATTCCATCACTCCCTTGAGCAATGAATACGTAAGCATAATAAACCTAATTTTATCGGCAAAAAACCGTATGTTGTGTGATTACTCTAATTTCTGGCCATATTTTTCCCTACAGATATTGGAAATGATATCAAATTATCTACCATCGCAAGATCTAAGAAATTCGCGTCTCGTCTGTAGTCTGTGGAACAAGGAAATGTCACGGGCTTTGACCTCACGACAAACGTTAATTGTTACAGAGAACGATTGTCCTGAAGCAACTTCATTTATACAAAATGCAAGAAAAACCTCCTCCGTTGCACTGGGAAATATTTGCTTCTTTGATATTCCAACTACTTGTCCATTGTTTAAGAAATTGATGGCGTTTTTTGGATGGACACTATCGGGACTGAAGCTGGAAGAATGTATGTCGAATTTAGCTGATTTGGCCAAAGTTCTCATTAATCAAGCTCCAAACTTGGAAAGTTTTTCCTACAAAAACCGTGCATCACCAGAATCCCAGCAAGTCTCAACTCTTTTCAGAATCAAGCATCATGTGAGCAATCCACATTTACAATTAATTGAACTTAAACGACTTCATTGGGATGAAGAATTTGGGAAAGTCGAGCTGGAAGAAATTATATCCATGTGCCCAAACTTGATTGAGTTAATGTACAAGAACTCGTGCATTCCATGTCCATCAAGCTATAAGAACTTGCGATGGGACAGTTTAACAACACTCAATTTTTCTCCACGAGATGAACTCAGAGATGAACATATTCTAGCGTTGACCAATCTTCAGTTAAAATTACGAAGACTGACCATGTTTGGAGTCAACCCGTCTGTAAAATCTAGAATGCTCAAGCTCCAAAAATTGTTCACATCAATTTCCAAAACATTAGAAAATTTAGAGTTGTTTCAACATTACACTATCGAATATCGGTACAATCCGGCATTTGACACTCCATTTTTCGTCACCAGGTTATCTCGACTAAAAAGACTGAACGTGGATTTTTGTATTTTAAAGTCTCTCAAGGCCTTTAATTATTTGCCTGCACTAAAGTCATTCGAATGCAAAGCCAGGCATTGTGATGATTGGGAGGCTCTTTTGGCAAAGAAAGGATTTCCAGATGAAAACTTGAATCTTTCTTATCTCAATCTCGGAAGTATAGATTCACAGTGTCTTTTAAAGTTTACAAGTTCCTTCAAAATGTGTTCAAACTTAGAGTTGGATCCGGAGTTGATTGACGATAAAGCTATGCGAATTATAATCAAAGGCTTCCCACATTTGCAACAGTTGAAAATTGCCAAGCTAGGACATGTCTCGAAAATTCCATTGACCGACTGTGGTTTGTCCGGGCTAAATGCTTCAACATGCAAAAAATTGTTAAACAGTATTGATTGTGGTTCTGGAATGAACCAAGATAAATTATTGAAGCTAACAAAATTTCCTGCCATCTATCACTTAAAAGGTATCCACTCATAAATATTAAAATAAGTATACAATCATCATATACAGTGGCCACAATTAAAATCGCTGACACATGTTATTTCCTATTGACAGACTTAATTAGACTCGAAATTCAAGCTGACAAGTCATTACTCACCGACATTTCTCTGGTCTATGGAATTGTTAAATGCTCAAAACTTGCAATTCTCGGCCTTCCAAGATGCAATGTAAGCTGCACAACTCCCTCAGCTACATAGTTCTTTATTTTGCACATTTTTATAATTAGCTGCCAAGTATATGTGTTAACACAGTATAATTTTTTGCTGCAGATTTCCGATATTTCCGTAAAAGCCATCCAGGATAACCTCAAACTCACCCTTTTGGATTTACGAGTTTCTAGGTGCCCAAAAATCACCGAGTCAGCCATAAATTCTCTGCGAAATAGTCACAAAGACATGATTTTACAATCGGGTCTTCTTGTCTATCCTGACCTAAGTGCCAGTTGATGTTTTTGTAGTTAGGTGTGATATCCATACCCCGGCCAAATATTTTTTTATCCTACCCTACTCATGTTGAGCTCAACACGAGTAGGGTAGGATAAAAAAATATTTGGCCGGGGTATGGACTAAAATTATTATTAATAGGGTCTCCCAAGTTTGTAAAAAAGATCTGAAAAAGCGAAAAGCTAAAAAATCTGAAATCCGCTTTTTTCGCTCAATACTTGACTGTCCCGATTTTTTATCGCTTGAATACTCAGGAGCAGAGAATGGGTGGTCAAGAAACTTTGGAGTTTCTTTTAAAATTTAAATTTGCTTCATCTTGGATATGATAAAACAACTATCTAAGATCATGTAAATCCAAAAATTACCAAAATGGGATGAAAATAGGATTTTTGGCAAAGGTTTGAATGCGGTAGTTTTAGTGGTTGCAATGCTTTTCAGGGGGTGTGGCGGGCGCAGGTGGGGCAATGGAATAAAATCCTCCCTCACTTTTCATACACTCACCTGATATTGCAATATATTCCATAGGGCATCAAAATCGGGCGATGTCCCCTTAAACATGTCTCTGAGAGACTGATTTTTCACTCAAAGTAGTAAAAAGAGCGAAAAAATCATCTTAAAGTAGATTTTATTTTTGAGCAGAAAAAGCGGAAAAAAGATCGGAATCGCATGCGCAGTGCGGTTTACAAAAAGAGCGAAAAAATCGTGAGCGGAAAAAGCGATTTTTTTTACAAAGTTGGGACACCCTAATAATATGAACAATAATGAACATATTAGTGAAATTCATAACTTGTAATAAATTGATTTGACTATTAAGATGTATGCTCATTGTTCCTTTGTCCTTACATCGTTTTTAAATTGCATGCAATTTCATTTCCTGTAATATCTTGCATTCACTAAAATTATGCAAGTGACGACATCAGAAGAAGAAACGTGGTAACTTTAAAGTTTGACTGACTGGTGTGTAAATTACACAATGCAATCATACAATTTCATGTTCATCGCCAATAGCCATCTCTCAAAGAACTACTTTCTTGCACAATCATAATTTTGGTAAGTAGTAAAAAATGTCTTACATATTATGATAGCTTGTTTGAAATTTAAATTATAAAACTCTTGATAAGACAAGGTTGATTAAATTTTTATTAGTCATTCAAGTCGAGGTTTTGCTGGCTTACATACAATTACAAATACAGCTTGATTGAGCTTATCTCTAATTTATATTTTCCAACAGGTGAAATGGATCCAGCCGAAGGAAAGAGGGATAAAATCCCAGAGGAGGAGGAAGAAGCCCAAATAGGGGCTGCGGTAGCAAAGGTCGGAATATTCGCCATGATCCTGGGTCTCTTCCTTCACATCTTTAGGTATTGCATATTGTAATTTATTTAAGTGTAGTAGTAGTATTATTGAATTAAAATATTATATAATTTTTCGTCTAGAATGATCCGTGGAAGAAAACCGGCTTCAAAGTCCAGTTAACTCGTACTTATCCCTTAACTTAACATCCAGTGCAATTTTCATGAGACGACGCAAATGAAGTAGGTGACCCAACGTTATATCATTTGTGGTCAATATCCTTGTTACTTATTTACGTATACTTAAGAACAATTTGGATGGGGAAATAATCATTAATCGCTGACACTGACATTTATTATTAAAAAAAACAGATTAATTAAAGACTGAGGGTAGGTATTGAATGAGGTAATAAATATATAACTATAAACTTTTCCAGTACGAATTGTAATCCAATCATATGTCAAATAAACAAATAAATAAATAGCATATTACTGATTAAGTAATGATAGTAAGTGCCAAGTCCTTGTGCACATCATAAAAAAATGCATTGATTCCTGACGATGTCTGTTAAGGATACAAATGTGTATTAGTACCCTCCACCACCCCCAGCGTTCAAGTATGCGTTGCCATTATCGGAATAGTCACTGGCATATTTTCCCCGATATCCTCCCCCGAATCGATCTCCACTGGCGCCATGGGCATTGCTCGCGCGACCACGACTTCCGCCGTACTTGCTCCCACCAGAATTTCCACCCCCGTGTGAACCCCCATTCTTACTCCCATACTCCTTATGATCCCCGTCCCCATAGTTGTCCTTCTTAGCACGGTTGTACGTCGACGAGTCCGAATATCCTTTGTTCCCTTTGTACGAGTCTGTATGGTAGTAGCCCCCTTTCCCCTTTTTCCCGTCCGAGTGACGGTTGTGATTCTGGTACTGAGTTCGCTTGGGTTTAGACTTGTGGTTGTAAGACTGGCGACGATTTTTCTGACGTGATTCTTGCGTCTCCAACTCAAATTGGACTAAAGATGGAGCATTTGAATTGGAAACTGGTTGATGAGCTATCACTTTGTTGGGAGACACGTTAAGTGAAGAAAAAATCACGATTGGTTTCTGGATAGTTGAGTTTGATTGTGTAGCTGTAACGGGACTGGGAACTGATAGGGAGACAATAATGCCAAAAAAGATAAAAATTCCCGATATCATTTTTATTTTGTGTATTTTAGGTCGATGCTTGAAGACTAATATCGTTGAATAAAATGTGTCACTGTCGACTCAGAAATTACAACTATATATTTTTTGACGGCATGCGTTGAAATACTTTTGGTTAGGGTGTAGCAGCGAATGAAAGATGGAGAAATATTTAAAATAAAAATTCACTCAAGGAGGGATGCCAAACAAATTACTAGGTTATGCAATAAAGTGTAATGCACACTTCCGCTATTCAAAAATAGGCAGCCACAGAGTACTAAATAAATTCACAAAGCCAGTCATGCAAAGATAATCATGCAACTGATGAAATAGGGTCGAATGGATGATATTAGATAAATACGCTTTTAGACTTATGCAACATTCATCATTGTCATTTTAGAATTTAAATAATTATGCATTTGACAAGGGATATCAAATTTTGACAAACTCTCTTAAAATAATACTTAATTATACTTAATTATCTTTATTTTTAAAATATTCAATTATCTTTCAATTGCAAGTAAGTATACAAAATATTATTTGCAAAGAACACAATTCGATGAAGATTGAGCTTTATATAATGTAATATTAAGGATACATAAATGGAAAAATTAACTTGATATTGAATGTATACAATTGCTACTCCGTAATATAATACTCCTTTACAACAGAACTGTAAAATTTGAAGAAGAAACAGAACACAAAAATGCAATCACTGAAAAACATAAATAGACAAGACATTATAAAATAAATTGCCGGAAAACAAAATAGTACATAATCAGGACTCTCGAAGAGTGAGAAAATTTAAAGTAAGACACAAACACACAACGTAAATAAAATTATGGGATACTATGTGTAAGTATGCATCATCAAAAAATAAACGCTTGTTAGCAAATAATTGATTAGTTTTCCTTCAAATTTTCGGCATGTTAAAAGCAAATATTCAATCTGCAGGCCTGGCAAAGATCTTTACGGTGATGATGATGATTTTCAACATTTAAATTGTGGTGGTTGTTGGTGCTGCTGCGAGTATTTGATAATCGAATTGATTTTTTGCAATCATTCAGGAATTGTTCTGGAAGTGCAATACCGTAAAACTGATTACACACGAATTCTAAAAGCCTTTTCATTGCTCTTTCGATTTCTTCAGGATAGCATGCTGGTTGTTGATAATTCTCATCTCGACATGGTTTCCTTTGTTTATTCATGCATATTTGTCCAAAGATTTTCATGAAAATGAATCCTCGACGGGAATCCTTATTTTGTTTAAACGCAAACAAAATTTTCCCTTGTTTTGAAGTCCATGGTGTACTACAGCTCTAATAATACATTTTGAGATAAACACAATACATTTTCAATTGACGTGAGTAAAAATAAGCAGCAAATATATACTATAATATAGTATTTTTTTACGTACTCTGCAGCAAAATCGAAGCTTCGTAGTGATATTTAATCCGACCCATCCATCATCTGGATTTATGTTGAACTGAGGCGCACCTTGCAAACGCCAAATGTCTGGGAGAAGTATGCCAAAATGTTCAAACATTTTTGCTTGCCACAAGTACTGTTGTCCTCCAAAGAAATCAGAATCGTCAACTAATGATAAAATAGCAATGCTCAATTAGCTGACAAGGTTATTTAGAAAAAAAATCGATATGCCAATTATTATATCAATCGTTTTTTTATTAATATGCTAATTGTAAACCAGTGTATATTTTAAATAAGCTAATATACATACCTGAGGGAGGAACATAGTACTCAAGGTTTGAAGGAGGAGGCGCTGGAAATTGCTTGATGCCAGTTACATCAAATGTGTTATCCACGTAAGACAACTCGTGCATATTCACGTGGACTCGATCATCCACGATGAATCCATTTTGACTCAATATGAGATTATCCTCTGTCATCGTCCTTATCTTTACTCGATTCGACACATCCGTTGGAGACCATACTACGTCGCTAAAATTTCCCACTGCAGATGTTGAAGCGGAATAGTTAATATTGTTGCCGGAAAATGATTCATCGTGTCCAAGGGATCCGTATGAGCAATCACTGCCAGAAGTCGAAGGCCTCCTTGATCCTGATGAATCTGAAGGTGCCCAAGAAGATAGAGACGTAGTTGGAAGATGGCCAGAATAGTGCGTATTGATAGGATACGTCTATATTAATTAGACAACATTATGGAATAACTGACCATGATAATAGGTTGATAATAGTGAACAAAATTAGAGAACCTACCATCATGTCCGAATCTGAATTATTCATAACCCATTGAATGTCTGAATTATCACCAGGAGGAGGAAATGCAACGTTTTCAAAACACGGCGAAAACGATTGGTTAGTAGACAACAAATGTCCTTCGTTGTTATTGTTGCAATACCATTGATTTGGAAATGGTTGCAAAATTTGTGTACACCTTGTCCCACCATCCATTGAATGCAGTACGTTCGTCGGTACTGGAAGAAATGACGAATTTGCAATCGGTAGAAGTGGTTGCCCATTTCCGTGAGGAATAAATCCTGAATAAACACCGTCTCCTGAAATTGGTAGTGGTAATGGCTGCGAACATTGACCAACATTAAAATTTGGAGTAGGCCAAACTCTTTGCAGTTGTTGCTGGTTAGTTGGTATCATTCTATTTGGATTTCCAATCGGGTAATTAGTTGGGGGTGTTTGGAAAGGCATTGGAAATCCAACATGGCTGCCCACTAATGCAAATTGACGATTGTTAAAAATTGGTGCAGGCATCGGCATCGGCACCAATTGCACTTGGCCTCCATGCAACATTGGCCCATTACTGTGTTGGAGTGGGTGAAATTCCATGTAATTGTTGTTGAAATGGTGAGCAGGTGCGATAGGAAAGCCAGCTTGTTGTTGAGGTAGCATGATGCCAACGTTATTATTATTATTATTCGTCCATGTTGCATTCGAATATGGTAGTTCAATTCCGTTGGTGAAATGATATTCTGGCGAAAAATGTACATTCGCAGTGTGTCCAGCAAAGGGATTGTGTCCAGTCGAGTGAGATGGACACCCGCAAGCTTCAACGGAGGCGAGATGAGACGACGGAGTGGCTACGTGCAGTATCAGTTCGTTCACCTCTTTCTCCTCCGCTGCAAAAGTCTCCAGACAAGCAATTTCTTCCTCGCTACTACTAGATTCTTCGATTGAAAAAAATGGTTATCAATTAACTTATTTAAGTGATGATAATTATTTATCCATTTTCACTTTTGGGTAAATAAGTAAGTAGTATATTATGAATGATTCTTACCAAACAGATCATCCTCATCTGACGATTCAGTAGGAATGTTGGTGGCAGTGGAACTGTTCAGGTTCTCCTCAACTGAGACTTGGATAACCTCCCTAACTTCATGGTCGCCAGTATTTTCCCCTCCTTCATCTTGGCCACGTTGTACAACCATTATAACTGAAACAGCGTCTAGGATGATTTCTACCTCTTTTTGATAACACATATACTAACAAAACAAACAAAAAATAGAGTTTTGACAATTTAGAATAAAATAGAGCTACTACTAATTAACCCACTTGAACATAGAATAATACTACATTTACTACCCTCCAACTATATCTAACTTTTAAAAAAATTCTAAGTTCCAAATACGCAATATACTAAATATCATAAAATAACTTATCAGTCCAGTCTTCTCGCTTATCCTTAGTAGGCCTGCCGTGGGTTTTCTAAAATTTCTGTGAAAAACCTTCCAAAATTTCCAAAACGGAGTGAAGAGCGAACGTGTCTTATTGCCGTGAGGAGGAGGTGAGACTGGCCTTTGGCGTCCGCTTGTCTGCCTCGAATGACTTTTTGGGTCGATGCCCTGTCCTCCTCTGGAGTCCACCACCACCTACTCTGCTGCCACCACTAATGCGTCTCATAAAATTGACTCAAAATTCTAGAAAAAATCTCACTTATTTTGAGAGCATCAGAGTTAATCAGAGTTCAAAATGGAGAAATCCAATCAACTCTATACACACATGACTCCTTCCATTTGTACTGTTTGCAACAAACCAGGATTTACTTTGTTTGCTATTGAATACTTAAATATTACATGCGTTATGTCGTAATCAAAGTTTTAAATGAGCTATGATATTAATTGGTCATTTGGTCCTTCTTGACGGTCATTGTAAGTTTCTGTGGTGCTTGATCTCTCACTTGGCTGCGGCAGGGCGGAAGAGGTAATGGCGAGAAGACTAGTTTTATTATTGCTTCCTATGGCCTTCTTCTTATTCTTTTTGCTCATTTTGTCAAAGTAGGCCTTCTTCAGGGCGGCCATTTTCTTACTTAAGATGCTCACCTGACCCCGAAAATAGGCCGTTTGAGCTTCGTTTGCATACATTTCATGTTTCAGATTGTCCAGTTGTCGCTGTTTGGATTTGTAAAGGACATCGTAGTAGAGCCGTTCTTCACGCGTTTCTTGTCCTGGAAGGTGTTTCGTCACGCCGCGAATGTCCACGTAGATGTGCTCTTTGTCGGCGATGCGAAGGTTTTGGAGACGAATGTGCTCATTATGATCGACAAGTCTTTGGGTGACAATGTTTATTTTCTTGACGAGATTGTACGCGTCTGGATCGATGGCCTGTAAAAATCGGGGGCAGGGTTAGACTAAGGTTTGTTTAAGGGTTAGTGTTAAGCTAGTTATGAAAAAACCAACTTCTAAAACTCTCCACCGGTGAATGTTGATTGGGCGTTTCAATTCGTCTATGATGGCATTGACCATGCATGTTTCTTTTGCTATGCAATTTTCTAAGGCCGAAATTTCTTGTCTGAGCTAAAGTAAAGTTAGTTGACGAATTCATTAACTTGCGAATATATCAAAATTGTTTCATATGTTCATAATTACCTGACCCACGTGGCTGGTATTTCCCTTGAATTGCATTTGAAGCTGTCTGGATAGTATAAGTAAATGAATAATTTTTTGGAGAAACAAAATGTTGGTGACAAAGCAAAACTGGATTTGTAATCAAACCTTAAACCGACTATGGATTGCCGAATTTCTCTGATTTCTTTCATCATGTTGCGGTAATGATAAGCTCCAATGCGCACCATGGAGTGAAGCGTTCTCCAACGTTCCCAGGTTTCACGGAGCTCCTTTGAACACAAAATAGGAAAAAATTAAAATTAACAAGAAATATGCAAAAAAACTCTTCTCCGAAATCACACCGTTTCTTTGAGCATCAACTTTCTCCTGTAATTGAGTTTTCTGTATTCCGCTCCCGTGGCGTAGTAGCGTTGTGTTGAAATCTCGTTCTCGCCCGTGGCAATGGCGACGCTGAGGGTGGACCTGTACAACACAACAGAAATAATAAAATATGTAAGTTTTAACGGTGTATAATGTACGGTGCTAAAGTGTTAATTACTGTTGTGAAAATAATAGATGTAGAAAACTGAAGAAATATTTTCGTTACCTCTCAACTTCCAACGCTTCCGTCTCACGCTGTGTGTCCACTGCCATATGGTTCATTCGGTTCGCCTCAGTTTTAAAGAAAGCCGTCTCCTTATCCAGTCTGTCCCGACCTGTGCCACCGTCAACGATTAGCTTTGACCTTAATCAGTAACTTCACAGTTGGTGTGTATGTATTTATAAATTTAATTGATTACGCTCTTCCTCCCCAATGATGGCATTCTTTAGATCCGTTTCTCTGTATTCTTGAGTATACTTTTCAAATTTTATGTCTCGGATGGCCTTGGCACATTGGGTGATTTCATTCTGTGAGAGGAATGATTATCATTACTGAATGCTGTGAAGATAAACTTGTGACTCAATATATGCTTACAACAACATCTCTCAACGCTCTTTCACTGTACTGCTTCTCAACAACGACGCCTTCATATGCCAATTGGACGCTTTTGGCCGAGTCCTCCAATTCGCCTACTCTTCGTTTGTGTTCCAAAATGGAGAGGTCCAACCGTTTGATGAATTCTACCCGAGACGCAACGGTATAGGACAACTCAGTGGCTTCGTGGCTGTAGTAATCTCGCTCCCTTTCCAATCGGTGGATCGTCGTGGTTTGTGACACGATCTCTCTTTTGAATCCATCCAGCTCGCCTTCCAAGTTATTTATTGCAATCACATTAATTTTCATTTGATTTTCGTGTTCTCCCGTCACAGCTGCGGCACGCTGAAGGTTCCGATTGACCACAGTTCGTTGCTTGTCTAATTCTTCGACTTCTTTTTTACTATCCGCCAATCTCCGCTGAGCTTTCTCCAAATCTTTCTCCAAAAGTTGAATCTTTGTTCTCAGATTTTCTCTCTCATTCTCCAAAGCGTCTAAGGTTTCCTGCATGGCTTCACATTTTTTCACGTTGGCAATCCTCTGTCTCTCTGTGCGGGCCCCTTCCATCTTTATCATGAGTATTTCATCCTCTCTCGTCTACATGCATGCATTAAAGAAGAAGAAAGTTCATTTTAGACACATATTTAAAATTAGAATGTGTACCTTCAGTTCAGTTTGTCGTTTGTAAGCGTCACTAGCCAATCGTTCAACTAGAGCAATTTGACCGTCAACGTCTGCTCGAAGTTTTTCTTGTTTTCCCATCGCTTGTTCAGCTTCTCTTGCACTCACGTCATTAACCACCTGGAATATTGCACAACAAATGATCTAACAAATTGCATAAATAGGTATTTCGCAAAGACATACTCTTTGATCTCTTAGGGCGCGCTCTAGTTCGTCAATTTTTGAATTGGCTTCAGACATTTGTTTTTCCATAGCGTTCAATTCTTCGGTTTTGACATCAATGTTCAAAGAGGTGTCCTTAATGGCCTTTTCAAGTCGCTCCTTTCTTGCTGTTTCTCTCATCAATGCTTCCGTTTGGGCGATGGCTTCCTCGTCTGCAAACTTGATTTGTTCATGAAACTCAATTTTCTTGTCGGCTTGTCTCAGCTTTTTTTCTTGCAACAATGTCATTGACGTTCTCATACGAGCCATTTCTTTCTTAAGGGTGTCTCGATCTTCTGTCAATTTTTTCCGGATTTTTATTAACTCGTTCAATCTATCACCGTGAAAGTGGATAATTAAAATTTGCAACATTATTGTTCAACAATTTACAATTAAATTAATATTCATACTCTGCTCTGCCTTCCATGTTGGCTGCAGCCGTTATATTTCTATTCTGGAATTAAGTACGAAACTAATTATGTTAACTGTACCTGAAATTATAAATTTTCTTGTTAATTTACCAGAACGATAATGTCGGCTTCCAATTCCTCTAATCTTACAGCATTTCGTTTCTCCTCGGCTTTACTGATATCTATGTAAAATGAATTATTAGTGGGGAAAATGTACATATAAATATGTATACTCATACATTTACACTAACGTGCATACCAACTAAATTCCATGCAGTTTCAAGTCGTTTGCCAAGAAGTACAGCTTTCTCCGGATTATCTTCTGCAATTCGAATCAAATTTCGGGTTTTCGCCATCGTGTCTGCTACTTCTACCTGTGACCAATCAATAAAATGCTGATCCAAACTCTCCGCACATACATCTCGTAGACTTAAAGTGATTTATAGCGAAGTATTTACAGAAAGTTGAAGATCTTTGTGTAGCAAGGTTTCCAAATTGTCATGCGATTTTTGAACAGCATCCCAAACAAAGTAAAATTCCTCCTTAATTTCCTCTAAGGGTATTCCATTTCGCTGAGCACTTTCTAAGTCACTGATTATACTCTCGAAAAATTCTCGTAGTTTGAGAAACGATTTGTCCTTGAATTTAGATTTTGGGAGGAAATCCTCCATATCTGCATCGTCAAACTCGCGTGCATCCTCCTCAGCAAGTTCGATGAGGAGAGATTTGTTGGGAGGCGCAATCGCAGCCGTTTCCTCCTCGTTACCTCCCAATTGAAATTCCCCTGCGCTTTCTTCCGGTTTTGTTGACAGATTCCCTGCAGATTTTTTACTATCGCCACCTTTGTCAATCCCAACATCACTATTGAGACTGAGTCGCAGTGACGTTTTTGCCGTATCTGCCTTGCGTTGATCGTCAGAAATACGTCGCGTCGTCTCATTTTCCTATTATTTGCAGAAAAGTACATTACAAAGGAACATATATATGTACGTTATTTCAATTAGTCAACTTCGATGGCATCGACAGAAAGCTTTGATTTCGTTGGTTTTGGTGAGACTTCTTCCTCCTCATCGTCTTCGTCCTCCATTTCATCATCATAGACCGACTCCTCCTCATCCGACATTTTATTGCTACTTTCACCCAGACTATTGCACACACAATTTCAATTCCAATCAGGCTGAAATTATGCAAACCAAGTATTGGCGAGTAAATCAGATTCATGAATATTCCTGATGCCAGTTTCCAAATTATTCATGTTCCAAGTTTTATCGCTAATGTCGTCAAGGCTGTCGAGTTGTTCAATCATTTTCGGTAACACGCACAGCTTTATTTCTGAGAACATTATTAAACTGAATCCACGAATGGGACGATTCAGTTTGATGTTTGCTCTCTTTGAGATATGTTTTCTTATAAATATTTTCTCAGAAAAAACTGTAACGAATTATGTTGGTCAATGTCGTTGTTCTCGTATTTTTCAGTTCTATTGCCATCGCCGTAATTAATACGAACGCGGTTGTAGTTAATAATTTGGTATTTTACATACTGCAATCTGACTATAAGAATTGTTTAGTTTTGTTCATTCAACGACAGAAGTATTCAGTTTTTGATTTGCTGCAACCACTCTCGGAACAAAATCATCCTTACAGTATTAAAAATTTTATAAATTCGTCGAATGTTTCTTCAACCGTAGCCGTTCGAAAAATCCCCCTGCGATTCACGAGAAATGACTGTAATCTAGTAATTCTTGACTTATCGACTCCTGAAATTCTAGATGCTCAGTTGGAATTCATTACGCAGTATAGTTTCCCTAATCGACTACATCAAACCAGATTGATATTCATGAAATGGAACGACGCTACAGCAAATACGTCGAAATTGTTGCTGCAGAAAAAACTCAGAGATGTCCCCTTAAAAATGGAAATACAGTTGGTGAAAAGCAATCATGGATATGATCGCGCCCTACTTTTAGGATTTTGTGAATTTTGCAACAGACATAATTCATCTGGTAGCAATTTTTCCAACAATTCAAGCACATATCCCAACAACCAAAGTACACAGGTAATTGGAGGGTATGACGAAATCACGGGGTATTGGAGGCACTCTAATTACTTCCCACAGGCTACCATATTTGGAATGACAAATATTAGCGTCATTTTCCCCCTAGAATTTTTCAAACGGCACCGATTCATTCGTCCAAGATTAGCTTTTTCGCAACTGCAAAGAGTCTTATTCCAGGTTGTTTCATCACTTTGGATGGTTTTGGACCATTCCAAAGTAGCATTTACGAATTCTGATCCAATCGGGTCAGAATATCACCGAGAACTTGACGACGCCTTGAAGAAGAACAGAATGTCCCTTGCGTTAATCTACTTTCTCGATGAACTCAACAGCCACAGACTGCAAACCACGACGCATTACACGTACTACAGGCGGACAATTATTTATCGAAAAATGAGAAAGGACACGGCAAATCTTTTTTACTCAAATTTTAGGGAACCTGTAATAAATTACTTTATCCCACTTTCATTCGGTGCAAGCATTATCATCCTTTTGTCACGAAGGTGGGATTTGGTAACGAGATTCCGATTACCAAAACCTATAAACGACATGAAATGGAGACGACATGGGCGAAAGAGTCGATTGTGAGGAAATAATTGTAAATATTAATAGGTATATGAACGGATCTATGCTAATATGTATTGTGACATTTTGTTTTGTAGATCAACCTTCATCAATATATTTTGGGACGTTGGTCATTTCATGGCCCAGCAGAAAAAATTTCCACAATTATCTCTAAACAAATTTACTCCTTCTGCAACGTTAACCTTAGTATTGGTCACTCTCTTTGCCATCGTAGCAAATTGGTTCATGAGACTGGCCCCTCTTGCCGAGATTGTGAAACCAGCTCCAAAATTTCAACTGCGGTCAGTAGAAAATTTATAAAATAATTTTTATGCAAAACTTGATTTATTTGAAATATAGGACACCGGATGACATTTTAAACTTGGTACGAGACAGCTCCAAAATTCTGGACCGTTCAGTGAAGATCATTAGTGCGATTAATAGGACGGATTTAAAAGAAATTTTCTCCGTCTCTTACAAGCAGAAGGCAATTCTTGTGGACAAAGTATTGAATGAGGCGGAATACAATGTTAACCCAAGTGATTGTTTGGATACGGCGAAATCAGACAACAGAACTGTATTCGTTATCTGCATTGGAATCCTAAACATTTTGGCTGGAGCAATGATATCCGATAACTCATTGGATGCCCACACTTTAGATGTACGCGAAGTAGGATCTATGAAGTTTTGTAGTTATGCATTTTCTCCAAATTTCCCTTACACACATTTATTTAGCAGGAAAATATCGCAGTTAGTTAATTCTGGGATTCCCGATCATTGGGTTGAAGAGGTTGTGAGATTATCTGTGGCAGAAAGCAGAAAAAATGGCAACAAGACGCAATCCAGTAAACACATCCAGAAAGTTAGTAATTCCTTTGTTAACAGCCGAAAACAAGATCCGGTTAGTTTCCATCTACGTAGCATGACCGTGACCATGCTCACATCGGACTGTGTCATAATTCTTGTAATATTTTGCCTGGAAATATTGCTTCATTACAGGCGCACATTCTGGTGTTTTGTTTGGAGTGTAATCGTATGCATTTTGAAGTGGGCCAGAACCTTGTTATTGGATATTCATGACTTTATGTGGGAAACAAATCATGATTAAGTAGAAACAGAAATAGCATAGATATATTAGTTTCTCACAATTTGCATATTTTGTGACTCATGATTTACTCATGTTTTGAGTGTTGTTGTTCTGATGGAATTCTGAAAGTGCGTAGGAACAGACAAATTCAATTGTATTAGCTCATTAATGTAGATTGGATGGATTTTATTAATCAACACAAAGTAAACTAGAGGTAGTAGATATAAAATTAAAGTAAATAAGTATTGTTAACAGGTACCTCACGTCATTTAAATTTCCCGAAAAGAATAGCGCAATTGTAATGAAGTGGGAAAACTTAAATCGCTATTTTATTGCGAATACTGCGTCGTAAAATTTGATGGGATTTCAGCATATTATTGCTGAGATGATGAACGATTCCAATTTAAACATCAACAACAAATGGAACTGCCCAGTACTGAGTATTTCTTAGCTTTAAGTACGTCTGTGTGGCACCAACCATAGGTACATATGCATTGAAAGTGATTTGTCAAATATTTGATATTTGCATATTACGTAATGTCCAGTCAAATGCATAATATTTATGCATACACAATTGATCGTAATGATGAGTTCATTCAGTTCATCCAGGATTAATAACTTGACTACATACTTGAGACGCCTGGCTGAAACTAATAAAGCAAAAAATAAGAAAATGAATGAATCTGACGTGTTCACAATAAAGTGGATGCTAATTAACAGTAATGTTTACCCTGGTTTTGTCAAGATCCGAAATTTCCACATGTATGGGGTTTTTGTACTTTAGATGGCAATAATAAACAGACCTACCTATATATAAATGAATTCACTTTATTTAACAATTATATACAACCATTTGCAACGGAACACACACGTTTGCAAACCTGGCTTCAATATTTTTAACACCGATATTTTTACTTTATTTTTTGGCTGCATTTTTAACATGATTTTTAGATTGTCATATGTTCTAACGATGATTGAAATAGTGTCCACCATAACAGAAGCCGATAGTAAAGCGATTCAAAACATGGAAGCTGAACCATACACAGGAATTAAAACGCGTAAGTATGATATGGATTGAGATAATATATAAAACTTCATGAAAAATGTATTTCAAAGCAGATCATTCACTCCGATCGCGGAGATCAGCCTTTCTAAGGTTATCATGGACCAGGAACGAAAACTATGGAATAGTGTTTGTCTATTCAAATGAATTCTGTAAGTGCAACATAATAGTAATGAAATAAAATACCATATGAAATATATATAAAATCGGTCGATAAATTGTTAAGCTAATCAAGAAGTGGCTGTTATTAAGTCTGCGGCAGAAGAAATAGCCAAATTTGCCTGCTTTCCTATCAACGTGTTCTCAAATGCTAAATATGCAAGCGTTGGAGGCAATGTTCAGAGGATATTTCACAACCACGTATTCATCTCAAGAAATCAATATTCAGGATGTAACGCTGATATCGGAATGCTTGGTGGACGACAACGCTTGAACTTGGACCCTTGGCTTGGATGTGCTCTTAGAAAAGGAACTGTGATGCATGAAATGATTCATAGTTTGGGGTTTGACCACGAACAAAATCGGCCTGACAGGTAGAGCCAGATCTTGCAAAAGTTGCATAGCTAGCTTTCATACTTAAGGGCCTGGGGGAAGTTGCTTAGAAATCACGTCAACTTTGACGATAAAATTCAGCAATGCACAAGAGGGCAGATTTTTTAAATTATGTTTAATGCGTTAATCATATCTTTAGATTTTACTTGAGTTTTTTTTGACGATCTGCCCTCTTGTGCAGTGGAGATATTTGGTCGTAAAGTGAGGACAAATTGGCTTAGAATTGCCAAATTAATGGCAGGAATTGCATTTTGAGTATCCATGGAACAAAAGAAACAACTTTTTTCAAAAACTTGAGGGACTTGAGGGAAACTTTTTCAAAAGCAGTGACAAAACCAAAGCTTTTGAAATAGAAACGGTGTCAATTAATTGTGGTCGTAACCTAACAGAGCGATAATAATCTTGGGGCCCTGGCAATTATTGTTGCTAACATAAAATCAAGTAAATCTTCCCCCGGGCCCTTAAGTAGCAATAATCTCTCTGCGCTTATGAAACATTTTTTAACTTTATTTTTTAATTGACAGAAATAGTTTTGTGAGAGTTCATTTTGAGAACATTCTTCCTGGTAAGATGAAACACATGCAAAATTAAACTTACGTATGACTTGAAATCAAATATAAACTAAATATTTAAATACCCAACGAAACAGGGGAGCAATATAATTTTCAAGTTAAGCCTAACGCCATAGCTCTTGGACCTTATGATTATCACTCGATAATGCATTATCCAGATTCGAGTTATGCTAGAAATCCACGATACTCAACAATCTCCTCCACAGTAAGTCGTGTTAATCACTTATTTGTGCAGCATATAGAAAATAAACCTTATCTAAGAGTTATCTAATGCATGATTACAGTTACGAGGATACAGTGTTCCACACTATCCTTTAACGACGCTGTCTCAAACGGACAAAGACAAAATAAGAGCAATTACTGGTTGCAAAAGTACTACACTGTTCTGAATTTTGCATGTGTAGGGAAAAAAATGTAAATTCCTTTTATACGATTTGTTCTTTTTTTATTATTATTTGCACATAATAATGAACGTATCTTGTGAATAAAGTGATAAATATCGAAAATTTAAGTATGGAAGAACTTAGTTGAACTGTTGTGGGTAGAAGGGACGAGGTCGGTATCGGCCAGGTCGGTTGTTTCCATTGTTGTTTCCATTGTTGTTGCCATTATTGTTTCCGTTGCCGACACTGCAGACTCGTCCACATCCATTTGACACGCATCGACCCCCTCGACAGTCGCCATCACTCCCACATTGCTGTACACAAATTCCGATTTGGCGTCTCTCCCGTGTTCCACCTTCCGGAGCTGATTCGACATATGCTAATCCAACGACCACAAGGAGGAGAACTGCAATGTAAACCTTCATTCTGAAACCAATAATTTAAATTAGTCCGACGTTTTCAGATGCAATTTTTAATGAAGCCACAACTTGATATTCACATCTTGTAGATTACAATTCGTAATAAATACTTACGTCGTTTATTTATTGCAATCAATCAGAATTCGACTAAAGGTATGAGTATGTATGCTGTAGGATGGATTGCAGATTGTGACTGACGTTTAAATGGCAGAACCTGGGTCTTAAATATCCAGAACAGTCGGCTACTGCAGGATAATGAAACGTATAGTACATAGTTCGTTGATAGGGTAATTGTCATCCAAGAAACTGAGTTGCATGCAAAAAATGGGACACGAATCATCCAGCATAATATTTGCGGTTAGTGAGTACAAATTGGTAGTATGTAGGAGCGTATTTCGCGAGCCAAGGTCTGTAATTAACTTATGTATTATTGAGTCAAATGTGCATTCGAGTATATAGTGGAAAGTTTTTTCTTAAAAAAACAATATATGCCCCGAGGTAAGTAGTCTTGAGTCTTTTGCAAGTGGCAATCTCCAATTGTACGACCAACTTGAAGACAAATATATTATAAACTTTTGTTTACAATCCTGAACTGGAACTTATGTACTCGTTATGTCTGCTTGTCTGAGTTTCCATATGATGATAACAGGTATGAACGATTTTTACCAAATTGGTAAAAAATGAACATGCATTGTAGATGGGCAATGCAACGAAGGGTTTGTCAAATATGAGATGGGTTCTATTTTAGGTAAATAAATTTTTGAAGTTGAGACTGGTGGGGGTCACTTTCGCATTAATCTAAAACTTGAACTGTATATGAGGTTGCTGTGATGTAATTTCGAATAAACGAAATCAATTAAGGTAACTTCAGGTCAAGCTAAAAGTTAATGTACTCGTTGATACGGTAGAATTTTCTTGTGATCAATACTTATGCTTACATACTTATATGTATGAAGTGGAAATTTAAAAATTGTAATGAGACATTTCCTGACTTTCAGGGTATGAATGATTTTTTCTTCTTCTAAATGCAGATGCGCTAACAAAGGCAGTGAATAACACCATTCTTTGTTAAATAAATAAATCATAAATTCTTGTATTGGTAAATCCTGGTTCGGGCTGAGCAGAGCTGTGAAAAGATGGTTTTTATTCACATCAATATGTTGAACAAGTCTAATCTAATATATTGCACCATTGCACGTTTGAAAGACTTAATAATTTTCAGTCAGTACAGTGACAGAGTTCTGGAATAACATGGCTATTTTTTGCACATATGTACATAAATAACAACACAGCTTTTTCGCTAAATATGTATATAAAACAAATTACTGGCATTCATGGCCACATCCGTTGGAGAGACAAAGCGTATTCGAGGGACAATCAGAATCTGATGAACACAGTTGCACACATTTTCCTGGTTTGGCTTGAGCGACGGATGCGACAAAAATAACCACAAGAAGTGCGACCCACAGGACGATACCTCGTCTCATTTTCTTTATTCTATAAGTACAACAATGTGCATTATATGCTTATTAAAGATTATCCCTCAAAAATTATAATTTGTGTAATTGTTTTACCTTTAATTAAGTACTAATAGATTATGCTCTCCCAAGTTGCCCACTTCCACGAAATGCTAACTTAATTCTGATCAAATTATTCTTGGTTGTTTCAACCTTAAACATTAAGTAATGCTGGAATAATACGTGTGCATACTGCGCAAATCTACATGTAGCCAAAATCATTCCAAGAACTGGTTTATGAAAACTGCTTCCACGAAGAATTACATTCACGCCGTGCGTCATTGCATGCAATTTATATTCAAGGCAGTCGATTGTTCAAAATAAGTATTTTGGAAGTATAAATTTTTCCAAACGTAAAAATTCATTGGAGAAATCATTAATCAAATATGCGCATTAGAGCACAATTCTGACCTTTTCTGATCTCTATTGATTTAATAACAAACGAAGACAACACGAATTGAAGAAGATGCACAAGAGAAGTTCGAGATTGATTGATCGATCAAACTTTCCTATCGTACCAGGATCAATGCTTATCCTTCAACTTTTAAAATGAACTGGTGACTGGTGCATTCTACACGCATTGATCGTACATACATACATATATTTAATTTATGCACCCTTGAGCAGTGTCTCTTTTTGCAGCACTCACTTCAATTTCAAACTTTAAATCGTATAATCATTACTTAATTATTTTAACTTTCTGGCAACATAACTAAACACACTTTAGCGAGTGAAATTAGTTCTACAATCATAGCCGCACTTTAAGCGGTTCGCCATGGCTGGTGAAAAACGTAGAGGAGAAAGTGATGCTCGACTGGAATATTGCTATTCTTTCTTGTCCGAAGCAATCGACTTGAATCGAAATGACTTATCAACCAATATTCACGAAGGAGGATTGGGTCCAACATTCAGCGCCATGTTTCAGCCAAACAGCCCTTCCTCTTTCCTTCTTTATCATCAAGAAGATCCAGGCGACGTTTCTGCAGAAGTCGTAAATAATTTTATGCATTTTATGAACGAGTCTCAATTAAAATTTCTGCTATGGTCATAAATTGTAATATTCCAGCCAGCAGTTAAAGGCCTTAGAGCGAGTCCACCCAAACAGGTTGGAGCATCAACTTCGAAGAAAAAGTTGGTTGCTGCCGACGGAACAAAACCGTTGACAGGCATCGGAGTGTACTTTCTGCGACCAACCCCATCGAAACCTATCACGGAGGAAATTTACTACAAGGTTGAACTTATCGCACAAGTTATAGTAAAAATAATTCTCGATTTAGTAATACCCTCGTATGTCAGAATCTGTATGATTTTACAGGAACTGATTTGTGGTAGCATCGACAATAGGCAAACGGGAGGATTACTACGAACCATATTCAAAACGTTGCAAAATGTCTACATTCCAGCTATTTTGGGGATGACAGAGTCCGATACAGAAGCAGATGAAAATGTGCGAACCATTCTCAGAAATCGAATGATTCCAGGGTTGAGATCTTTCTGCAGTGCGTTATCCGTTCTGGAAGCAACTCAAATTCAAAATCAGTCAATTCTACAGACGGAGAAAGTTTTCACGGGTTATGAACAGATTGAAGATATTCGTCGCTTTGCAAAAACGCCGGAAAAAGTGCAAATTCTTGAAAGAACAATGACAACCTGGATCTCGACTGTTTCTCAAATCGTGGCAGAGTCGTTTAGGCTTCGGAAGGAGCTAGATAGTCACGGGCCTCAGGATGAGGTCGAATATTGGAAACGTCGGTCATCCCTCTTGTCAATGTTGGAGCAAAAAATTAACGGTGGAGAAATGAAGTTCACCCTACTGACACTTTCTCTCGCTGGTTCTCCAATAGTCAAAGGTTATCCATTATATTTATACGAGTGTGGTCCCCCAAATAAATTGGATGCGATGAAAACTTAAAATTGGCTTTTGTTTAATTGATCAAAGAGTGGAAGGGGCTTGAAAGTAGAATTGTCTATGTTCTCAACGAGGCGAGGGACACGTCAGCCTATATCGATAGGATTGACCATATTTGTCACCCCTTGTATCTTGATCCACCATCAATAATAAACAAAATGGTCAACGTAAGTTACTTTATATCAGTAGAATTTTAATTAGTAGTAAGCCCTGCATCCTTAGTAGAATTATTATATAAATTAAATGGGTTGATATGGTACGTTATTGACTCCGGTTGATTTTTAATTCAGGTCTTATGTCAAACAGTCATGCTCATTCAGACATCCTCCATGTAAGTGCATACATATGTGCATAACAATGTAGAAGTTAGTAGTGCTTTGTATTTATTTATTCATTCCAATGACTCAATTAAATTCCAACTGACTCAATTCTATGTTAATTACGAGTTAATTTAGTTGTAAATCATGTAGTATCAAGTATGACATAAGCATAACTCTATCATTTTCGTATATGAGACACAAATTACACAATTCAATAATGCGAATTAAATTGTGTTTGATATATACAATCACCTGTAAATGTTTTACAACAAGTTTCTTTCAAAACCTACCGTCGAGAATAAAATGATGTCAAAAATACATTATGATCGTAGTTTTTTATGCCGGGGACAAAATCAAGCGAGTTAAGATTATGCAACTGGAGTATGAAATTATGTTTTCACGAAAAGCGTTTTTCTGCTGATTTTGTTAAACTAATAAATATTTAGTTACATTTTCCCAATATGGAGAAAAATTTAATGAAACATTTGAAATATTTGTTTTTAATTTTATATTGTAAAAAAAATTAGGTTTTACAACACTTCTGAAAAGCTGTCTCATCTTTTAGTCAAAACCACTAATCAAATGATTCACAGGTAAATTTAGTGCCAAATGATAAATTGAATAATATTTAATCAATTTAACGAATTGTGCATCTATTCATTACTAAATCATCAAACATTTCATGTCATGTTAAATTTTATGTTGGCAGATGCAAGACGTACTTAACGTTAGGTGGCAAACAAACAATTTGGAGTCAACCAAGGGACATAGTCCATGAAAAAATACTGCATTCTGTAAGTTGAAGTATAACCATGTGCATATTGATTAAATACTGAGACTTCAATAGAAGACGAGCGTTTCGTAGGCCTGCATGATTGAATCCGTTCGACATGTAGACTTTAAAAACAGGGAAAGCGTTTACATTGACTTCATTTAATCTTGTACTCTTATCCAATAGATCCAACTCAATCGCACCTACAGGAAAAGATTCAAGTATCACTACGAAAAAACCAGGCATCGAAGAGAAAAAGGCTTTTGCATAAGTGAACATTACGTTTTTGGAAAGTTCGACGGCTTTTGCGAAAGGCTAAAGAAAATTTTGATTATTTTTGAAACACTGGACGGCTATGAGGCATTATTCAAAACTCATGTGTGTGGATTGCTGTGGGATGAAACTATTGACGAGAGAGAAAAGGAGTTCACCATCAATATGAAACTTCTCACCGGACGAGAATACGACTATCTCAATTATCGTGACAAAGATTTTGACGGAAATTTTACCGACTTCATGGCAAAGACCGAAGAGTTGAGATCATCTCTGAACAAGATGATTGAGAAGGGTTATCAAAACATTTGGGAAAGTCCTCAGGCAATAAAATTTTTAAAGCGGATTGAAGAAGTTAACAAATTTGTGAGTTTGATATGATTTCCATCCTACAAGTACTCGTAAATACCTAGGATAATCATTATTAAAGTATATTGTCTTTCCAGGTTGACATCACCAGTGTTGAGGATAAATACGACAGAATCGCGAACTATTTTATCAATCAAATTAGAACCATGAAAGCCATGTTTCAAAGAAAAAAACGAAAGGAAAATATCCCACGCGGCATGCCTCCTATTGCTGGTATGCATTTTATACTTAACCTTTAGCAACAAATTATACAGTAGGTGTGCCGCCCACTAGATAATCTTAAGTCTTGATTTATGAAATTTAAAGGAAAAATCATGTGGATAAGAGCAAGTGTCCTAAGACTCGAGTCATTCACGAAGGAGTTCGCTGCACACCAGCAACTGAATAAATTACCACAATATAAAATCCTGGTCAAGGAGTATAATTCATTTGTCCTGGAAGTTGCAACGTATGAAATACGCTTTTTAAAAAAATGGCAAAAAGAATGCAAGGTGTAAAAAACATATTACAAAGCTCTCAAGATTTCATGTGTGTGCCCACTCAAAGCCTTCTATTTTTTAAGTTGACCACTGTAGAAGAGCCGTTAAAGGACAACATATTGGCTTACCAAGTAAATCAGCGTCCCATTGTTAACTTAAGCCCAGGTAAACTAAATATTTATCTTTAAAAATATGCATTCATAAACTATTATTCGTTTTATCATTCGTTGGTTTACTCAATTTTACATATTTAAGTTGTGGAGTCGTCAATGCTTGAAGGGGACTCACTTGTGAAACTCGCTTGTGAAATACCACTCCCCACGAAAGTTATCTTATTGAAGACGGTTCATTTTAGATCAGTCAGTGATAAGTTGGAGGTAAAAAACGTCTAACCATTTTGAAATACGTGGCAAATGAATTGACGCGTTGCGCATTTATTGGTTACAGATGATACTGGATCGATTTTCTTTAGCTGTTCAACGCGTCAAGAAAGAGGTTCGACCTCTTCTATTTTCGCAAATATTAAGATTAGCTGCATTATTGCAACCGGCAATGACTACGATCAACTGGACTAGCAATGTGTGGGAGAACTATTACAAAGAGTGTGTCCAAGCAATGGAGGATTTCAACACGCTCGTCTCTCAGTAACTACAATTGATTGAATAAATAGTCAGAGATGCCATATTGTGATCCGTTTTAACTTTGATGTAGGATTCATGACATTTTCGAGCATCAGATTAAAGGCACTCTACAAGAGATGGAGGGCTTTATTCTGTGTGCTCCATTCATTGAGCTACCCTGGGGGTTGGACGACTTTCTCGACCGTAATTACAAAAGCGTCCGAGAAATGGCAACGGTACATGCATTAAAACACATTCGGAGAACTTAATGACCTTTTACGAGTCACTGTAAATATAGAAATATTTACTATACTCGTGTATACTTGTCAAGGTTCTGAATGAAAAAAGTCTCCATGTTCGGGAACTGGTGGATGAAGTTATTTTGCTAATTAACAAGTCTGGACATAAAATTGGCAAATCCATTATTCAACAGTTTGAACTGGAAAAACAACTTCCTTCTATTGCCGAGTGTAATTAATTTAAATAAATTAAACAAATATCAAATTATTTAACGTCTCGTGTTTGGTATTAAATTTATCGTTGTGCATGATTGTCATTTATTGCAGTGCTGGAACTTGTGTCTCCTGACATTTTAACACCTGAACGAAGTGGCGGAAATTCAGCCACGGGAATTCCAATGGGTGGGATTGGAGCCGAGGGGGGCTACGGGTCTCCAGGTAGTCAGAGGAATCAGCCAGATTGGTCGATTGTGGACCATTTGTTTGAAGGTAAGTGAATCAGTCATTAATCTTTCGAGTCGTCAGCGTCCTCCTGTTCAAATTCAGATATGTAATAAGCAACTTCATGTTGATTTCACAGCCCCGCATTTAATTTACGGGATCCTCCATGGAAGAATATCCAAAGAAATCAAGGAATTAACGAAAAATGCCACGGAAGATGTAAAGTTGTATTTCTCCCGACAAGTCTTTGACATCATTGTTCAAATAATAAAAACAAGCATAGCACTCATTCGAAGGCGCTTTGTTGGGTCAAAGGGGTCTAAAAAGGGGTCTTCAATGTTTTTCAGTGGTAATTACGCAGCTACGCACATATATAAATACGCATGCAAATAGTAAAAGTCGATAATAATAATTTTCCATTATAGTGACACGAGACTGGGAAGACTCTACATTTTTTCAGGAAAAACCAGTATTTATCCTTGAAACGCAGCTTAAAGGGTCTGCAGTTATTATCAAGCCTACAATTGAACAGATTCAGGATGCAATTACTCAAGTAGGCCGAATTATTGTATCGTCTGCAAAAGGGATATCGCAGTGGAACTCTTATGGGCTGGAGGGACATGAGTACTACTCCAATCCAGTTAATGAAAAGAAGGCGAAGCGACGTCAATTATATCGAAGCATTAGCCAAGATCGAATTGGGGCAGCTGTCAAGCCGTATAATTTCTTTTCGCAATGTAAGTACTACTTAACCAATGAATGAATGCACAAACTGTACATATAAATGTCCTTTCGTTTCCAGGTTGTGAAAACAAGGAAATTTCCAAGTTTACAGCAGCATTAGCAAATTGCACACAGATCTTCAGAGATAGCTTCCAAGAATTTATGAAGGTATGTGCATATATCTTACGTATTATACATATATATTACAATAAGGTTTTTTCGCCTAGTTTTAAAGGTAAGATTAATTAGTTAATATTTCAAGATTGAATATGAACGAAATCACAAATAATTAATAGATCAAGGGATATGTAATCGTTCATTATTCAATTTGTAACAACATCATGGACAAGAGAATAATAAAATGTATATCTAGCACAAAATTGTAGCTTCTGTTGAGAAGGTGTAGGACGATGAGACTGGCTCTCCAAGTGTACTACGGGTATTAGGGACCCATTATGAGTCGTTGCAATCCAAGTCGAGAAAACGACGCCAAATATAACAAGCATCCATAAACAGCATCTCTCATGTCTAAAAACAATAAAAAGAAAAGAAAATGGAAAATAATAGATTCCTTTGTTTGGGATACAGGTTTGGGACTCGTTTGATTTCTTATGGAGCCCTCGTCGATATGAAGTTGTGAAAGACTTTAGCTCGGAAAACGTATCGACAAAAGGTGGACATTAAACATTATATAAAAATATTGCATTTCAAATTTAATTGATGTCTGCATTCACGCGAGTTTGAGAACTTTAAAAATTCGTACTGTCTTATTCCTTGGACTTTTATTTCAGGCGATAATGGTGAAATCAAACCCGGAAACCCTCCATCGTGGGTGGAGTTTGAGGAAAAGCTGGTAGAATGTCAGGAGAGTGAGTTAAAGTTGAAGAGCTTGCCCGATTTTTATGACTTTGGAGCGATTCGAATTATGGCAGGTATTCCTTGCATAATTTAATGTGCTATATGTTCATAATAAAATTCTATAATTAAACCTCTAAATATTTCACCTTTTTCTACAGAAAAACTTAAGCAAAGTTTAGTTATGGAAAGCAGGGAACTCACATTAAAATACGGAACCGCACTAAAGAATAAGTACAAGCGAGAAATGGAATTTGTGGTTCTGTCCTTGACAGACTTTCAAAGACGATTAGAAACCAAAATTGTAGAAATAGAAGACGTGAGAATTGTGATGGAATCATTGCAAAAATTTCGGGAAGCTGAAGTAAGCGTTAGTAATTATTTTGTAAAAATCATTTCAAAATACATGTAAATATGTATGTATGTAGATTGACCTGGATATGCGGATCCCCCCAATTGAAGAAGCATTTTATGTAGTGGCTAAATTCAACATTCCAGTCGTTGGAGATGAACTAGAGGATGCCGACAGTTTGAGGTACGTGTGCGGTTGTCGCTATAATTACATTTTTTATATTTGCATAGTACTAAATATGTAGTATGTAGAAAGTCAAGTTTCAAAATATGGCTACAAAATAATGCAAATTTTCACCAGATACATGTACAGCAAACTTCAAGACACGTCAAACCATACTTCTGCAACTATCTGGGAATTATGTCCAGGTAATACTAAAGATCTGATTTATATCAACATTGGTTTAATCAAAATTAATGACGTAATGAACATACATGGACTTTTACAGCTACAAAAATTTAGAAAAGCTACTTATAATAGCATTTATTTTTCAGCATTTAAGACTCAATTATTTGACAATCTTCAAACATTCAAAGCTGATTGTCAAACATTTTGTACCGAGTATTACGAGGAAGGGCCAATGAAACCATCTTTAAGTAAGCATATTGCTACTGGAAAATATAAGTATCTAGGTGCTAGATGCTATTAAAATTATTATGTAATCCAATTCAGGTCCAAGAGAGGCCTCTGACAGATTGGCAATGTTCCAGGTAAAAGAAAATCTACATACATCCACGCTAGCTAAAATTTAGTTATGTAAAAAAACTATTGAATTAATTTTGTTAAATCAATTTATTAACGCGTTTTACAATAGAATCGTTTCGAAGGATTGTGGCGTAAGCAAGTGGAGTACGCTTCGGGACAAACGTTGTTTGGCATGCCTCCCCAAGAAAATGAAAATATTGGTGCAATAAAAAAAGAGTAAAGAGCAACAATAATATTTATAAATATATTTGAAAATTTAATGTTCATTAAATTAACAATCTTTGTGAATCATCCACAGATTGAATCTTTTGCAAAAGCTCTGTAAGTAAAATTATTATTTATCATTGCAAGAGAATATGCAGATGAATGTGGCACTTTGAAACTAATGACGAGAACGAAAAATGCTCACTGTATAATTTTACAGACCGCTTATATAATGATGTTATTGACCGTGTGTCCAGCTATTACGACATTTTATGGAAAGTTGTGAACGTGGAAGAAATCAACAATGAACTTTTAGAGTTTCAAAATCGGTAACACTTAACTATAGTCGTCTATTTACATATAGGTTGCACATGCACATGTGTATCAACTACTCTGCGGATTTATTTCGTTTTCAGCTGTCGCAAGCTCCCAAAAGGATTAAAAGAATGGCCTGCATTTTTCGCCTTGAAGAAAACTATTGACGAGTTTAATGATATTTGTCCACTTTTGGAACTAATGGCCAACAAGAGCATGAAAGCTAGACATTGGCAAAATATTGCAGACACCACGAAATACGTGTTTGAAATAGAAAGAGAGTCGCTTTGTCTTAAGGATATTCTGGATGCTCCTCTTTTACAGTTTAAAGAGGAAATTGAAGATATTTGCATTTCAGCGTTAAAAGAAAGAGACATTGAAGCAAAATTACGACAAGTTACTAATGAGTGGTCCGTGCATGAATTAACCTTTATAGGGTTCAAAAATAGGGGAGAGTTACTTCTACGAGGGGACACGACAGCAGAATCGATAGGTGCACTTGAAGATTCGCTCATGATTCTTGGATCATTGCTATCAAATAGGTGACATATTTACCTACATTGAAAGTGATTCAATTTGTCAGAATTTCAAATTTTTATCCATTTAGCTGCAATTCAGTTTATTTCTATATCAGGTACAACGCTCCGTTCAAAAAGCAGATTCAAAAATGGGTTTCAGATCTTTCCAATACCAACGAAATTCTAGAACGCTGGTTGCTGGTCCAAAACATGTGGGTGGTAGGTGCAAATACTGCAAAAAATTAATGCCACTTTAATTAAAGTTTTTGATAATTCAAATAAATAATTGCAGTATCTTGAGGCGGTTTTCGTCGGCGGGGACATTGCAAAGCAGTTGCCAAAAGAAGCGAAACGGTACTCAACTCGATAATATAATATAAAATTCAGAAATGTGCTGATCATGAATTAGATATACATAGAAGTATAATTGTCATTCATATGAATCATAATTACAATTTTGGAATGTTCAGATTTAGCAAAATCGATCAGGCATGGCAAAAGATTATGGCCCGTGCCCATGAAACTCCGAGCGTGGTTTCATGCTGCGTTGGTGACGACATGAAACAGGTTCAATGCAAATAGTTCGTTTTAAAATGCTTGCCCATGAAATAAAAGGTTAACAGGATTGATTAAAATGCATTTACAGATTCTTCCCCATCTTCACGACGAGTTAGAAATTTGTCAGAAATCGCTGAGCGGTTATTTGGAGAAAAAGAGAATGCTATTTCCCAGATTCTTTTTCGTATCAGATCCAGCCTTGCTTGAAATCTTGGGTCAAGCTTCGGATCCTCATACAATTCAACACCATCTCCTTTCTATATTTGATAACGTGGCAAAAGTGACATTCCATGACACCGACTATAACAGGATACTAGCAATAAATTCGGGGGAAGGGGAAATAATTAAAGTAAGTTTAAATGACTAAATATGATCACTTGTGCATTTGCTCTTTCTGCATCGCTCTTGCTAAACAGATATGATGATTAATTATTTAGCTCGAGAAATCGGTCAAAGCCGAAGGAAGCGTCGAAGTTTGGCTTAATCAACTACTTAATCACTCAAAGGCTTCTTTGCATGGAATTATCAAAGAGACTTTCTCAACGATTGGAGAAGACACTTCTGTCATTGAAGTAATTATAAATATACATGCAAATATGAATTACTTAAACATGCATACCTCTCTCGCAATTGATGCAAACAAGAAACACTGAAATGAAGGGTAATGAAAAACTCTTTATTCATTAATTCATCAATCTAGACAGCTAAAAACAAAACCACTCAACATAGCAAACAACTCGAGTAAAATTCATAAAAATCGATTCATAACATAATCAAGTATTAGTTTTATAGAGTTATACTAACATAATCTTCTCGACAAAATTTTCAGGGGTACATATATAATTTAATTCATATCTGTTCACAACATCAATAGCTCCCGTCTCTTCGAATCGGGTCAGCGGAATCCCAGCATGAACCAGGTTTCGGGCTCGGGCACGCAACTCGGGGTCGATGTGGAAGTGAGTCTTTTTGTTGATCATGGTCATGGAACAATTTTCTTCTTCTTGTTGTGTGAGATATTGCTAATTTGAAAACGAGAAAATGTAGTGAAATATACAGTATTTAGATGCAACTTGAGACTTACGATAATAAACTTCTCCAAATCCTTCCGCTCATCCTCTGAATCCGTGATGATGACCCCCCATCTTTCGCCAGTTTCTTGCAGATGCAATGTCAAAGCTGATGGCCTTGATTGACGTCTTTGAAAATGGCCATCTCTAGCTCCAACGATAACTGCAAATGTCTCGCCAACGTACGTTCCTCTCGGAGGGTTTTCTTCTCGCATCCACTCCCATATTTGTCGTGTTGTCATTCCTGTTGAATATAGTAATATTAAGCAAAAACTATATATTTTATTCATACAATACCGGCGAGTAAACCATTTTGACATTCATTTAAAAGTTAATTAAAAATATAACGTAACCCTCAATCTTATCGTTTTTCTTATTTCAAAGTGATGCAGATATAAGTTTGGTGCTTCCGTGCACCTTCTTCTTCTCGTTGGTTTCGTCTTTTCGTCGAATCTTTGATATTATGTTTTCTTTTAGTATTAACATATTCCAGTGTAGTCCACCGGCCGCTTTGTCTGTATTTCAAGGTGTTGTCCTTCCACTTAAACATTTCAATCGTCAAATGCTTTCGCTCTCGTCGACTTCGGATTCGACTTTGACCTTCTTCGATGACTCGGGCAAAACTTTTTTTGTCCAGGAACTGTTCCCTTGTAACACTTTGTAGAGAGAGGAGAAAGTCGCCCTTTGTTTTGAACTAGAATCATAGAATAACAAAATTAGTTATGGAACACGTAGTTAAGATTTCAAGTTCAAAATTTTCTGGTTAACGAGATATAATATAAATGATGTTGTTTTACCTCTTTCTTGTTGAACTCGTGCTCATCTTCCTCTTCAGATCCGGTGTCGTCAGTCTCCTCCTCAGACGTTTCATCCTTCCGTATCGATGGACCAGTATTTTTCTTTTTGTTAGCAGACATTTCGTCAAGAGTCTTACTACTAATTTTGAGAAAATGTGTCCACGAAGCAAGACTGGGAAAGTTGACGTTGTCCGTCTCACAGGCACAAGCCGACTAAACGAATTTTGCCCAACTGTTGTCTTATAAGAAGGCAAAGATAAGAAGCCACGCTTCAGATAAAAAGTATGCTTTTGGCGAAAGAAGTTATTTTAGGTAAATTGTGGTTTGGTCAAAGAGATATTCCAGGGTAAAGGTGCAATTAAAGTTTTCATATTCAGCGAATTTCGAAATGGTGCTAGACAGATGAAATTTGGCAGACACGTGTCTAATGGCATATAATGAAAGAATATGAAGTGAAATTGCAGAATATTTTTTTAGCAAGTGCTAGAAGATGCACCTGCACAGGTAAAATACGAGAAAAATTTATTATACATAGATGTAAAAATATATTAGAAAATATTATTCAGCATACAAAATTATGTGACTAGATTGGAATTCTTGCAATTCAAATGATATGGACGCGTGATTCAGAAAATGCATTAATGCAAGCCCGTATGGACAGAAAAATTATGCACGAGGTATTACTTGTTAAGTTACATATATAATGCTTGACATGTGTTGATTCATCTATCTATTCATATGTACATGTGTTGTTAATATGCTCATAACAAAGCACTTAACGCATCATAAAATATGATACAGAATTAATCACAGGGTTCCTGAAAATGAACGCTGCTATGATCAAGTCCACCTTAGTTTATAGTTTGTATTACTTTTGCCAGGTAAATAACAAATTTTTAGATCTCCTGAACCAGTTGATTGATCAAACAACCAGAAATCTAACCAAGCTTCAAAGAACCAAATTTGAGACTTTAATTACCATCCATGTGCATCAGAGAGACATTTTTGATCATTTGGTAACAACTTTGTCAACATAGCATTCTGTCAATATGTATGCATGAATTAAACATGAGATTTTGCATTTCTTTCTTACAGTGTCGCTTGAACGTGAAGTCAGTAAAAGATTTCGAATGGGCAAAACAATGCAGACTATATTTCAATACGGAATTAACGGAGATACACATCACTGATGTACATTTCACTTATCAAAATGAGTACTTGGGATGCACGGAACGCCTTGTAATTACCCCTTTGGTGAGATATAAAAACCGGAAATTTTGGAATATAAAAACCGAAGACAAAAATATTTACTTATTTGTACATTGCGACCCTGTAGACTGATCGTTGCTATATTACATTGGCTCAGGCACTGAACCTAAGTATGGGAGGTTGCTCGGCAGGTGTGAATGTGGAAATTAGTCAAAAGGCTATGTAGTTTTTTCTTACTAAATACTTCCTTATCTTACCGTGAAGGTCCTGCCGGAACTGGAAAAACTGAAACTGTGAAGGATATGGGCAAGTTTAGATGATTGTAGAATTATGTATGTGCATTTATGTTATAGCAATTTGAAGTCGATGTATCATTTATTTACAGGAAAAACTCTCGGGAAATATGTCGTCGTCTTTAATTGTTCAGACCAAATGGATTTTAAAGGGCTTGGACGAATTTATAAAGGTAAAATTATGACTTGGAATTTTATACCATAGACCTGGATACGTTTTTAAATTTTAAAAATTTATCATCACACAGGTCTTGCGCAGTCTGGAAGGTAACGTAAAATAAATATTCATGCGTCTGTCTAGATTCAATAACTGATATTCACTGATTTTTTTAAGTTGGGGATGCTTTGACGAGTTTAATAGAATTAACCTGCCGGTATTATCTGTGGCGGCGCAGCAAATAGCTGTCGTGCTCGGAAGTCGCCGAGAACGGAAGAAAAGCTTTATTTTTACCGATGGAGATTTGGTAGATCTTAATCCAGAGTTTGGAATATTTATTACAATGGTACGGTCGGTCGTTGAATATGTATCGGCATAAGTACATATGCCATGTCAATTGAAAATAACTAAACTAATTTTAGAACCCAGGATATGCAGGCAGAAATGAATTGCCGGAAAATCTGAAAATACAGTTTCGTACGGTTGCAATGATGGTTCCGGATCGACAAATTATTATTCGAGTAAAATTAGCAAGTTGTGGGTTTTTGGAAAATATTACGCTCGCGAGGAAGTTTTACACTCTCTACAAGTTGTGCGAAGAGCAATTGACAAAACAGGTCCATTACGATTTTGGCCTTCGGAACATTCTTTCCGTATTACGTACGCTGGGCACCGTTAAACGAGGAAGTAATCCTAAAGATGCGGAAAGCACGATTGTCATGCGAGTGTAAGTATTTCATTCTTCTTGTAAGTAAATAATTTCTCTTCTTAATTAATAGGACTACTAAAATTATTTTACAGTTTGCGGGACATGAATCTGTCCAAACTTATCGACGAGGATGAGCCGTTATTCATGAGCCTTGTTCGAACAAATCTAAAACATTATTAGCCTGTGGTACATAGTAAATAACTGCAAGCGTTATGTTTCAGGTCACTGATCTATTCCCAAATGTTGTCTTTGATAAAATAACATATGGATCGTTGGAGGAAGCCATTAAGGAACAAGCAGAAGAACAGGGTTTGATTTATCATGAGCCGTGGGTACTCAAATTAATTCAGCTTTATGAAACGCAGCAAGTGAGACATGGAATAATGACTCTGGGGCCAAGCTCTGCAGGGAAAACGGTAGGATCGTTTTCCTTATTAAATATGGAGCTGTACATAAATTTGTGCATAAATTTAAACAGACATGTATTCACACTTTGATGAAAGCCTTAACCGCGTTGGGGACTCCACACAGAGAAATGAGAATGAATCCGTAAGAACAATAACTAATTAAAACGAGCTAACCTAAAAACAATTCGTGGGCAAATAACAATTTATTTATGCCATATTTATTTATTTATTTGCAGCAAAAGCATTTCTGCGTCTCAAATGTTTGGTATTTATATAGACTTCTATATTTTTGAAGCAATGAAAACTAACAAATTTTACTCGACTAAGGAAAACTCGACGTTGCGACAAACGACTGGTCGGACGGGATATTTAGCGCCTTATGGAGAAAAACTTTGAAATATGATAAGAAAGGACAAGGAGGAAATATTTGGTTGGTGTTAGACGGACCTGTAGACTCGGTCTGGATAGAAAATTTAAATGTAAATCTTTTTTAATTCATTAAGTTTGACGCTCATTCATGTTTTTGCATTTTTATTCATCAAATTAAATAATTAACGCTCATTCAGTCAGTTCTTGACGATAACAAGACCCTCACGCTGGCCAATGGAGATAGGCTTCCAATGTCGCCTGCGTGCAAGGTATTATTTGAACCACACAATATTGACAACGCTTCTCCAGCCACAGTTTCGAGGAATGGAATGGTTTACATGAGTTCGTCCGGACTGAACTGGGTACCTATTATTGAAGCGTGGTTGAAGAAAAGAGAGCATCGGGTGGCCACCTTACTCAGAGCGTACATCGAAAATACGGTAATAAGTACTTTACTGTGAAAATAAATACATATAAATTATGGCTTGTGTCTGATGACTTCAACTGAACTGGTTTCTTAGTTTTTCAAAGTTTATGACTGGTCCAGGCAAAATTTGAACTTCAAAATGCCAGTGCTCGAAGTAAATGTCGTGTTTCAGGTTGGTGTCATAACGTATCTGACCCTTTTGGAATAGATTTAGAGCGGATGTATGTATAATATTGTATTTGAACAGCTATTGTCAATTTTGGAGGGAATGCTACCACCAGAGGAACCTGTGGAGACTGGAGACCTGGAGGCAGTTAGAAATCCATTGGACAAGAAATTTAATGAGGCTGAAATTGTAAAGATTTATTCATTTTGCTTGGCTTGGAGTGTGGGTATGTGATCAGTAATAATCTTAATTTTTATCAATTTTCCCCCACCATATTTCCATGAGCAAGAACATAATAAAATATTATGCTTCACAGGATCTCTGCTTGAAGGGGAAGACCGAATCAAATTGGATGTCTTTCTGAGGAACAGTGAGATAAATTTACCACTTCCAAATTGTGGGGCCGAAAAGACCATTTTTGATTTCGTTATCGTTAACGACAAATGGGTCGAGTGGTCAACAAAAGTTGGAGATTGCACCCTCCCGGAAAATTATGTCAATGACTTTTCGTCAATTATGGTGCCCAATTTGGACTCAGTCAGAACTAATTTTTTGATGGATACTGTCATCAAGCAGGTGGGGCAATACATAAGACGCATATTCTTGAAGTTAGATGAATGTATTGAAGTATTAATAGGCTAATTATTGTCCATTGTGTACTTATGCAGAATAAGTGTGTCCTTCTAATCGGGGAGCAAGGTTCTTCAAAAACATTGATGATCGACACGTACACAAAAGAGAACTATGATCCAGAATATCATTTGACTCGGCCAATTAATTTTTCTTTCGCTACAACCCCATCTCAATTTCAGAAAACGATTGAGAGTTATTTAGAAAAGAGAGTCGGAACAACTTATGGTCCAACAGGCGGTCGTAAACTAACTGTTTTCATTGACGATATTAACCTGCCGGAAATTAACCCCTGGGGCGACCAAATTACTAATGAAATCACACGTCAAACAATAGAAATGAAGGGATTTTATAGCTTAGAGAAACCAGGAGATTTTATGAACATTTGTGACGTCCAATTTCTCGCAGCTATGATTCACCCAGGAGCAGGCAGGAACGACATCCCTTCAAGATTAAAGAGACATTTTGCTATTTTTAACTGCACAGTGCCGACTGATGATTCCATCGATAAGATTTATGGCACCATATCTGAAACGCATTACAGTGTGAAGCGAGGATTTACCGACGCAGTCAGAGAAATGATAAAAAAACTTGTAAAGTTGACCAGATTTGTATGGAAATCTACCAGAAGAACTTTACTTCCGGTAAATGCGTATAAGTGTATATTTAGCATTCCAAAGAAAATTAAGATATCCAATGATGAGATATATTTTAATTGGGATAGACTCCTGCCAAATTTCATTATGTTTTCAATTTGCGAGATTTATCTCGCATTTGGCAAGGCATGATTGGCACCTTGAGTACCGTGATTGATTCGGAAAAAGCGGCCGTTTCGTTGTGGATTCATGAATCCACTAGGGTTTTAACGGACCGTTTCACTGATCCTCAAGACAAGGCATTTTTTGACGAAGAGGTTCAAAAGTTAACAGAACAACACCTGGGAAAGAATTATGTAAAAACTGTAAAGTCTGTTTCTCTCTTTGTTGAGTAAGTTGAGAGCTCGTAATATTTGTAACGTTTCAATTTCATTCAAGACACCCAAATTATTCGTGATTTCTTAATTTAAGCTTTATGAGAGATGCGCCTGAACCGACTGGTGAGGAGGGTGACGATGCTGATGTTGAGTTGCCGAAAGGTTTAAACCATAAACTTTCATAAACCTCCTTTAAAATTCCGGCATTAATTTAACTTCTGCCGCTTTTATAAAGTTTACGAGCCAATTGATGACTTTGAAATATTGAAAGAACGCTTGGTCATGTTCATGGGGCAGTACAATGAAGGTTAGGTTATTTCTTGGTTCTATTATTAAATTTTATTTTATCGGCTTATTAATACATATATTTGATTGTACCTTTATTGTCTATTATATGTACAATGAAGTTGTTCGCGGATCGCCAATGAATTTAGTTGTAAGCACATTAAAACGTTTATTATTCTTTCATGTGGTCCTCACAAAATATGTTTTTAAGTTTTTTCCGGACGCCATGATTAATCTGGTAAAAATTGCAAGAATTATTCGAAATCCTGGTGGCAATGCCCTGCTCGTGGGCGTCGGTGGTTCTGGAAAGCAAAGTCTAACGAAGCTCGCTTCTTTTATCGCTGGGTACAAAACGTACCAAATCACGTTAACCAGGTAATTAATTTGACTAAAATATTTGCATACAATTATGCACATGCAATGATGAATATCTACATATTGTGGCTCGTTTGAATCACGTTTCTCCTATTTATATAGGTCATATAATCTGAGCAATTTTCTGGAAGACCTAAAATTGTTGTACCGAACCTGCGGGGCTCAAGGAAAGGGAACCACGTTCATATTTTCGGATCAAGACATTAAAGAAGAAGTGTTCCTGGAGTATTTGAATAACTTGCTTTCGTCCGGGCTCATTTGCAACTTATTTAACAGGTAAATTTTATTACCTAATGTTTATGTGAAAACTGTAAGTATTTGTAGATTAAGCAATGAATTTTTCACTCATTGCTATGATTTGATAAGTACGAAATTTTTAATTAATCACGAATTGTAGGCATTATGAATTTATTCAGCATCATTACTACAAGACTTTGGTTTTGCAGTTCTTAAACTCATTACATGCTGGTGCAACAGCAACACTAGCACATTAACCAACTTGATAGTAGGATTAGGATGTGAACATAAGATTGAAACGTTTTAATAATTCGCATGACTTTAACAGGGACGAAATGAACGAAGTTATCGCGGAGCTAATACCAACAATGAAAAGAGAGCTACCCAAAAAATCACCAACCCCTGAAAACGTCTTCAGCTACTTTATTCAGAGAATGAAACAGTATCTCCATGTTGTCCTATGCTTTTCACCGGTATGTCCTTGGCATTTTTGTTCTTATTTTTAATTTGCTAATTTAATGCATTTTCAGGTCGGAGAAAAGTTTAGAAACAGGTAACGGTAACTCAATTTTGTATATGCTTTAATTGTTTGATTTTCATATTTGTGCAAATTTTATATTATGCAAAAATATAGGGCGTTGAAATTTCCAGCCTTAATCAGCGGAACCACAATAAACTGGTAACTCGCAGCAAAATGTTTCTAGGACTTATGTAACGTTCATAATAAATTTAAGTGATGAAAACTGTCTCAATTTGAAAACAGTTGACTAAAACGATTATGTTACCATTTTTTTACTACATATATATTCAGAAATACCTAAGATATTTTTATTGAAATCCAATGAAGGTTTACACCATGGCCAAAGGACGCCTTAATTTCGGTAGCTGAATATTTCTTGTCAGAATTTCCTATTGAGTGCAGTGAGGCAGTTAAACGAAACGTTATATTTGTCTTGGGGTAAGAAAGGTTTATTCCAGTTGAGTATGAATATGCAAATTATTGCAAATCTCTCGCCTTCATTAATTACTACAGATCCGTACAAGATAGCGTTGCTGCAGTTTGCATTGAATATTTTCAAAGGTGGAGCACTTGTACTTTAAGTAGTCCATAAGCTTTAAAAGTAGTAATAAAAAGGATACCAAAATAAAGTATAATTTTTCTTCAGAATGCGAAGATCAGCCCATGTAACACCGAAGTCCTACTTAAATTTCTTATCATCCTACAAGAGCATTTACAGTTTGAAGATGAATGATTTGAAAGAATCCACGAAACGAATGGACACTGGACTCCTCAAGTTGAAAGAAGCTGCAAGCTCGGTAGAAATTTTAAAAAAAGACTTGGCGAAAATGGAAGCCGAGTTACAAATAGCTTCAAAAGAGGCAGGCCGGGTACTGATATCTGTAAAAGAAAGGGCTGAGGAGGCGGAAGGAATACGTAATCGCGTGCAAGCCAGTAAGGAGATTGCGGTACATTTAGTAAAGGAAATTGAATCTGATCGTAAAATTGCGGAAGCCAAGCTTGAAGGTTAGATTAGGTTATGACGAAAATCAATATTTTTGGAATTTTATATAACGGAAACCTTGAATTTTAATTTGAAGACGCCAAGCCTGCATTGCTGGAAGCCGAAGAAGCCCTCAACACAATTCAGCCAAGTCATATTGCGACAGTTAGGAAGCTTGGGAGACCACCTCACTTGATAATGAGAATTATGGACTCAGTGCTCATTTTGTTTCAAAAAAGGTTGCATCTTACGTTTCCTGATCCAACTTGTGCCTCACCAAAACCGTCTTGGCCTGAAGCATTGAAAGTATTGCAAAAGTTCTTTAATTAAATGGAATGGATAAGCCTTAAAATTATGACTCATTTCAGTTTATGTCAAGCACCACATTTCTGATTTCACTCCAAAATTATCCAAAGGACATTGTATGCTTGTTATTAAATATTAAATATCATGGTGTTTTACTGAGGTAGGTATAATTTTGGTTGGTAATATTCCAGATCAATGAAGAAATTGTGGAGTTGTTGGTTCCATATTTTCGAATGGAAGTGAGTCTGCACATTGCCAATTTGATCATAAAATCAAATAAATATTTGAATGCATAGGATTATGACATGGAAAATGCGAAACGAGTTTGTGGCGATGTCGCTGGTTTGCTTTCATGGACCAAAGCAATGGCAGTTTTCTTTGGAGTGAATAAAGAAGTTTTACCCCTCAAGGCCAATCTAGCCCTTCAAGTATTAATCATCATTTGCGAGCTATAATTTTAATCACATGCAGAGTATATTGTATGTATCTAAATTGGTTAAATAATAGGAAGGACGATTGAAACTTGCAACATCGGACTTGGCACGTCTTGAAAATGAATTAATTGAAAAAGAAAATGAGTTGGGCGTCGTTAAAATGGAGTATGACACAGCTCTGGCCAAGACGGTCCAACTGACGGACGCAGCCAACGCTTGTCGACGAAAGATGAGTACAGCGATGGCTTTGATAGATGGCTTGAGCGGCGAGAAAATACGATGGAGTGAACAAAGGTGCGATTTTGTACTTTACATTTTGATAAATTGCTGACCAGCATTAGAACAAGAATACTAGATAAAATTGCTCGTTTAGCAAAGAACTTCGAGAAAAGATGGGGTGTCTCGTGGGAGATACCTTGTCAGCAGCTTCGTTTCTCTCGTACTCTGGACCCTTCAACCAAGAATACCGCTGCGTGCTGTCACAGCAGTGGAATGATCTTGTTCAGCTGTATGATATTCCGAGAACACAATGCTTTTCCGTCTTGTCATTAATGGCGGACTCGGCAGAAGTGAGCAGAACGCTTGAATTAAATATTGTTCTCAAATCGGTTTAAAACATGCATGCAATTGTTTAATCAACCATAAGGTCTCGGAATGGACCCTGCAAGGATTGCCGAATGACGAATTGTCAATAGGTAAGCTCCATTATTTACCTCTATCTTGTCAATATTAGCCAGCGTGACATAATTTATGGACCATCCCATAGAAAATGCTGTCATTGTTACTTCGGGGGCGTGTTATCCACTATTGATCGATCCACAGAGTCAGGGAAAGTTTTGGGTGAAAGCGAAAGAGACCCAAAACAACTTGTTGGTATTCCAGAAATAAATATTTTGCCAGTATATGTATATTTTGCTAATTGATAAAAGTGTTAAATTTTTAAGGTGACTTCCTTGAACCACAAGTACTTTCGAACGCATCTTGAAGATAGTCTCAGTCTTGGTCGTCCACTACTTATCGAGGATGTTGGGGAAGAGCTTGATCCCGTGCTGGATAACGTGTTGGAAAAGAACTTTATAAAATCTGGGTCCATTTCGAAAGTGATTGTAGGCGATAAGGAATGTGATGTGATGCCAGGTGAGCGAAGCCTCGAATTTTCTAAAATTACTTACTTCAATGAATTTTTACCAATTGTGTGTCGAATAAAAAGAAGAAAAACAGATTAATTTGATGATTTAGGATTTATGCTGTATATCACGACCAAGCTAGGAAATCCATTTTATACTCCAGAAATAAGCGCAAAAACATCGATAATTGATTTTACGGTGACCATGAAAGGCAAGCCAACATTAATTCAGGATTTCACCATTCATATTCCAGAATTAAATATGTAATATGTAATTCAAAAATCTCATCGCAGGTTTGGAAGATCAATTGCTGGGTAGAGTAATACTGATGGAAAAGAGTGAATTAGGTAACTGCATGAATATTATAAATTTGAACAATTTTAGTGCTTTTTACTATGTTTCTATTTTTTTCTGAAGAGTCTGAACGAATGGCTCTGTTTGAGTCTGTCATGCAAAATAAAAGAAGCATGAAGGGCTTGGAAGACAGTCTGTTAATGAAATTGTCAACCTCTCAGGTATGCAATTCTTGTCTCGAATGAAAATGAAAATGTTTAACACGTCATTATACCCATATAAACAAGGTCCTAAAAAAAGAGGAAATCTTAGTGAGGTGGTGCAGTTACAACTAATAAATAAAATTAGATTGCAGAATTTTTGCATTACCTCTCTTTGTACAATTTTTTCTGGAAGCAATAATCATTTAAAATATTTATTTGGTCTGTTCGTAAGAATAATAGAATATCCAAATTAATAAGGGAAATTATAGATTAGCTTTTTAGAACTTTTTAAAACAAATCCGTATATAGTTCACAATAGTTTATCAATTATATTTTATCTCAGTAAATTTAGCCCAATTCTCGCAAAATTTCTAGCAAAAACATCTTCTTGAAGTCTCAATTTACTCAGTAAAATCAAGAATTCACGTATATACAAGCAAGGTTTACAGTAAAAATGGCACCGAGAGCGGTGATGCAAAAATTCTGCAATCTAATTTTATTTATTAGTTGTAACTGCACCACCTCACTAAGATTTCCTCTTTTTTTAGGACCTTGTTTATTTAATACTTGTAATTGAGTGATTTACATAATAAACACCACGAATTCCTCAAATTTAGCATTAGCATATCATTTGTTGTCAGCTATATAAATGCTTTGCGTGGCTACCAAGTTTCTAAATGGAATATTGTAGCGGTTTCTTAACCGATTTTGACTCTCCTTATCTTAAAATTTACAGAAAAAATACTCTATAATTGATGGGGTTTGAAAACTTTCTTAGCTGTTCTATAAATCAACCATAAATGAAAATACGTTACTAAGATCACATTTTTGGCTGTAAAACTTAAAACTACAAAAGCGAGTTCGATAACCATTGCGTAATGATGATACGTGTAACTTAATCAAAATCAGTTGAAGATGAAAATCTTTGCATGAGTTATCCTGCAGTCACTTTGTTGGCGTGGGGTGAATGCATAGTTAGTGAATTTTTTGTTGCTAGGAATTTGCCTCACTAAGAAAAATCATTACGCAGTTAATTCTTAACCGATTTTGGTCATATTTGGCTTAAAAAATTCAGAGTGAGTTTATCTAAAATTTTGCCATCAGAAAACTACCCCTGATTCTCCAGTAATTAGTTAAAAATCAAAATGTGTTACCAGGGGTACATTTTCGTTAATAAGTCGGGTAAAAATCAATCAATCGCTAAGTCCAATAGCAAATCGTTTTCGAATTGAGTCAGAATGACCGGTGCAAAATTTCATCAAAATCGGTTGAGAAATGGCTAAGTTATCGTAAAATGTCACTTTTTTTAACGTGAGTAACTACATACTTAGTGTTTTTTCGTTGCTAAGTATTTTGCCTCACTAAGAAAAATCTTGTTCTCTTGCAGGGATCACTAGTTGATGATGAAGGTAAGTACAATTATTCATATAGATGACGAATGTATATTCTTGCATGCAATTTTCCAATGAGAAATGCAGGTTTTATAGTTTTGTGTCTGAAACCTCTTGTAGAATTGATTCGCGTCCTCCAGCAAACAAAAACAACTGCAGGTAAACATGAGATTGTAAAAATGTTGGAAATGTTGTTTCACAAAACAAACATAATTTGTAACATTTTTTAATGATAAATTATCATTCAATAAACCTGACATTGACGAGGATGAACATTGACTGCATTTTCTCCCTTTCACTTATCCGCAGAGGAGGTGAAAGTGAAACTAAAAGTTTCTGAAGAAACAGAAGCCAAAATCACAGTTGCTCGTGACGAGTTTAGGTAAAGAATTTACAACATAAGTAACTGTATCACCTAACAAATATCCAATACATTGAGAAAAACTAAACTAGATTTTAGCTATATTTTAATGAAATCTATACATACGTATGCGTAGATAGGTTTCGTATTGTATTGCGCAGACTTTTATAACATGGTGTCTGTTGTTTTACTTAAAAATACAGACCTATAGCAAGTCGAGGAAGCGTTCTCTACTTCCTCGTTGTGGAAATGGCCAATGTTAACGTCATGTATCAGACGTCCTTAAAACAGTTTTTGAATTTGTTTGATAACTCCATCAAACTCTCGACGAAAAGTCCGCACACGGACGAGAGGATCCTCAACATTCTGAGCAGACTAAATTGGGAAGTTTGGCAATTTGTGCAACGATCACTCTTTGAGGAGAACAGATTTTTGTTCACTCTTCTCATGGTTTTGAAGGTAAGCGATGTGCGTAATGTAATACTTTCAGATCGAGTACAAATATTATATTTTTAGATTCATCTACATGATGGAAAAATAACACATGAAGAATTCATGACCTTGATTAAAGGTTAAAACTACTTGCCAATTAACATAAAGTATTGATTAATTAATAATTTGATGGAAATTAAGCGTTACGTACATATTTTTTTTGAGTAGGTGGTGCCTCTCTTGACCTCACTGCTGTCAAGCCCAAGCCTTTCAAATGGCTGTCTGATGTGGCATGGTTAAATTCTCAATTATTAACTTTATGAAGTTATTAGATTAAGCGTTTCTATTTTTATAATTTATATATTTTCAGGTTAAATCTTGTAGAACTTGCAAAGCTGAAAAGATTTGCTAATGTGCTGGAAGAAGTTTGTTAAAATTTAGCATTACTTTAGTGTACATACACATTTTGAGGCTATATTTTGTATTTGTTAATGTTCTTTATAGGTTGCCAATAAAGAGGTCGAATGGAAAGCTTGGTAAGTACTTCACGGTTTGGTTTAAAGTACGTACGCACAGGAATAATTGATAGCACAAATTTTAGGCATGATTTGGAAATGCCTGAGAAAGTTCCGGTTCCTTGCGGATATGGTGAACTGGATACATTTAGAAAGCTACTAATTGTGAGGAGCTGGGTCCCTGACAGAACTCTCTTGATGGCAAAAACCTACGTTATTGGTAATTTAAATTCTACACATTTACGAAACCCTGTAAAATTTTAAAATAAAAATTCTTTACAGATTCGCTTGGGGTCGAGTTTGGACAGACAACTATTTTAGACTTGGAACAAGTTTGGAAGGAATCGGATTGTCATACTCCTCTGATTTGTATCCTGTCTATTGGGTCAGGTTAGTCAGATCTATTGTGATAAGTAGGATGAAAATTACTGTAAGTTATTGCGTCTTTGTTTCAGATCCAACTCAGGAAATTGACAATTTAGCAAAATCATACGGGTTTCCGATTAAGGTATTAAAATAAGCTAAAAAGGCTATAACACTCTTCATAGTTACTTTTTAATTCGATTTGAATATGCACCCATACCAAATTAGATCATATCCATGGGTAAGCAGATAGGATAGAATAACTTAAATACATTCAGGTAATATTAACAATGCAAATAGTGTAGAATATTTTATCTTATTAAAGGACAAGGACAAGAACAACTAGCACGACAATTGATTTCTGCGTCGGTCGTTTCTGGTTCCTGGTTGTTACTTCAAAATTGCCATTTGTGCCTTCCGTTCTGCGCTGAAATCACTGACTACGTTGGAGAATCCGCAAATCTCAATCCTGACTTTAGACTGTGGTTAACTACAGAACCGCATAAAGATTTTCCAATTGGTTTATTACATGCAGCAATTAAGTTTACCAATGAAGCTCCACAAGGAATCAAGTCAAGCATGCGACGAACATATCAAAGTATTAATCAGGTATTTTCACTTATAGTGTTGATTCTAAAAATGCGCTGGCAGAATCATGTTAAAATCAAGAGTCGAATTAATTGTGCTAATGAGGATTTGTATATCAGGATTACTTGGAGTACACAGCATCAAAATATTGGCCCGTTCTTTTGTACTCTGTGTCGTTTCTGCACACTGTCGTCCAGGTAAGTCCCCGAAATCTGTGATACTCTGGATATTAGTAAATTATATTACTCAATTTTTGATTTTTCGACACAGGAACGGAGAAAATTTGGAGTAAGTAAAAAATACTCTGTTAAATTTACTCATTGCGTTGGTGAGTATTTAATAGATTATTTTGATCAATAGGCCCTTGGATGGAATTGCGCTTACGAGTTCAACAAAGCCGACTTTTCTGCTAGCGTCCAGTTCATTCAGAATTTTTTGGAAGACTTAGATCCAAAGAAAGTATGCGCCATTCTGTTGTATTTTTTGACGGTTATTGTCAACATTATCTGATTAGTGATGATTACAAATAAATAGTGCGACTAAATTTATTATTTTTAGCAAACGATATCATGGCCAACCATCTGCTATATGCTGGGCGAGGTCCAATATGGTGGACGGGTTACTGACGATTTCGACAAGCGTCTCTTGAATACGTTCACTTCAACCTATTTCAATGAAAACCTTTTGCATGGGCAATTTGAATACTTCAAAGGATATCGAGCCCCAATGACGCGAAACCTTTTTGTCATAAACGAAATCATTAGTAATTTACCTAATGTGGATTCTCCAGAAGGTTGGTTAATTGTAAACTTGCTTATATAAATGCATACAACTACACTCAATATTAGAAAACAAGCGTACATATGTACATATGTGTACTAATGTATGTGCTAGGGCATCCAAAATCGTTTTTTAGTTTGTAAACAAATAAAATTGTATCATTTCGGAGCAATTATTTGCCATTTTGTATTTGCTGTCTGAAATATCTTTTTTTTACTAATTTTTACCTAGCATTGTTTTATTTTCAGCTAACACTGTATTTACATAATTTTTAACATCTGTCTAAATCCAGTGTTTTCACAATTTCCGATTTTAGCGTTGCATTTACATATGCATAAACTTATTCTTAGAGGTCATATCTAAATAAAAATCAGCCTTCACGACGCATCTTCCACTGTTGGCACAATTTATTAAAATAAATGTATTTCTCTCCAGTTTTTGGATTACATCCCAACGCAGACATTACGTTCCAAATTAATGGAGTAAAGAAAATTTTCGATTCGATACTAGGCGTTCAGCCGAAGCAAAGTGGTGGAACATCGGGGGGTGAATCCCGAGAAACTGTTGTTCAGAGAATGGCAGAGGACATGATGAAGAAATTGCCTCCGGATTATGTGTCATTCGAAGTGAGAAAAATATGAGCTATTATTATGTAAATTAATCAATATGCATTAGTTCTTAATAAAATAATTCCGAATATGCACATGTGTGTACAGGTAAAAGACGCGTTAACTAGAATGGGTTCACTTCTTCCCATGAACATATTCCTTCGTCAGGTAAGGCTGGCTTAAGTGAATTGCTTATTTCTGTCATTCTAATGTTATCCCAATCCTTGATAAGGAGCTGGATAGAATGGCCAAAGTACTTGAAGTTGTCCGTGCAACTCTCTCGGATCTGAAATTGGCCATTGAAGGAACCATAATCATGAGCAGTAGTTTAAGGGAAGGTAATTACTATACTCACAAACTGAAATGGCTTCATACGAACAAGTCATAAATTGTCCTGCACTATATTACAGCACTGGACTCCATGTATGATGCAAGGTAGTTCAATCTAGAAGTGTTCTTATAAAATTGGCCCAATGCAATTTTTAAATATTATGTTATCTTTCAGGGTTCCAGAATCATGGAGAAGAGTAAGCTTATTTTTCTACTTTTTGCACTATTGAAATTGAAATTGAAAAATTGAATTTGGGTGCTTTTAAGATATCATGGGATTCAGGATCTATTGGATTTTGGTTCACGGAATTATTGGAAAGGTGAGTTTAATTAATGAAATATGCAATGCAAATATATCGATATCAACAAACCTATAAAACTGTAAATACTATACATTTTCAGGCATGCACAATTTAAGAGTTGGTTATCTCACGGAAGGCCTCGTGTGTTTTGGATGACTGGCTTTTTTAATCCTCAAGGATTTTTAACTGCGATGAGACAGGTGAGTGATGATTGATAAATAGATTCAATTCAATGCATGCTAATGTTAAATATTTCCTAGGAGGTCACTCGCGCACAACGATCAAAAGGATGGGCACTCGATTCAGTTGTTTTGCAAAATGTGGTTACCCGTTTTTGGAAGGAGGAAATTAATGAATCCCCTGCTGAAGGTGATAAAATTTGTCGTTAATCAAAACTAATTTTTGAACGTACGTAGGTGTTTTATTATTAATTTTCAAAAGGTATGTTCCGCACTGTTTCTGACAAAAATTTTGATGAAATAACAAACTTCAAATACATTTAGGAGGCTGTGATTTTTTTCAGCTCTGTGGGTTAACATAAACACTAGCAATAAATCGGCAAACTTTACCTCGACGGAAAAAATGCTAGATTTGCAAATTAAATATCGTAGTGTGATTTAATTTTTAATGCTGGAGGTGCAATACTTGTCGCAGATTTATGGTTGAATGCTTAAAATTTACGATGAAGACTGCCCAAGACAAAACACAAATTCAATTGGGTCAATAATTTTAAATGATGGTGAAACGAGGTCTCGGGAAAAAAGTCGCCAGGACGCTCAAAATCCGTTTATTCCACAGAAAAGCTCCGGAAACTAGAGGAACCAATAATGAGAGATCCGCGACTGAAACTGTCCTATTTAGCAGATGAGATTGGTGTTCCAAAACCAGCAATTTGTTCCATGTTAACTGAAGACTTAGGTATGAAAATGGTTTCCGCCCGTTGGGTACCAAAATTGCTTTCGCCATCTCAAAAACAGGATCCAGTAAACTTTTGCAATGCAAATTTTAACCTATTAAATGAAAACTTGAACTTGCTCAATATTTTATTAGCTGCATATGGTACTTGGGTTTACTATTATGACCCGGTGACCAAATAATAATTCCCTCAATGGAAGCACGAGGGGTTGCCACCGCCCGTGAATTGAAAAGTGCAAAAATCTGACCAAAAATTAATGATGACCATTTTCAAGGATACCAAAGGTCCCCTCCTTATAAAATTTATTGCTGGAAATACTACAATAAATGGGGCCGTGTATGCAGGAACCCCGAAGGAGCTGCGTCCTCCGGTTGAAAAGAAACGTGGGGTCAAAATAAAGAGTTGGCCTTTTTTTAGACGACAACGCGCCACCTCATACCTGGCTTTTTGCGAGGGTTAGTGCAGACGAAAATCGCTTTACCTGCACAAACCATACCCCGTGCAGTCCAGACTTGACCCTTAGTGATTATTATTCGTTTCGAAACTTAAAGAAAAACATCGGGGGAAAACGGTTTTCGGATGATAATGAAATCAAGTCGTAAATTTTGGCATATTTTAGAGGTAAATTTTAATGAGTTATTGTTAGTGTTAATGTTAACCTACAGAACTGAAAAAAATCACAGCATCCTGAAAGTATTTGAAGTTTGTTATTTCATCAAAAGTTTGGTCAGAAACAGTGCGGAACATACCTTTTGAAACTTAATAATAAAACACCCACGTACATAACCATTTTGAATTTTATATAGGTGTTTATGTACATGGGTTGCACATAGAAGGTGCTAGTGTTGAAAAGAGGACTGGGAAACTAATAGAGAGCAAGCCGAAAGTGTTGTACGAGCCAGTGCCAGTAATTTTCATTTTTGCAGTGAATACGACATTAGGAAAGGATCCTCGATTGTTAGTTTACTAAGCATTTTTTCCATTATTTTAATTCCTTATTTTAACACGTGATAATTTTCTTTTCGCACAGATACGAGTGCCCAATATACCGGAAACCCAAGCGAACAGACGCAAACTACATTGGGTCGATCGATTTCCAAACGGACTCACATCCGAGGCATTGGGTTATGCGTGGAGTTGCATTATTATGCGACACAAAATAAATCTCATGTTAATAATTGCAATTAGTCACAATTAGTTAAATATTATTCAGATTCATTGATAGAATAAAATACATAAAATAGCAGATTAATCCCGACTCAAGATTTCAAACAGATTTTTCAAATAAGGGGGCAAAGTGTCCCAAGGATTTGCACCAGCATCGTTTGTCAAATAAATGTATCCAATGCATTCTTTGGCCATCAAAATTTTAGCCTCATCTAAAGTTCCCACGTTATATGGAAACATTCCCAAGGCCTCCCTTCCTGGTAAACCCTTATACATTGGGTTACATACGGTCCTGTTATCCGGGTACGACTCACTCTCATAGATCATGATGGTATCAACCGTTTCAAAGTAAGGTAGCGGTACATTGCTGCCTGGATTTCCTACGGTGAACGTGAATCCTTTGGACTTTGCATACGTATCCAGATTGGCGTAATAGTCGATATGCGAGGCAACATTATCATTTGTCATTTCGTCAAAGAAAATACCAGCTGGTTGGAACCACCTTTTCCAATTGTCTATATCCTTCTTGACACTGGATTTACTACGTTTCGTGTAATTGGTGTAAACGTATCCCAGCGTTTTGACTCCAGTTTTCTTCAAGTCTGAAATAGCTGTTGCGTAAATCGAGTCCTTTGATGCTCCAGGCCCGTTATTTACGTTGACAATCGCCCATGCTTCGATAGGATAGAGTGCGACTGCGTCCTTCAAAGCTTTCCAAGCGTCCACGCCGCTGGATGTCCGGGGATAACTGTAGAGAGGGATGATCGTACCCCGTTCAACTGATTAAAAGAAAAACAATCGAGACTGCACGTTTTGATAAATGAAGTTTTTTAATATCCATGTGGTCACTTTACCCGTGTAGACAATTGATGTGCTAAAGATCAAAAATAAGCCCAAGCTTATCCAGAAATAGCTACTAGTTTTCTGCATTTTGAATTTTTAACACCAGACAAGTGGCTCTAATAAGTACAATCGTACTGTACGATACGTATAACGTAACTGTATGGACTAAAACATTATTTTTGTCATATGTGGTTAGGTAATAACTGGCTTCTATCTCTTTACATCTTACAGCCACTGACGCACTAGGTTTACTGAGTAATATGCAGAAAAGCCATTAAATAGACCTCACTCCTATCATTTCATGTTTCAATTAATTTTATTTATGTGTACCAATCTGTTTGTACAGTATAATCTACTACTTACTCCACTCCTTTCCAGAAATGTAGTTATGCATATAAAAATTACAACAACTTTAAACCAATTACTGCTAAATGCTCATCTCGTAAATCATTGTCCGCAAACACCCGTGAGCCATTTCTGTGTTTGAGACACCTGTAATCAATTTTGAGGTACTCGTCAAATCCCAGACTCAAGGCTTGCCTCCTAGTTGTGGGGCTGGTAAATACACATTTTGCTAATTTGAAGCCTTCAGCTGTCAAAAAATTAAGCGATCTGTTGTACAACTCCATTGAAAGGCCTTGTTTTCTGAACTTGGGACTAGTTGCGACAATGAGAAGTTCAGCATATTCGGAAATTCCAAATTTCTTAAAAATGTGTGTTTTCTGATCTTTCGTGAGATCAATTCCATTCAAAAACACGTCTGCTTTCCAACCCAGGTCCGCAATAGGTATGATTGAATCAAAACTAGTCGTCTCGTTCTGTCTGAACGTTATCCGAACTGCAGCCAGCTAAAAAATAATGTAAATTCTTAGTAATAAGTAAATAATTTTTTCGAGGTTCTCATCAATAACACTTTTAAATATGTACACTTTTTACCTCCTTTGTGTCACTATGTTCCACAAGAAAGCTAAGATTATCTTTCAGTGCTTCTTGAACAACTTGTATGAGTTGATTTGCGAAATCCTCGCTATAACCCAATAGAACGCATGTTTGTTCTTCCTTGATGAAATACTCCCTAACATGTTCTAAAACACTCGAATAGTCTGAAGGAAAAATACGCCTGAATGTAAAGTTTTTCCATTGACCTTCAACCAAATGAAAATTTGTGCTGGTTGTAGGCATTTCCTAATTTACGAATGAAACTAACAAGAAAAGGACAAATCACACACTTTAATAGCAAGCTAAATGCATGAATTAATGTAATTTATGCAGTGCTTTGACATTTGTGATCGTTTGTGCTCAGACTTGAGGAACAAGCTGCAAAAAATTAACCAAGGTTAAAACTTTCCAGAAGTTTGCGGTAGATTAAGATCATTGTGTCATGTCAGTTCACTTAGCTTGCAGTGCAATAGAGCCAGCTTATGTACATAACCATATATATTATGTACATATGGCATATGTATGTGTAGGATTAGGATACACACACTCTTTCCGAACGTAGGCTACACAATAAAAAAATATTTACATTTAGTGATCACAAATCGTGTAGTGGTGTTTATTAGGTAAAGTAGAAAGAGCGAAGATTCGAGACATGGAAAAGATCGTAAAATATTGTGTACAGCACTTAATAATCGCCATAAAATGAGTGCGCTCTGCGAGGGGGGACTGCTGGACCTTTCACTTTCCTTGAATTTGACGACGGTGTTACGGGGACGCTCTTAACATTGCTTGATGTCGATGATGTCGTACGACCACGACCATACTCAAATTCGCCAGATTCCCGGAGCACCGAAAGATCAAAAGGCAGTGGAGACGGTGTAAACATTCGTCGTGTGAAAATCGGCGAAACTCGTTCACTCCTTGAATATTTTTAGTAGAGTGTCGAATTAATTACATATTAACCACACATCAGCACCGAAAGTGTATTAATCATGTGCATACACATGCACTATGTGCTTACCCGTCATCGTCATCTATCAATAGGGCTGGGTTTCGTTTTACGGCTGTTTCAACAGTCTCTAAAACTTTTCGGATATCCAATCGCGTGTTCTTGGTCACGAAGGATATGTCTTTTAGCCGTTTGAATATTCTGCAACATCAATGTATGTACATACTTAGGCATTACGTAGTTATATTAGTTATGCATACACAATTTTACTGCACCTGGACACGGATACTAATGAGATGACTACCAAAACGATAGCAATTATGACAAGACCAACAAGAGCTCCACCAAAAATAATTACTAGCTGTTGCAAATCCTATGATTCGCGTTTTAAAAATATGTTTAAGTGAGACAGACAACTGGAGAATTTTACGTATGAATATAAAATATCTTTAAAGCTTACATCTAGATTTGCCTTCGTAACGGGATCCGACATTATTCACACAATTTATTAAAATAATACATACAAAATTTCTAACCAACTTTAATTTGATAAATGACTATATATAATTACTTATTGAATCGAAAGAATGACGAGTCTGACAAAATGCTTTGATTTTTTTTAAAGTATGCAAGTGTTATCATCATAATTAGAATGAATCGTCCACACTGAATCGTCCACAATACGACGTTATCATCATTCATGGATTAAGATCAGGAATTCGATTTACTCCATGTTTACCAGCCAAATTTCACAAGGGCTAAATTTATTGGGGGGAGGGAGAAGGATTAGCAAGAGGAGATATGTACAGGTGTTGAATTACTTTCGACATTTTTAAACTGTGGCCATGCTTGCTTTTAATGATTTTGTACATGTTTATTTCCAGCATTCTAATGTATTATAGTAATAAAACACAACTAAATATAACTATAGTATAAATAATAATATAATATATATACGTAACTAATTCATGATTTCGTCTCAAATTGACCAAACATATAACCTGAGACATTTTGTTAATTTTTCATACTTGTTTCAGTACATAACTTATGTAAATGTACAATCCAATTGGATCTCATTTATGTAGCAATGAAAATGTCATGCTAGAAATTGCAAATAATGACTTGTCAGGAATTATCGATCGTCTGCCAGCTTCCATGTAGAGGTGCAACTAAACAGAATATGAAGAAGAACAAGGCTTGGTTTTTTGCTCAACTTGCATGATCATGGACATACATAAGTAAACCCAGTTCGTGATCTTTGCACAAATTCAGCTCATATCGTACATATCTAACGAGGGAACCTCTTATAGTGCCCGGAGCTCGCAGCATATCCACTATATACATTAGACCCAGTTTTTAATATTAGTCCGATGATGTGACAAAATTTCCGTGTCAAAATGACATTTGGTCAAGCGGTGACGATTTTAGTGACGCCCCGAACGTCACTTTCTCCCATGATTTCAATAGCGCAGCTACTTTTCGCCACACGCTCCTCATCTTGCTACTGAGGACTTTTTTTTGCTATGAACCCCCTGAAACATTTTTATTAAAATTTTGATAAATTATAATATTAGCTAGTGAAGTACATCCAAACAATGCAAAAAATGCGTGTTAAAAAATCCACATGTCAAGTGTGCCTCTGAGGGACTCATTACATCTTTTACACATATCCCTTCATTGTGCGACAACCAAAAGTCGTAAAAATATGGGGTTTGGATATTTTTTATCCAAAAGCGATTGTCTAAAACGAACTTCAGTAAGGAGTCGTTACGTGACCTCTTTGACCTAAAGTTTGACCTCTATAAAAATTAAGCTTTACCGTTTATTAGCATGCCAATTTTATCGCAATACATGTAAATTTAAAAGGTCAAACTTTTGGTCAAAAAAGGTCACGTAGCGACTCCTTACTGAAGTTCGTTTTAGACAATCGCTTTTGGATAAAAAATATCCAAACCCCATATTTTTACGACTTTTGGTTGTCGCACAATGAAGGGATATGTGTAAAAGATGTAATGAGTCCCTCAGAGGCACCCTTGACATGTGGATTTTTTTAACACGCATTTTTTGCATTGTTTGGATGTACTTCACTAGCTAATATTATAATTTATCAAAATTTTAATAAAAATGTTTCAGGGGGTTCATAGCAAAAAAAAGTCCTCTACTGAATTCCCAACTCATTTACTCCCTGAGATACTTAATTTAACAACTTAATTTACTATTTATTGCTTATCAATATTATTTTTCCGTTTGAATTTAAAACTTACAAAATTTTCACGCGCACTTTTTGAAGAACAAATCCCTCTACTTTAAATTCATAATAAGTTGCTGTATTTTTCCACATTTTTTTCACTCCAATATTTGAAACAAAAAACAATGTTAAGAATTTGGAAATATGTAGTAAATAAATTGTAATGATATTGTAAATATACATAGTTTAATTAGATGCCAGTCTCATCGGTGAACAAATGAGTTGAGATTTTAGTGAGATGAGTCCGGGGGAGCGTGTAGTGAAGAGCTGATAGGGTACCTGCGGTCCTAAAAACATGGAGAAAATGGCCGTTCGGTGCGTCACTAAAATCGTCACCGTTTGACCAAATGTCATTTTGACACGGAAATTTTGTCACATCATCGGACTAATATTAAAAACTGCGTCTAATGTATATAGTGGATATGCTGGGAGCTCCGGGCACTATAAGAGGTTCCCTCGTAAGTGCATGGAGGATGTGCAAATGTCGTAATTCTGCAGATGTTAACGAGTCTAACTTGAGAGTTTGCCCATGTTGCTGTTTGTACCTACGTATTGTCATACTCTGTCTTTGTAAATCACAGCAGCTGTAATTTAGAATTAAATTAACTTATAGATAAATATACAGTTAACCGGTGAATATGGCTGGATCATATGAAATAATTGTAAGTCCTCATTTTTTATCACGCTAAGAATTTACTGTAAATCGAGAGTCACGCTAGTTTAAACCAATGTATTATAAATTGCAGGACCCCACAATTCGTCCATTCCAGCCATTCAATGCGCTGGATGACGCAAAGACTCTTCGAGCGGCTATGAAAGGGCTGGGAACCAATGAAGAAAAAATCATAAAAATTTTGACCAAACGGACTTCAAAGCAACGGGCTGAAATTGCGATAACGTTCAATCGTGAATTCAACAGAGTATGAATAATACAGTACTTTTTTTAATTAGAAAAGATATTAGCCCACATTTTGTCCCATAAATATAATGACTTATGCATGCGTATAGGTTCTCCAAGAAGATCTACGATCGGAACTTGGGGGCAAATTTGAGACAGTTATTTTGGCCTTGATGGATGATCCTGCTGAATATCTGGCCAAAGAACTTCATTCAGCAATGGATAAAATTGGAACCAACGAAGACATGTTGACGGAGGTGACTATAAATCACTTCTTTTACTTATGTAGTTATCATGTTCCATTATTCCATATCAAGATTTAAAACACTGGGTAATGAATATTAAACAACTTTAGATTCTATGCACCCGTGGGGACGATGAGATACGGAAAATTTCCGATGCGTACACCAAGATTTATGAGAAAAGCTTAACTTCCGAACTCTCTTCGGAAGTTTCAGGAGATTACAAACGATTACTTACGCTGCTTCTCACGGTGAGTTAAATAAGTGTTTTTTTTCTTTAATAGTTATAAATGAGGAACCCGTCAATTGACTCTTTAACACAGAACGTTCGCGAAAGTAAAAAAGTAGTTCCAGAGAAAGCCAAAGAAATTGCAGAAAGCTTGTACAACTCTGGTAATGGTCTCTAACAATATTAAATAATCGCCGCAGTCTGACAGTTTACAGCTTTGTTGAATACGTATTTACGTTTATGTTTATGTTTATGCAAACATTAATAACCTTTCCTTCATCAACATTTATAGTATCGTTCGCTTTTTGAAGAATTTTTATTTCTATTTTGCGCAGACATCACGGTCAACCGACAATTTTGATGCTACACAAATAGCCACAAAATTATACAGTGCAGGCACGCTTTATTTTAAATGTTTTTTTTACTTTCATTTCCACATAATACTATTTCTCTAACAAATATTATTATTGTAACTCTCTGCCCAGGAGAAGGACGACTTGGAACGGACGAAGAAGCGTTCGTATTTGCCTTAGCCCATCATTCTTTTCCCCAGTTGAAACTGGTGTTTAAAGAGTATGAAAAACTGGCCGGAAAGACATTTGAACAGGCTGTCAGGGCAGAAATGTCTGGAGACTTGAAAGAAGCTATTTTAACAATTGGTAATTATATCATGTAGATTCGAAGCTTATACAAATAACGTTATATTCTGATCCATCGTGTTACAGCACGTCGAGTTGAATCTCTTCCCAGATACTTTGCGGAATTGCTGCATGAAGCCATGACAGGACTTGACACGTCAGACAGAACCCTCATCCGACTTATTGTAACACGGGCAGAGATCGATTTGGGCGCCGTAAAGAAGGAATACCAGGCCTTGTACCACAAAACAGTGGAGAGTGATGTCAAGGGAGAAACAGGAGGAGACTACGAAGCTGTACTTTTGAGCATTTTGGAAGGGAACTACATAGTCCGACCATAAGTTCCCGTGAATGCATTTCCGGTGATAAAGCCCAAAGTATTAGAGCTATCTGATAGAAATTTTTGTGGATGAACAAGGTATTAATCTTGTTTAGAAATCATAACTTCGTTTTCACAATTTCCTCCACGGGCTTGTACACAAGACATAAGTCGTGGCGAAAACTGCTCGATCGCGGCACGCACGGATTTCCTGGGAAAAGCGCCAGATCTTCAGTAAGTGCGACCTCAGCCCTTCCACACTTGGGTGAAATTTATAGCATACTTGTACCTATAATTTTGACCACCAGTCATAATTTAGGGGATTAAGGTCTGCAGATACTGAGCACCGTTCTACGGATGAAAAAAAGTCATGAAAATTCGTCTGAAGCCAGTTTTGGACAATTTTGCACCTTGCGCAGGAACAGTCTTGTTGAAAGGTCCAATGTCGATTTTCGGAGGGTCCAGGGTTCAGGTTATTAACGTTTGGCTTTAGGACACTCTGAAAATAATTCTTGGCTTCAACTTGTACCCTTTGCGATAAAAAACAGAGATTTCATTTCTCCAGCCAACTTGCTCCCATGCACACCACGGTGATGACTTCGTATTGACTTCCGCATACTTAAACGGATGTCAGACTTCTGTACAACAAATATCTGGCCTTTTTTTCTATTAAATTTTTTGCCAACGGTGAAAAGTCTGAAATACTTTTGGCACGAAAATTGGTGCGTACCACGATCAACCTGTGGCCGTCACGATTTATGTCTTGTCTAATTGCCCGTGGACGAAATCTTGACAAAGAAGTTATGATTTCTAAACAATATTAATACCTTCTTAATCCATAAAAATTTCGAACAGATAGCTTTAATACTTTGGGATTTATTACCGGAAATGCATTCACGAGAACTTATGACCCCACTATGTAGATAGAGAAATATAAAATCTCTGGAGCTGAATATTAGCTATTTAAATTTGGAATATTTTATTTAAGACTATATCAGCCTTCTAGTTCTATGTATTAAAAATTGTTTTTCTTATAAAATGCTATATTATCGTAAACTTTCTAAAATAGTCATTCCACGAAGGACTAACTCTTCCTGGTATGGAAGTCCAACAATTTGAAGTCCAATAGGCATTCCTATACTTTGCTTGGCACCCTATACATTAGACAAACACAAATTTGCAATTATACTATCAGTTGTAGGTTTAGTAATTAAATTTTTTTAACTTTAATATTTAATTAGTTATAAAATGCATACATATGTACATATTACCACATTACCTTTTGGGCAAGCCTTAAAATAAAGTCGTCCTGATGACTATACGAGTGAAAATTAGTTCCTGATTCTCGGCCAAAACGTGCAACGCCTGCCTAGGAATTAATTTTGTAAGCTAATTTGTAAAAAAAATTCCAAATTATTTATAATCTGTAATACTGGAAAATCCATTAGATTCCAAGGCATTGTATATACTACGGCCTCTGTAAATGAAATTGCATATAACATATTAGTTCATACCAAACGCACATGAAATTAAAACACAAGTGTCTAATTACGTAAAATTTTTCCGGGCATGTTGTATGGAATGGCTGGGAAGGGAAATGCAGGGGTAATTAAGAGGTCGATGTTATTAGCCAAAAATTGGCCTTTAATGTAATCCAACATGAGTTTACGATCTACAATATTTCGCCATAAACCTTCACTTGTCCATGTCTTGGTCCCAGCTATACATAAACAATAATATGTATGTGGTTATCTTGTGTTCCATTAATAATTCGTATAAAGTATAATGAGGGTATTCGTTATTTCTTCGTATCCGTAGTATCGTAAAATAGTTTACGAAGAAAAAACAAGGGGTCAGGTTTCGTAAAAATCGTAAGCGTAGTAACGTGATTTTCGATGACAAAATCTTACGACGCTTACAAAATCTCGTAAGCGTCGTAAGTTATTTTACGATACGAAGAATACTAAGGATACGAAGAAATAATGAATACCCTCAATGTAACATATGTATGTATTCAGTTAAATAGTAACTTACACCGAAGTAATTTTGCTGTTAATGGAGAGTAAAATATTGGGAGCTTAATTGGGCCCATCTTGAACTCTAAAATGTATGCTATTAATCTTCTCCAGTATAATGGCAATCGGGTCATCCAGTAGACTGTGATGGCTGCGTCCGATATGGACTCCGCCTTCCTTCAGAATTATTAACAAAAATTAATTAAGCTCTTTCTGATAGTGCATACACCGGTAAACAATATTTTAGCATAGTTGTATTGCAAGAAATCTTAAAATCAAGAAATATTGCATGCATGCATGTGTGTAAATACATATGTATCTTATACCACATACCACAAATTTTTAAAGACCTTTCCTCGATCTGCAAATGCTGAATCCCAAATAACTTCCATTATTTTTTCCATATCAGGCATAAGAAATTGAACCACTTCATGACCATCTGCTTGAAGTTTGTTGATTGCTTTCATCAAGACTTCTTCCGTGTCCCCCAAGAGTGGAAACATCGAATGGGACGTGAAAAATCCAAACCGTAACTTTCTTCCCGGATTAAATAGCTAGTTTAGTGCAAGTTAAATGTTTCAATCACACGGATTACTTATAATAGAGTATTAATTATACAATGACTTCTTGCATTTTCATTCCAAGGAATGGGTACTGCGTTTGGGTCTAAATCGGTCAAGATTCCACTTTCATACAAAGATTTATATGCGTAGCATAGCATTTTGGTATTCCGGGCAAGAAACCCATTTGTCCCAGAAATTGGAACCATGATAGCTCCTGAAGTCCGAAAACCTTGCTGTGTCATTCTTGGCATGGTTGGTTTCAAACCTGCAATTCCACAAAAATGTGCAGGGATGCGAATGGACCCACCCACGTCGGTCCCGACCCCTAGTATTGAACCTCCAGCTGCAATTAGAGTGGCGCAACCTCCACTAGACCCACCAGGAGATAACTTCAGATTAAGGGGATTCAGTGTTTCCCCAAAAATTGAATTACCACAGGCATAACTATTTTTGGGAAGTGTAAAAGTAGCGTAGAAAAAATAAACGGATTGTGTATGTATCTGTATATTTGTGGTTGCATACGTGAACAAGCTTTGAGGGACGTTCGTTTTGCAGAAGGGAATTCCACCCAGCAATTTGATAGCTTGAACAATTGCTGCGTCTTCTTGCGCAGGTCGAAATAGAAATTGAGCAAAACCCATCGTCGAGTCCATTCCCACAACATTGCAATGTTCCTTGATCGACACTGGGATTCCATGCAATGGACCCTTAATTTGTTCCAAGCTGTCCAGCTCCGATGCCCATTCCTTCACAAGGTTTAAAATTTACCCAAATCAAAAGATTAATCTTTGTCATTTGTAGACATGAATATCTGCATTTAACTTGACTAACAAGGGAACCTTAAGTACTGTCACCTCTCGATTTCCTTCCAAATAGCCTTAATCGACAGATAATTTAGTGAAACTAAAACTTTGTCATAGAACATGCGGTGCAAAATCGCATTTTCGCGAAATATTTGGCGAGAACTGCACCAAAACCTGCCATTTTCCCAATGCTTTTAAAATGTCCATCAGCCTTTCGAATTATGAAATGAACTTTGTAGAATCTTAATAAATTATATTTGTACTCACGTAATTTCAGCCCGATCACGAATATGCAAAAAATGATGCAAAGATTTGAACATTTTTTGCAAATTGAGAAAATCTGCAAAATTTCGCAAATTCGAATTTCTTCGTTTTTTTAAAATTCAACAAATTTATTAGTTTAACTGATACAAAACATATTTTTCTTATTGCAAAAAATTTGCAAAAGTTTGCAAAAATTGAACGTTCCAATGTTTAAATTTTATAGAAACTTAAAATTGTCACATATGTAGGTATGAGCGAATAAAACCAAAGTTAATTTGTTGGAAAATTAAAACATGCAAACATTGCAAAAAATTCTACATATTCAATTAAAAAATTGCACCCTGTAAGTTTTTGCAACTTGCAAAAATAAATACCGCAAATAATTTCGAAAAATACGTAAAAATAGACTAGCATTGGTTATTTAACTTACTTTCATGAAAAATTTGCTAAATTCAGTTTTTGCAAATTTTTGCATTTTTTTTGCAATAAGAGAAATGTTTTGTATATCAGTTAAACTGAAAAATTTGTTGAATTTAAAAAAGGAAGAAATTCGAATTTGCGAAATTTTTCCGATTTTCGCAATTTGCAAAAAATTGGCAAAAGCTTGCATCACTTTTTACATATTCGTAATCGGGCTCAAATCACGCGGACGGGTAACTATATAATTTTTCAATATTCCTTAAAGTTCATTTCATCATTCGAAAGGCTGATGGCTATGTTAAAAGCATTGGGAAAATGACAGGTTTTGGTGCAGTTCTCGCCAAATATTTCGCGAAAACGTGATTTTGCACCGCATGTTCTATGATAAAGTTTTAGTTTAACCAAATTATCTGTCGATTAAGGCCATTTGGAAGGAAATCGAGAGGTGACAGTACTTAAGGTTCCCTTGTAAGCTTCAAATGCGTACCAAGGCTTCAGGGATGAATTCAGTAATGCAGTTGTATTTTCGAGTGACGATAATTGCCTGATAAATTTAATTGTATACCTGTAGCAATTTTAACCTTGTTGTTACACGTAGTTTACATATACCTTTGATATGTAAGCCTCCAACACTTCCGTGGCAGACAAAATCCTAGTTTGTAATGCATTGATTAGTTTTTCTTCTGACAATTTTAATATTTTTTGGCGTTTTCCATTCAATGGAAATTGTGTCTCAATTGCTTGAAATTGTTCCTCCCTTTCGAAATCCTTTTTCGAAATAAGATCTGCATTCGTTTTTAGTTTCTAGTACAAATGCAATTGAAAAGATTAGGTAACAAATTGTGTACATAGGTCGCCTCGCACTGGTCGTAGTAAACAATTAAATTGCATTGTTTATTTGTTCACCTTTCTGTCAGAAGTTTTAAAATAAATGTGTCCAAGTATCGGGAGTAATGCCGACGTTAGGATGGAGAGAAGTAGTAAAATAAACCCACAAAACGCTTCAAATCTCGTTCTCAACATGTCGATTGTGAAATAGGGAAATCTAACTGGCGGTGGATTACTTAATTGTAGATTTGCCTTAACCATAATTTAAAATAAATATTTTTCTGTTAAAACTGTCGTGTACAAAATATACACAATGTCCTGCAATAGTTGGAGTGGATGAAACCTGACAGCATGTAAGCATACGTAGAGAGATAAAGATGAGACTTAACACGATGACGTTATCTCTAGAGTTAATGTATCATATAAACTCTGAATTTATTATTACAAGCATCTCCACTGTTTATAAGTAAATGTAGATTAACAAAAATCATGTAACTCATACCATCATCACTTCAGTTTCTTACTACCTATATCTTAATAGGTCATCATCAATCATTATCACTATGTTATGATCACCCATTTATTCATTTAAGGATAAATGGGAAATAGAAAACAAGAAATTCTGTGTAAGTTAATTATTATACTTTACGTACTAAAATACGGGTATAAATAAACAAGGGGTAGTCACATTAAAGAGATGTACGATAAGTTTCCCTTAAGCGTTTTCTTGTACAAAAGGATTTGTTATTTGTTCCATCCCTTCGGAAGGACATATTAGGACGACAGAAGTCCCACGGCACACCACCAAGCCTAAAGATCTCCTGTCCTCGGTTAATTTCATGGGGTCGTCCGGATCTGTCAAAGACGAGGAAGGAATTATCACATGACACATGGATGGGCAGAAGTACAACGAAAGCGGAGTAAAGTGCTTTATCTGTGCGAACTCACCCCTAAGGAATTCCACGGTGTCGTCTAGCACGAGGTTGAGCAGGGGGTCGAAACCCTTCAGCACTCCGGCGGCTTCTCTCCCCCCGGCGAACTTGACTCGCACGTTCTTCTCCAAATATTTCGCCAAGTCAACGATCGACTCCTTTCTCTTCCGCTCCTTTTGATCGCCTCCTCCACCTCCAGCCCCACCTTTGTTTTCTGACGACATGGTGCCTGCAATTGTTATTCAAGTCGGTAAGCACAAATGACTAATTTCTTTCAACTTTAATCTAAAAAAGAAAAATCCGTAAGGGGTTTTAAATAAAAATCAAATTAATTAGCGAATAGTGAAAACATCGTTGACCTTATAAGTCGATTTATATTTTAATTAAAACTGATCAATAAATCAGTATATTACCTCAACCTCAATAATTTCTAAATATTGAATGTGAACGAAATTGAACGCTCAAACGCGTTATATAAACTTGGTATGATGCGGTGTGAAGTGAATCTTGGAAAGATTCCCACCGTGTTCAAGCTCAATGAAAACGGTGCAATTTCGTCTCAAACCAATGCAATGTTTACATCAGAATAAGCTCATTTTAAGTAGTTCCATCGTAGTCTCTTGGTTTTCTCGGTTTTGTTGGTGCAGTTGAAATTTATTTAATCTGCAAATTTCATATTTTTCCAAGATTCAAACTTTTAAGGTGACTGGGTGGTCATTAGTCCTTTTGTGCTAATAGTACAAAATAAAATTTTAAGGTGGGAGCTAAAACTATCCGAGTTTAAGATGACTTGAATTTATTAAATTTGTCCTCATTTTCAGCTGGTCTTGGATGACGGACTCTTTAACGATGTGATCGCAGCCCAGTACAATTATCACTGAAAGTAGTACGTCAGATTAATTGTCTGTTTGAAGAGGTCAGAACAAGGATCAGAGTAATCGTCAAAGAAGATCAACATGAAACGGGCCAGAATTTTGGGTGTTGGTGATAAAAATGGGACTGCTGCTGCCGAGGTCATGGATATTCGTGAGATCGAACCAGGATCAATGAATCCACTGATGGTGCCAAGTGTAATATTAACGCTAGTTTATTTGATATTTAAACACGAAATATTTCAAATATCCATTCCTTCGCTAGTGTGACTAATTCTTGATTCATTCATATTTATAGATATTAGAATTGGTGCTACTCTCTTTACCACTACAACCTTTGAAAGACTGCAAAGCAGTTTGCAGCTTGTGGCATCAAGAGGTTGATCGGATTATGAAACGGCTCAAAACAATCAAAATGATCAAGGATGACTATTTAGAGGTTGACAAAGTGCTGGGTGGTGCCAAATATTCCTCCAACATTCTGTCCCAACTACATTGCAAAGAATGCTGTACATCGAATGACAAATTTGAGAAACTTTTAATCTTTAAGGGAACATTTCTTAACCAACTAACTTTAGAGAGATGCCATTTGAACGTCAACTCATTTATGTACATGGTTTTGACCGATGGGTTTCCATACCTGTCCATCCTCACATTACGGCAGAATGAGTACGTCGACATAAAAGGAAGGAAGACTATATTTATTCCTAAAGATGGGGAAGAAGAATTGAAATTCAAAAGTCTGAAAGTACTAGAAATTGATGAACGAGGAACTGAAACGCAAACATCACTTCATGCTATTGCAGAAATGTGTCCCTCTTTACAAAAACTAACCCACTCTAACTGCCCAATACCTGCTCGAAATCGAAATTCATCAGTGAACCTTAGCTGCCTGAATTTTTTGCAACTAGCTCCAATTGATGGACGAAAGATGGAATTTCAGTACTTTGACACACTCGTAGACTTGAAATTAAAACGACTCAAGACATTATTTCTTTATGGAATGACACCTGGAGGGAAAAAGAGAACGAATTCTCTGCATAAATTCCTCAAGTCTGTATCATCGTCTGTTGTATCTCTTCACTTGGGGCAAAAAATACTCTATAATCCCGAGTACCAATCAAATGCTCCATCACCGTTTCCAATTTCAATGAACAACTTAAAAAGAATCTCCATTGGACCAGGATTCATTCATTCATTAAAGTTTTTAGACAAACTTCCCTGCGTTACATCATTTACCTGTACTCGTCAAGACTCAAAGGACTGGGAGACTATAGTCAACAAGGGCGTGCCGAAATCTACCACCATTGTAGGAAGTTTGGACCTTGGAACTATTACAGCTGGACCATTACTCAAGATTGCGGGAGCATTCCCAAGCCTATGTCGGTTGGAACTAAATGTTTCACGGATCCAAAATCATGATGAATTATTCCGCACAATTTGTGGAGGTTTCTCTCAATTACAAATTTTAAATATTTACGATATTTCTAATCAAAATATACTCACGGACACTGGTGTCACTGGGATAGCGTCATTAGAACTTGAGGCATTAAAAAATTCTACGGGCACAAAGGGCAAACCTAAAAGGGAGTTTTCATACATTGGTGATTTAAAGTGTAAGTAGCGTCAATAATAATGGCTTATGTTTTTTACTACTGCTTAAGGCTTGTTGGTTAACTCATTGGTGGGTATATCGTTCTTTTTTTCTAGGTCTTATTGACCTCCGACTGCAGTACATTTGTGGCAATTTGACTGACTTGTCGGTGTTCTATGGAATCCAAGAGTTACCAAGCATTTTTGCTCTGGACTTATCCAAATCTTTAGTAAGTAATTTGCACGTAATTTGTAATTACTATATAGAATGTTCAACATAATGCTTAATTAACTAATATCATATCATATTTAGGTTTCCGATTCAGCGTTGACCGTCCTTTCATCATCCGCTACGAATCTTTCGGTCCTATATCTACGCGATTGTAAAAACATAACCTCAAAAGCTATTAAGCAATTCATTGCGAAAAGACCTAATGTTCAAGTTCGACTGTGAGTCGTTAATTTCCATACGACACTATCTATATGGTGCTGTTTATACCCGAGCGGGTATGGATATTTTGTATACCCCTCAGTCAGTCATGATTAAAATGTTGAGTATGCAGAAGTTTCGAATTTGAGCATTACTAATATGTATGCTAAATTTTACATCATCATGTTTCTTTATCTACGAACTAGAAAGACTGATTAAAGTTTTATATATTAATTTCTCAAGTCAACTAATATGTACAATTATAATATCAAATAAAAACTACTAAATTTGTATGTAGAACCAGACTTTACCAGACAGTAGAAATTCATTACACGCATTGCACCAGAGCAATGCCAATAGTTTCAATTATTTACTTGCTAATATCCTCTTACCAAAATGAAACATATCTTAACGAACATTTATGTAAACTTTATTAAGAAATGGAAATTGCAATAGTCCTCTAATTCTATGACTCGTATATTCACTAAAAATTTATATTTATTATTTTGAATAAAAAATAATAATTTTTGATACTCGAATATATTTGCATGATGACATTATGTATGTAGTAGTATCAACTTGATACTATGAAGACATATAGGCTGAAGCCTACCTGTGGAATCTCAGAATTGATTATTCATATGAACAAAGATAACGCTATTATGCTATACGGTTGACGGTGGTGGTGAACGTGAACGGCTGCCTTGCGTGGTGAGATCTAGTGAAGGTTCTGGAGAAGGAAGGAGAGAAAGAAAGCGCTGGGTTGGCGCTCACTCACTAGAGGTGTACATGATCCCAAATTATGAAAACCCGACCCGACTTACAGATAAAAAACTGGCCTAAAACCCTTAGGATTGGGGGTTTTATAGCTGCGTTTTGGCAACCCCAGATATTTGCTTCTAGTATTACAGAAAGTATTTTTTTTTAAACTTCAGAAATCGTTTAAACGTATGTTGGAATCGCCGAATCGTATGTTGGATTATTGATGACAAGTTGCACAAGTCGAGCCTTTTTTGGAATTTTACCCGAGGCATGATTCGGCTCACGCGTATTTTTCTTATTGACAATATACTAAAAAAGTCCCTCCACCTAAAATTCCGGCCCGGTCCGTCTTTTCATGCGGACTACAAAATCCCTACCGTGCTCAGTGCTGGTAAAAGCCGGGCTGTTTTGTCTGAGCTCAGATCAAGCACACCTCTATCGCTCACCTCGCAAGTCCTCCGAGCAAGAGCACAAATCGGCAACATTACAAGAAGCCAAGCCTGGACAGATCGCTCCAATTTTTCTCTCTGCTCTTCAACCTACAAGTTTTGCGCTAATTTGGCACTAATTTTATTCCTTCAAGGGAGGACTATAATTTGAAGAGTTCTTATCAGTCGAGGCAGCTGAAGGTAAGTCAGTGAACGAAAGCCGAATTATTTAATGCTGTGATTTTACTATTAAAATCTATTAAACTTTGAATTATCTCGGAGAGATAATTCTTTGTATATATCGTACGCCTTCTCAGTTTAACTGATTACGGAAATATTTCAGGTTTCATTACATAATTTTACACCTTGCTAACGCTTTATTTTCATTTTAATAAATTCAAAAGTCTTGGATTGAAACTTTCAATTTGAAAGGTTAAGAAACCGGAGAATAAACTGGCAAATTAGTTACGTTTAAATTATCCATAAATTATGGATGAAATTAATAATACATTATGGACCATAATGTATTATTGATTTCATTTGAAATTGACAGCAATGGGTAAAAAAAGCAAGAACGATTCTGATGAGGAGATGCCCGATGTTGACGATGTTCAACCAAGCTCGGCTACCGGAACTGAAGAAGAAGAAGGTGGGGAGGAAGAATTTGTTGTAGAAAAGGTCATAGACCGCCGTGTCGTCAAAGGAAAGGTGGAATATTTTCTCTCCTGGAAGGGCTATGGACCGTAAGCTACTTTATTATATTTATCTACCTATCAGAGTAAAGTTGGGAATGTGAGATTGAGATGAGATAGGCCCTTTAATCTTTATATGAACTAAACAATAATTCTCACAGGGAGGACAACACTTGGGAGCCAGAGGAGAATCTTGATTGTCCTGAACTGATTGAGGAGTTTGAACGAAAACGAAAGGAAAAAGAAAAATTGCAAAAGGAGGCAAAGACGTCGAAACGAACCAGCGCCAAGGCTGTGGAACCCGCTAAGGAAAAAGAGAGCAAGCGGGACATCAGCCCACCTCCCCAAAGGAAAGAGGCCAAGAAAGTCAAAAAGGTACTTGATAAAATACATTGGTTGAAAATGAGATTTCGGAGGTCAATAACTTTTTGTTATCTAGGATGAAACTACAACCACTGGATTTGATCGAGGAATGGAACCCCAGAAAATTATTGGTGCAACAGATTCGTCTGGGGAACTCATGTTCTTGATGAAATGGAAAGGAACAGACGAGGCGGATTTGGGTTAGCATTTAGAAAACTAAAATTTATACTTATATCTGTATTACATCTTTTTTTGTATTTTTGTAGTCCCAGCTCGTCAAGCTAATGTTAAATGTCCACAAGTGGTTATAAAATTTTACGAAGGTAAAAAAAAATAGTTAAAGAATGTATAAATTACTTGTGAAGTTATGTTGCTTGAAACAAATTTGTCGAATTTATTTTTTGCAGAGCGACTTACCTGGCACTCTGCAAGTGCTGAAGATGGTGAGAACGATTAATTTTTTCAAGTTGGTTCATTATTCCTGAGTGTCCGTATCTACTCTTTAGTTAAAGTGTTTCTGTAATTATTATTACAATATATAACAGTTATTTTACACGAGTCAATATTGGCCGTTATATAATAGTACTTATCTCTATCTTATCAAAAAATATTAGGGTTTAAGTGCATAAGTATTAATTACTTATGATACTTTAATGTAAATTTTATTTCTTTCACTTCATTTGTCAGACATAACAAATTGTACTTTTAATACAACTTCACTCGTAATAAATGTCTCATATTATTTCAGCTATCTTTGCTTTTGATGTCAAATTACGTAAATATGCTGCTAATAATAATAATGCTACTAACTTAAACAATTTGTGATCTGTCGAATTCGTTTCATTGTCTTGATTATCGTCCTCCGTATTGTTAAGTACTATTATGATATTCTTAATTTAGTTCTTTATCTCAGTGTTTTTGTGTCATTTTTTGACTTTAAAATTGGAAATAAAGGCGATAGTGTCATATTACTTTTCCAATCTGTAACGTCAGTTATTTCTTGATGCAGAATCAGCGTACCCAAGCTATTATTTCTAATAGTAGGATTCGTTCCTTGACTTGTAGGGGACTCTAAATATATGGAAATGCATTTTCGGTCCTCAGATGCTGGATTAAAATATTTCTGGAACATGTATATGACAAAAATTGGTATTTCGCAATTCAATTTCCTCATCTAAAATTTATGATACAGATAATTACTTACATTATAAAAAGAAATCAGGTGATTGGCATCCAAAGTCTGAAGGAACATTATCTCGTCCTTATTTCGAGTGAAATTGTATTCCCTGGTGTAAATTTCATGGTTCCACAGACGATTTGCCCGTGTTAACAACTTTTTCGGCAAGTCAGTTTTCCTCAATGCGACAGCAGATTTATGCCTTGTTAATATATCTTCTTGCATAGCTTGGAGGCATCCCTTTAAAATGTAACACTTTATAATATCCATGTGGAAGTGATAAAGCAAAATATATATGTATTTACACAAACTAAAAAAATTACCTTCAGATTGTTAAAAAATGATTCAATTCTTGCATGAACCAGTTGAGGCTTTAATAGGCCTTGTACAATGATTAACAGCCCTTGTGTTCCATTCGACTTTCGAACCGAAGACCTCACAATGTAACCCAACTGTTCTTGATTTCGCAATTGATTGAAGCATGGCTCGTAAATGACTTGGTCGAAAAGTTCCAGTAGCACATTATCCTCCAGTCTTCTGGAACCAACTTGAAACAATACGGCGCAGCATGAACGCTGATTTTCGTTGCCCAACATTTTCTTATAAACCCACGATGTTCCTAGAATGGAACTACTTTTTCTAGTTTTATGTTTATAAATTATGTAAAGGTAATAATGCATACCTGCTGGTAGTTGAACTTCACGAAGTCTGATTGATTGACTCGGAATCAGGGGTTTAGTGCCAAAATTTTGAAACTTTGCTTTCCATTTCACACAGCAATGGATTGCTTCCTATAAAAATACAAAATGTTGGATACGTAAAATCAACGGAGTGTTATATTACATAATACTATATGTCATTATGTATTAATAGTTTACGCCGCACATTTTCTGATAGATTCCCATAAATCAAGCATTCCAAGTTCAACCGTTTCATGAAAAGTTTGTGGTATTCAGGAATTGCATCGGCAGTCAGTTCTGGTTACAATTATTTTTAGTAGTTTGCACAATGTTTAGTCTTTATATTAATATTAATTATTAAGTACCTTTTAATGAAGTGAGCAATTCTTCATCAGTGAACCGTTTTTCTCTCGTCAGCAATGAAAAATAATAAGGGATTTGTGTGTATGGCTGAAGATTTGACGAATTTATTAATCCGTTTTCATACGACTCCAGCTTTGCTTTAAACATATTAGAATTCGGATCAAAATCTAAGAGTCGTTGGAGAATTGTTTCGGTGAGGACTGTGAGTCTTTCGTCATAACCATCCACCGTAATCTACAGCAATCCAGGATGGTTATCCATTAACTTGGATGTTATTTAAAATTGAGTTACCTCCATCCCATACATGGTTCCCTTGATCGTATAGTTCAGGCCCGCAAGAATTGCACTGTATAATTCTTCAGCTATCGATTCTTTAAACATCATGGACAAGATGTGGTTGCAATTATAAGTGAACGGGTCGACCATTGGTAGGAAACTGGTGAGATATTAAAGACTTTAACAATATGACAACTTTATTTGGCTATCAAACTATCAACTATCTATTTGGCATGACTATCGTATACCTATAAAGTTCAAATCGAATAAATGCTTTGGGAACGGTTAAATCACAGTCTTGATAAAACCAAGCTTTAATGAGCTGATCCTGAGAAATTCTTCGAGGTTCGGTTTGCTTTAACACAGATTACAGATTATTGTCAAGACATACATTATTTTTATTGCGTAGTATACCATTTCAGGCTGAGGTATGTATTTGAGATCGAATTTGGTTGGAATGAACAAATTTTTTGGAGGATGAGTCATTTGTTTCGCGTACTTGGAGGAGTCTGTGCAGGCTTCTTTCCATTTATTTATTAGGCTGGGATTAATTGGTTGCACTTGGTACTTTACGCCATACCATTTCTCGGTCTGGGTAGCAATCGCATCATTTTTTTTCGCAACCACCATAATTCTACGAGAGGCATTCATTATTGATTAATCATAAATAATTTATTATTGATCCACTCTAACCGGCAAAATTCCGGGGTGAGAGAGCTTAGAAACTTCTTTATCACGCCTTCATCAAAATTGTCTAAAATATAGCCAATTGTTAAGATTTCTGACATTGGATAAACCTAAATCAGAATTTAACTTTTTATATCATTCACTGAGATTTTAAAAACATTATGGTTCTAATTTACTAATTACATGCAATAAATTGGAAGTTCTCTGCACAAAGTCGATTCCACTTTCACAATCAATAAAGTCGAACTGAATTTTCAAAATGTCCTTCAACTCTTGCCAAAAGTACTTTTGTGGTCCTTTACTTTGTAGCATGCCTATGTACTAAAGAGCAACAATTTCAATTATTATGCCACTATTATGCATTTTGAGGTAAGTACTTATGTAAAAGGAAGTTATGTATACACTGAAAACAATCTCCACAATTTCCTCGACATGTTTCAACCCTTCGACTGTCAGCGTGAGACCAATTGTCAAATATCCAAAGCCACGACCAGGGACGGAAGAGTTCAAGTATGTATTGTTAACCCACTCGTTCCTGGATAACAAACTGAAAACGCTTCCAGGTCCTTTGTGTCCCAACAAATTTGTCAAATATCCGTGTGGCTGCATACACAACAATGAGGGCTTAATTTTACAATCACTAATAGTGCTAGAAATTCCTACTCACAAATGTTTTAAACCATGGACGTGAATCTGGCATAGGAAAGCACACATACAAGTCTCGTACTTCGGATAGTGGTACTATGTCTATCCACTTTTGGCACTCTACAGGTCCATATGGATTATTAGGCCATGAAGGTGTGGCTATGTTTAGGTTTTTTACTCCAGAGAACAAATTGACTACAAGTTCTTCCAAGTAATCCAACGGTTCCTTTGAAAGGACAACCAAAGACATGATGCTAGCTGAATAAAATTGAGAGTGAAAGTTTCGGAGGCATTCTAGCACGTTAATTCCTTGGGCATTTGGTTCCACCCACAACGTCTCTTCATTGCCTGCGCACAATTTTGACCAAATCTTACAAACAGGAAGGATGCAAGTTTATTTTAATTTTACCAGTGCTAAATTGACCAAAGGGGTGACCAGGCTTAGCAGTGACCGCTTCTACAGCCATTTTTCTCCAAGCCTCGTTTGTTAATTTGTTTTCATGCTCAGAAGTTACGATCTTCAACTCTTGCTGGAGAGCATTGTCTGGAAATTCTGGTGGTGTGGTAAAAAACTTGGAAAATCTATATATAACCATGAAATATTTATAATGCGGTACAAATTATTTTGAAATTTCTGGATTTTTGAAAAACCTGGTTAAGGCGTCATTAAATGCAGACGCTGCAATATCAAAGTAGTAGTTGGTCTGATCCCGTGTCGTAAAGGCATTGCATCCACCCCCATTTTCCGAAATGAATTTGCTGTAACCTTTTCCACCGTTTGTTTTTGTCGTCTCAATGAATAGCATATGTTCACATAGATGAGCAAGACCAGGAACATGTGGTGGGTCGTTCATGCTTCCTATACATACATAAATTTCAATATCAATGAATAAGAATAATATGTACATTGTTACGGTACGCTACGTTCTCATGCATACAACGTGTATAGTTTGCATAGACCCACCTACAGCCACGGACATTGAAGCCGCAGCTTTTTCCGCAGTGGGGTCACTTGTAAGGAGAACTTTCAGCTTATTCACCAACACGAGACCTCGATAATTTTTATTGTCACTGTCAGGCTTGATTATGTCATGGTACTCTGCGACTAGTGGGTTTTTGTGCTGGTGTTTCATTGCAGCTTGCAGTGGTTTCAATTTATGTACACTAAATGGGCCTTTGGTGAAATTAGATCAAGTGAAAGTTGTGAAAAACTAGCGCCGGTGAAATGTTATATGCGTTATATGGTGAAAGTTGCGTTTCGTGATGTTTATTATGAGCGAGTGAGACCCAAGTTCCCCATTTCGGCAGCAGCACGACTGCACGAGTGAAAGTGAGAATTTTGAGAATCTCTGCCGTCACATTTGCATTTGTTAATTTTATTGGTGTGAGATATTTGCTATCTGAAAAACTTTGAGTAAAATTTTTGAAGATTTTAATAGTTTTAGAATTTGTTTATTACAGCTCATTAATGATTTTGAGCACATAATGTGTCCTGCTTTAAGCCCAAGATTGCTGAAGGTAAATCAAATCAACAGTACTTTGGAGTTAAAGATGCATACATTGGTCTTATATCTAAATTACTATGAAAGTCTTAACAATGAATTAATGTTTAATCTTCACAGATGCAGAAACCAGTTGCAATGTCCCTCAAGCAGTTTATGCTCAGATCTGAAATTCTTAAACTGTACCGTGGATTTATGAGGTAATGTCCCTTTAAACTTGTTTATAAAATTATTATTTACCAATACGTATTACGGGAGTAAGTGAGAACTCCAATGACATTGTTTGTTTATAATAGACTGGGCAAACTGTTGAATGAGCCACCAGCAGCATCACAAAATCCGTCAAACCTAACCGGGTGCAATGGTAATCCGATGCGGGAGGAGTGGAAAGAGTGGGTGCGGTCAGAGTTCAGGCTTCGGCAACACTCCTCCACGGACGACGAGGCGACCAGAACGCTCCTCGTGCATGGCAAACGACAGCTCCAGGAGATGGAGAGGACCATTCTGCTCGCCACCAATAGAAATACCTCGTCCCCCGTCACACCACCACCAGCATCCCCGCACCATCAGTGTCCTAGCAAAAATAAGACAAATCACAAACCCAGCGATACACTGCTTTCGAGTCAAAATGGTACGACAGAGTCAAGTAACAGTAGTACATCTCAAAATATAAAACGAAAGCAAGATTCTAATTTATGAAAGGGAAAGTCACTAATACAACATAGCACTAGGCACTAGAATAAAAATGTTATTTAACGTCAATGAAATCTGTATAGCGTTATCAATCACTCATTCTCACTTATTGCGACATTGCGAACCAATAAAGAGCTAAGGTTAAACATGTAATCGATGTATTTCATTCTGCGTTATAATATGCATTGTATAACCGTTAAATTTCTTTGTCATGTTCTTCATCCACCCCAAAGAGTATGATTTTTGGTGGAAGGAATAATGTCTCTCTATCTCTTTCTCCACTCTGATGACATTGTTGCATCATCGTTCTCATCTCATTGACATTCCAGAAATAATCATAAAACGTTTTTTTTCAGGTCCAGTAGATATATATTTTTTTATATTGAAAGCAGAATGAGTGAGGTAATTCGGTAGTAGACAAATCACACCGTAAAAGACTACATTATAATTAGACTTTTAATAAATAATACATAAATGTATGATATTTTAGACAAGCATGAATCCGGGGAAAGTTCTGGTGGTGGATGGGTCTCATGGGGAAGGTATCTTTTCTATATTATATTATTCTGCCCACAAATAAATCCAATTCATAACTAATGAGCTTGACCCATAATTAAGGTGGAGGTCAAATAATCCGGAATGCCGTCACCTTGTCGTGTATCCTCAAAAGGGACATAAAAGTGATAAACATCCGAGCAAACCGACCGAATCCGGGTCTCGCATCCCAACATTTGGAGAGTATTTTGGCAATGCTTCGAATTTCTGGAGCCACGACGTCCCTCACTCCGAAGAAACAAGACACATCTTTCGACCTCAACGGGACCAGCATTCCCCGTGTTTCGTCACCCCCGGGCGTCAATACCAACATTGACCTGAAAACTGCAGGCAGCTGTACTCTCTGTATCCAGGTTTGTTTTCAGAGTTTTTCTTGCAACTAAATTGCAATATGATTATCTAAAATAAACATTATTACGATATCCAGTGCATTCTCCCCTTTCTCATGACACTCGCCACTCCGTCCAGGGTTACAGTCATTGGTGGAACGCATGTCATGAAATCTCCAAGCTTCGACTATTTGCAACGAGTATTTCTCCCAACATTCAATCTTCTGGGGAATGACGTAAAAGCATGGTTGCGAGGTAATAAGCGTAGAATGATATGTAGCGTAATGAAACTTAGCCCCATAAAGCATATTATAGCACAAGTATTTAATTCACTCATTCCAGCCCCTGGATATTTTCCAAGAGGCGGAGGTCGCGTGGAATTAGAGGTTAACCCAAATGGTGGAAAATTTGTCCCCTTCAATCTCACGGAAAAAGGATCACTCGTCACAATTGAAGCTATACTCAACGTGACACCTAAATTGGAGAAGCACCTTCCAGAATTTAGAAGATTAATTTCAGAGAAAACGCCCAAACCTCGCATCGAGTTTCGAATTTTAAGCTTTGCATCCGTCGAGTATTTTGTAACTTGCGAAAAATCTCGAGCAGGGTTCTCCTACTTGGTGGAAGGGCGTAATCCAGAACCTGACCAAGTTTTTAAAGCAATTACTACAGTACAAAAAGAAGTGGAAGATTTTCTGGTGTCTTCTGCCGCGGTAGACACATTCTTGGCGGACCAATTGATTATTTACACGTCTTTGGCGAAATTAAGTGACCCTTCATCTGCAGAGTCTCGTCTGAGAACGGTCACTCTTTCAGACCATACAACTTCTGCAATACATGTGGCCCAGCTCTTTTCTCCACAAAATAAATTCCAAATAACTAAACGGGAAGATGGAGCTCACGATATTGTTCTTTTGTGATGTTCCTATGACTCAAGTTTATTCATGACGCTTGTACTGAAAATATTAATAATTAATAATAATAACAATTCATTCAATAATACTGAGGTTGAGTTTTGTCTTGCAATAATATTACCAAACACGGCACCTCTAATTACATGAAAAACTGTCATCCGGACAATCATAAATATGCTAAAATTTTTGAGCTTTACACCATTAACTGAATCGTGCTTTAAGAGAAGTATTCAGATTTTTGCAGTTTGTATTTTTGTAAGTATTTAAATATTTTAAGCCTGCACTAGTAAAAATAAAAAGACCACTAACAAAATTATTAATATGGATCTGTATAAAAATAATTTGGAATCAGGCAGTGGGAGGAGTCGCTTACTGTTACCAATTGAACGAAGCAATCCAGTTTTCATTATCCTTCCCCAGTGGAAGTTTACTAGAAGGACCAGTTTGGATGCTCCATGTCAGTCTCCGCTTTCTTTCCTTATGGATGCCTTTTATTTTCATCATTACTAAATTTCTCGCTCGCAACAAAACTATCTTAAGCATTGTAAGTACCTGCGAAATCGTCCGAAACAATTGAGCAGTAATATCATGTATTTTCAGTACGTTGTAGGTTGCGTAATTGCAATCGCTTTGAGTGTTACTGGGACCACACTCATCACTGAATATCTCCAGGCAGGGTACCTTCGAAAAGAATATGAACGATTAGTCGAACACAGCATTGAAAAAGGTTCAAAACTACCAAGTCAGCTTTTCCACACCGTAAAACAACAAGTATGTGCGTGATTTTCTTTGTAAATAATCGAAGAATTAAAAAAATATGCTAATCGTGCCAATTTGCTCACAGGAATGTTGTGGATGGAAGGGAGCCATTGATTTTGGCGTAACTTTCAACATCACGGATAAAGTTCATGGAGATTACAATTTCATGAAAAAGTTGGAAGAATGTTATGGCCATACATGGACGGTTCATAAAAGCCAGGGATCACTGGTATATAACGCTGGTCCTAAAAGCTCAGAACAAACTCCCAAGGTAGAAAATTATACTGCAGCCCAATTTGTTAGTGACATACTTATAAGAAATATTTATATATGATCGCTTTTTGTAGGGATGCAATATTTTTTACAAGGAAATTGTCAGACGAAACTGCTTTATTATTTTTTACTGTGGTCTGCTCGTTGACATTATTGGCGTTGTCTGCGTTGTGCTGTGTGCGGCTCTCTACACAGTATCAAACGTTTCAAATGTTGTGGACCCTGATCCAAGTACAACTGCATCGCAACATAGTTACACAGAAGATCAAACAACTATTAGGTTTCCCCAACCTGAATTTGTTACAACGACTAATGAAGCTACCGATGTACAAATCAACTCCATGGCCCAATATGACCCTAACATCATGCTGAGCTGATAAAATGAGCGATTTGATGTAAAAAAAGATTGTGTAATACAAGCATAAATATGTACTCGTGTTTTTTATTTATGTTAATTTTTATGCTGGATTTTTCCAGTTTTTAAAGCCGGCATGTTTCATTTAAAAAATAATATTGTCGCGTCGTCAATTATCGATGCCGTTCAGCAGAGCGTTAGCGTGCTTAACGAGTAAGAGAAATTATCATCAAAACTGCTACAATGGCGTAATAAGTATGTATTTGCGCTTGTGAAAGATCACATCAAAACTGATACGACATATACATCCTCGTCTGTGCTTTTCATTCATTATTTCTCAAAGAATTGTCAATTAATGTCAATCATTCTTGGGGATTTGCTGAGATTGTAAAACTATTTTTCCATGTCACAACCTAATTTTAACTTGAGGATCACCACACATATTAGTAAACTGGCGGATGGAAATAGAGTTACGACACTTTGAGCATCTTATTATTAGATAATTCATAAAAATAGTTGACGCTGAAATGCTGGTCCTGTTGAAATCCAAGTGCCGTACGTTGTGAGGATCATATTTGTAATGGACTTGTGATGATGAAAGAGCTGAGGCAATCAGATATCTATAATGCAACTGTCACTTTTATGCTCCACAAATCAATCTCTGGAGAAATGAGTGATTCATGGAAGATATTTGCGTTCAGAGTCACGCTGCAGACACACTTGTTGTTTTGACCATTCGTTGGAATATTCCATAATATAAGCGAAAAGGAAGTATATACTTAGACATATTTGCATAATTACTTTTTTCAGTAATCCAAAGTTGCAACACATTCGGAGGAGAAAACAAAATGAGACAAAAAACTATACTTTCATCAGAACGTGTGCTAATACTTTTGCTAGTATTCTGTCTTGAAAGCTCGTATTCCAAGCTATTCCCGATTGAACCAAGAAATTCATTTCAGGTAAAAAAAATGCTTGCATTATTTGCCTGCGTATAAAACTGTTTCACCAAATAATTTTTTTAAGGATGGACGAACCGAATGGCCGAATGCCTATATTTGGCCACTTCCACGATTTCATCACGCAACGGCTGACCTTGTGACGTTTGACCCATATTCTTTTCGCATTGTTCCACTTAGCCTAGAACGCTGCGAGCCTCTGGAATTTGCAATAGTCAAGTACAGCAGACACTTTCTCTTTCCGGACATGTACAAATCACCAACCCCACCGGATCCAGAATTTCCAACAGTCTCGCGAGTGTATGTGGAACTTTCAGGAGCTCACAATGAATGCCTCAGTTATCCACAACTCTCTGATAATGCTGAATACGAACAATGTACAAACTCGCGGCACATTTTGTCTTTTATTAGCAAATAACAGTACAAATTTTACAAATCAGCGTACAATGTGATTACAGATGTATTAACCGTGGAGTCGACAGTTAATGGTACTGCTGAAATTAAGATTCGAGCAGACACGATTTGGGGACTACTTCGAGGAATCGAAACATTTTCCCAACTTATCTTTACCAATGCTGAAACGAACAGTAGTTTTGTTGACGCTAATCTCTTGAAACGTCATTATTATATGAACTCAACGACCATTTATGATTGGCCAAGGTTCCCCAAATAACGAAATAATGTAATACAATGTAAGGTAATTTCAATGTAACTTTATGATCTGTGTGTAGGTTTCCCCACAGGGGTTTAATGATCGATTCCGCGAGACACTATTTACCCGAACGAATATTTTATCAAATCTTGGATGGATTGATGTACAACAAGATGAATGGTGACATTTATTAAACATGAAAACTATAAAATTTGATCTAAAAACATTTTTATATGACCCTTACAAGTGCTGCATTGGCATTTATCCGATGACCAAAGGTACATATGGTTGATAATGAATAAGCCCTGACCCGGGCTAAAAATTCACAGTAATTCATAACCAATTAACTTTAATATTAAAATTTACAATTTTAATTTCAGCTTTCCGTTTGTGAGCCAAAAGTTTCCTCAATTATCAGAGAAGGTTATTATAAGCGAAACAATACTTACATACATATCTATCCGTATTTACATATTTATGTACAGACGTATGTATGTTCTAATTTCAAAATATTCATGATAGGGGGCTTACAATCCCAAAGCAATTTACACACCAGCCATGATCAAAAGAATACAAGAGGCTGCAAGGTTACGGGGAATTCGGGTGATTTTAGAATTGTAATAAACAAATATTTCGTATATTATACTAATAATTACACGCATTATGTAACACATGTATATCAAGCGATAAAACTAAACACTAGAAATTATAACTTACATATGTACCCATTTCAGAGATACTCCTGGGCACACCCACTCACTAGGAAAAGCCTTTCCTGGTTTGAAATTAATCCAATTCTCACAAAACTCTGTTAATTGGGGTATTATACTTATTCTTATAATGTGAATTAGAATTGCTGACACCCTGTTATGGGGACGGAATTAATCCCGGAACCGCAGATCACCCGTATCACTCCAGTCATGAAAATCTGGATCCCACAAAAGAATTTACTTATGAATTTATGAGGGACCTTTTCTCTGAAATTGCCAATGTGACAAAGGATTCGTATATTCACCTTGGTCTTGATGAAGTGGGTTTAATTTCTGATTTTGTTTTTGTTGCATATGTAAATTATTTCTGTTTCCCTTATCTGTAAATCCTAGATATATCAAGCTTGCTGGCAGTCCTCACCAGAAATTAAAAGTTTTATGGCAAAAAATAATTTCACGCATTTGAATGAGGTGCAAGAATATTATGCTCATAGGCATATTCAGATGATCAAGAGTTTGAATCTCAAACCTATTGCGTGGCAGGATCCTTTAGATTACCGAGTCAAAGTACTTATTTAAAATTAAACAAAAGAGCATACATGTTTTACGTGTTTTTAATAAAAATTAATACATACGTTCTGTACACTAGCTGGACAAGGATGTGGTAATTCAGGTATAGTTCGAAACAGGTCAGATAATCGCGTATCTGACATGATATCTCTTCTCATCCATCTCATCTGATCTCAAATTAGGTTTGGAAGGATTACGGACTTTCATGGCAAGATCATTTTCAGGTGCATAATAACAAGGTGAATAATCAAGAAACACAAATGTCTAAAGATTAAAGTTAACAGGCAGTACTGGACAAGGGTTATAGAACAATACTTTCTTCTCCCTGGTATTTAAATTATATCAGGTAAACTGCAAATATTATACGTACATTTTGTATGGTTTTGATTTACTTATCGTTATGTTAATCCTTATTTTGTCTTTACTTACTCGAAGCTACGGGGAAACATGGAAATCATACTACCGAGCTGACCCTATCATGAGTTTACCAGACAGTAAGTAAATATTAGTACTACACGAGTTAAAACACCCCAATAATTCTTTTTACACCCCTAAAGTTACTGAAGAGCAAGAAAAATTGATCGTTGGGGGCGAGGTACTAACTCTTATACTGATCGACATGCATGCAAAATAGTGATTATACATACTTAATAATTTCTCATTTTCCAGGCCTGTATATGGGGTAGGTTATTAAAATTATTTCTATTGCCAAGCTCTCGTCTTCAACCATTCCATCTACGTTAAGTCCTTCATGCATAATCTATCTCTGGTACTTCCTGCTCAAAGCTGAGGAAAATGAGAGGCAGAAGAAACAAATTATGTATGTGTAAGGGTGTTTGAATAAAAATATCTTTGCGTCCTGGTACACGTGTATAAATGCATTATTTCCGATGGACTTTACACTACTGTATGATTATGTTTGTCTAAAAACAGCTAAATTATTCCAGGTGAATATGTCGATAAGACCAACATCCTTCCAAGGATATTCCCGTTAGTCCTTTTAATTATTACAAGCCTGAGATTGTCATGATTGTATTACTAAACCTTTTCAATTACAGCTTTATTGGGGCAATAGCTGAGCGCCTGTGGAGTGCAAATATTCCTTTAGATCTGCACACTGCGGAACAAGCCCGAAGTCGGTTAGATGCGATGAGGTGTCGTCTTCTTCGGTATGCGAATTGAACAAATTCAGAGGGAGAAAGTACACGACACACGAAATCAAGTCCAAATCTTTAATAATTTTACAATTTCTTGTAGGAGGGGCATAAATGCCCAACCGATTTTGAACGGGTATTAATTTTTGTCCATTTAGTTTACTTTTTGCATAAATTCTTGGCTTTTGTTACGATCGGGGGTACCTTTGCTATTTATGGCATCGATCAATCTAATAATCTTTTACACGCTAGCGGATGACCGATTTTCACCAAATTAGTCCTAAAATGCCCATCTCTACCAGGCCTTAAGGGATAACATGATAGTTCAGGATTATTTGAGTGATCGTAGTAAACAGAGCTAGATAAATTGTCGCAAAATCCCATTATTATCGAACCTACATGTGTATTATTATATAGCTGTATGTACAAACCTCAATTTTTTGCAAATACATATAGCAGACATAAGAATTTTTGTGGATCCAAACTGATTTTTGAAATTTGTTAGGCATGATACGTAAGGAAATTGGTGTGCAACAAGATAACATTTTACAAAATTATAAAAAGACGAAAAAAATGACTGACTCGGCACTGTGCTTAAATCTGGATGTCTGACAAATTCAAGAGTGCTAAAACATATTTGTTGATTCCGCAGATACTGTGGGTCATGGGAGACGGAAAATGATTACTTGTAACGAGTAATGGACAATTCTTATCAATGTATTTAACTATTTATCGTGGTTAATATGTACAAAATAAGTACATTAGAGCTGAATGAAATGAGATTTCACAGTCTGCCCCGCACTCGAATCAAATGGAAACGATTTTTACCTCAATAAAAGTTTGTTGATTTTGCTAATAAAAATTTGACCATTCATGTTTTCATTTTACACACAACTTACATTTTGCTGGTCATTATTTACACTTTAATGGATTCAATATACGTTCGTGTGAGTGGAAAACAAAATGCAGGTTTTAATGTATTTTCAAGTGACGTAGAATAGAATACATTACTTCTAACAGGGAACTTTTTCAAGTTTCTGAAGTCGCATAGTGGAGGTGGAATCGGATAACGATTTTGATATGCACTCATCGAAATACAACGTCTTGCTCCGAAAATGTAACCGTTTCTTATCTTAATTCTGTGTCATCCTAAATTAGGATTTCTAATCATCAGCTCTTTGGACTGATTATAAATAGACTATAGGTAAAGTAAATTTTAGGATTTTGTCATGTTTGGTAAATGTTGTCTAATTATTTACTTTCGATATATTAAGCTGCTAATAAATTAAACTATGTTTTATATTCCGTAGGCGTTTCATTTTGCCTGCGTTCAGAAATGTAATGGTTATCTCTATTTTCCATTATTCATTATTTTATGTATATTATAAATTATTGTAATGAGTGACAATTTTTAGGAAACGAGAGCGAGAACGGGTTGATAATGATGATGATCCCGACGTCATGCCACTGTCGAAACGAATGAATAATATCCACTTTGACGGCACCACTCCTGTGAATCTCGCAAGTTACCGTTTCAATTTCTAATTCAAGTAATTAATTACGAAAATGTACATATATATCTGTGACGTGTGATTCAATTCTTAGACTAATGGATTATCGAATAATGGACCTCTGTATAATGGTTCATCAGATGTAATCTCCAATACAAATAACTCTCCGCAAAATGGGAGTGTTGCCTCGATAAGCCATCTCACGCATGACCGTGGCAGTAATAGTGCAATGAATATGCCAAATGTATACATGTTATATATTTATTTCAATCATTCAATTATTGTTATGCTCTAGCTATTTGTCTTTGAATTACTTTAGTCACAACTTCAAAATGGATTAATCTCTCGAGTGCAGTACTCCCCAGGGTTGAGTAGGATCGAAAATCCGGTATATTATGATCAAAATAAGGCTCTATTTGAACTCTACAAAGAGAGGTTATTACGGAATAACTATCCCCCACACCCTAATTTCGGCAACGAATAAGTCTCGCAGAATAATATAAACCAGAAGAATTTTTAATTTTTTAGAAGAGCTTGTGATCAACTTTGTTTTATTCATATCTTGATTAAAAAGTGATATCGCTAATGTGAAATTTCTGTGACCTTCAATTATTGCGTACATATATTTATATATTAAAACTATGAAAGAAAGTTATAATGCCAGTTAATGCTGAACACCCGGCCTACATTTTTATTTAGCATGTTGTACTTTTTTCTACAAAATTATGGTCATTCGAAATCCAGTGAAGTAAATATTTAGTTCTAATTTTATTGTCTGCATGTCTTTGTAAAAAAGCTATTATCATATCACGGAAATATTTTGAGATTGTCACAATTAAAAACCCATCCATTGCAGTGATGTTACATAATACGTATGTCCTAATACAATAGAATGCAATAAAAATCTCACGTTGCGAGATGGCCTTGATTCATAGGGGGAGTTAATCAATTGTACAGACACATGATCTTTGTGTGTATTACTTACATATATGCAAGTTGTAGCTATTTTCTGGGTGGATATTATCACCAAATTGTGATACTTTAGGAAAAAGAGCTGTGAAAATGTGTCACGACTTAACATAACCAGTTGTTTAAACCCTCTCTTTTCCTGTGAAGAGATTCCCGACAACACATTGTGCTAACTGCTAGTAACGTATACTTTGTAGAACCTACTACTCATATTTAGCATTGTGCGAATGTTTGGGAGTGGCCATTTTTAGCCTTATTTTATAGAGACGTTTTCCGCTAACGTATATGTAATCGTAATCTCTTTTTCGTAGAAAGTCACGGATTTATCTGACGAATCCTAAGCATATGTAATTTAAGTAGATAAAGTTAAACCAGCGTGTGTTTACATATATAAGCATAAAACGTTAGAAAACGTTAATAATAATACAACATATATAATCAAGATCGGGTTTACCAAAAATCATTCAGTTGTTCTTTAGCCTTATACATGCACAAGAGTGAGTGGTCTAGCCTTCTGCAACTAACTCAAAATTATAAAATTTAGACTGTAACTTGGATCGTTATACCAAAACATTTTTGTATTACGAAAGGTTTATTCTAATATTAACAAATATTTACGAGAACTAGTTTAATAATGCAAACTCCCTTTGACGCCGATTTCTACCACGCCGTATCTCAAACTTGGCCGGCTACTGGGAAAGTAATTCTCGGTACATTTTCTTCCGACACCATAATTCTGTATCAAGCGTACAGGAAAGACATTGCTGATTGGGCTGCTACACACAAAACCTTTCTTGGCTGTCCCACCTTTAAAATGGAAAGAATGACATGGGTCAAACCAAACTTTTTGTGGATGATGTACCGTTCTGGATGGGCTACTAAACGCAACCAGGAAAGAATTCTTGCGATTACGATAAAACTATCTGGTTTCATGGAAATCCTGGGCAATGCATCCACTAATCCTGAACGTACGATTGCCGACGCTGATGATACCACAGGCACAACAACGGTGCGTGATGACGTCCGTCTTCAATGGGACCCTGACCATGATCCGTATGGAAATAAAATGGAAAGACGAGCAATTCAACTTGGACTTAGGGGAGAAATTCTGGGCAAATTCTTGAATGAATGGATTGTGGACATTCATGACATCACAGACTTTGTCCAACAGCAGTTCCAGTTTGTCCAAAATCAAAACTTGGACTTGTTAAAAGTTCCGAATGAAAAAATATTTGAGATTAAGGATGACAATTTGCGAAAATATATTGGAGCAGATCAGTAAGAAACGTATGTATATACATAGGATACATGTTTAATAAGTACGTTAGTTGTGCATTACTAACAACTATATAATTACTTACATACAAATGCACTGTACAGTATTAATCGATTTTAACTCTGATATGGATTTTCATGTTCCTATGTACTTATCAAATGGTCAGATAAATAAATGACGATATATTGACTCATCATCCTCATCACTCAAGTTATTGGTTGACTCATATATATTATTCGCATTGTTTCACTATGAAAGTTTTATCATTTCGCTAGATATTAATATTTCACCTTTACATCATATCATTTAAGCCTTATCTTTAGCAAATATCGATATGGGCACTGTTGCATTACACAAATACGTCAAGGGAAAGGTGGACGCGTTTATTAGAAATATTGGTATATCATTATATATTTATCATCCAGACTAAGAAGTCACAACGGCTGTTTCAATACGTACCAAATTGTAATTGTTGACGAAATTTTAATTTCCGCTATCATGAATTCCAAAAGGGGTCTCAGCTCAAGGGTTGCAATTGCTAGAGCATTTTTGATCGTATCATTTCTATCGACGCAATTTGTTCAGGTGCTGAATTCTCCGGTGCCAAAAGCGGCAGACTTATCATTGACAATCCTTCAAGACGGAAATACGACAGCTCCCCCCAAGTCTGACGATGACGATGGGTAAATGCTCATTTATAGCTAAAAAAATAACTAAGCTAATATTCAGAGAGTATCAAGAAGTGACATTAACAAACTCTCATTTTTGTAATTGCAGATTAAGCACAATGACCTGGGTGTGGATTGGTCTAGGGATTGTTGTGGCACTCATCTTCCTTAGCTGTTTGCTGTCCTACCTGTTTTGCGCAGTAATTTCAGAAATACTATGTCTTCCATTTACATGTTTAAAGAAAATAATATGCTGTTGTTGTGACTAAAATAAATTCTCGTCGGTCAGCAATGACTTATTGTACGTGACCTCCGTTATTATTTGCCAAGTATGGCACCAAAATGGCACCACAAAGCATTATGTATAGACCTGCGTCATGAAGAAAAAACCATGAACTACTATTTGCTCCGGCAGCGTATTTCCCCATTCGCACATTCAATACTATTTTCAATCACACCCTAAATTAATTACTGATCTCTTAATGAGAACTATGAAATCCAGATAATCCATGAACCCCGTTATATGATCATTATTGGAGTTAGAAGTTCCAGAAAGAAATTGGGCTATTTTCAATTTGATGAAATTCGGCTAATCTGCTGAGTACTTCCTCCTTCCTTGGACATGCATACATATGCGCATACCAATATATGCTAATTTTGTGACGATACCAAATCTCGAATAAATATGTCGCAATAAAATATTGACGTAAAATAAAATACACTTCTTTGCAGTCAATTGTTTTCGTAAGTTAATCACCAATGCCAATGTATTCATCTGTGTATGTACATAAATATGTATGTACTTACTTACGTCCATAAATGATTACGATATATGGTACAGTATGCATGTTCATCATTTATTCAAGAGTTGTGTTTAGTCATTCTCCTCACATAAAATTATTTACGTCGAACCAACTTGTTCTAATTTTTACCAATTGATGTAATTGAATGGAGGTGACATTGTTCAAGGGAATGACTTTTAATCAAACTTTTCTTTTCGTTTTCATCAACACCATTATGTACTAAAAAACTTGCTACTTTGAGAATACGATGCATATTCTTTTACACGAACTTTTTAATTGAACACATACTAAATCCATGATAATTTCTGAAATAGTAATTGCATATTGCATATAGGAATTGCATTTAAAGATAAATTAAGAAGAAATGCATTCAATATCCCTTGACCTTATCTATGATTCAGCCGTGTCTTCTTTAACCTGCTGAAGGTTGAAATATAATAAGCCTCCTGCTAAGGGTGCAGTGAGTGACAATATTCAGAGACCATGACGTATTGTATACGTATGTACGCTTCTAAAATTTATTAAAGACTTTTACAATGGCCAACTTGAATTTCCATAATACTAACGTAACGATTCCCGGATAAACCCAAACTTACACCCGAACTGTTGGTAATTAATCAATTTTTTAACCATTTGGACACCTACGAGGAGTGTAAAAAGCATAGATCATGCATATGGCAAAAAGACACATAAATTTCCCAGCATCTAAAGACGTATGTACATATATGCACGTATAAAGGTTTCTTTTTACTTATCAACAATTGGTCGTTATATTAAATTTCCTTGATCTATTAGTTTTTGTAGGTTTTTGCCCTTTTAATTTATTAATTATGTCCATCGTAATAAAAGCTCTGTAGCACTGGACCATGGACTTAAAGTAAATTATGCAATGGCAAACTGAAAAGGAAAATTGAGCTTTATAGCCCGCAAAACAGTATGGTGGATAAATAAATGGTGACTCTTATCTAATCCTCATCATGTTCCAATCGCATAAGAAAACAGTGAGTTGAATAATTATCAATGTATGGGAACAGCAACAATGAGTATGTGCATAAAAGCATAAAAGCTTTACTGGTTTCGCAACGCACTTTGAGAGTACTCATTTTAATAATTCACTTGGAACTGGAGTAAAATAAGAGCAAAAAGAAAGAGTAAAGTTGAGACATGTCTTTGTTCAGCTGAGAACCATAAACGCCTTTCATGAGTTAATTTCTAGTTTTTTACCCTCGCCGACTGCCAGCTCAAAACTGGAATTTCTATCGACTTTAATTCCAAAGGTCCATGTGGTTCGTGAGCAAATGTAACAGTGGCACAATGAATGAATGCCTAGCATAATAGCATTCTGGATTCTCCCAGTGATGCAGCAATTCCCATTATAACAAATCCTATCAAATTTACGTGGATCATGATGACCGCCGCACATTACGGGTTAGCGCTGTGTCTGCATGCGTATCTATATCTTTGAAAACTTATAACTAATAGTGAATACTCCTTCCTTGACTTATCCAATAATCTTCCATTCAACAGAGTCGTCCTTTCACGACAATGCATCACCTGTTTATATATAAGGGTTCACTGCATAAAGTTATCCCACTCTCCATGAAGAAGTCACGCAGGGAGGTGTTGAGGCAGGCAAGAAGAAGCCAGAGAATTTTTTTGGTTAGGTATCTTCGACTAATTGAATCCCATTCTACATTTGCAAAGGATTTTATTAAGTAGGCGAACGAGTTAACATCGCCACAAAGGAAAATCTCCAGCAACTTGGCAGCATGATTATCTTCAAAAGTAGCAAGGTCACGCAAACTTGGTCCGAATAGCATTTGAATTTATCGTCAAAAATATTTGCATAGTAATTTGCATGAGTACACCTGCAAATACAAATTTAAAGCCACAAAACTTGTTGGATTGTGAAACATGCATAGTAAGTAAGACCATGCAAATTATAATCTTATTATCACGGCTGTCCTTAAGAATATTTTAGCAACTCAATCCTACAGTGTGTTCAATCTCAAGACCTAACATTTCACTAGGAAAGGAATACAAGTTATTAATAATATTGTGAAAAGGTGAAGCTTGTTGACAATGGGTCACAAAATCGAAAGTGATTCCTCAGTAATTAGGTTAAGTTTACTCGCAACAAGAGTCGTGATCCTTTTCAATGTGGTTGGACTCGCAAGTGCTCAACTTCCCAGTGAATTCCAAAGCTCAAAGGATCCAGTCACTGATATTTTCAGTTTGGCCCAAATTTTGAAGAGGAGCAATGAAAATCCTGGATCTCAATTGACCACCGTAAGAGTTGGGCGAGAGAAAATACATACAAAACACTCCTTGAGACATGTCATAATATTTACATGCGAAATTTTATAAACTTGCAGCCAATGCTGATAAAAAAATATGGGTATCCCGTGGAAAGCCATAAAGTAGTGACATCAGATCACTACGTATTGACAATGCACCGAATTCCACACGGAAAAAACGAATTTTTAAGTGAAAATGAAATTGAGCAGAAAAAGCGTCCAGTCGTATTCCTCCAGCATGGCCTGTTTGCAAGCTCCTTTGAATGGATGATGAATTTACCTGAAAAGCTCCTAGGTAAGATTTTTACACTCGTTGCTAGGATACGGTGTAGTCTCCACCAGACAAAGAGTTTCATCAAGTATCAAAATTTTCATAAATGAAAAGTATATTAGCATTTCTCATAATTTTGTAAAATATAATTTATACCGTCATTCATAATGGCTTGCAATGGCAGTAATGGTAAAGGATTACAATCAGTTAGTTCTTAAATGCAAGACGCTTACAAATGACAACGAATGCCTAACTCGAAAATTGGCACAGCGTGGAATACTTGTCTACTCTGCACGAAAAAGTTTTCCACCTAAACGTAATAAACCTGGGTTCATAAAACGGATTTGGAACTCTATATTTCGTTGGAAGAAAGATAAAAGCAATTGCAATATTATGGATTCGCCTTCCACTACGACAAATGATAGGTCAACGGAGACTCAAGAGTTGCTGGACAATGAGCAAAATTGGAACATTTTTGATGTACTTCGGCTGGAAGAACTCACGCATCACAGGCCGTTGGTCTCATTGGGGATGAAATTATTCGTCAAATTTGATGTTGGTGAACAGCTCCAAGCAGATCAAACCACTTTCAGAAGCTGGCTTACCCTGATTGAAGCTAATTATCACGAAGAAAATCCATACCATAATTCTACCCACGCCACGGATGTTATGCACGCCACTGCTTATTTCTTGTCTACTGAAACGCTTCAGTCATCATTCAAACCATTGGACAAAGTAATTTGTCTCCTGGCTGCTGCCGTGCATGATGTGGTAATGAATATAACGAATATTTGTGTGCTATGTAATACGTAGTAGTGAGAAATGAGAATTTGGATTTAGGATCATCCCGGAAGGACAAATCCATTCTTGATCAACTCTGAAAGTGACATGGCTATACTGTACAATGACGTTTCCGTCCTGGAGTCTCATCATGCCTCGTTTGCCTTCAGATTGACACGTAGCGATCCCAAAGTCGACATTTTTGCCAATCTTGACCGTGACAGCTACAAATTTGTTCGACAGAGCCTGATTGACATGGTTCTGGTAATGTGTTTAATAATCAACAATTGATACAGCTAATTGGATCAATTTACCTCAACTTATATATATAATTCAGATGACTATATATCTATGAGTAGTGTAGTACAGTGTACCTTTTCATTTGCAGGCCACCGATATGGCGAAGCATTTTGACCACTTGGCAAAATTTAACGAAGTTTTTCAAAAAGTACTGGTCAAACATGGGGGTGGGATGAGTGCACTCTCCTCGACCACAACTCGTCATCGTAACCACCCAACTTCTTCTTCCGTGTCCATCCCACATCAATCGACTTTAATAACTCCTGAAAATATTAGTCTCGTCAAGAGGATTATGATCAAATGTGCCGACGTCAGCAACCCCACTCGACCACTGAAGCAGAGTGTGGAATGGTCAAGACGAATTGCAGAAGAATATTTTCGACAAACGGAGGAAGAGACGGAAAGGGGACTTCCGATTGTGCTGCCAATGTTCGACAGAAAAACATGCTCCATCGCCAAGTCACAAATCGGATTTATTGACTTCTTCGTGCGAGGAATGTACCATTCCTGGAGCGCCTTTTTAGACATACCAGAATTAATGGAGAATATGAAGTACAATTATAATTACTGGAAATACTTGGATAAGGAGGAAATTAAGGAAGCAGTATTTCTAGATTCATATACTGAAGGAAAGTCTACGCATTCTACTTCGAGAAACACTCTTGTAAATAGCAAAAGCTTGTCAAATTAAATTGTAATGTTGACAAATAAACTAAAGTATTTTGTCTAAATATTTATTGGATGGATCATTAGTTAAATTAATTCAGTAATGAGCTAGATAAATGTAAACGCAATGTTTTTCCTGCGTGCATAATTTGTAAAGCGTGTTCATGAAATGATACGATGAAGTGCAAACTTTTTTCCTTGTGTATTTATGTACTATTTACTATCATTTTCATTTTTGCAGCATTAAAGTTAGCGGACTCTGGATGGGTATGCAAATTAAATATGTAATTTTGTTGGGTATGGATAATTATGTAATTTGTTGCATTGACTTTCAACTATTTTTAACGCACGCAGGACGTGTGGTTGGGAAACGCACGAGGAAATGCATATTCCAGACAACATTTGACCTTATCTCCGAGTGAAAGAAAATTCTGGGAATTTAGGTGAGAAATTATTCAGGGACGCTTAATAGATAAATTATGAGAAGCAAGGAAATAATCGGTTGGGAATTATTGCATTTACAGCTTTCATGAAATGGGGGACAAAGACATTCCTGCCGAGATTGAATATGTATTGAATAAAACGGGTCACAAAAAGCTAAAGTATGTCGGATTTTCAATGGGGACGACAATGTTTTGGTCCATGATGTCGTTACATCCTGAAATGAATGAAAAAGTGAGTCTCATGGTAGCTCTAGCTCCAGGTACGCCAACAAAATAGAGAATTTTTTGAAATTATTAGGGGGGTTCAACTCCTATAAATTATTTTAAAGATAATTGCTTTTTTAAGCTAAATAATTTTATTTAAAAATTTTCAGTCGTCTACATAAATAATATGATGGGTAAGTTCCAGAATGTTGGGTAATGAGTCCTTGTATCACTATCAGTGTTTGCTTACATATATGCTTATGTATCATTTATCCTTCTGTGTCGCAGGATTCCCACGATTCCTTGCTCCATTTCATAGATTAATAAAGGTACAAATTATAGATCTAAGAATTATGTAGCCATCATTATTAGACTTTTCTACCATTTAATCTATCCTTTCGTCTTCAGTACCTCTTGGATGTTATCGGCAACGGTGAATTTCTGCCCCCTTGGCTTCTAAGAATTTACAACGGTAAAATTTACAACATTTAAGTTTTGTAGCCTGAAATGTAAATTTAAATATAAATTACATATTAGGGATCGGTACAAAGCTCTGCTCAAACACGTGGATAGCTGAATCGATATGCGCTAACATAAACTTTTTATACTCTGGTAAGTGCCAACTCTTGTAGTGGGTCTATTAAATTGAATTAATAGTGTTGTTTCCCAAAAATTGCAGGATGGGATCTGCCGCAAACTCAGATTGTATGCAAGTCTATTTAAGACGTTGTTTTGCATATGATGATATATAAATACATATGTACAATAAATCTGATTTGCTTTATAGAATCAGCTCCCTCTATTCTACAGTCATACGCCCTCACCCACGGCGACCAGGACTTTGGCACATATTGCTCAGCTTATCCATACCGGAGTTTTTTCTGAGTATGATTTCGGATATAGAGAAAATATTATGCGCTATGGGAAATCAGTGCCTCCAAAATATAATCTTAAAAATACTACGGTACCAGTGGGTAAGCTTAAACTCTATTTCTATACAGCGAGATGGTAGTGGAACAAGGTCTCATTCGATTATTATATTTCCAGCTTTATTATGGGGTCCAAACGATGCTGTTGTCAGTGCAATAGGTATTTAGCAATACTCCAATCGCCATATTGAGCTTATTTAAATACGGCATCGGCTACAAATGCGTAGCATGAAAACCTACAATGTGTAATGTTCATTTAATTAGAGTTAAGTGACTAACCTGAAATAATATTCGTAATGGTCATCAATTATTCGGACCATGCATCAGCTTTCAGGCAATATTAGCACAAGGAAAAATAACCTTGCTCCCCTGTGGTACTCTAATGATTCATATAGCTTCAAATTTTCATTGTTTGCGGAAGTTCGATTATTTTTCAGCAAATAAGTAGCTTTTTTTAAAGTGAAGCAAAAAAACACCCTTATTGTTCACCTTACCCCTGCTAATATTCTACATTATGTACAAGCTTTAGCTGATACATTTAATTTTGCAATTAAATGCAATTAAATCTAAAACTAACAAATGACCGTTTCCTTTTTGTAGACGTCAAAAGACTCGCATCCGAGTTGCCCAATTTGGTGTTTAATTCTCCCGTTGAATATCCATTGGTAATTTGTAAAACTTGAGATATTAAAAAAATGACTCAATTTAATTTTAATGAATGCATTTCAGTGGGGTCACTTCACGTTTCATCTCGTACGTTTTTTTCATCTTATAATTTTATGTCTTGACCTAACCTATATTAATATTTATTCCGTCTCGATATAGGGTAAGGACACAGATGCACTAGTGAATCCGGTTATCCTAAACCTTCTTTCAACGTTCGACAAGTAGAGTCACCTTCGATTTGAAACTCATCCGAAAAAGTTCCTTGAGAAAAAGTTAGTTACCACAAAGTATTTTTTATCTATGTATTACCGTGTGCAGGTCCAATGCAAATAATCCTGTGAATAATATGCCAGTTATATAGGATTCTAACTATTTGACAAATGTGATTTTGTAGACTAATAGCTCATAATTCAGCCTTTTTGTATGACAAATATTATATTTCAAAAATAAACAAGAAATGTATACAATTTAATTATCTGTAATATGATTTTATTGAACGTTACAATGGCTTTAAACCGTGAAAGGGTTTGCGTCGTCAACATACTTAGCTTGAAATACAGAATTTGATCCTTGAATCGGCGTTTTTAAGTTATCTTCTTGGCCTTGTTCAAGTAACGCTGCATTTATTGATTCTGTGCACGTTTCTGGTTGGCCTAAGCTCTCCCAGTCAATTTCTGCTGGTGAGTTGAGATCAATGTCGATAAGATCACTGGCTGTAGCTGCCAAACTTGGGTCATTGGTTCGTAATGTGGGAAGATGTAAATCATCTGATAACACCAATTCATCCATAATACTTTGATATCGTGTCGTGGACTGGGTCGCATCCGGTTCTTGAAGTAGATCTTGGCTTATTGTCTTACTTTCAAGAGGGGGATTTAGGAGCTTTGAGGATTCAATTATATCCCCGGCTCTCTCATCATCATTATAAGAACTTAATTCCAAATCAATTTCATCAGGATGCGTATTTGTGTCTGAAACTTTGGAGTACGACAGTTTTTCCGGATCCAACCCCAATATTTTGTACAGCTTAATGGCTGGGAGGTAGATTTGGCCTTTGGAATCGGTAGCCTGCAGCATATTCAGGAAACAGAAAATTATGTATTAGTCAATAAGTACCATCGTACAAATTAAGGAGCCGCATGGAAAATGTTTAAGACCTTAATGAATGTGATGGTGAATGGTTTGGATCGGTTCTTCCTAAATAAGGATTCTATTTTGGATCCATAAAAATTCCTAACTGCAATCCCATTGAATTCGTCCATTATGTCCCCCACGGCTACGGTATCAGACTGGCGATTAAAAAGAGCATCATTATCATTTCATGATTTTACTAGAGTTCGTGCATTTTTTCAAAACTAGAGTCATGTAAATACTCACAACTTCTGCAGCCAAACTGTAAGCAATGATATCAACAATCACTGCAAATCCCATGGGAAATCCGAGGGTAAGGCCCAACTTATCGCAAACGGGGACAAATTCTGCCTTGACCACTTCTGGAATTTGCCAACTTTCGTCCAGAAATGAAGAATTGAGCAAATCAAATCTGAATTCATAGTGGCTTAGTTGCTGAATGAGGGAAAGAAAAATTTGTGACAAAATTTCGTGACCCATGATTGACTGCCCATGGTAATTGACCCGAAGATTTCTATCATCATAATCCTGATTTTCTACATGGAACTGGATCGGAATATGTAAACATCTTTTTTTGAGACAAGTCCTGATTAGGAGTCGCATCTTCAAAATAAAATATTTTATAAAATACATATTTCATAACATATTTTAGTCGCATGTAGATGATACCTTTCCGGCTTGCGTTCTTGTCTTGGGATCATTCAATACCTCCTCAAAAGCTAGTTTGAATGTCAATGGGACCACTCTGCATAAAAAATGCTCAAATTAATCTAAATATTTTACCATTCATTTCTATTTATTTACCTGTGGTATTTGCGAACCAATTGGTAAAACCATGAGAAGCAGTCTGTTCTCCATGGCCTAAACCCGTCATGCCGAATCAGCCCTTTGAGAAAAATTGATTCGATGCAGTGACAGAGAAGAAATACCGTCTCATTTTCGTCACCGTAAGGAGGATTGCTCCCCAACACTAGTTTTGCAATGTGTCCTGTAAATTAGCATTTGTAACTAATCGTATGGTTGTAGATTTGGTAAGATTTAGGCATATTTTACCTTTAAGCTCCTTCAACAATGGGTCACTCAACGTCATTTTGGCATCGAGGAAACAACACACAATGTACAAGGATTAAATCCACACTGTACGAAGTAGCAAAATTCTAATGACGAGTCATAGCAATGTTCTGAAGTTGCTTGTTATTTATTCTCAAAATCTGCATACTTTTCACTTTTATGTAGATACATGACCAACTGTTCAGCTCGGAGATGGGAGTAAATACTGAATTTGGCCACAATATCCAGTATGGTGAGGAAAAAATAGGAAATCGATACTTTGGGTGAACGAAACCAGGACATACCCGAGAGTTTGATGGTTGGGTTTCACGACTATCTTTGAAGCAAATAAATATGTTACAGTTATAGCTACGTAATACGCTATGTTGCTGTTTTCATACAAATAATGCAAATAAATATATCCAAATCGCTGACTATTTCATGACACGGGGAAAACTACGTGAAGAAAGAATATGCATAACGAACCGATACGCACATTGTTTAGCAGAGTCATTGTATCCCAATTCTATTCAGCCTCTCTGAAATGTATACATAAATCTCATCAGTAAATGGTATTCACATCAATTGCAAGCTGCATAGTACACGATTAGACAAGTTTAAAAAAGAAAATCAAATTCATTTTAAAGTGTCACGTACTACCGGAAACTGCATCGCATCGCATCTCATAATCCATTTAAACCGGTCTTTATATTTATAATGGCATCAAACCGAATTACAAATTCCAATTACAGTCCGGTGAACAGCAATCAACAGCTAACTAAAGTTCCAAACGGAGTCCAAGTCTTCAAGTCAAAGGTAAAAAAACTTAGATGCACCTGATTAACAACCATATAATAAAGTGTAGTGTTCTCAACTATGTAATCAATTAAATTTATTATTGTGAAATTCAGATAGACTCTCAATCGAATACCTTTCTTTGGGAAATTAATGGTATTGCTGCCATATCCAAACAAAATTTGTGGCGTATTCCTTCATGTGAATTTCAAGTTGGGTTGTCGAAATGGAAGTTATCACTGGATTTGGGGTCCAACGGGAATATTTTATTGGCGAAACCGGAATTAATCCACCACCCCACGGATTCCACAATCTTCTACACCCTTCGCCTCTACGTAGTGAATCCTCAGAATTATGTAATTCATGCATCGCAATTCGGCAAGGGGACTAAAAGTAGTCGTAAGTCGTCACATATTACATAGTTAAAATAGTAATGTGCATGAAAATGTTGTAATTAAATTTCTTCTAACTTTCTGCTTTATCATTTTAACAGGTTTGGATCATCCAATTTTGCATGACAATGGACACCTGGGTACATGCGAAGTTTTGCGATTTAGTGATGGGATAGTGGACTTGTTTTCAAATTATGTATTTAATGATGCCTTGAAATTTTTGGTGGAGATGACAGTTTTCGGAAATAAGCCGTAGTAACTTAAAGCGTAATAATTGATTGGAATTAACGGATTTGGAGTCTCATCTTGATGCGCTTATTTTAAGTATTTACTAGGATTTTATAGTTCAGTGACGATAGAACGCAGTAATCAATTTTTAACGCATTTTTAATTGCGCATTTGTAACTTCATACTAATGCATACGTAATAATTTTGTCATATATCATGCATACAATGGTAATAAATAATAAATACTCTTTCTTATGAGTAATCTCTCTTTATGAAATTCATTTGGTTATTTTTATTTTTGAGAATTGACGAGAAGAACCAGTGTTGGTTATACATTCGCATAACTGTCCTTGTCCTACAGACTAGCATGACTATCAATTTCTAAATTTCAACTAGAGCCATTTCACCCCGAATCTGATGATAAGATACTGCTTACCACTTGTATCTGCTCCATGAAAGGCAGGTCAACAAAATGCATATTTCAGTCCAGAAGAATGACTATAGATCCAACCAGTACTTATTGTGCACTATTAATATCAGTGAGTGTGAAATTTTCAAGTACTCTTTGCATTTTTTATGGCATTGCATTTAATACGTTTAGGATTAGTTTTTTATTATTCATAGAAATTAAATGTATAAAACATCCGTCTGTTTTATTGTTCGTAGGTAGATTAAACTTATTACAGATATATTACAATATTGATTATGTACGTAAATACTATGAATATACTCAATCAAACATTGGTTATTCCGGTTTTTTCTACCATTTCCAGCAAAAGTTTTAAATTTTCATTAAATAATTCACACCTTATGGGCATTTCTAGGGAATAGAACGGGTTCTTTAGCACATAATCGGCATATATTTCATAAATCTTGCGTAAAACAACATCCATTCCTTGAAATTTTGGGTCAGAGATGACGATAAACTTGATTCCTGCAATAAAATAATCAGTACTGATTTTGCACCAGGAAATGTCAACTGTGACATGAAATAAATACGAACCTGTGAGAGTTTGGAGGCAATATAGCTTAAACGTCTCGGCTGAAAGAACCGAGATGAATGGGCATAATTACTGCTGCCTGTTGTAAAAAATTAGGACTTGCATACCTTCTAGGATTTGAATCCCGGATGAATGGGGTTCAGGGCTTATCTGACTCGAAATTGCGTACAGTGGGTAGAACATGCTCCCTAGAAACATTTTTTCATTTGTAGTCATCCGTGTTCGTCCAAACCTAAGACTGTTAAAACAACGTATTTGTATAACATACATAATTACATGTAAATGCATATCTTAACACTCACCTTAGCGGAAAATTAGCTGGCTCATTTAAATATTCCAAAACGTCCTGGCCAGTTTCCATTTTATCCACAATCACAGGAGTTCCATTTACAGAGAGCAAGGTCTGACCAACTGATTTCAATAATAATTAACTTGATCTAATTGAAATTAATTAGTGTAGTATTGAATACTTACTGCAAATACCGTCCCGTTGTCCGAAAACCACTACCATTTTCTTGTTTCTAAGTTCAACTTTGATATCCACCGGAAATGTGAATGATTTTTCAGTCTCAACTTTTGGAAAATTGTGATCATAGTTGAATATCATGCCCCCAGATTTAGAAATTATATACACACTGTGAATTGCCATTTTAATCAATTTTAATTAATTGGGATGAAATGAAGGTCTTTTTAATGACCAGCAGTGGTCATTAAAATCACTCGTCCTTCGACAACTTGACTATTAATTGTTATTAGTCCGACTTTATTCGTATTTCTGCTTTAATGTGTGACATTTATATTGTAAAATTGTTCAGTTTCGCGTTCAGTAAAGCGTTAAAGATTTTGCAGTCTAATTACAAAATTGAGAATGTTTGATTTGACAGCAGGATCTGAGAAAGTTTTGTTGTTGATGCCCACACACGCAGGAAGGGTGGAAACGAGACTAAAACTCTGTGTAATCCGCTTCGTAAATTACGATTCTGCATGGAAAGATCATTATGATCAGACTTATGAAATGTATTGATAACTAATCGTAACTTACGATTCGTAAGTATAAAAGCAAATATAAGTGAATAGTTGGGCGTACTGTTTGTGAGCTTTTCTTAGTTGGCGACGCGCTGCTTGTAATATTCGTCGAAGTTCTTTGGGGTCCTTGATGCTTTTGAACTTGGCCATCAGCTCGGTGTACTTGCCCGGAAGACTCGTCTCGTACAAGGCTTGTCCCTGTTGACTTACAATTTCTTTTGCCAGCAAGTCCACCTTGTTCTTGTACATGGTCGTCGTCTTTTCCACCGCCTTGCTCTGCATCTTGAGGGAGTGACGCATTCTGAAATAATGCACATTATGCATACACATTTACATTAAACGAAGTTCGAGAAAATGTATAAAAAATTGGACGCACTTTGACAAGACGCCCAGAATCGTGTGCAGGGTGTGTTGTTGCCATTGAACTATTTACAAGGAGTACCATTTAGTAAATGGCATTTACTATTTTATCATAAAGATCACGGAGGAGGGGGATATATATAATATGTACAACTGCAATATGTGGAACCTACGATGCTCTTGTAAAGCATGGGACTGTAATTTGACCTCCATCAAGGCTCGATCACCATCCCTGTCTCGTTTACGGACATATTCAGCATACACTTCTTTTAGTCGTAATTGTTCCAGTCGCAATTTGTCCAAATCCTTCCATTCCTTCTCACATTTGTCCAGCACTTCTGTGTAGGACTGTTTGATTTCGGAAAGGAGTGGTCGGAGCGTCTCAAAGTGCTCAATCATGTGGAGTAAAGCATTCTGGTAGACACAATAACGGCCAAATAACTTTTCAGGAGGTTCCATTTCGAAAATATCATCGTCCTTTATGGGAATTGGTTCCCAGTTTCCGCCTTCGAATTCTTCTACATCGTCTTCTGGTAGTTTTATGAAATCTCGCGTTTCTTCGTAAGCATTTCCATACATCTCGTACGCTATGGGATCTTTTACATTGAAATGTTCTAAATGTTGAACAACTTGAACCCAGGCTAATTTTACAGAAGCAGATTTAACAACTTCTTGCACAGGGAGCTTCATTCATAAACACCAGAAATTAGAGTCGTTGTACTCAAACGAAGAAATAGAAAACTTAATCATGTAGTAATTAATCGTCACCAAATACTTGTCCAGATCAGCTTCTTTCAAAGTGTACTTTGATTCACCCCAGCTAGAAAACCAACTAGAATCCTCCGGTTTATCCTCAGCAAATTTTTTCCTTGAGAGGAGCTCCTCGATGTGAGGGGGGTCGGCCGTGCTAGGGCACCAACTAAGCTCAGACTCCGATAAGCCACCAGCTTCTTTTTCAAGGTTGTCCAACGAAGCCCAAAAATTTACTTCGGAGGGTTCCTTATCAGCAGATTTATTTTTCTGCATTTGCTGCTCATCATCATCTCCCAACAATTCGTCAGCGCTTTTAAACACTATGGGAGAACAAGGCGGGTCGTTCCGAAGAGGACGGCCATTTGTCATGGGGCCAATTGCTGCAGGTGGCTCGACAGCTTTATTGACATTCGGATGTAGTATTTCTCTGCCCCTGGCGTCATAGTGGTGAATTTTTTCCTCGTCCACTCGCCCCAGTCCTGCTCGGGTGTCGTCATCGTACGCTTCCATAAAATACTGAAATTATTAAGTATTATCAAGGTTCTTCACTTAATAACTTAGGGTTGTATAAAGCATATAATTCACAAATGTTAACGATCAGGACCTGTTTCGCAGATTTTCCTTTATTGCCATATTTATGAGTTAAATTTCTCATGTACGCTGCTGCTATGATGTCTTCCTCATAAGCTAATTCTCGTTTTCTTTCCCCTGGAGTTGTCCCTTTCCCATTTCTTAACAACTTTTCAATGTTAAAATGTTTGCCCCCGCCGTGATCTTTGTTCAAGATACTTGGGTCAAGTCCCAGTTCCGTCGCCATTAATTCTTCCAGTGAATGGACAGCAGACTGAGGGGTGGAAGCTGCGACGGTCTTAACGTTGCTCTTTTTTGCAGCCATCCTACCAGGAATATTTTGTACACTGGGAATAATTTTGAAATGCCAATTTTTTCAAATGTTGTCAATAATTTACAGCTTTTGTAAGATTTCTAATTTGAGCCAACAAAAAAATCCAAAGTTCTTAAAAAGTCAAAATCATCTTTATTTTGGCGTAAACCATATTATAACCATATATAAACCCAGTAACGGCCTCACCCACGATTGCTTGACTTTAAGTATCTAGGTAACGCTTCTCCCTTAAAAAGATAAAGACTGATAAAGTGTCAAATTATCTTGGTCACCTGTGCACCCGGCAAAGGGTGGCATCACAGAGGCACGATCCGACCACACATTCGCCGTGACTAAAAACATGATGATATTTTTTATAATGATGTAATGTTAAATGTAGGTCAAAGGTGCGTCCCTGTCCACTGTCCTGGGGGAACAGATCGAAGAGATTTCAATACTGGGGAATGCCTTCATGCCAGACAAGTACCTCCCATGGGAAGGTAGGTATTTATTAGAGTTTCGATATCCCTCGGAACTTATTCGTTACTCTAATCTAAAACTTTTCTGTATGTACATATATACGTACAAGCCATACTCTAATTGGAACAGTCTCAAGTAATGGTCACAGCAACTCCAAATATAAGTTGTATATTATTATTGTGCTACGTGATAATAGTGGCATTTTCAATTTTTTATCTAGCCACAACCCACCCCCACCCTGCTAAGCGTTCATTGTCTCGAGGAATGCTTTCTCTCCTCCGTCGGGGTTGAAATGGATACTGTTCAAATTATGGCTGAGCTACTTTATACATAAATCCTCATGTGCAAATAACAAATAGCTGAGAGAAGAATTGGTACTTCACATCGCTATGTATTTTGTGGAAGCAATGACAGAGCGGAACCTATGGGACCGGAAACAAACGCAGTACAAATACATACACACCCATGATGATGATAATCAATGCTGGTAACAATCTCTACGTTACTGGACCGTCAGGTTGAAAAAAAACTCTGGGTCATTCATCCGATATCAAAATTAGTGTTGTTATTCTTGCATCTTCTTTTTATTAAGTTTGATATTTTTTTTTTAGTTTTGTCACGTTTACATAACATAATAATATATTGCTTGTAAATAAACAAAAAATTAATCATGATTATTAAGAGAACCAGAAGCTGACTTACACATTTGTGATAACTTTACTCATACTGGGAAAGCTTTCTCCTGTGGTGGCTGGTTTCGACAAGTGTGGCGTTGTTGAGAGCGGTATCTGGTATAAGTAGGAGAATAAGAATCTCTTCTAGTGAAAAGAAACTATTTCTCCACTCAAACTAAGAAACCAAAAAGTTGCCGACGATGGTTTGTGAGAAAATTGGAGACAAACTGGATCAACAACGAGGAGGAAATGCATCTTATCCAGCTGATTATTGATGGCGGATTGGTCACAGGACGAAATTCTCCACATTTAATTGCCTCCTCCAGCTCCTGGCGCATGATTTTCATGTCCACCTTTTCGTTCTCGCTTTTTACGTTGTCAAACTGAATAAACCAAATAAAAAGTACAATTAAATATATTTATGATTTATGTGACAATTCATTCTTGTTATTATTATTTAATGGATGCATCTAACTTACGACAAAATCAATTTCTTTCTCCATCAATCCCAGCCTGTCTCCTTCTCTTTTCATCAGAATTATGTCTCCGCTTGACACATGCGACTTCCCCAATCGACGAAAAATCTCACTACATTGGCGAAAAAAATCAAAGTCACGAGTAAAAACCTGTAACGAATATTACACTAAATAATACTGAATAAAATTATCAAAATATGCACACTTTATTAAAAACTTGCTTAGTTTAACACCACGAGTTTCCAGTTCCTGGCGTTCTAAACCCGTGATGGCTACGTCACGCCCTACGACGCCTACAAAATAAAGCAGCTCCTCCTCCTTGGGCCTTGCGATCCACTTTTGTACAACTTCCTGGAAATTAAACGATAGAAACAAACAAATTGATGAATTTATTTCCCAACATAACTCCAGGTCAGGGTTGCTTAACGACAATCGGATAAGGGGTTGGGAAACGTGGGCATTTTTTTAAATTTGTTAAATATTGAAAAAAGCTGGGGGCCCCCCAGCTTTTAGGATCATGGCTTATGTACTTTGTTCGACGTCTGTATGTCACACCGATAACTTTCTTTAAACTTATGCTATTGACTTGAATTTTTTTTACACAGCATGTGTTTTTCTGAATAAAATTTGTTTTGTGCAATTAATGAGAGAATGAACTTTTGCATGAACTCTCGGGTCATATTCTCCATTCTCTCTAGCCACCATCACCAGTTATCAGAAGTTCTGACTCGGGCCGTGTGAACCTGCCCTTAGTGATTTATCCCTTAGTGATTTCATTTTTTCAACTTTTTAATTTTTAATTTTTTTTGCCCACGTTTCCTAACCCCTTATCGAAATTGTTGTTAAACAACCCTGACTCCATGTCCTGGCTATCAACAACATAAACAAATACACGATAATCACACTTACCCAAATTTCGCAAGGAAACTGGTCACTAAAATCCACACGTTCACTACAACGACTATTCATTTTTTAATTTTGTATAATAACTTATTATATTTGAGAGCGGATTTTGTTGACTCGTGTTTTTTTGCTCTGCTCAACTGGATGAGATTCTCGCGGGGCGGTGGTGGTGGGCAGTGATGATGATGATGATTCCAACGTCACTGACAAAGACATCAGACAAGCAATCTTCAGCATTCATGCAGAAATCTCAGTTTCCAAAAACTTGCTCTCCTCTCGAAAAATTCCAAAAAATTAATCAAATTGCTTTCAATTAATCCAATTTATCGCTGTTGAGTACATTTAACTCCAGCTCATAGTGTTAATCATTTGTTACTAGTTTAGAAACTATTTTTAGTTGTAAATATTTAGGTTTATAATTTATGATCATGGCCGGGTAAGCAAATAATTATTATTATTACTCACTTGCTTCCAGGTCCTTACTTGTAGTTTTAATTTAATTGTTTCAGGGATTTCGTTTGTCCTTATTGTAGGAAATCTTTTAGTACGAAATTCAATAGGGATCGACATATGAAAGCAAGGACAAATGGCAGATGCCCTCGTCACAAGTAAGGTCATAATTTTAATTAACCATATATATTACTCGTATTTTGATGCACAATTGAGATTAAATTTTTAATTGACAGTTTTGGTGTAATGGTTGATGGGGTCAGAACTTATCTTTGCACAGCTCCAGATTGCGAGGAAGTCTTCACGACAGTTCAGGAGAGATGCAGCCATGAAGTTCGTCGACACACTGCTTCCGAAAGGTACTATCAAAGAATGGAGACATAGATTACAGTTTAAAATGCGAGTTTAATGTGTCATCCTCCAGGACCTGGATATTAATTGATTATGATGGTTTTTGTTTTTATGCAGTACTCGAGACCAGCAACCCTTGTACACGTGGAAATGTGAACAATGCGAGGTCTTCTTTGTTAGTAAGAAATGTCTTGATGATCACATGGCAAACCATGCTGAAAAACCCGAGTTTGAAGCTCGCGATAAGCAAATACAAAGGTATACGACCAGCATACAATAAACCAGGACCTGGATACATGTCTATCATTTTTACAGAACTGCTGTACTTCAAGACGACGGACAATGAGGTACAAGTGCGAGCTGTGTTCAAAAAGTTTCCCCTCCGCCTCGAAACTAAATCGTCATGACGGATACCGTCATGCGTTGGTACCATTATTGAAACCTCTTAGGTACGTTACACAAAGACATCAAAATTTAGATAATTATGTGCATAACTAAGTACAACTTTTTAATACACAGACGGGGGTTCAAGGAAAGACGATCTCCTTTAATTCCTGGCAACGGGTTCATCATCAGAGACCTTCTTCCCAGGGATCTGGGTCATCCAACTTCAGAACAAGAACAGGAGTGGATCTTTGAGTGGTTAACCGTTCGAATGAGAAAATCAGTTGACGTATATGCTGCTAATGGTTCATGTGTGTATGTAGCGGGAGTTCTGGGTCCCAAGTACCACAGGGGCCAGGACATTCTCAACTTCATTACAGAAAACCCCGAGGAACTTAGCCTGTACTTCGGCCGAGATATGGGCAGCATCTCTGTGGATGTTCATCCTCATCATCGTGATATGGATATAGACTCCCCCCTTCGACAGCCCCACCCCAACCGTCATGACCAGTTCCTGGACGTTGTCTTTTTCGGACGTCGATATGTGGAAGGAAACTTTCAAGAGCGAATGAAACTAGTTCGTCAATTGGAAGCCAAGTACATTGTGAGTCTTAATTTAATTTAAGCACAATAATGAATGATGTAAATGAACTACATGTTTCTTTTTTGCAGGAAATGGCTTTAACGGATGCGGAGTTTGAACCAGTCCCTGGCGTCCCCCAGTACAAGGTTCTTAACCAAAGGAGAGAACGTCAAGAGATGGTGGAAGTAGGCGATGATAAGATCCGACAGGTTATCAGGCGCGGGGTAAAGGGAGTGACATTTCTGTGTCTCAAACAAGGATGTGTTGATCCAAACTGTAATGCATACATACACCCTGACTGGAAGAGTGACCTGACGATCGATTTGACAAGACGTCGACGAGGCATGGAAGAGGAGGATGACGATCGCCCAGGTACTGGCTCATCCGCAGATGTTGACAGCGAGGAAGATGAAGAAGAAATGGATATCGATGAGTCAGGATCTGAGGACGACGACGACGATGAAGACATGGATACAGATTCCTCTGAAGACCACGAATGGAGTGACAAAAGTCAACCAGAACCTGGCGTCGTTAGTGTCAAAATCCCTCGCCCCATAAACCCACACGACATTATCTTGGAGGTGGATCGACGATTCCAAGAGTTTAAAGAGAAGACCGCAACCTATGATCCGACTCACACGGTCTACACTGTGATAACAACCAGCAATGACGAGTTTGATGCTACCAAGAGTGGACGCCGAATGTGTCGAGAGGTCATCAAGAGACAGGACGAATCCCAGAAGATTGGGTGCTATACTGGGGCAAACAGCAAAGAGCAGGAGGCTGACTACCATAATGGACACCCACATAGTAGCATAAACAAGTCCATCAGAACCAACCGCACTGCAATCCGCATATCCACAACGAACTTTCCAACCAGGACCCTGGCGAGAAAGGAGGAGGCCCTTCGTTTGGTACTATTTGTTTTTATATTTACCAGAAATTCTAAATATATTAATTTGAAATGTTTCTGGTTTTTGCAGTTGCATGGGTTCCTACATATGCGCTTCCGAGCTAAAGGGATCAGTTTTGATATACTAAACCATCACATGGAGTGGCAATGGCTTTCGTTGTGCTCGGAGGAGGAAATCAAAAGATCAATCCGGTTGGCGTGGCTGGGGATTCCGCCTGTTGTGTTTGAGGAGTTATCGGAAGACCTCAAGTTTGAACACGGACACTATCCAGTGAACTTGAGTCGCCAGGTCCTGGACGGAGAAATAAAGAAAATTGAATAACCGCTGCTATTAAAAATTTTAATGAATTACTTACTAATCTTACCTTCATTATTGGTTTCGGTACTCTTGCGTGATTTTGACTGCAATAGATATGATATTATAGATATAGATATTAAACCATAACGATAAATTATTTGAACTAAATCGTTTCTGATTCAGAGAATCACAGTGCAACGAGGGAACGTATGTAGCATCTATTTTGGGTTCCTTTCCAACAGGACACTAGCTGGAGGAGATTTTTATATTATACAATTTTCTGTTTAACTTTATTGTATGAATACTGTAATATACGGTTGACGTTTTTTTAAACGATAATAAAATTTTATACAATTAATAAATCAAACCAGCTATTTGAAACTAATAAATAAATTGATTCGCATAACTGCTTAATGAATTAACCCTGTCCGTTCATCCAACAAAAATTGCTTATTCCCATGAATCATAAGCATCGATATCTCTTGCACTTGAAGAGTCCTGTTGATTTATACTAATTTTACTTTCCTCCACGTCATGCATTTCTTCTTCATCCATTTCGTCTTGCTCACATTGGTCCCAAAGAGGAATGGCAATCCGAATGCAGGAAGATCCATCAATGATGCAAATCTCATATTTGTTCGCATTCATTAAAGCAGTCCTAGACAAATTAAATAATTAAACCTCAAAGGTAATGTTAGGCATAATTATAGTATGAGTGTGATTCTGATTTTTACTTTATAAATTCTTCATCGACAGACTGCACATTTGTTGACTTTGTTGGCAGCAAGTCCTTAATTTCTTTCATTGTGTATATAACTTCGTAAATATCATTTTCCATATAATTCTCAATATTGCGTTTGGTTAGCCAACAGTGACAGATTAAATAGTCTACATCATCTACAACGATTTGTTCTAAGGTGCGTTTTTCGATATAGTTTGGAAATATCACAGACTCTATCAACTTGTATGCATTATCTTTGGAAGGTAGAATTTGATTTGTGCGTTGGGGGACCCTGCTATTTCTTGTAAATACTGCCATTTGCGAGACGCATCCAAGGGGTGCAGTATCAGGCAGTGGTCCCTCGCCAACACCATGAACTGAGTAATCGTATTCTGGAAATTCAGTGCATATCTTGTCGCACCAAGTTTTAAATTCATTTCTTGTCCATTCAAACTTGTGATCCCAGTGTCGAAATTTGCCAGGCGGAAGATTGAATACAACGTTAAAATCTGAATTTGGCGTTGTCACCTACATTTGGTGAGAAAAACAATGATTATATACATATAATACAATACTTTACTATTGAAGGGTAAGAAAAATAAGAGAATAACACCATACCACCACAATTTCGGGATTGATGACTCCAAATACACTGATTTCGAAACCTCTCAAGACTTCTGGATGTAAATGCTCGATTAATTCGATTGCTATTACACCCCAAACTTCCGGGTTTTCCTGGACAATCCGTGTGTCTACATATGTTATGTCTCCGGCGTAAGCTTCAATAACGAGAGGTTTGGGTCGAGTGGGTCGTTGCAAATATTCGGCTGGAAAGGGTCTCAAGTTTGCCTTCCGCTAATACATAAAACAAAAATTAGAATTACATAACGTAAACACCACTACAGATATAAATAGCATGCCAAATTTGAGAACCATTATTACGTCAGTCAAAAGTTTCTCGTCAATGTCCAAATAAATAATTTTTCCCAGCTCCAAAATGTTTTTCAAGAAAATGTGCATTCCATATTCAGCGCATCCGACTTCCATCACGGTCCTTCCGTTCTCCAAGTCGAGATTAAATGGCTCAGAGAACATTGTTTTCAATATTTCCTGTACTGCTGCATATCGCTGAAGGTAGACGGGGGGATTGAATGTAACCGTGTCAGACCCTTCAATCTCGGTCAGTTTGCTGTCGACGGCCGCCTCCACTACGGCGTTGTCCGATGGAACTTTCGAAGTGACATCTGCCAAATGCAGGCTGTCCAACCCCTTTGCAAGCACTGAAGGCATCTCCATTTCTTAAACTATCTCCAAAAGAGCTTTCTAATTCTAAAAATTTTGAAACTCTATCGTTGACACGCACGCTATGCTTTTGTATTTTCAATTTCCATTCAACTTTGGAATGTAGAGAGAATGAATGAAGAGTTCGTGCGGCTCGATTGGGGCAAGAAGCAGTAGAATTTCTCCAGTCTCACAAAAATTGCTTTCACTGCTTTCGCCTACACAATATTACAATTGGAATTGGTTGGATGAATCAAAAACATGAAAAATTCTAATATTTTTTGTTAAACATGCACAGCATACATTTCATATATGACAAACCAGTAACAATCAGTCACACATCATAAGTAAAGATGTGAGACGAATAGTAGTTCAGCAAATGTTAATGTAACTTTAACCCTTTTCATATGATTAGTTGTTGAATAATCATCTGCTAATTAATTCCTGACAAAGTTTGGCCAACTGGCTGCAATCTTATTTCGCCAAAATGGAAGTCTTTGGAGTTAACGAGGTGGGTAGAAAACGCGTCTGTGTGGTTGGAGCGGGTGCAGCAGGACTTGCAGCAATTCGACACATTGCAGCCAGTGAGACGCTCGAGGGGACCGTGTTCGAGAGTGCTGGAGATATCGGGGGAATTTGGAGGGATGACGGCCTCACTCCACTCTACAAAGGGCTCAAGTATGCACAAATTATACTGAACAAATTATTTCAGTTGTTGCTTCAGTATCTTTAAAAACATGGATTCCATAAGAGACACTCCTAAATTTCAGGACCAATCTTCCAAAGCAAATAATGGGGTTCTTGGATTTTTCCTTTGACACTGACAATTCTGAGAAGAATTCATTTTTGATGCACTATGAAGTGCTCAATTTTCTTACTGCATTTACCGACAAATTCTCTCTAAAGGATTACATTCACGTAATTATTTACATGTTGAAAATTAAGAGAGAAGTAATAATATTCTTATACTTTAATTAGTTTAATACAAAAGTTCTCCATATACGACCTGTGAAGAAAGTAGATGCAAAATGTACAGCCAATAAAGAACTTCTTTGGGAAGTTACTTACGAACGTAGTTCTAAGAAAAATATCGAATATTTTGATGCAGTCGCCATTTGCAATGGGTACAATGCTTACTCTAAGTATGTTAATAATAAGGTTATGTAGAGAAACTATATTTCAAGATTTTCTAAAAATTTTAGACACTTTAACACATCATTGATTCCAGGCCCAAAGCAATTGTATGAATTCAAAGGGAAACTAATGTACAGCCGAGAGTACAGAATTCCAGAACCATTCACCGGTAAAAATTTGTATTTGTAATTATTTTAATTATTTATTATTAATTTAATTATTCTAAATAAATTTAATTATTTAATTTCATTAATATTTATTTTAAAATAAAATATTTGTTTTGGCGTTTTGAATAAGGTAAAAATGTTCTTGTTTATGGATGTGGTCCATCTGGAATTGATATCATGCTAGAAATTGTAAACCTAGTGTCGCAGGTCCGTTAAGAAACTGTAATCTACAAGATTATTTACTAGATACGTAAATACATTAAAAATCGTTCTTAAAATTTTCAGATCACATTCAGTTTTCGTCGACCCCCATACACAGGAAATCTGCCAGACAAAATCTCACAGAAACCACCCATAAAAGATGTCCACGGGTACAGTGTGACCTTCCAAGATGGAACCATATCAGATTTTGATGTCATTCTTATTTGCACTGGTTATTGATCATGACCATAAACAAATTTTTATATTTGAATTATACTGTTTTATATTTTACAACAGGATATGAATATGATCTGCCATTTTTAACTCCCGAAGAGTCATGCCTTCGAATAGAAAATGGGAAATTCATCTCTCCTCTGTATCGACACATGATAAATATTTCCTATCCAACTATGGCTTTGATAGGACTGCCGTTCAGGAATTGTCCATTTATGCTCTTCGATTGTCAGGTTGTAATTCAAACTCAAAGGAGATTACAGCATTTAAGAATAAAATTTTACATGAATCTTTCCTCCCAATTGTCTGTAGATGCGCTACTTTGTAAAATTACTTGAAGGGAAAGCAAGTCTACCCACGGAAGCGGTAATGTTGGCAGAATTGGAGGCTGAGAAGAAATACCGCATCGACAAGCAGATTGGTTTTAGTAAAAGTCATCAACTCGAAGAGCTTCAATGGCCGTACATGCGGTCCTTGGCGAAAGATGGAAACTTTTCTCATCTGCTTGCAGATCTTCAAGTTAAACGAAAAATATATGAAAAGGTGGCTCAAAGACGACATGCGTTCCCTGCCTTATACAAAAATGATGAAATTGTGGTTCTTGATAACGAGTCTTATAGTTTCCTGGAAGCTGTGTGAGCATAATCCAATATTTACAAAATTAAATGAATAGTTGATTAGCAAATTGTATGCACCCAAAGCAGATTTTTTGTAAATAGTTTGATTAGTCGCTGGACACATGATTTGCACCAATTTATTTACTTGGGTTATCACAGCACTAAAATGATTCTAAGATATCATTTAAAATTTCTTAAGTAGGTCCATAGTAGTGCCCAGCGTAATACACAAATTGCATTGACAATGTCAATTTGACATTGAGGAGAAAGTTGAGAAAAATATTTTTTTGGTGAGACTATTATGCAGCTTTTACCCCAGGTTGCAACCCGCACAGCCAAATTTTCGTATTGTTATCCTAGGAGTTAGGAGCAAACTATAAAACTCAAAAACGTTAGACAATTCATCTGCATTTGGTTATTAATAAAATTCATCACAATTCTTTCAATTCTTTATTTTATCAACAAAACTAAAAGCAAGTCAACATTATGTCATCCGACGAGAAAGAGAGTTTCGAAGTGACAGACTTTGATTTGGAGACGGAATTCAACCCCAACCGGTTTCAAAAAAAGTTTACTAAAAAACAAATGATTTATGGTAAGAACAAAATATGAAATATAGTACGCTAAAGATTTAATTGTCGTAGTGTATGGTGCGTCAAAGATTATGTTTGTTTATCGTAGGGGTGTTTGGGGGCGAGGATAGTGACGAAGAGGATGAGGAAAGAGGAGGGCGGCGTAATAACAGACGAGGGGGTGGGCGTGGCGGAGGTCAAAGTTCCTACACAGGAGGTCAAGCTTTCGTCTCTGCTGGAGTTCTCAACCCAGACAAGAATGAGACCAAGTCAATCGATGAAAAGGAAGACGACGAAGCAATGGATAACGATATCCCCGTCACAGATTCGTCAAGGCAAGGGTCACAAATAATTATTACATTATTGCAACCATTATCGTACGTATTATTACGTTATTGTTGTGGTGCTCGATTACATAATAATTTTCGTGTTTAATTTAGTGAAGAGGAGGAAGTTCAATTCGTGTCCCAGAAAGAACAAAAGTTTAATAGTATGGGATTGGAGATTGCAGGAATGCGAAAGCAGTCTCTTGGGGCAGGGGCAAAAGGTTTCGAGATGTACGGTATTGGAGCTAAAATGTTGGCTGGTATGGGGTTTCAACCAGGGAAGGGGCTTGGAAAGGATTTGCAAGGAATCAGCGCCCCAATTGAAGCTCATGTTAGGAAAGGACGAGGAGCAATAGGTACGCGATTTACTTTAAATAAATCGTTTTTTGTGCCGACAAAAAAAAACTGGGCAATTACGGGGGCAATTACTTTATCGAATATTCTGGTCATATGTTACAGGTCTATATGGAAAGGAAAAAAAGACTGCTCCTGCTTCCGAACCAGTTTCAGCCCAGCATAATAAATCTAATAAAGAAATAGCAGGTCCATCTGAACCCAAATGGCAAAGAGTAAATAAACTTAAAGAAAAGGTTGAGTACAAATATTTAACTGCTGAAGAAGTCCTAGAACAAAAGCAAATACGCGTCAGGCCTGATGCTGGGTAATTATATGCATACATAATATAGCATGATCTTTATGAATGCTATGTAATGTTTAATTTTTATTGTGTAATATTTAGACACCTTGCAAAAGTCAAAGTTCTAGACTTGACAGGACCAGAGCAAAGGATTTTGAGTGGATACCACGCAATCGGTGGGCAGCAAAAAAGGCCACAATCAGAGTGGTCTGATGAGTCAAAGCGAGACGAAGGATTTAGTAGATTGGCGATAAAATCTCAATTCGACATTCCGGAATTAGTGCATAATGTAGAACTTTTAAAAGAAAGCTGCGAATATGTAAGTTTGGAGAAATTCAAGTTTTACGAACTTTAATTTTAATTTTAATGTAAACCTTATTTTTTGTGTAGGATATATTCAAGAATGACAAGAAAGCCAAGTACGCATCAGATAGGAAGGTTACCTTAGCTGAGGAATTGGATGACCTGAAAAAGACTGTTACTGAAGAAGAGACCATGATTTTTAAAATGGAAAAAATTATGACAGAAATGCAGAGCATTTGCAATGCGACTGATTTGGACATTGATAGCTCGTTTTTATTGTTAGGAAAATTGAAGGTATGTTTCTTGTCCAATTGTTTAGCGTGCGGATGGTCTGGATCATCAGTACAGAAATGAAATGTGAATAATAATAATAATAACGGTTGTGATTTGTTTATAATTATCTAGAGAGATTTCGAAGAAGAATGGGAGTTGTATCAACTTTATGCCTTGGTACCTGCTGTGGCTATTCCACTTATTAAAGAGGCACTAAAGTCCTGGAAACCACTTGAAATGTCGCAGTATCCTCTTCAACTCTTGAACGATTGGGCATCACTCTTAGGATCTCAGACTGAACAGTACGAAATAATTTTATGGGAGACATGGATGCCATGTATTAGGCAGGCAAATACGTAAGTATAATCTTCTTGTCAAATTTTCATAAGAGCATATAAGTAGTTTCAAATGCAATAATTTACATTATTTCGTTAGGAGTTGGACAGTAAAAAATGCAGAACCAATGGTTAGACTAATTCAATTTTGGAAGCCACTTCTTCCACTATGGCTATTGGAAATTATCCATGACCAGCTTTTATTGCCAACACTCTCACAAGCAGTCGAAGATTGGGACCCTTTATCGGATGTTGTACCCATTCATGCATGGATTCACCCTTGGCTTCCACATTTAGGTAATTATTGAATATAATATTTTATATTTTTTAGCAAATTATAGTACCTAATATTTTGAACAAATAATGTTACACTATTCCGTAGGTACAAAATTGGAAATCGTGTACCCTACAATCCGGGCGAAATTAGCAAATGCTTTAGGCAAATGGCATCCTAGCGATGTGTCTGCAAAGCAAATATTAACCCCTTGGATCACAGTATTTTCTAAAGGAGCAATGGACACATTCTTAATGAAAAATATTGTTCCCAAACTTCAATTAGCAATGCAAGAGCTCGTAATAAATCCAATTCACCAAATTCTAGGTAAGTTTAACAAGATCAATTACTTAGTAATTTTGTGTGACAGCTAACATGTTAAAATTTTGGTGTTTGTTGCATTTTATAGATCCTTGGAACTGGGTGATGGAATGGATTGATATGCTTCCCATACAATGCATTGTTAATATTTTAGAAACAATGTTTTTTCCAAAATGGCTCCAATTTTTAGCCAGTTGGTTAAATCAAGTTCCAAACTATGACGATGTACGCCAGTGGTATCTCTGGTGGAGAGGACTATTTAAAGATCAATTAATGAGAGATCCAGTTGTAATGGGTAAGTTTTTGTGAATTCTTATATTTGATAGAAATTTTTGTTTTGAAATTGTTAAGAATTTCATTTTCTTTTGGTGAAATAGAAAATCTTCAAAAAGGATTAGAAATAATTGGAGCTGCAATGCAACGGCCTGGACAACCTATGGATTTCAGCTTTATCCTAAATCGGGCATCGTTAGCTCAACAACAGCAAGCACAAGCTCAATTAAGTGGACATTCTAAGCCACCCGAACTTATGGTTGATGCAATGCGACTAACTGCTCAAGTCCCTCATGGATTTAAGGAACTTGTACAGATGAAGTGCGAAGAGCTTGGACTTATTTTTATCCCGGTTCCTAATAGATATTACGAAGGGAAGCAAGTTTATAAGTGCGGTAGAGTTATGATTTACATTAACGCTAATGTTATTTTCCTACAACGCGATGGGCAAATGTGGATTCCTGTATCTTTAAATCAATTAATTCAAGCCGCAAGTAGCTAAAACAAATGATATTAGTTAGTTTTTGTTTTTAAAATGTTTTATTTTTATGTTTACAATTAGCATGAATTCATATCACAATAAGAATAATTTTGCAAATACAAAAAGTATTTTTTTTAATAAAATTTCCAATAAAGGAAAAATCTTGTAGTTGGATAACATATCAGTTATTTACCTATATATATGCATATTATGTATGTAAATATGTAGGTATAGGTATACACGTACTGCATAACAATAATTATTATATTCTCTCATCATTCAACATGCATAACTGTGATAAACGTATAATCAGGAACTAAAACAATATTTCATTACTGTGTTGTTGCAACTTGTCCGCATAACAATAGTACTTCAAACGCAACAAATAAGAGCGAGCTTCCAAAGAGGTCCCCTAATGCCGTCAAATAAGGGATTGTCGCAGTGTCGGGGTCAATTCCTCGAACCCAGCACAGGTTTGTTAGAACCTTGGCAATGTAGAGAAGCATTGTTACCTGCAGATAATTTTTGCAATGACACAATCATCTTTTGTACTCTGAACAAAATCAGAAACTTGAAATTATTATTTTGGAAGGACATACTTGCGTCACTGCCGCTGCTACGTAAATCACTAAAAACACAGGACCGTAATTTGTATCATCATTGCTGGCAACGAAATGGGCCACGGTAGAAAACAACAAATGACCAGGGATTGCAAGCAACAGCAAAAGTCTTGCCGACATTGAATTTATTCCTGAAATAAGAAAATTAATGTTAATTAATCCTCACATTGTGTGTGCGGTTGTTATTAAAATTGGTTATCGTCCTACTCCTAACTGCTCACCTTTTCCCATAAAGACTGAGAACGGAGTCTCGCAGACTCTGCTATTGTCCGGCAACAGTCGTTTTTCACAATGTCCATGCAAATACGAAGAGATCCTCGAGGCTTGAACACTGACCAAGTTTCCGCCTATTCCATTAATCACCTAATAAAATTAAAATACAATTTGAGCTGTTTTGTGCTATGTTTGGTAATTTCAATTCAAAATTAATTATGAGCTTGAAAAATTACTGGCTGATAAAGCGCCACTCCAGGGAATCTAGCTGAGGCCAAATCCAACAGAATTCCCCCACCCCTAAAATTGCATTCAGTATTTAGTGATTTTATGCTCACAAGGTATCTATCTAGATAAGTCAGACAAGTTTTGCATTACGTGCTGATTAAAACTGAAACGAGTAAGGGAACCCATCCGGATATGGTCACAGGCCTGGTGTACTCATTGCGGAATGCCAACCAGAAACAAACGGGTAGGCAAGCGAGGTAGAAGGCAATTATAACATAAGGGATCCAAGCAAAACCATCTACAGATAAAATATACTGATTTTAAAATCCATGATTTCATGATTCAAGGTGAACTTGAAATTACCCTGATGCCACCTGTACAGTTGGCTGGCAAAACATGATAGCATCCCCAAAGTGACAACGTCTCCCAGTGAACCAGCAACTGGGGTCGCTGTTGGAATTGTCATTAAAAGCAATTAATTATAATAATTATAAATAATTGCTTTTAATGACAATTATTAACACGTGTTAATTATTAACACGTACTCTTTAATTCTTAAATAAATATACGGGCGGACGCATTAGAGTATTCAAATATTTACTTATTATATAATGCAACGTACCGACATTGTCTGGGTTAATTTTGAATTTTTTTGAAATCAGTATGACAGAGATCATGGTTGAACCCAGAATCAAGGAGACCATGCTGGCAGTTAGTACGCTCGATACCACAACCAAGCTCATATGGTCAGGGTCAAATTTTCCTGTGAAGGTGTACCCAATGGTCACAGCAATTAAAGATGCGGAGAAACCACATACAATCGCTTGCAACTATAGTAAAATTTCACGTTAGAATTAGTTTTCTATATTTGAGTAAGCGTTAACTTAAGATACGTAATTTATGTATTTACCTGATCTAGAATCAAGTTCCCACTACAAATTGTCCACTTTTTACCAGTAGCTTTATCCAAATTCCCAATGTTGGAATGCGTTGACAATCTCGCTGCCAGAGTCATTTCCAGATTTCCTTTCAATCCTAATAAGAGTTTGAATTTACAAAAATTTACAATTTACATTTATAAATTTAAATACATATTGTTTATCATTAAAACAATTTACCTAAAAGGGGTGTGACCAAAATGACTAAACAATAAAAAAATAACCAAAATTAAATTTATGTACTTCTGCCATTATGGATAATAAATTTTTGGATCAAGAAAATAATTATCGATGCAGAATGACATTATTGACACGCATATAATTGGCTAAAGGAAGTAATACCTAATTCGCCGATGTCGATAAATACGGGCCAGGTCTGAAATAATAGTACGATTCAGTAGGGTGAACTTTTGGGCACCGTTAATCCGAATTAAATTTTATGAAATCAGTTCCATACCATGACGTAATCTAGTAGTAATCCTGCGCCAACCATCCCAAGACCAGCAATTAGAAAGGGAAGACCAATTTGGGACAGAATAGATATCCACGTTTCATCTTTTCGAACTGGACGTTTGCCCAGCGAAATGAGGGAAGCTCTCGAGTCGCCTGCTCCCAAACTGGGATGGATGGGTGTTCCAAACCGTGAAGGGTCTTTCTCATCGCCTCCTCCGCCTGCACAAATGCTGCTCGTCGCAAGTGATACACTTGACCGGGACACTGATCTAGGATCCGGGGAAGAATTATTACACTCGTAAATCGGGAGTGATGCAGATGACTCCGTCACAAAGACTCCCCCGTGCGTCCCACGCCCTTCATCGCCCATCGAGCTGATGGAGAAGTTCATAGAAATGCCATCATCGCAAGAAGGGGTGGGCGAATCCTGGACAATTTCAGTGTCATCGCTTTCGACGACGAATGGTTCGTTGCAAACATCGACAACGACGATCCCCACAGAAGTGCGTCGTTGGTGGGGTTGGGTAACGTAGCCGGGCAGGGCGGACACGTCCAAGCATACTTGTTCATTCTGTGGTGGGGTCGTCGTCATCATTGTGTCGTTTTTGGCAGTCCAAATTGCAGAGTCTACTGAATCACGCCTTTGAAGACTGAGTTGAAGTGCTTGTACCATCCTTAAGTTGTTGTATTGTGTGTAAGGGTATAGTGACGACAATGCAGAAGGACGCTAACCCTGCGTTTATAATCATAAAAATACACGGTATAGTCATGCATATAAACATACATATTTATATGTGCATTGTAAATAACTGCATTTTTATATAGTTTGGAAATAATTAATATGCTTCATTATACACATGTAAGTTAACCATGAACTTTATTATTGCATGGTTATTGTTTTATTGACTTCATTGTTTGTACTTTAAATTTTTACGGTGTAATCCTTAATTTCCCTTCTGCTAAATTATAAGAGAACTAATCTTTATTGTGATAAGTGACGCCGGTATAATGGAGTTTGTGATTTCTGTAATACGTAATGTCTCATTATCTGTCCAACCACATCGTCGTAGTTCGTTCGGGAATTTAAAATCCAGTTTTATCTGGAATTTTAATGTCGTGATACACGCATGTGTACTAGGCTTCATCAAATCATCAAAGCAACAATGAACCATAATGGGCTCCCGTCTCGTCTCAACTTCACAATGATCGGGAATCCTCATTTGTCTCGGTTTTCATGCATCTCATGCACTTTTTATCCTCATTAAAAATTGCAACTAAAAAGTTTCACGGACTGTCTGCATGATTAATGAATTTGTATTGACTTATGTACATATATACTTTACACTCTTACATACATGCATACTTATGTATGGCCTATGAGGGGTGCGTATCTATTAGCTATACATATTTCATTTTATGGTGTTTTCTTAGACGCTCCTCCGTTATCCGACGCAATAAGTATGTCAAATTCTTTTAAACAAGACCAATTTCTCAAATCTTTCCCCATAGAAAAATACTATACGTACATATGTGCAAACTTGTGGTGCTGCCATAATAATCAACTTGGAACAATCGAGCATTCAAACATTTGTTCACAATATACAAATGCTTCTCTTCCTATTTTGACGCATGGCTAGCGAAATGAAACAAGACAAAATACGCTTGAATATTCTTCCTCAAATCTATGCCACTAGACAGTACACAACAATTTATAATGCATAAAGATCAAGGTCGAGTATCTTCAAACCAACGTGTGACTGATTAGGATAGTATCAACGAATAATAATGGTGCGATCCTGCCCGCATTATAGTATTGACATTGGCGATGAAAGGTTAATCACATGCAACATCGGTGGAGACTGTCTCATTACTGGCGTTGAAGACTAATCTTTTGTTGTTCGTTAACACACGCTCTGATGTTTATGAAGTTGCCGTGATGAAAACCGAATGTCATTGACATTTAAAAAGTTGCATATCATTTCCAATTTTCAAACAGCAAAATCTTATTTTCGGACGACTTACCGGTTCGAAAGAGCAGTTTACACCTTCGAGGAGGAGGAAGCCGAGAAGTTGACCTGGAACTGATTTGACGAAGATTGCAGAGCAAACGGCGTTACAGCCGAGTGACACCGATATTCTCGGAAACGTCTTTTGTACCATTAAAGGTCCTTTGGAAGAAGGATAAGAAGATGAATGAGGTGTAATTAGTCGTCAAAAAACAACCGTGTCCCCACAATCTGCACAAGGTTTGGCCACGGTGAACGGAATTTTGTTTTCTTTTTTAAAACAAGTCGACAAAAGTGAAAGCTACGTAGACCAATTTAGAAAATTGGCCTCGACAATAAACTTATGTATGTGAATACTTGGTATGGATTAATATTTTCACTCGAAGTATGTAGATAACACAATCACGATAGTGTTGATAAACTTGGGACAAAGTGAGTTTGTGAATCTCAATTTTCTCAATACGTATGTAAACGCGTGTCTCACTTTCCCCACGACTTAAATTGCTGGACGTGGATAGTAATTATTAGGTTTAAGGAGGATTCTTGTGGGTGCAACTGGCCGGATAGAGGTCTCAACGTCTAATGAATTGAAACTTTGAGGCAGGAGACAGTTAAATATGGTGAGCCGAGGCTTTTTGTATTTATATCGCATGTCCTAAGCTTTTTGGTGATTGGGTCGGGTCCTGATGTGCAGTATTCACATTGCAACATACGTACTACCATGCAACCAAATCTCGATGGGTCGTTAAGCAGAATCTGTATCAATCCAGAATGAATATAGCTTAATCTATGTGTACCCGATATCATTCACCCCAGGTACGCTAAATATATATCCCAACGCTTAATTTCTCTCAAAAAAAGCTAACAATGGCATAAGCTATATTAACGGTTGAAGTACAATTAAGTTAATTACTGAAATTTCCAGCCAGATTCCATAAATTGAAGCGTTTCAGACATCCTTATCATGCCGGATTTAATTTTTAATTAGTTTAATACAGTTAATCAGAGCCGATTATGTTAGAAGTTGCTGTGCGCCTGACACCTCATTCTGGTTAAAAGAATGCCACGCGTGCAGACAAAAGTATAGAATAGAATTTTAATTTTTTCACAATAACAGACAAACATTCGCTTTACATGCAGCATCCCCTATTCTTCTACAATTTAGTAAATGACCTGCCTACGCATATATGTTCATAGCTTCAGTCTGGGGATTCAGACCGTGTTATGAAGAAAACTATTTTCCACTTAATACAATATTGTAAAAATATATAGGATTTAAAAGGCATCCAGACATACCGATCTATTTGGAGATTGTGATGGTGCACCTCGAACAGCTTTTGTACCTGTGCTGGCGTCTCACAATAGAGTTCATTCTTTTGGTGGAATGTTAAGGACACAGGTTTAATGTTTGTTTTTATTATTAACAATGTGACTAAATACTGAAACTGAGTTGCGACTTTCTCTGAAAAAAAAATATATTCCTTCACCTTTATCTTTAAAATTATCAGCAAAGTCTGGAATCGTGCTGCAAACTGGAGTATCGAATGTTGAGTGATGTTCGTCGTTAAACAAACCCCACCAAAATTATAACACAATTCAAAACCCATACAATTGATCATAACAATTGTGCATACGCAAATATATAAGCAATCAAATTGAGTCATTTACACATTTCGAAATCAACAAAAACAACATGCGACAACTTTTTACCGGCAAGATGACCATGTTATTTACTTAAGTAGGTGATATAATCACACCTATAAACAGATCAAAGTCTAAAGATACCCATATACCGTTTACGTCTGATCATTCTAAGAAACCCGATTATAATAATCTAATTGATGAGGGAACCGTGCAAGGAATAAATTTCAGACTATTAAGTGGACGACTTATGACAATATTTTTCTGGTTGGCAAATGCATATATTTTGCGTAAGGCCAGAATATTCGCGACGGCAGGATGTGAAACCTGCTTCAATCGTTCGAAAGCGCAGATGTCTCTGCCTGGAGTCACGTATACAGCGGTTAAATTGTATTTCGGAATATTTTGATCTCAGAAATTAAAATTATTCATCTATGCATGCGTCCCGTACTGCTTACGTTGTCGCATGTACATCGTAGTGGGTACAAATTATATGTCCGCGTGATTCTGTTTTGTTGTCTCCTGCCCCACGTAACAATTTTGAATCGATTCATGGATTCTAATGTGAGCGTCATAATGCGAAAACAAGTGATCAACATTTGTTTATCACAATATGAGTCCAATTAGAACTATTTTGCCTATTTCAAGTCAAGTCAAGTAATCCTTTATTAACATGTCAACAAATATCAAATATTTGGCTACAATCAAGGAAGAGGAGTTACCTACATATCCTAGGAGGAAGCTAAAAATGTTCTTCCCTGTTTCCATTTTATTTGTGATTCCGACTCTACTGATGTGTGGCATTTTAGCACTATTGTTTCTGGGACTATTGTCTATTGAATAAATAATGAGTCCACATTACTCTTTACTTGATTCGCGATAACACATCTGTAGTTTTGGGTTTCACTATCCCTGTTATTCAATTAGTGAATTAGGAAGAGAATTAGGAGGAGTAAGCAACCCGTATTTTTCCTACGGATTTATGAATTGGCATACATGTACACAGATATGACTGACTATTTCCGTAACACACGGCAAGAAAATGGCACTTTCTGCACGTGCACCTGAAAGAGAAGGTCAGGTTGCAAATCCTTTTTGCATAACTGCATACATAGATATTAATATATTCCCATGCATATACATATGTTTGTAGTTGGATAATTGGCAAACCCTGAAACCTCACGAGATTGCCAAATCGAATAAATCGGAAAGGGTAAGGACAAATTTGTGTAGTTTTTTATAGCATAACAGAAACATTGCATATGATATTTATCTCATATTGTCACCAACGATTCGTAAAAATATTCAGCTCGAGTCAGTTTATGGAACCGGTATGTCTGGTAAACGGTAGAAAAAAATGTCTCCAATGGAGTTAAAATTTACCCATGTGTGACCCAGTTGTTCGCCGGTGGGGGCCAATTTAGTTGGGTCAGCTGACAAAATTTTTTGAAGAGGATTCTGACCTGACTTAAGCTAAACGAATACTGCACTAGAGGGTTCTAAATATATGCATATGTATGTGTGGTACGACACTAATCCTAAGTAAGTATTGCATGTTTTTGGGTTGTAAGACCAATACCCGCATGTCTGCAATTGACTTGCACAAAATCAGAAATAATTAACATATCCACAAACTGTTTGTTAGACAAAACGAAAATCCGTCGACACTGAAATTCCAGTCAAGGCAGTAACCAAATTCAAAGAAAATGTCGACGGGTGGGATACTTTTTCGACAGACAAACCAACTTTTCTACCTTTCCCTAGAAATTTGCAGTTTGTTAGACGATCATGATGATGTAGTGTCTCATTTTACATGCTGACAAACTGTCTTATCCAGAGCTTTAAGGAGAATGCTCTTGTAATTTGAGTTAAATATCATCCGAAAACACTTCTTAAATCATACAGGGTTAGTAATGTGAGAGTTTAATTAATTTAATTTTTGACATTTAATCTTTGACGAGAAACGTCAATGGTCATGATTCTCAATTAAGTAGTCTCATAAAATGCTTACAAGTTTTAAGTTGTAAAAAATATGTTATGCATTTTAGATTGCACTCGGTTGACCTGTAACATCACCTTAATCAGCAATTAGCATACAAGTAATTATTAACAAAGCCATAGAACCAAGGATATGTCTGCTAATCTGCAGTAATAGTGATGCGTTTGTAACTTTATTGCTGGATTAGCTAATCCTCTTCCAACCACACGAACGATGTACTTTCATACATACATTATACATAATTTGTATTCTCCAACTTATCAAATACTGGCTGGCTGTTTATTCAATGAGCAATTTCTGCAAAATGGCTAAAATAAGTTATCTAATGCACATCCAGTCTAGCGTATGTATATCCAAGAATTAAAAGCAGGATTGTTCAGTAAATAGTAATAAATTGCATTGAAGCTAATCAATGTCTGGTCCATATCACAACTTGTGATATGGTAATTGCTCAAATTTTATAGGAATTTAATTTATTTAATTCAATTCAACTAAAGCAAACTATGTAATCGTTGGCTTCCGAGAATTGCTTTGAAATCAACTAGCAAGTTGTTCATGATAATAGCGACAAAAACTGCAATGCACATATTTTGCTTTTTAGGACAAACATTTCATCCGGATATATTATTATAATTCTCTACAATGAAACACATTTGAGGATAAATAAAACCCAAATAAACATGTACTAATGCGTATTTCGATAAATCATTCCTATTTGCTACATATATTTGTTTTCAGAAATTTTAGCAAAGTTGGTTTCATATGACATAAAGTGCATGCTTAATTTTGAGAATTTAATTATCTAACTTATCTTTAGACCTATGAGTTTACCTCACCTCAAAGTGGTCCACTGACGCACCTGCAACACTGGGACGTTGCCGAAGTCCATTTATGTAAATATTATTTACGAATGCACTTAAAGGTGTGCTTTATGTTCCAGGCTACAATTACAAATTTTGATCCTTCTTCCAATAAGAAACGTGAAATTACTTTATCGATGACTATTATTGAACATTCTATTACCAAAGCTATTTATTTTAATGGCGTAATGCCTACGCACAAGTTTGCATAAAACACAGCAACCATAAAATTTATTAACGCATATTTAAGTGAGCAGTATAAAAATTTAGTTTTTTAATTCCCTAAATGGCACAAACACTTTTGAATTTATATCAAGTATGACTAGTAATGAGATTTTAACCATATAGCACTCGTTCTAATCAAATATATGCGACGTTGTGCATATGCAAAATGTTGGTAGTAATGCTGACCAGGCGCAACCAAAATTTCGTTGCACCCATTGACTTGTAATTTCACAAAGGAATACCAAGAAATATTTCGTTATCTAGAAATAAAATACACTTGGCTATCCAAACCAGTACTACAACCAGAACCACATATTTCAAAGGCATGGACGATAAGTAAACGTACTAAAAAGTCAATTTCAAGGTAGTTGTGTGTGATGAAATATAATTTCAACTACTTAAATCTCCAGTAATGATTATCTCATCACTTTAACTTTCATGCAGCATAAAATGAGCTAAAGACATGCAATACTCATAATAATGGGCAGGAATATAATTGATTTAAATTGTGATTGCCTCTGACGTTATTCAGGAAAGTATGAATGTGAAATTCCGAGCTATACAGTCTCTAAAACCATTGACCGAGTCGACATTTTTAATTAATATGACTTTTTTTTTACTAATAATGTGTGTCATTTAATTGCCACACTTTTATGGAATATTGTGCATCACGAAAAAAGTCTATTTTTGGCTAACCTTTATGACTTGCAGCGATTTTTAGAAGCAATATTGCAGATTCTTCCAGGTAAAAGTTGTCACTGAATTTTATCCTTTGTTGTTGGAGATTAATAATAGTAGCAGATTAGTAATAATTGAATTAAATATATAGTTGCCTTTAAATAGATGGACAAGAGTGACTGAACGATAGATTTGAACTGGAACATACATTTTAGACCGCAATGGCAGATTTTGTCGAGCATCTTATTTCCAGGTCATTGGTCATTACTTAACTCGGAATCGAACTAATAATAACAAAAATCAAGCGGCATCTTTGTGAAAATTAATGTTATTAAATATGTATAATCATCGGGTAACGTAAAAAGGATCATATTACAATCAAAACAGCCAAAATGTGCAGGTCAACAATTTTAAAGCTGGATTGCAATCATGTAGTTATTATGTACCAACCTGTGTAATTGTCTGGGGTCGTCAGCATTACAATAACCGATGAATGAACTACATACGGCAAAATTGATTGCATTTCGAAGAAATTCATAACGTAGTTGCGGCTTCGTTGTAATTTACGACTATTGTTGATTTTCATGGTAAGTTAATAATGACTTAATTACTTGTGAATGTGATATACTTTGTCTACAAGGTGTAACTGGAACACGGGCAATGTTTGGTTAATGAACCAACAAGACGCATTTATTTATGAGCTCTGAGAAGGGCGTTGATCTGGTTTACAAAGTTTACATTGTGTTTATACGTAGTATAATTAAACGAGATGGTTAAAATTTTAAAATGAACATCATACTTATTGCTCCTAAAAACCGAATAGGATGTAAAACTTATTTATTACGTTAAGATTTAAGGAACAAATCTGGAAAGATGTGCATACATCATAGTAGAATATGCATTATCATTACAGGTGACAGTCATCCTTGCAGTTATCGGTATATTTGACGAGTTTTTCTGAGTATAATGACAATTTAACACTACGAAGTTTTTAATGGGCTGTATCCGTTTCATTACTATATAGTTTTCGAAATTATATGTGGCTATTAAATAGGTAAAATTAAGTGAAATTGCGACAAACATCCTTTATAGGCTACAATAATTGACAGTAATTACTTTCGATAATTCATAATAGAATCCACTGGCCAAGGTTTGACGTTTTCTTGGTTGAAAAAAGTTTGGCTTTTTGTTCAATCAAAGTAAATTATTTTATTATTAACTGTAACCTTCTGCATAATTTTCTGTTGATGATATTCCTCGTCCGTAGAAAAATAGAAGTACTTGTGTTTGAAATAAGGACCTAACACGATGTAATAACACCACAGAGAAGGAAAAACCTGTTATTCTAGCGTCGAGAACGTTTGCACTCTTTGCACATGACAAGAGCAGGGCAACTTTCAATTTCTTCCACTTCATAACGGAATTGGATTCATCCTCAGTCAAAACAAATATATAAGTGCCATTTGGCATAAACTGTGTATCAGTTTTTCTGAGGTTGGATCACTGCTATTGACTATTACGTATGTATGCATGTTGTGCACACCTATTTTCACATCCTAAGGTTAAAACTTCAAAGGTGAAGTTTCCTTTGCCGATTTGCATGTGATCACAAAATATAAAAAAATTAGTCTGTAACAACGTTCTTACATATCGTGTGTAGTTGACCATATTTTAAATGCTCTTTTATACCTGCTTCATTAAACCTGTAAAACAACCATGTGACACGGCTATTTTCCATACAAACTCCTAAATCAAGAAAGCTTTCATTTTTTATATTCCCTTATAATTAATACTTGAAATTTTACAGGTACATGGATGGATGATGATATCTGCTTGTTGTTTGTAGTTTCTATAGACCACAAGAATCAAGTGGGAGTAGTGTGTCGCAGTGAACTCTTTGAACTACTGCTTCTTGAGATGTGGCAGTACTCGCTTCTTCCAAAATTTTAAATTTAATTTATAAAATGGAATTATTTCTGCTTATCTTAATTTTTACAAGTTTCAATATATGTGCATCACACAAAATAGTCATGGACAACGCGTAAGTTCAATTCCTTGCGAAATTTTCGAAAAGTTTTTTGCAAATAAAATCTGTGATTCTTTTTCACAGAGAGGAACGTGGGATTCAATTCAACATGGGAATTCCTGTGCCCAAGGTGCCAGTGCCAGATGCAAGCTACACACTTACTCACACACTAGACTACTGGCCCTACAAAAAGTTTTACACTGTCAACTTATCCACCGTGCTAAAAAAAGGATACAAAGTATTTTGGTATTTTTGCGAGCTTGTCGGTCTGGGACTCCGTCTTGCATTACAATTATTCGATATTTTTGAAATGAGGAAGTCTTTCGAAGCGTTGGGCCATGGTGGGCCTGGGTGGGGCAAGGAAACAGACGTTGACGATTGGAGACACCTTCATCGCCTCTAAACAGATCCCCAATATGAGAATAGTATCATATTTAAAATATTAATACGGTATTTATTTTTCTGTTATGCATTTCATATTGTTTTTAAGTCTGAATAAAATTACGGGAATTATTATTTTTAGATTTTTTAAATATTTTGGGAGCAAATCATTTAATTGTGGATGAAAAGTTTAAAATAATTTTGCCCTTGTTGAAAGTCAGAATAAGCACATGCGATAGGTGATTAGTGACCTCTGAGAGTTAATTAAGACACACGATGGCAGGATAATTTGATAAAAGGCAGACACAGAAGATGTGAAAAAAATTTAAATTATTATCGATCAGGGATCGAATTGCTAAGTGGACAGCTTGCTTTATTTATTGCCAGTCTTCAACACGCATCTTACTCGACTCGCACGCCATATAAAGGTCTGGGTGAAGTGAAATCGAAATCGACAAGGAAAGAATTCCAAACATTACATTCACTCTAAATTGTTACTGATAATTTTATGAGACAATAGTAAGAATGCAGAATTTGATCATCGTGGTATGTGTGTATGGTAAACTATGCATGTACAGGTACGTACGTATACTTTCAGTCTCATCCTATGTATAATTTGTATGTATGAATAGATGCATATGAAAGTTCCAATTAATGTCCAAGTTCCTTTACCACCACGATAAATAAATTATGTGCACTCTCGATTCACATCAAATTATTCAGTTCCGTTCCCTGACCGATTTATGACGAAGTCAACCCTAGGCATTATTCGTGAAAGGGAATCGAAACTTTGTATAATTATTTGCATGCACAATCCTCTTGGGGACGGAAACTTCGTCAAAAGTGAAAACAGAGGACCTGGCTGATTGGAATGAAATGTTTGCTAGTTCAGTTCGAGCATTTGGAATGCTTGCATTACTTTATGGTTATTAAAATATATTGCTAAAAAATGGCAGAGTAAGCTAAGAATAAGAGAACTAATTTTCCATAAATTTACAATGAAATAGAACGCTAGAGGAAATATAAATAATGAAAGTAATAATTGTACTGCTGCTTACGGTGGTGCCACTAAAAATAAAATTGTGCAGTTGTGCATCTCGATCGCCGGTGATTTCCAGTGTTAGCAACGGAACTTTTGTAGATTCGCATTCTTGGGCAAGGACTTCGTTTTCAGGCCTCAATACAGAATTAAGTCCTGGGCGTTATATCACTAAAAAGAGTGGAATAACCCGCTTGAGACCACCACTACGACTACTCAGACAACGTGGAAAGATAAGTGGAATGGTAAGAAAGTCTGGAGCGGCCAAGAACATGGTACATTTTTATATCTATCCAAACTTCAGGTGAATAATTATTTGCTAAGTGTACGTACATACTTATTGTGAATGAAGTCTAAGAAGTTACTTATTTTGATGCCAATTACTAAATTATTATTAGAAATCCACTGTATCACGAGGAAATAGTCGTGGGAAATAACGCCAGCTTGTCCAGCTACAGGGCTGATTTTAACCCAATAATTTTAATTCAGGATTACATGCAAAACTTTTCCATTGTTTATCCACACAGAACGAAAGACGGTATGCAGAATACTTCAGTATATATTTTACATGCCCAAAATGCCATAAATAATTTCGCTTCATTTCTAATGAGTACATATACACATATTAGCGTATTTAAACCAAAAGTTCAACTCGAACGTAATTATCGTGGATTGGAAGGGGCTAGCTTCTCCTAAATTCGGATTAATCAATAATATTGCCACAAGATACCCAAGAATCTCAAGAAAAGTGTCAAGAATCGCAAGACAAATTACTGATCTTCTCCTCTACTTGTCAACGCAAAATCTCCTTCACGATCCCATGTCCGTGCATATTGTCGGCTTTGGGCTGGGGGCGCAAGTTGGTGAGATGATTCTTGTTTTAATATGGATGCATGAATAAAATTTCGAAATGCAATTTGACAAAATACGTTTTATAAATAAAGCTGGGGTCGTTGGGAACAACTTTAAGCGAGCAACAGGAGGACTGCTTGGTCGTATAACGGGTGGTTATATATTCGAATAATTCCTCGTAAAATAACCATGTAACCATGTAAGTATGTTCTTCAGGGCTTGACCCTTCCGGCCTGCAATACCACTATACAGCAATGTCTGAAAAGCTGGATAAAACGGATGCAGATTTCGTCGACGTTTATCATACAACCACGGCTCCCTTTGGATTTGGAACTTCTATTGGAACCGTGGATTTTTACGTATTTAAATCATATTGCGAAATAAATATTTGAAGTGTATTTTCAGATTGCATTTGTATATTTCTAGCCCAATGGAGGAGGTCCGAGTCAGCCAGGCTGTAAATCTGCAGTACTGGATATGATGAAGGACATTCCAGGGATGGAGGGTCAGATTCACATCACATTTTTATGAGGGTGTAGACGCAGATATTTTTCAGACATATTTATGTAAATTAGTGTTTTTTGTAGGTTCGTGTGCCCACAACCGAGCATGGCAGTATTTCACTGACTCCATTTACAATAAAAAACTTTTTGCCTGTCAGTCTACTTCTTATTTAATGTACAAGATGAAGTCTTTTTGCTCCAAACCCGTGGTATTTGGACAACATATTTCCAAACGGTACGTTAATTAAAAGTTACTCTATTACCATTTACACTAACTGCGTAACTGTGTACGTAAGTTCACGTACATATTTGCGTTCAAAGCAGAAAATATCTAATTAATACTGCTTTCATCTGATTTCAAAGCATTTCATTTATGAATTGCCACGAACGGCCACACAAGATGATTATCATCTCAATTTGTATTTCAGAGCGAGAGGAGACTATTTTCTAGAAGTTGTGCATAAAGACTAACGCAATTACGCTACGCAAGTGGAGTATAATTTATTATAATTATTGCTGTAATTGACCTGTTACGTGAGGCGAGATATGAAAATTAAATGCTCGAATGCAATTCCATTTACGTTTCAAATGGCATTGGAGTCGTCGAAATCTCGAGATGCGCATTTGTTGTTGGGATCTGTTGGCCAACCACAATATCGTCCTTCTTGGTTCCATTCAGTTCCTCCAGGACATGCATGTTCGTACGGCTTTCCAAACACGCACCAATAGTACTGCAATTGACACTTTTATCATAAAAATCATGCATGTATGTATGTGGTACTCTCAAAATATGACAACCTTGCTGCAATCCGTGGGGTGTGGATGAAAATCTTGTTTGGAACAATCCACAGACGTTGGGTCCTCCGTGGTGGTGGAGGACGACGAAGAAAAATAGTCCTCAGAAGTTGATGAGTACTCTGTAACTGCGGTCGTGGTAGTTTCTGGAACGTCGGTGGTTGTTGTTGGCGTTGCAGTTGTGGTACTACTTGGAGGCTGGTTTGATGTGGGGCGTGGTGGCCTCCAAGTGGTCACGGGACCGCTAGACGGATCTGTTGTCCCTGAGCTCCATGTCGTGGTGGTTGTTGATATCTGACCTAGATTTATGTTTGGATTTTCACTTGAAGGCGGAGGCAGTTGCCACTCAGGTCGATTATCTGGTTTTGCGGTTACTTTTGGGACAACGTAGCTCTGCATACCTACAATAGTAGGTAATTAGGAAATTAGCATGCACTCTATTCCATGGATGACGCTCATTATGATAATAAGGAATGTGTAATGCAGAACGCACTGTTCCAAAGGACATCGATTAGTACGTCTCGCGTCCCGCAGACACCTCGAAAGTCATCCATGTCTATTGCCTAAATTCCTTTTACTCATTATTGCGGTATGCGTGAAATATCGGTGTGTGGATTGATGAAAGCCATACCCAATTCATAGCTCCTGCAAATCCTTTTTGCTTTATCCAGTCCATCTTGATCTTTAGTGAATCTGCATCCTCGTAACCAATCCAATTTTTTCCGTAAAACATGTACGGAACTTTCCCTACTTCGTCATATTTCCTTGTCCAATTTCCAGATTTCAGTCTTAAGCAAATCTGCATTAATTAGTTTCTTAAAGTGTTGTCAACCACATTTCATCGATTTGTATTTCAATTTAGTGCTGAACCTCATAGTAGCTCATAAAGCCTCGTGCCTTCGTATATTCTCCAGGATCACCTCCATTTTCGTATTTTACAATGTATGCACCAGGCTTCGTATTAGCAGGATCCCCTAAAATATATGACCTGGCACAATTCATGGTTAGTGTACAGGGTTTTATTATCCAAATTTCTCGTAGTTTGATTTTAAGTAAATCCGTAAATCGTTTACCCACCTTCCATAAAAAGCCATTCCAATTACCTGCAGAATTCGAGAAATTATTACAAAGTTTAAATGTATGTTACGCTAAAAGCATTACAACTGATTACTAGTTTGTCCGGTGAGCATCCCATATCTTGCCACAAGGTTGAACCATCGTTTACGTTTAGCATTTCATAACCGTACTGATCAAAAGGTCGTTTGTACAATGGAGTATGTACATCTGCATATCCCACCTTTTAACCCCAACAAATATTGTAGAGAAAGGTTTCTTTAAATAAGAGATAGAACTTCACAATTAAGCAACTTACCCAGTTACCTGTGAGTTATCATAAATTAAACATTTACGAAAATAGACGAATTAATTTTTTTTACATATTTATGCACAAAATCTAACCAACCTCTCAAATCATACGCCATGACATGAACTGCATTCATTAATCTGAAAAGTAACATTAGAAATTAATTTAGTTCAGACAATTTATTGGTTGGGGTCATACATATGACTATTACTTGCACAACTCTGGTACATGGTAACCCTCATTTAATCTAAATTTTGCAAGTGGCACTGCCATTGTAATTTCCCATGCTTTGTTCACTTTGTGGAATGTAGTTCTCAATTCACGCACAAAGTCTAAAAAATTGTTTTTGTCACTGTAACTTCCACCTCGGTCAGACGCTCCAGGATACTTGAAATTGAGAAATTGCATGGAATTAAGAAAACTGTATATTTATCAATGCATACGATGTAATATGTAAACTGGATTTACTTACTTCCCAGTCAAGGTCAAGTCCTGGATAAAATATTTAATTAATTAAACTCAAATATTAATCTCAAATTAAAGGATAGAAACAAAATACCATCAAACTTGTATTTTTGCAACAGACCTGGAGAAACAGAACATAAATTATGTTTCATGTTCAGGAACATAAAATTATCTGCACTTACGAACTACGCTAACGATGAAACTGGCCCGTTTCTGTGGGACAGCTACCATCTGAGAATACTTCTTGCCCCCTTCTCCCCACCCACCAACAGCAACCATGGCTTTCACCTTGGGATTTTTCGATTTCAAACTCACAAACTTGTCAAAGTTTTTCTGATCCACATCGAGCTAAATGGAGAAATAACATGATTAACCCCCGGTTTAGACTTCACGTTAGCATCACGTCCTCCTCTAAATCCGATTTTTTGATTGGTCGAAATTTTTAATTGTCTTAGTGATATTTTTGATTAGCCAATCAAAAAATCGGATTGGGAGGAGAACGTGATGCTAACGTGAAGTCTAAACCCGGCGTAAGATGTAAAATTTTAATATTTAGCAAATAACTACACTTTTCTATCGACGTACCTCTGGATCAAGTACAAGGGCTTCCCAAGTTACATTAGAAACTCCGATGAACGAGTAGATGATGTGGGTGCATTTATCGACTGGAATATCGTCGACAGTGTATTTTCCGATGCCCTCCCTGTATGTCGCCCAGTTTGAAAAGTAACACACCTGAGAATTATAACAACAGGTTACACATATGCACAAATTATATACAAACTACGACGTAACGCACGTTTTTTGCCAATTTTCCTCCTTGGCCTTCCACATGTATTTCAGCACTTTCTCCACTTGATATCGACAACGCCAATGATACCAGTACCAAACTCAGAAGGGACCTTGGCTTGTCCATGATTAGAGCAGAACGCAAAACGCGTGTGGAAAGGTGTTACGCCAAACCTGGAATACCAAATGTTGAAAGATAACTGCAAAGGTTAGGAGCTCATAAGGGAATGGCTAATGAGATTCTTGAGATTTCAGATGGGATAGTGTAAATTACGCACAAATTCCATTGCGGAGGATTCGTAAGTTTAAAAGTACAGCAAAGCAATCATAATCATTATCCTCCAAGAAGGAAAAAAACTCTTCTTCTTTTTAAAAATCCATTAAGTAGAGAAGTTTAGCGTCATAAAAAACACGATTGTAGAAGTTGCGTATCTTTCTTGATGGGGTTGAAGGACGCGTGCACATACTTCTCTAATGATCAAAAAGGTCAGTTGATAACGCGTAAAGTAAGAAATAGGAGCAAATTCGCCAGGTAATGACCTCGCTACAACGTGGAAAAGAACCACGACATGAACAGGAAAAGAAATGGTTGTTGCAATCTGACACATCATTTATTGTCTATTGTATCACCGTCAGTCACTTTCGGCTGGCTCTTCATTCTCCGCTCGCTACTGATCTCGACTTTATAAGGACAAAGGAGGCAAGAGTGAGAAACCACAAGCGAGTTTTTATTAAAAGATGCATACTTGCATATGTACATAGTATACGCAGATAGTAGATACATACTTTTTAGCTTGTTGTCGGAAGGATTGCATTTTTTAAATGTAATAAAGGTGGAAAGAGCAAGTAGGACCAATTCATCATGGATTTTACTTGCAGGAGAGTTCAATGGTTCACGTTTGGAGAGCTACAGCAGATCATTCACCTTCATCATCCAGCAGAAGTAGTGTACACAGGCTTTGCTGACATGATCCCTCTCCCGTTTGGCAGGAATAGCATGGAGATAAGTCGAGGTCCGTGGGTATGCAGTGTAATAGAGAGATGCATAATAATTAATGCAGGAGATGCCTCTTGGAGAGAATGTGTCTGCTGAGATTGTGTAATGCATTAGCTCATTAAGTAAATTCGGATTGTTTCACTTTTTTGGTACTATAGAGGCAAACTCATCCAATGGCGTATATCTAATGAGGAGGTATTGGAAAATAAGTTGCATGTGTTTATCTGTGATTGTTCTCAATCCTTCTGATGGCATTTCTCATTTTTAGACCAAAGTACAAACTTTTGGATATGAGACACTTTTTGTATTATTATGTACTCAATATTATGAATTTTCAGCAAATTCTTCTTGGCCTGAACACTTCGAGTTGGATTCGTCGCTACGGCTTTGTTTTTACGATAAGAAAAGATCAACAGAGAGCTAGACACAAATATACTTTATTTCCTATGCACAGTTTCCTACATAATAAATATAACACATAACGTAAGCTCACATCAATCAAAATAAAAGAATAAATCAGGACAATCACGTGTAACGAGAATAACTTTGTAGAAAATTGAAACATGGTACATCTAACAGTAAACATACAGGAAAGTTCAATTTTAATTATTATTTATATGCACATGCATACATTTTAAACAAATTACGCAATATAAATATTTTCATTAGCATACATATTTATGCCCTATGCGAAGTATCAAGGTAAACTTTAGTGAGTTCTTGCTCCGTTTCTGCAAAATGAAAAAATTTGTAATGCATACATACATACATAAATAATAAATATGTATTTTCGGGTATTAGTAATTTTGAGTGATCTTCTAACTACATTTTTCTTCGAGGTGGCTCAAACGCCTTTTCAATCCGTTTATAAACTGCAACATGATCGGTTTTCACAAGGCCGAATCTTTTCAACAGAATGAGCTTCCAATTTGCTTTCGGTAAATTAAACGTTTCCGGGAGATCCACTCCGTTCAAGTCTTCGTCAAAATTCTCACTTTCACAAATCAGTTCATACGAGGTGGAGGACAAGGGTCCAATGATGAGGACATATGTTCCCAGAAAAGCTCCCACGTAAGTCCGAAATAATGCGACGCTGTTGCAATAGCAGAACATGACCATGTCATCAAATTCCGCGAACGGGTTTTCTTTCGCAAAGTCTTTCCCCACGAATTGGAGCGGAATAAATTGTGGGGGTGAGTAGGAGCTTGTCCACCAGCGGAAGTCGGCTTCGATTCCCGTGACCTCGATCTTTCTCTCGTAATCTGTATTAGCCTCGAGATAGTGTTTGAGGAGGTATTTCGATAAGAGCCATTCCAACAGCCCTGTACCACATCCGATTGAATGAATGTGCGATACCTTGAGGGAGAAAATCGCAGCGGCCAAGCAGCTCAAATCCTTCTCGGTGGGTGTGGGCCAAGAAATCAAATGAAGCAAGTGGATTTTGGCTTTGTCCTGAGACGATGCTTCGTACACGTCCTGGATGAGATTTAATATCCCTTTAAAGTTTCCAGAAGTGTGTAAACTTATAATTTCTTGCACGAATGGTTCTCCTTTCCCACTCATCGTCTCTCATAACATAAAAAAAATCGGAGGACGTTTACAAAGTCGTAAATATTTTTATTACAATTTATATTTTTGGTTGAAATTACTATTTCAATGTGTCACTGTGCCACTCTGTATCAACATTACGACCCTAAATTAAAACGTATCAGATAGAAGAAGGTGAAATAGTTTGATCAGGAATGTAGATAAATAGGGCAAAAAATCAACTCTGATTTACTCAATCACAACTTGACTGACTAAACTAACGAAAGAAATCGAGACTTTTTTGGCTTGATGGGTTCCACACGGAGAGAGTGGAATTTGCTTATGGCCTTCCGTATTGTTATCCTTGAGGTTTTAACGGGTTGCTTATCCCAACTTTTGGCTTCTGTACAAAACTCGGAGCACCATCAACCAACACCATTTTCTGCGCTTGTTATTATTTGGTCGTGTAAGTCAACCAGATGAGACTTGGTAACGCGAAAATGCGATGCTGCTGCATTGTGATCTCTTCAAATTGGCTGCAGTATTGAAAACTACTGACGAACCTGCTTGCTCCACGGATATTTTCTCAACGACACAACATCGAGATTAAAATATTTGCATGTAATGCGAAGAAAGTGAATACGGTTCTCTTTCTGAACATGCCACTTCTTTCTACTTACTTTTTGTGAACGTTATTCACATCGTCTTTTATACCAGGACTCCTCTATTTTGAGATAAATATGGATCAAACTTTGAATGACAAGTGTTTACATTCATATAATGTACATTCATATTTGGGAGGTTGTTCAAGCGATGGAAATGACCCGTGAATAGAGGTAACGAAATCATCTGTTTTCTCATTATGCAATAAGACGAATGGATTCAGATAAGTTATTTGTTTCTGAACATTCAGCCAAGCAGACTACTTCCTTTCACTTCCTGGGTGTAAAAACAAAAACCAACAATACACCGAGTTCAGTGATGAATGCATACGCACGTCCTGTGGGGTTTAGAGCAGACGACAGGTTACGTCGTGTTGGCAAAATCTGTGCCAACTTTGTAAACATGAGACACTATTAGCAAACTCCATATATCCTTTTCTGACATTTGACTGAAAAGTAATGATGAATTAAAAAAGGAAATGATTAACAGATTCGTACATTACAAAATGGTACAAATTCACGCAAGTGATTGTGGTTACGTACGTATTTATAAATAGTTCTCAACACACATTTCAAGAGTGTAAAATGGAACTGCATGCAAACATGTAAATACGTATATGTATGTACACGCATTGAAGAACTGAATGAATGATTAATATGTTTGCTGTTTTGTGCTCCGTTCTGGTCTCAAGTTTTTACGTGCACAGTTGAAATCTCGTGCGAGCTATTTAGCATGATAAATGTATAAATGTATAAAGAAGAAAGGTTTAAAGTAGCGTCGACATTGCATGTGATCGTCGTCGCAGATTCCGGTGAAAGTCCGAGCCAACTTTCTCTCTCGCTCTCTTTCTCTGTGGCAGTGCTGGTGGGATGGGAAATGCCGCAATGGCACACAAATTGTACGTACGTACTGAGGAAGGCCCCAGCTATATCCTCCCTGACTGATGTTTTCATGGAGAAGCCTGCTCTATGCCTTTCAAAGTTTCCAGCACCTGACTTCCAGCACCGATTCTGAGCACAAAACATGAAACTTTCTCCTTCTACAGCCAGATCGGGTAGTATATATATGTAGTAGCCCCCATTATATCATCATCTCCGACCAGGCTGAATTGAATAATAAGATCTGCATAACAATATTCACTTTTGTAGTTTTTTCTGATGGCATAGTCAACTAGAAGAGAAAGACTTGTGTGTCTATAAACCAAAAGAATTATCCAGCAGTTTGCCCAATATATGCATTTTGCGTGCAGTTAAGGGATAATAATACGTAAATCTATATATATACATATATTTATATCGTAAGTTATTCAAGGAAAGTATGCAAGTATTGCTCAACGACTCTCTCCGTGCTTGCTGAGTTTTTCAGTATCCAATTGTGATGGACAGTATTATAAGCCGTTGATAAATGTGAAATTATTTTAATCTGACAGTGATTTTTGCCTCTGTACATTTCCTTAATAATGTTGAGAACCAAGAAACCCAAAAGAAACTCCATAACCCATTACATTTTTGAACTCTAATTTAAATACAGAAAATGTACGATTATTATTTCGTTTAATATCTAAGACTTAGATTCTAAGTATTTTATACATACATACAATTTTAAATTGCATTTAATTTTCACTGCCCAAATACCAACGAAGTCGTTGTGACTGTAAAATGCCGAGACCACGCTCCTCCGACTCTGAGGACAATGCCGGATCCTCGGTTTTAGCGAAATGGTGTAAGTGTCACTGCGGGAAGATAAGGCTTGTGAACGAACGGTGCTTCATGGCGCCTCCTCTGATACTCGTGGTAAGAAGAAGCTCTTTGTTAAATGCCTTCAAGTTAATGTTACTCATGGTCAGGGATGTTAGATTGATAGTATTACATGATTATGTCCCAACCCTGATAAACCTACCCTAATGATAATTATGTGCGATTTAAATGAAATACATAAAGACATTTCTATCCTATTCATAGGGGTCGTCACTGGCAGAATTTGTTGTAATTTTCTCCATCACGGGGTTCATGGTAAGCAATTAGATTGCTGGAAAATTGGTGTTGGTTCTAACTTGACGAGCTGTGATTAATTACGTGTGTATTTCGTTTTTTATAATTCTTTGAAGGCCATTGACGTGATAGCCGTATCAGCCGTTTTCTTCTCTGTCCTTTTATCATTTGCGGCATTGCTTTTTATACGATTTGACCGATTGACTATTTTGGCATTCCTGGTGAGCTGATTGGAATCATGTGTATTGGCAAAAGCCATATTAGAAATGAGGAAATAGGTAATATCATAATTTTATGAATATGTCGTTCCAGATGCTCTCTGTGTCTCTGCTTTCTTCCTCCACATTTCTCATCATTTGCATTCAAAAGCAGTCTCCCGTCCAGGAAAACGATAAACCCCAGATTTTCCTCCCATCATCGCAACATTCTCACAATCCATTTGATCAAGACTCCAACGTTGTCCACGTAAATCAGTCAAGACATGGCTCAAAACTGGTGGACCTCATGAAATCTGGTACGGAACTGAGGTAAATAATTTAATTCTTATTATTCATACTTAAACGTGGTCTCATATGTATCCTTCTTTCATGAATTACATGAGTATGCTTTTTATTTTTGATGGATTGAATGTAGATTGATTTAATTGTGTGTGCATTTAATTTAGATGGATTCACCAGCTTCAGTCCAAAGAGGTATAATATGCATAAGTGTGAAATATGTTGCATGCATCTAACCAACGTCCCAATGATTTTAAAATGTGCAAATATATCTCAGCGCTGCTGTGGTTTTTGGAACTTCACGGATTGGATAGGCGAGAATTCTTTGCTCGAAGCGAATAAGACATTTAAATACCACTCAGAGCCAATTCATCCTCCGACGCAATGGATGGTTTCATGTTGTGATAGGAATCTCACAGGTTAGACGACATTCAAAATTTAAAGCAGTTTAACCCGAAAATGTCCATGTTTCGTAAAAGGTTACAAGATTTTTTTTTTAATTTTCTTAACACAACCAGAGCATCACAGTAACTGCAAAGCCGAAAGCATTTATGACGACTGGCACGACATTGTTTCTTACCTTTTTCAACAGGTATAAAATAGTTATCCAATACTTCACTTCCAAAGTTATGCGTAATTTTATCCACAAGTAAAATCTGCACGGATTTTCAGGGGTGTGGAGCACGCATGGATGATAAATTAAACGAAGTAAACTTTCAACTGTTTAAAACATCTTTGGGACTTGCGCTTTGGAATTTGCTGGTAGCAATCGACCTCATTGTGTACACAGCGTGGAAAAAACTGAGGTCAAAAGCGCACAATGCTTGCAATGGCCGCAACGGAGGTCGAGTCACTACGGATGACGATGACGTGTTTACTTGACAAATGTAGATCTCGAGTGCGATGTATTTATGTAAGTTCAACAGTAGCAGTAAATGTGCATTTACATGCCTACATACATAAATACGGTCGGGTTCGGGTGTTGTGCGATCTCCCAACAATAAAATGACGCTATTATTCCTACCTTGGTGCAGTTACCATCCAAAAATCTAAAAACTAAATGACGGGGCTCAAGTCGTAGTATTACGATAGAACCTTAGACACGACAAATACTTAAAAATATACGTAAAAATTACTTGTTAATAACTACTTCAGTAAGATTGAAATAGTCTGAACATTTCGGGATATTATTAAAAATCAACATTATATGATAATATTTACCATTTTATGTAAGTGCGATTTAATGAGATTGGATTAAATAATATTCACAGTATTTGATCAAGCATTCAATTTATTGGGAAGATCGTCGACAACCATGTCTTGCTCAATCAGCTCGATAATTCGGTCATGCAGTAATTCATTTATATGCCTCGAATAAATATAGTCAAAGTGGTTAAATTTGGGAAAATCTATTTCCACTACTTTCTTCACATTTGGTAGGTTTGCTGCCAACTTATAGGTATCCTATGGACAAAGAACAGCAGGAATTAAAAATTACGATTGCACATATCATCAGTTACATAAAAAGAATAACACCCACCGGAATTGTTACAATGTTGTCTCCAGCAGCGCAAAATAACACGGTTGGTACAGTAATATTATTGAGCTGGTAACTGGGAGGATTAGGTTGTCCGTATACTTCGATATTTCTTTGGTAGTAATTATAATATGCAAACACACCTAATTCCCACAGGATACACATTAATTGAGCGTATAACTATTTATTGAAAATATGCCGAAAGTAAGAGAAATAGGCAACTTTTTTACCCTCGTTAATTAGTTGAAGTGCATGGAACGTCTTTCTGCTCGAAGTACTACTTAAAATGTGAGACATTACGTCAGGTACTATTGCCTAAGGAGATTCTACTGTGAATAATTAATCAAAAATATAGATCAAAATGAAGCTCATTACATAATTTGCCTCCTTAGAATCCAGACCAATCATTGCCTCCATAATTGTCACACAAAGCCATCGCAAGGAAATCGTAGGTGAACACACATTTCCAACGACATTCATTAATGGAAGCACTTGGGGAGGAACTATTGGGCCAATTGAAAATAGGTCATGAATGCCCTAAATAAAAAAAACATACGTAAAGCTTTATAAAAGTTTCAAATACTAAAATCATTAGTTTATAATTAAGGTAAAAATAGAGTACTTGTTGTAACTTGACGAAGGGAGAAATTGCTTTAAAAACAGGGTTAGACGTATTTCCTTGAAATACAGCTCCAGATAATCCAATAAATCCCTGGATTTTAGAAATATATTCTGGATGTAGAGACATTGACACTAGAAACTCTGCCGCACCTAAAGAATGCGCGATAAAATAAATTGGTGATTTAGTTGTCCCCAAAATGTAGTCGTAAATGGCAGGCAGGTCAATCTCTCCAATTTCATGAAAACTGTATATGATAGGATATTATTCGATTTTATTTAGTCTAAATTATCCGGTTTGTTTTATTTCCGTATATGCATATTAATACCCAAAGTTCCAGTACGCATAATCCTTGTAAGACAATGTTTTGTGACCAAGTGAGTACCGCGTACCTCGATCATTCCCCAACCAAACATCACAATTTCCTTTATCAGCCAATCTATACGCTGCACATAATAAATAAATCCACGATAAATGCCAATAATAATTGTAGTAGTCTTATCTTACCCAACGCTTTGTCAACAGTATTGATGACCCAGCTTGAAGAATCTGCAAAATTTCTACCAAAGTTTCTTAGTCTGACTTTGTCTGCAAAGTGTTATCTTACCCATGTTGCAAATAGACAACTTTCTTTGGGGATTGATTATTTTCAAGTTTTCCATGCGGTATACGAAACAGCGTGATAATGTATCCATCAGAAGTTGTGACTTCGTGCGTTTCGATCGGAAATCCGTGTCGTCTAATTAGTTCTGGCTGTAATAATTTGCATACATTCAAATCAAAGAGCACAATCGATAAGTAAACCAATCCGGAGTAAGTAAGTTACCACTGTTGCTTTTATATCGGAATTAAGTATTCGCTGAATGTAGTCCTCATGATATTTCAGGTGCGAAGGAGCACTGGAAACATTCTTGGAGTTGCTGACTGCAACATTGTAAAAAACAACTAAACTAAATACCAACCCTTGTAATAAATGCATTTAATTGATATGCAGTGATAAATCTGCAAATAATACAGCCACTTATTTACTGTTTGGAAATATGAATGGCCGTGTAAGTACTTACATACATTACATATAAATAAACGAATGGTCCAGTGCATGTAAAGACGGTGGTTTTAGCAAAGTCCTGTTATCGGAGTATAAATAGCCATGCATATTTATGTAAAGGGTATGCAGGGAAGAAGGTGAATTCTGGGTCCGATAGTTTATTTTTCACTTTATTATGATTATGATAAAATTTTGTCAAGTATTGATCGTCATATTCAATATTTCTAATATTTTGTCGTTGAGCAAACTATTAACATTAGTAGCGAACAAAAAGTCTATGTGATTAAATTGCTGTTGATTTATTTTGTGAAATTCTTTCAGATTCGGTAAAGCACTTGCCAATCGGAATGCATCCTGCAATAGTCAAGCGTTACGCACGACTTCATGCACAAATTATTGAAAAATTCGTTGAAAAATGATTTTAATTACCCGACACGAAACCAATTGATCTTCTGCTCCGCAAAATACAAAAACTGGGGCTGTCACTTTATCTAATTCGTACAACGGAGGGAGCATCTGTCCGTATATTTCAAAGTTATTTTCCAAATAATCGTACTTTTGAAATTTTCCAGATTTCCAGAGTTGCATCAAATGGAGTAATGTCTTGACGGATGTGCTACTTAATCCAATAGAGACGATCTCTTGTCTCAAATCCTACTCAAAAACATATTCCCCAATTGTTTTGATTTAAAGCATACATATTTTTATTAGTTAATTAATTTATATAACCAACATAGTTATCCTCAATAAAGTCGTAGCCAAAGATCACTTCTAGCGCTGCGAAACAAATTTTTCTTGATATAATTTGAGGGTAGCAGAGGGTTCCCAAGATGTGCATGAATGGAAGAAAATCTGGATTGACGAAAGATCCTAGAAGATAACTGTTACTCATTTCCTGCACAGTTATAAAATTCATGCGATCAAAGAATTGAAATTAATAGAAAATTGCATTGATTGATTGCTTCACTCTGTAGAATTTATTAAAGTACTTGCAAATGATTGAGTAAAATTGGTCTCGCAATTGCAAATGGCACAGAAGTGTTTCCTACATACACGGCAGGGGCCAGTCCAATGAAGGTTTTTATTTTAGAGTTGTAATCTGGGAACATTGACAAGGATGCCATAAAGATACTGGATCCCATGGAATGAGCTTAAAGAAATCAGTTGAACAATGTTAAGAATTTATCCAACGAAGCTTTATTTGCTTTCGGAGGCTTTCTTACCTATGTAGTAGAGCTGAGGTTGATTTGTTAACTCCAAAATGTAATCAATGATCATGGGAACGTCAAATGCGGCCATCTCATGAAAACTGTATTAGGAAGAAATGCAGTAGTCATTGCTGATTATTATTGACTACTACCTGAGGAGGAAATACCTAAAGTCCCAATATTTTCCGGTTTTCCATGAAGTGTTTACATGTTCTAATGAGTACCTTTTGCAAAAAACAACCTTAAATAAACTTTAAAAAGTGCTTAAAAAAAACTTGGTCAAAATATGGTTTCAGTACAATGTTCCTCGGTTATTAATTATAAAAACTTGGTAGCCAGCGTCTGGTAATCTATATCCTAGGCGTGAAAATAAACACATTAAGGTCTCGAGGTCAAGGAAATTATAAAATATCACGTATCTTTCATAATGCATATTTTTAAGAACCTAGAGCCGTGTCCACTTTATTCAAGATCCATTCGAACCCATCAGCGATAACTCCATGATGCAGCAACACAGGTATTCGTGAACTGTGTCCTTTTTCCTTTGCGTCTTTTCCACTTAGAATTTGAAACAGCGAGATAATGTATCCATCTCGGGAAGTTAAATTGTGCTGCTCCAGCTTATAACCATTTCCTCGGATTAAATCTGGCTAAATATAATATCCTTTAAACCCCAAATGCACAATTTATGCGGTCATAGTTGTAAGCAAATATTTAGGGAACAAACCCCCGATTGACCAAATCCCCTAGTTTTGGACTCCTCCCGAAAGATTCTTTGGTAATATGCACATTCTAAAGTTGTGCACTCTTCTGAATGATCTGTAGCAGGATAACTTACACGAGGACTTGTATTATTATTATTTTCAAAAGTGGAATGGGTAGAACAAATTATTAAAATCAAATATCCTACCAATTTGCTGTATTCTAATTTCATTTCAATTTAAAGATTTATTAGCTGGATGAGCTACGGAGAGAGGAAAGTGAAATAAAGTCTCTCAAGTACTTGTATAATCTCCAAGTGCTTTCAGTTTCAATTAGTTTAAAGTATATCCCGTTATCGTCTTACTCTTCCTTCAACGGGACTTGTGGCTCGGACAAAACCATGAAATGCGTAGGTAAGAATCTCATTTCAGTACCCATTACATATGCAGCCTGCACGTTCGAGCAAGAAAAATAATTAATAATTTACAGTCAAAAACGTATTGGTTTTATTTTCATCAGTAAAAAACGAGCTTATAAATGTATACGAGATATCAACTATTTAAAAATAAACATTTTTTATGTGCTGAGGGCAGCCAACATGGCAGCTTCTTTTATGTGATGTCTCAATAATAATTATATAACATACATGAACCTTATAGGTACGCAGGTTTGAGAATACAGCTACTACGAAAACAATTAAATAATTAAATATGTACAAACGTTGTTATGAAAGTCTTTATATGAAATATTGCCATTGTATGCCAGCAGTATACAAAAATCTGGCACAATACGATTATTAGTCAAGTTATTTATGTGACAAATCTATTGAAAAATCAAGATCAACAAAAATGACATTCATGTTACTTGTGTACGTACATACATACATAAATATGCATTCTACAAGGTATGGGAATGGCTCAATTTTTTTACAGAGTGAGTACAATAACTGTTATAGCACAGCAATACGGATTCATCATCTGAATGAAAATTAGGCGGTAAATCCCTTAAGCACTGCCGTTTCCGTTGCGGTTAAAAAACGCAGGCAAGTGCACTTGCTGTTGATTGAAGTCGAAGACTATTTGTCGAATTCTTAATTGTATTTTCCCTTAATTTCTAGTTGGAGCTGGTTTTAAGGGTTTTGCACTTTTCTACAACACAGTTTAATGCATCCGTAATGTTGTCAAAGACTGGGACGCCATCCTTGCACGCCATGTCCGTGAGGTATGCTCTTCCTCGGTTGTAGTCCTTTACAGCAACTTTTGTGAGCTGAATAGAGTGCAAAATTGTGTTCATTATCATAAAGTCTTCTTGCTTACTCAACTTGAAAATACTTATCTAATCCTTAATTGCAACTAACTACGACATTTACTAGCAAACTACAAATTGCTTCACCTTTTCTTCCTTGATTTGGCATTCATCCTGCAAATACCCGACGCATAGCACAACATGACATCCCTTTCCGAAATAGTACGCAGCCTGTGGACAAAATTTTAAAAAAGTAGAAAATAGATTAAACAGATTTTTGCTACTTTGAATTCTTTCCGACTTTAAGAATGTTTTGGCAACATTTCAGAAATACAAAAGTTTTGCCGAGATATTAACGCTGAAATGTATAACCTTCATTTCTCAACTTACCATCGTCATAAATTCAATAGAGCGACTGGCACTGGGTATGTTGAACAAAATAACTCGACACCCGTCGATTGATGCTTTGTCAACCAGAATATGTCGGTTTTTGCTGCAATTTACCTCAGGGTTGAAATAGGTCAAATCGTTCTCTCTGTTTTTTTTAAAAGAAATATATGCATGAATGCATTATCCAATGTTGTGTCAGAATTTTCAATTGTGTAACATCCAGTCATAAATTTCGTACCTCAAAATGGGAATAGCTAGAGATCTCCAATCTTCTTCCGAACAATCCCCTCCCAGGTACACATCGTATGTCGTGGAATGAGTAATAACATCTACGGATTCTTGTTTAGATAGCAGGGGCAACCACCCTGTTTTACTGCTTGGTGGCACATGTTCTAAAAATACAAATCAACCATCACTCAGCAAACAGTCATACGATTGTACGGAATTGTATGTACACAAGTTATTTTTTGGACACATCTGGTCTCATAAAAAACATCACACTTACCCAACAGTTTTGTTAGAGCGACTGAAACACTTTGAACAAAGAAGTTGGTTTTATTTGTAGACAAAAGAGTAGACAAGCTTCTAGCGGAGTTGTAGTAATGATGAAGCAATAACTCGGACATGATGCAGCAAAACTGATCAAAATTCAATGTATTAATATTCACTCCGTTCACTTCTTTCTTCCCTGAAATTGTGGTTTCATTCGTTTCTGATGACGGCGTGGTTTGAGTGACAATTAAATCGTCATCTGTTCTTTTTAATCTGTCCAAAACATTATGAACTGCGTCCTTGGTTAACTCTCCATTGGCCAGGATTTGGTATGCCATGAGAACCTAGCATATAAAGATTTTCATTTATATAAATATTTGTATTGTGCCCTTAGATTTTAGCATTAATTGAGCGGAAACTTACGTGAGACAGACTAATTTCTCCACTGCTCTTAGAATCCAAGTTTTCAAAAGTCTTTTTGAGATTTCTGCACAATATTTGAAAATGCATACACAAATTTCAAGAGGTTATGCATAAGTGGAAATATTGTGAAATATCTTACATTAATTTATTTCCTAAGTGCAAAATTCCTTTCTTCACAGGTTGAGCCAAATCGGACAACTTAAAATCTTGTGGTCTTATTTTGTCCTTGATGATCTGTAAAGCAATACATGTATCGTGTTCACTACATGTGTCATTGTTTTCATACAAAATTTCCCATAAACATCAAATTGTTAAACCAATTAATTACCCCCTTCACGGGTATACATATGTATCATTTTCCCCAAATTTGCGTAATACATAAGCCAAGACTTATGTCACTCACCTTAGCTGTAGAATTCAAAGCAGTTGGAATATCATTATGGAAAACTGGAGTTCCGTGTATATCTATCAAGTCCTGGAGAACCATCTGGCTGAAGGTTAAGTCTTCGTACTCTCTGTAAAAATTAAATTAAAATTATTCAAAATTAGTGGATTATTTATACATCAATACGTCTAAACTCATTTATTTTGTCAACTCTCCAATATCAAATCGTCAAGCATATGTAGAATTGCAATTTCTCACAGGAAACCACAAGTGAATTAGTGCCAAGATAAAATGTGCTTGCTCGATTCCCGAAAACATTCACGTTATTTTGTCGGTCGATAAACACTTGACGCCATGATCCTACGTTATAAAAATTATCTGGAGGCAGGGAGTAAACAACTGCTCCTGCACTCAATATCACGGACATTTGTCGTCATTAACCCTACTGCGCAATCGACAATTATTATTAAACGACTTTCCATTATAGCAGTCGTTATAAGGATGAAAATGAAAAGGACGCTAGCTCAGATGGATATTGACTTGAAATATTTTGCATGGCTCATCCAAACAGTTGAAGTGGGATTGAGACTCTCAATTTGAGAGTGGGTTGAAAAATCTGGTCTCTAAAAAGTATCAAGTGGTGTTATAAACCCGAGTGCAAGGCCACACATATCCTGTGCCAAATAATGAAATTTTCCTAGTTTTTTTTCTCTTTAGCCGTGCCGATGTTGTGTGTATGTCTATAAACTAAAAGGATCTCGCTTGGGTGATGACGACATCATTGAGAATTGTTGTTGACTAGGTCTTACATTTTTGAGAGGGGTTCATTGCAGATGCGTTGTCCAGGTTCTTTAAAGCCATTGATCACCAGAACGACGTTTCTCTGCTTGGCCACAAGGTAGGCAACCTCGATCATGACCACGATGCCACGTGTTTGGTTGTCAATTACGTAAAACAACACATCCGCATTTTCCTTCGCATGATGTTCCAATTCGATTAATCGAGGCTCCCAATTCGTTACTGAAATAGAAAAATAAATATTTATCAGTCTAAAAATACAGACATTTGCACCAAATCTCAGAGTAAAGGTTGACTAAAATCAGTCAAGACATTTGCCTGTCATTTATTTACAAACACTACTTAATTTCAGTTTATGCATATGTATGTACATGTGCGAGTAATTATTACTCAATATTATTCTCATGTAACATATTTACTTTTACGCCTGTTAAATTAGCGCTCATATTACTAAAGTATTACCTTGCGGATTAAAGAATGTAATGTCCATGTCTTTCAGCATGGGAAGGGCAATATCCTGTCTCCATGTCGTGGGGTTACTGTAACGAAGACAAGCACACGTTCTAAAAAAATGTTATTTTATTAAAATTTTGTTTCTTACCAAGCTCCTCCGAGAAACACTTGGCAGTCCAAAGAAGATTTATCTGCTGAAAATTAGACAAAGTCATGCCGAATTAGGAATTTTATTAACACATTAATAATGGCGATGATTGCATGTTGTTTTCTTAAAATCAAGTTATCTCGTGGTAATCTTAATTACCAACCTAGGCATGGAATCGAACCAAGAAAACCATCCACGCATTGTTTGCCTAATTTTCGTCGTATTGAATTATGATTCAAGATTTTATCAAGGTTCATAATAAGTAATTTATTTCCTCCACTGATATCTTTATACGTGTGCACATCTAGCAATTTCACATTTTTGGGTAGGATTAAAATGTCCTTTCTGCGATATTCATTAAACCAACATGTGGGTGTCGAATAGCTTATGTACGCACATATCAAGCTGAGAAGTACAAATTGTAAACTCCATTTGTGGAAATAAACTTCCATGTGTACATATGTAAATCGGATGGTTTTGTGTCGTAAAAATTAATAAAATCTTCTTACCGTTGCATTTGTTGATGAAATCGGAGGCCGAGGGTAACCTTTGATCGTTGTTTTTGTGAGGGATTTTTGAGGCTGGGGCCATCGTCGTTTGACTCCCTTTCGATTCGGGTTCGTGATAAGCACGTTTCATTTCTGAAGCAAAGACGGAGTAATCTCCAAAGCTTAGATAAGGTTGACTAATCACATCGGGGCTGCTGCCACTGCTGCTCGTTCCGGAAGTAGGTGGTGACGAAGACCCGTTCAACTTTCCACATTTATTAGCACACCATAGCATCTCGTACGCTGAAAATCAGTGTCACTTATTAACTTTACATCTCCATAATAAAATATGACATTTTACGATAGATTCCATGCTGGGATTTTCAATGCAGGACAAACCATAGGACGAAACCGTATTGCAAACATAATCTATGCATACTGTTGATGGCGTGGATAATTAACTAAACAAAAGGTGAACATGCCTCATCAACTACAGACTCAACCTCGCACATAATCCAAACATATCCCAACGTGACCAGCTTAACTTATAAGAAATGCATAATCGACATAATATGTCAGACCTATTATTGCCATGTTACACACACACGTTGCATGCGAGCAAGCAGGACAAAATAAATATTTATAAATGTGTGCGCATTCATTAATTCTCATCATTTATAAATTACTTTTGACAACTTGATTGACAAAAATTCAAAACCCTGCCTCGTGTCTCGGTTTAATTAATTAGTAAAATTCATCCATGAATGAAAATGCCCTTTAAGATCACTATTTGTTTTATTATGCATGCCCTTCCCGTACATGGACATAATAAATGCGAGGGAGTTCTTGACACAATCACCGCAATGACTGAATGCTGAATGCCCAATTGTTCATGGGCTTGGCGTCTACTTGGGAAAAAAATTAAAGTGATAAAATAGAATGTGACCTGCATTTCTAATGGATGGACAAACTCATTTTTGGTGAGGACAATGTGGGAGGTTGGTAACTAGTTGTCCACCCAGTGCAATTTGTTACAAATTGGTCGATGATCATGTACTGAGAATTGTTTGTTTGGAGATTATATGGGGTGTTACATTACGTAATCACCAGCAATATGCTAAATTCAGGCTTTTAAAGTGTTTATTGTATTGCGTTGTAACATGGTGTATATCGTCATGTCTAAATCCATATTTTACGAAATTTGCATTCAACTACTGTCGAAATATTAGATAAATTTTGGTAATATGACACCAATTTGTAGGAATGGGACAATGACAAGGACAAAAGCAAAGTGACATTGAAATACGAACCATACAAAATACCAATACATACATTTTGAGGACATATGAGCATGTATAAATTAAGCTCTCAGAGCCAACATTAATGAATGCTCTCATCTCCAAGATGAAGATCGAGCAGGACCGAAACTGGGTCAGCTGCCAAGATTTTCAACAGTTCAATAACTATTATCAGATGTTCCCAATGTTTGAATGAAATGCGTTCAGGATAAGCAACTTTTGTAATATGCTTGCACACCTTGTGGCTTCGGAGCAGGGCACAAGTCCATATCATTGAACGAGAGAAGCCCTGAATTTCTGTGGTCGGGCTGAACTTGATCTTGGTGTTGCTGCTACTTTAGAGGAGATGGAGAAAGCCAGTTTGGTATAGACCTGCAAAAAATGAAAAAAACAGTTCAATTTACAATTTGCACACTCCAGAGAATGTATGCTAATTGGCTTGCATGTGTTTTATTTTTATGGAAATAGTTACTACTTAATACAATTTATCAAGGATTATTTTTGCTTGCAACGGATACAATTTGAATATTATGCATGCCTGTTGGCACATTTACAAACATGGTATTGTCAAATTTGCACTCAAGTGATTGCAATTCCAATGCATACTCCTGGTCAAATATTTACCTGCTATGTACATACACACAATATGATAAAGATGAAGCTACTATTTGATTTTTAAGAGTTAATGTCCCGAGTCCTTGCAGAAGCCAAACTTAAAAAATGTGCACATGTCTCCTTGACTCAAAGGTTGAATAAGATTCAAGGAATATGTGTGTATCTCAGATTTGGTTCACTTGAAGCAGGGACGAAGATTTTAAAGCAGAATCACTCTAGTACATTTTGGTCTCTTACTCTTATTTGTAACACGACTCGATGGTATACCGGCGTGGTTTAGTTAACGGCACATGGATTGTTTCGGATGAAATACACTGGTATTTTGTATGGTATTTTTTACTAGAGTAGGAGCAATAGTTTTACACAATTACCGTGAAACTAGAAAAAGGTTTTTTTCGTTGCCAGAGTTTATAGGTTCAGCAATGTTTATTTGTACACTTGTTATGCAATATTGGAAATGATAACCTACGCAAGAAAGAGCGAGCGTGTAACTTTTGTGGTGCTCCATGGAACTCTTGCACACAACTGCATCAGTTAAGCTCCAACTCGTTGTCTTATTAAAAAATAACCAAATCTTTACTACACTTGTTACTCTTGTAGCTCGGAGGCGTAGACTCGTTCTTGCAAAGTAATAATCTCCATCTCATTCTACAATCAAAATATTTGCATGACGTGATTTCATCCTCTTCTCACTCACTCAGATTACCGGCCAAGTGATCAATATTTTCATAAAACTGTATTTAACTTGCCCCGTTTGCATTATTCAGACTCGAGCTAATCGTTAGTATGTAAACGAGACTTAAAACAGGGATACTATTTTCGCATACCTCAAAATTTGTGCTCTTGAGACTCTGCCGACTACGGCACTACTCACACTGGCCAAGATTCAAGACCAAGAGTAAAGTTTTTCCACGGAAGAATACATAATCTTGGTTGCCTGTAGTATATAAATCGGAGTTAACACGCCAAGTGGGCAGAGAGAGGGAGAGAGATGTGGGATAGACTTAATTTAACTCGGCGTTCTCGTGGGTCGTCACCATTAAATATACACGACGAGCAGAGAGAGTGAATGAATGGTTAGTTTCGTTTCGAATGCGTATCAGGCTGCATCTGGCTGCCCACGCTAAAAATATGAGATGACGAGATACTCAGGAAGTTTCAAACATCTTTGAACCTCAACACCTACATATTCCCTCGCTGTAGTTTCACTAAGGCTGCTTACACAAACTAGTATGATAACTGTTCCTTCCTTGCCATCTATGCAAGTGTGTTCCAAAGAACACGTAAAAAGATATTGAACTGATATGTTAACATGCATACATGTCTGTAATGTGTAAGCTGTGTGAAAGCACTTTTTATTTCCAAGCCAAAATTTGAACTCTCGCTTTTCTCATCGAGGATAAGTTACAGGAGGAATGCGTATGTTTAACTAACTAACATGCTAATAATTTCCTATTATTATATAATGTCTGCGCAAACAGCCCAAATAATAATGCTGGCAAAGTATATGTCCCCAGATGTCTATGTACATATGCAGTTATCTTATGCGGCTTTTTTGTATGTGCTATGTTAATGACAACATTTCAACGATTTTTGAAAGATGGTGCAAAAAATCAGTGTTTGATTTCAGGATGCAGATGATTGCTATCAAAGCAGCACGAATTTGAAGCGCATTACTGATAATTTGTTAATTTGAGAGTGTACACGCAGACTGAAATCGACACTTATTTATTGGGGATCAAATGACGAAATCATGTAACATACGTTCAAGTGATGTGCACATATTTGTGAAATGGTGTGCGTCTACTTGATGGAATGTAATAACATAATGCACTCTAAAGGCAAAGGGACTCCCACGTAAATATTTTCCAACCACCAACACAATAACCAACTTTGAGTGTACATAGTAGGCTGTCCACAAGAGGATTCTTCAAAGAAATCGTGGGTTGTTGGTTGGTTACTTTAAAATTGGGATTGAAAGGTCGTCTTAACTGTTTTCTTTACAAGTATTCCCTCAATCAAGACAACTGGAAACCCACATTGCCGAAACGAAGAAAAAAATCGAGGCGTCATTATTTTAATGGGCGTGTGGGATGCTGACGACTTTTAGAGTCAAATTACTTTTGTAAAACGGAGTAAAAAATTAACAGGGTAAATCTATAATAATAATAGTAATGACTTGTAATAAAAAGCCAGTAAACTTTTTCATACAATAAATTAATCCAGTTTTAAGTACCTGGACACGAGTATGTACATATTTGTACATAAAGTTGAAAATCTAGTCTAATATTTGCAACTATATATGTACATACGCTAAAACAGGGAGCTCTCACAGTTAAAATATCCCAATTTAAAGCAGTATTCAGTCTGGTGTGAACAAATAATCTAGTTTCGTGGACAAGGTTATAAAACGTTGATTCATTATAAAAGTGCATTTTTTATACATTCATTTTGCTGCGCAATAGACAATTCGGTAATTAGGATCATTAAATTGATAGCAGTAAATGGTCTGTTTAACACAAAACCGGTGGTAGAGGATGCACGTGTGTATAATAAATATTACCCCAAATGTACGATTTTTCCTCATTTGTAAATAGCATTGCATAATAATTTTTACTTCTTCCACACATTTGCATATGTAGAAATGACGTAACTCGTAAACAAAAATGACAACTTGAGGCATTACCAGATATTTCCAGTTAATTAATTAAATGATCTATCGAGATGAACCATTTCGACTGCATGAACTTGTTTGTTTTACTTACTTTGACCTTCGTTTTCTAGTTGCACGGTGTAAAATGCCAAACTGATCAAACATGTGCCACGTGCCTCTGTATCGTGGTTGTACTTTCTACCAATTATAATTCTGTATTATACGCTATTGTAGGAGGGACTTCACTATTCCACTTAGGAAGCCTACAAAATATTGAATTACGAACTTTTGCAGTTATCCGTGTATATGTAGTTTCACTAATAATTTGGCGATTACACGCGCCTGATTGTATGTATGTATGTATAATAAATAGCCTAAGGTTTCAGTTGGGTGTAAAACTGTGAGTCTCTGTTAACGGTCACCAAACATTTACTCTCAAATCTCATCTAGATGTTATCTACCATCCTTAACAGAGTTTCAACGACTAGCTAAGACCGACATTAGCCGGGTCAGCATGGGCGTCATCTTCCCTTCGAGATATTTGCCAATCCAATCCACACACAAAATTACATCGTATCGGTCGGTACATCAGATTCATCAATGCAGCGCAGCCCACACTTTAGGAGCACATACAGAAGCAAAAAATGTGACAAGTGTGTAGGGGCAGGTCAATGATTGTCTTGCGAATCTTCAGCTGATTATCATTTAAAAAGTTGCATGGGCGTATTCAAGAAACCCAACCAGCAACACAAACTGTACAAAAACTTCACCAAACTCAAACTGAATGCACAATTGGGAACGTGCAATAAGCAACAAAAATTTAGCCGTGCAGATGATTAGCGAATATAGTCAATGGTTTGAAAAATGTAGTTTATGCATATAAATTATAAAATCATATCATTTATACCATTCAAAGATTTAGTAACGATTGGGACTATGTCAGAAACTGATTTACGATGACCAGGGTCACTGGACGGGATTGAATTTATGAAGCCACAGAGTATCATCATCGGTTGTCGGTATGTATGTATGGAGGTCAGCCTTCTCTGCACAAGACTGATACGACTAAAAGTGATTCCATCAATAAAAATAGAACACAAGGCAGCGTTGGAATAATTAGAATATCGTTTTGTTCCCTGCACAAAAGTCGAAGAATGAAGTCAGCTAGTTGCCACGTTTTCACAATAAGAAATTTCCATGCATCGACTTAACTTAACCACGGACGGAGTCTCATCTATGCAAATAAGATTCAATGCTTTGGAAAACGGCAGGTTATAAATATTTACCTCAATGAGCCCGAGTGATTCTTTGTAGTAGTGGTAAAAATACGACAAAAATGACAAATGTTTATTGCTCTCTTTGGGGGTAAAGGTCACACTGAAAGTTGTCAGTCATCAATTTCAAACGTGGCGTGCTGTGCATTATGCTATCGACTAAAAATTGTAAAGGTGATTATATTCTGTTTAGCAAAAATTATTTACTGCGGGACATAATAACCATGAGATTTTATGCCTTTGTGCTCACAAGAAAAAGTAATGGCCAGTTTGGATAAACTTGACCGGGCCATTTTTAACGAGCTGTGTAGAGTGAAGTCATCAGTCACATTTTTTACCACGCCAAAGTGAATAGTTTCAGGTTTTTCTTTGCCGTTTTTTGCTACATGATAACACGGGACATTAATAATGATAATATCCTTCGGTACAATGATCACTCAAGTGTTTGGAATATTAAATATTCTTCAACCAAACTCACCGTGGTACATGGGCGACAATAATTACATATGTACCTTACTATTACCAAGTTGAGAAGTATTGAAGTGTCATAACCACGTGATAGTGGCACTCACGTAAACAGAAAATCTTATGACGATCATCATCGTACACATGTCTATACTACAGTAGATTGCTGAAATTATTCGCAATTCTGCCAAAAAAAAATTGCGATACCCATCGTCTGTCGGTTAGTTTGGAAGGAAATCGAGGATGAGAGAGTACACACATAAAAGACTTGCGTGGGATGATCAATGTTTTGTTTAGATCTTCTCTAGTGCCAATGGCATATGCCTTCATTTTCCCTTTCAAGAAGAGAGTACAAAGTCTAGAGA